CCGTGTAGTCGCTTCGTCTGCTTAGCGCATCGGCGCGCCCATTGTCTTTTCCTAGAGTATAAATGATGTTAAACTTGTACTATCTAAGTAGCTCTAACCATCGACACTGTCGTCTCGAAAGATCTTTAGTAGTCGTAAAGAATTACAGATTCTTGTAATCCGAGTAGATAGTTAGTCCTGTAGCTCCTTTATAGTATATTCTCCAGTGTCGTAATGCTGCGACGATCGCAAGCAGTTCCTTATCGTAGATCTCGTAGTTTTGTTCCGCTAGCGTTATCTTCCTTAAGAAGTACGCGATTAGGTGTCGATTTCTATTGTGCTCCTATATAAGGCAAGCACCAATAGCAAAGTCGGAGGCATCGGTTTCGATAATAACATCTCGTTCTAGGTCGAACATAGCGAGCGTTGGTGCGGATACACTAAGTTCTTTTAGCTTTTGAAAGGCTTGCTCCTATGTCGTCGTCCAATCCTATTAGATATCCTTTTTCGTCAGGTTAGTTAAGGGTGTAGCTATCCTTAAGTAATCCTTAATAAATTTTCGGTTGTAGTTAGCTAGTCCGAGGAATGCTTAAATGTCTCGGACTGTCGTTGGGGTAGGCCATTCTATAATTGACTTAATCTTTTCTAGATCTATACGAATACCGTTAACTCCAACGATAAAGCCTAAGAAGTCGACCTCCTTACAGAAGAACTTGCACTTCTCGGGTGTAGTCTTAAAGCCTGAATTGCCAAGGCGTTCGAGTACCTCGCCGACGTGTCTAGCGTGTAATTCTCGAGAACCATTTGTGAAGATGAGCACATCGTCTATATAGGCGATTACTATAATGTCGAGGACGTCTCGTAGAGCGTCGTTAACAACTTCTTAGCATGTTACTAGCGCATTTGTTAAGCCCATTAGCATAACTCGGAATTAGTACAGTCCGAAGCGCGTTCTAAAGGCTGTCTTCCATTCTTCTCCGGGTGCTATGCGTACCGCGTAGAAGGCGTCCCGTAGGTCGATCTTCGAATACTATATAGAACCCGTAAGTCGGTTCTTTATTTCTTTGATGTTTGGTAGCGGATATCGGTTCTTAATCGTTATTAAGTTTAGTCGTCTGTAGTCGATAACTATACGTAATTTTCCTCCTTTCTTTGGAACAAACATTAAGGGTAAAGCGGCAGGCGATTGGGATTTCTTAATCCATCCCCTAGACAGGTTCTTGTCTATCTAGCTTCGCTACTCTTCTAGCTCTCGTTGTAATAATGCGTAAAGTGGTCCCTATAGTGGTTCCTTACTAGGCTGGATTGGTATCTTGTAATCCTATAGTCTGTGTATAGGTAAGGCCGCAAGCCCTATCTCTTCCTAAAAGAGGCGTTTCCATCGTGTAAACTCTTTAGGGATTCCTGGAGGTGCGTCCTTGTCCTCCTTCGCTCTAACTTGTTAATCCGGTGGATCCATTCCGGCATCTGTCGAGCTTGGGCTACTACGTAGCTCCTGTTTCGGTTGTTAATTAGCTGTGTATGTATACTGTCGTTCCTCATCTACCGCTGAACTCTGCCGGCGTGTAGGCTCGATGTCGGTAACGCATACGCATCGCTCAAATGTAAGTACTCTCGTTTTCTATTCTATATGTGGGTTGTAACGTTCCAACTAAGGCGTACCTAATACGATATCGTGTCTAGCTATAGGCACGACATCTAGGACTATCGTCTCGTGGTGCTATTGCATCGTTAGGGATAGTGGCATCGTTTCACTATCCACGTCGGGTAGGGATAAGCTATCGACGGCCATTAGCTTGTATCCGCCATTCTTTTTTCTCCGTGTTGCGATCCCGTGTCGTTGTACGAATTGGGCTAATATAAACGTTCCGTTGGCTCCGGAGTCGATCATTGCCATTGTTTCGTGTCCTTATATAATGCATTTGGTGCGTAGGACTGCTACTAAAGTCTGTTAAACATTCGTGTTGTTGAGTTCCCGTAATCTGTTCTTACCAACGGGCTCTCCTAGTTTTTTGTCTCTAGAGCTACTAGAAGCTCGGGGTCCTTAAGGCAGACTTCCCAACTAAGGGGTCCATCCTTAGGCTATAGTGTAATTCTTCCTCGTTCGATACTTGTCGATACTAGTCCTTTAGTCGATAATAACAGTTTACCGAAAATCTGTCCCTTCTACACTAGTAGTAGTAGGAGTCTGTAGGCTGTAGCGTGTAACCATTTGTATAACGCAGTCTTGCACTGCTGGATTATCTCTTATTCCGTAATAAGGTCGTTCTGCTAGTTTTCCTATATCGTGTAGATCTCGTCGAATCGCTGTGTAAGCACCTTAACGTGGTCTCGCATGTTCTTACTAATGTAGATCCCGTCTGGGGCGTAATATCCTCCAGATCCGTCGAACTTGCTTCCTATCGGGGGTATATCTCGTACATAGGTTTGCCCTCCTTCGAGGTTAATTTGTCGATAATTCCAAAATTCCCTCCGTAGGTTGTTAAGTAGCAAGTCAAAGTTGTTTCGATGTAGTCGTCGTTTCCCTTGCACCTTCGGGAAGACTTCCTCGTGTTGTCTAACTATTATAAGAATTATTCGTCTAATTGGTTCTAGTGCGTCGACACTAAAGTTAAGTGTTTCGTTATCGCTATTATTGTCGTCGTCGGTGTATTCGTATTCTAATAACTCGGGCGTGTTCTCGTGACCGTCCTTAGAGTCTAGTATAACAGGGGTTAGCGCGAAGCTTCCCTAATGGTACATCACGACTAGTTGTCTTAATTCTTCTTCGTCGTCGGATTCCTCCTCCTAAGGTTGTTGTGTTTCTTGTAGGGTTATATCCTCCTACCTAAGTAGAGGTAGAGACCTTCCTCGGGCGTAAATGCCGTCGTCTCTATCCTACTATAGTTGCCGTTATCGAACTAGCACTAGTTCGAACATAGGGGGCTAATACGTAGCACTATTAGATCCCTATAATTCCGTCGAATTGAACTCTCGACGAGGCTTACTCGGAAACTATCCTAAGTCTATCTTGCTCGAGTAGTAAGTCGTATAGGAGTCGTTGTAACATCCTATCTAGTGTAGTTGTTTATATTCGCTATCTAGGTCCTTTCCGATACTTTCTCCGATCTTTATTATCGTATCGCGGATAACGTAAATGTCGTCCGTAGAGACCGTTCCGAGTAGTTCGAGGAACTTGTTTTCCTATTTAATAATTTCGTCCTTACGATTAGGGTATCGTTTCCTTATTAAGCTTATCGTATTAGTAATTTCGGATTATATTTGTCGTATAGCATTGCTATTAGCTAATTCCTTATTAACGTGCATTCCTAACTAAATAACGTTAATAGCTTCCTAAATATGTTCGGCAAATAGATTACGTCGTTCTATAACGTTAATCTCTATAGCGTTAACCTCCCTAAGATCCGCCTTGTAGTTCTGCTATAGTTGTACCTTGCGGTTACGGCAGTCTCGTACGTAGTGTCCTTCCTTTCCGTACGAATAGCACTTTAGTCCTTACTTTTTACCCTAGGCGTAGTTCTTGCCCTTAGCTCCTGCTCTGTTGTTCTTACCTCCTCCAAATTTGCGTTAAGTAGCGTCGAGTTCTATAGCGTTAGGGTCGCGACGTTGCTATCCTCCGGTCCGGCCGTAGGGAGTATAGCTAGTTCGTCCGCGGTCCTAATTAGTATTACGTTTTTCTATGTATCGTTCGTAGAGCATATCGTCTACCTTAATTGCAGCCTCCTACAAGTATTCTAAGGTGTCTTAGCGTCCTCTGTATCTTATAAGCTCGTCCTTAACGTTGTCTTTAAGTCCTCGATAATATATAGATCTTAGTACATTGCCGTCCTATCTAGTACGAGTAGAAACCTCTTTAAACTTAGCGGTATACTAGGATACGGAGGCCTTTTGCGTAACGTGTTAGATGTTCCGGATAGCGACTTGCTAGTTATTGCTAAGTCTATAGATTCCCTTAACCTGTTTAGCGAACTCCGAGAAGTCGGCAAAGATCCCGTCTAGGTCTCTGTTCTCGAGTAGAACTATAGTTAATTTAGGACGTATCTAGCTTTAAGCTTCGCCCCGAAGGTAGGATGCTGCGATGCGGTAGCGTCGTTGTTTACTTATAATACCTTTAAGGGAGAAGTATAGCATAATCTAGTTTAACTAGTTATCGAGCTTATTACGATCCCTATAGAAGAAGTCCGGCTTAGCGGAATACTTTGTCCTGTCTTTATTAGTAGAGGCACTAGCTCGAGTAGTCGAAGCTATACTAACGTCCCTTTCGTTGTTAGGAGCTATTTGTTTACTTAGGGTACTTACCTACTATAAGGGTGTTCAAAATGTTATATACCTACGGTATAAGGGGGTTAGAGCTCGTTAGACGAGTAAGTTCTAAGCGATAGGTCGGGTAAGTAACTACTCTAAGGTTTAACCTTTTAGCGGGTTAGTAACTTAGGTTAAATACGAACTATCTATATAGGAAAGGGCTTATCTATATATATAGGAGATTCGTGTTCTAACTAGCTACTAGTCCGCTAGACTACTCGTCTAGTCGGATAGCTAGTTACGTGTCTGTCCAAGGTTTAGTAAAGTTAGCTAGTTACGTAATTCGCGGGTGCGCCCTTAGCGCTTCCCTTTAAGGCTAAAATGACTGGTCCTTATTCTCCCTCTCTGCACCCTATGTCACATGTTCGTAACACCCTCCGTCTTTGACACCGTCTCGACGGACTATCATGCAGGTATTGCGAGCATGCTAGGTTCATCATTTACACGGCGAATCATACCGCAAATCGATTCAGAGTAATGCAGGCCTTTCTCGGGCAAGAGGACAGGCTTGAATCGTGCACAGACTCGACACGAGGAACATGGAAGCCCGGCACTCGTATTGTCCACTTTATGCCCTCTATTGAGCACGAGGTATATTGGACAGACATGGAGCGCTTTCAAACACTCACGGCTGTTGGAGACCGGTATCGAATGCTACTCGGAACAGCCCTACAAGAAAGGACACACCCGGTGGCAGTTGAGTAGCTCAGAGCAGTATGGTTCATAACGGCACCAATGGAAATGGCGTCTGCCCTAGAGGGCTCCTAGACGGCAGACTTGCGGTCATCACAGGCTCATCTCGAGGTACTATCCCTTGCCACCATCAGTACAATCCGCTCATGTTCGTCAGGCATCGGAGCTGCAGTCGCCCACAACCTCGCCTCGAAGGGTTGTTCAGTTGTCATTCACTACAATTCTCCCAAATCTAGCAAAGATGCAATTGAATTGGCTGAAGCACTACGCACTAGCTATGGCGTTGACTGCATTGTATTGCAGGCAGATCTCAGCGCAGATGGTGGCCCGGAGGATTTCATCGCAGCCATCAAAGACCAATGGACCACATCGCACCCGTCCTTCCAGATTGATATCCTGATCAACAATGCGGGTATGGTGCACAACGCGATTCTAGGCGAGTGCAACTCCACAGACTTTTACAAAGTCTACCGGATCAACACCCTGGCACCACTATTGACGATGCAAGCGGTCATGCCGTTTCTGCCTAACGATCGGAGTGGCAGAGTTGTGAACGTATCCTCTGTGTCATCAACTACGGGATTTGTGGATCAGAGTATATATGGTGGCTCGAAAGCTGCTCTTGAAGCCTGCACAAAGTCTTGGGCTCGTCAGCTCGCCGAGCGATGTACAGTCAATGCGGTCAATCCTGGTGAGCAATTATACTTGATACTTCAAGCAGCTTCCTGACTCGATATAGGACCTGTCAAGACCGAAATGTGGGGTGGTCTGACAGAGAAGTTCGTGGAAGACATGAGGCCTTACATCCACCTTACTCCACTTATGGCAGTGCAAGACACTGATAGTGATGAGGCCAAGGCGGAGGCGAAATTACTGGGCGGCGTGCCAGCCGAAGCTGATAAGATCGCGGGCATCATTGGGATGTTGTGCTCCGCGGAAAGTGCTTGGTGTACTGGCCAGGTGATCTGTGCAAATGGCGGTATGAGGATGAGTGAGTGAGGTTTCGGCTAGGTGCTTTACCACCCCAGAGCGTATGATGATAAGCATAAGTCGAAACAACCCCACAGTCACCGTAACGCGACCAAGTCAGCCATAAGAGCAGGACAGACGACGGCTACACATCATTGGGTGGCTATCGGCACGTCATCCCGATAACAGTCTGCCATACCCGTCTACCGGATGTGGAGTAGCTATCGAGTCATTGTTCACGACTTGGCATTCATGGAGGGCTCGATACGAGAGCAGCACTACTCCGCACAGCACAAGGCGGCAGGCACGGGATGGTGCGGGCCTGCGACGAGTGCCATAAGGAGCACGATATATATACGTTTGCGGAGTGCCCCATGGGGTTTACTGCATGATTACATCGAGCCAAACAGCAGATCAGAACGCTATGACAGTCAACCAGATGGATGCATCCGTCAAGGCCGACCCAACAGTCCATCTTGAGAAGGGATCACAGTCTGAGGACTCTTCTGACCATGGCTTGCCGTCAGATGAAAAGACTGATGGCAAGATCCCCCGAGTTGAGAGCACGGCTGAGACAGATGCTTTCATCGACCTCATGAACGCCCAGCTTGCGCCTGTGGAGAAGAGATCGTCTATCTTTCGACCTACTTTCAAGGATCCGCGCTACTTTACTTGGACTATGGTCTTGTTCGCTTCGATGGACGGCTTACTGTTCGGCCTCGACCAGTCGTACGTCTTGCTCTCGATCGAATGGTAAGACGGTCTACTGAACTCCCTCTGCCACAGATCAATATCGGGCGCCAATCTCACGTTGCCATATGATCTTGGCTTTACCGTAAGACAGCAAAGTCTCGTAAACGGTTTGATGCCTGCTGGAGCCGTCGTCGGCGCACTTCTACTGTCGCCCGTAAATGAATACTTTGGCAGGCGAGGAGCCATCATCCTTTCCACTATCCTATACACCATTGGCGCGGCACTCGAAGCTGGAGCAATGGACTATGCCATGATGTTGTCCGGACGACTTGTACTCGGATTGGGCATTGGCATCGAGACAGGTTCGATACAACAATTAGGCTGTCTGGCAAACCATACTGACACTCTCAGGTACCGTGCCTGTGTACGTTGCTGAAACGGTGGAGAGGCGCTTCCGAGGCAATCTGGTATCGTTGTATCAATTCAATATTGCTCTAGGTGAGGTATTTGGCTTTGTTGTGGCTGCCATCTTCATTAGAGTCAAAGGCAATTGGCGGTACATCCTCGGATCCTCAATCGTCTTCTCAGTTATCATGTTTACTGGGTATGACCACTGTACCCACCAAAGTGCCCGCACAAATTACTGACTAGAACTAGTATGCTATTTCTCCCGGAATCACCAAGATACCTAGCACACTCTGGGAAGACCTTGGAAGCCTTCGCAGTCTGGAAGCGTATCCGAGGCCTCAACGATCCTGCTTCTCGCGCTGAATTCCACATCATGGTCTTGAGTGTTGAAGAGCGAGAGCGAGAGAAGGCGAATAAGACTGGTGGCAATCACTTCGCATGGTTGGATCTCTTCCGGTGCGTGCATGATGCCGTGCTGCGGCCGAATATGATATACTGTTTCGGCACACCTTACTGATAATCGACAGGGTCCCTCGTGCTCGCCGAGCATTCGTCTACGCCAACACTATGATGCTGCTTGGCCAATTCGTCGGAATCAACGGCATAATGTACTACATGAGTGTGTTAATGACGCAGATTGGATTCGATCCTGTTACCGCCGTCTACATGTCCATGGTAGGCGGAGGGTCACTATGGCTCGGAACTATACCTGGAATTCTGTACATGGAGAAGTTTGGTCGCCGCTTCTGGGCAAGTAGCGCCGAAAAGATAGCGTTGCGACTACATGCGACTGACTTGGGCGATCATACAGGCGAATACCATGCTCCCTGGATTCTTTATCGGCCTCGTCTTGATCGGCGTCAGCTACACTCTTGACCTTGTCACCCAGCAGACAGCGACCGTAGGCCTATATATTACGGGCTTGATCCTATACATGGGTTTTTATGGTACTTACGCCTGCCTCACCTGGGTCATCCCGTCTGAGGTGTATCCTACATATCTTCGCAGCTATGGCATGACCAGCTCAACCGCGATGATAAACTTGGTTGGCGTTGTCAAGCACCGTGGGTACGATCAATTGCTGACTCTAATTCCTCTAGGGCAACTTCGTCATCTCCTACAACTTCACCGGCATGCAAGAGGCCATGACCAAGCCCGGTCTCACACTCGGTTTCTTCGGCGGCATCGCAGTAATTGGCTGGTTCTATCAGATGATCTTCAGTAAGCATTGACCCTCACATTTGAGCGCATGAGACCCAGACTGATTACATTCAGTGCCCGAGACGAAGAACTTGACATTGGGGGAAATCGACATTGTGTTCTCGAAGCCTACCAAGCGGTTGGCTCAGGAGAATATCAGCAATGTGACCAAAGCCGCTTCTCAGATCGCTCACTTCCGGTTCAAAGAATTATTTGCTGATGTTACTAAGGAGCGGGTCGAGCTAGACCGGGAGGTCTTTGGCCACTAGGAGGAGCATCAAATTTTGTTGCAATGGACTGGCCTGAATGATAGCCTGTGCGACTAATCTAGGTTGCGATTTCAAGTGCTCGTCGATCTTCTGGTAGCCAGAGGTGATGTGCGTCGTCTAGTATATCCAATAGCAAAGCCAACATCCCAGTTGAAACATCACATTGATGTATTATTCCAGCAGTAGTGTCTTTGCGGTGCTGATCCACCGGGCGCTGGGGTACCTTGGACACTCTAGGTGCGCCCTAGCAATCGCTAGGTAGCTCCATCCAATCACCGGAGCTTCCACGACCGTTTCAAGGTTGTAGTATTGAATCGGAAGCAACGGCTGAGAGCCAAGAGACAAGGGATGGTACCGAAACGAGGACACATGCTTTCACTGTGTCTGCGGAGTACACTCTTCAATGGATCCAGGATACCGGTCAGATATGCAGAAGTCGCTGAGAGTAACGATCCAAAACACTACTGTCATGTTCCTAACCACATGCTAGGCTTGACTATCACCATGTCGTCCGTCTTCATGAATAAGATAGCAATCGCTACTCGAAGTAGCAATAGGAGTCGAGTCTTCGGGCAGAAGGCGAGAACGATAATGTCCTTTACGCTCAACACAGGCGCAAAGATACCTGCCATAGGGTTCGGCACTTTCCAAGACCCAGATGCCCAAGAAGATGCAGTATGCCAAGCACTTCAAAAAGGACTACGTCTCATCGATACTGCCAGAGTTTATGATGTCGAGAAGCAAGTCGGGAGAGGTGTGAAGAAAACCGGGTACGTAGGAGGAATGAATTCGCCGTCGAAGGCAGTACAGGCGAGAGACTTACTTCCGTTTGTAGTGTCAAGAGAGAAGATATCTTCATAGCAACGAAGCTATGGTGCAACGACTACCATCCCGAAACTGTCTCCCGAGCGCTTGAAGATTCTCTGAGCGACCTGGACACGCCTTATGTAGATCTATTGCTCATGCATTATCCATGCACTTTTGCCAGCGGCGCCGACCGATTCCCGCGAGACGCCAGTGGCAAGATGATTCATGGTAAGACTGATTATGTCGATACATGGCGAGCGCTGGAGAGACTCGTTGGCGAAGGCAGGGTACGAGCGATTGGCGTCTCAAACTTCAGCAAAGGCGAGGTGCAACGACTTCTCGATGAGACTTCTGTCGTTAGTCACAGTACGTTTGAGTCGAGTGTCGTTGCCGTGCTGATTCTACAGGAAAGATCCCAGCCGTACACCAGATGGAAGTCCACCCCTACCTCCAGCAACAAACCTTCAGCGACTGGCATCGGAGATTGGGAATCCATATCATCCAATTCAGTCCTTTGGGAAACATGAACGACTTCTACCGCCAAACTGGCTGGAGCAAGGAGATCTCGCACATGATGCGGGTCATCGATCAGCCCGTGCTGAAGTCCATTGGCGAGAAGTACGGTAAGAGTCCTGTCCAAGTCGTGCTCGCTTGGGGCGTGAACCATGGACGGTCCGTTATCCCGAAAAGTGTTGTCGATTGGCAGATCGATGAGAATGTTGCTGCAGATTTCGAGTTGGAGAGGGAGGACATGGAGATAATCTCGGAGTTGGACGCGAAGGCCAGATGTGTGTACCGTGATATACAGGGTGCAGTGTGTCTACTAATGTAATTGTAGTCAATGACCCGAGTCTGGATTATGGATGGCGATTGTACAGTGATCTGGAAGGAACGGAGGGCAGTCGTAGCGGTGCGACCCATTGATTGCAGGCCGGTGGGCGGAATACAGGAGAACGAGGGCCTTTCCAGGGTGAAGATCGGGAGCAGCGAGCTGCAGGCAATGCCAAGGTCACAACCACGTGCCGGGAGTAATGTACACGTGGTTTGGCGGGCGGTGGAGTTCAAGTTTGCCGAACTCCGAGCTCCGCAATGTAGAAGCTCAAGCATGCCACATGCTTGCAGCCGATATCTGTAGTAATACAGTACGCTCAAGGACGCTTCAGCTCACTCTCATACAATCATCGCATCGTATACACAGACGCCATGTCACCAACGCTCTCATCATACTTGCCGCCCAACGACGGCTTCCTGCCGTACTGGCTGCTCTTCGTACGTCGTGGACACGACGCCTGAGCCGCGTCAAAATTTGTGCTTACTATACGTCAGGTCTCAATCGTCTCCATAGGCAACAGTGCACAAGCCTACCTCTCCCTCGCTGGCACCCGCGAAGTCTACGCCGGCCCGGCTCAAAGCATACCTAGCGGCATCCCCGCCAGCACAATCAGCAAGACGAAGCAGAACAACTCCCCAGTCACCGATCTCTCGGCACGCACCTTCGGGACATGGACTGCCCTGAGCAGTATCATCCGTTTGTACGCCGCCTACAACATCCATGATCCTCTCATATACCAGCTTGGCTTGTGGACATATGCCATAGCCTTCGCCCACTTCACCAGCGAATGGTTAGTCTTTGGCACAGCGCGATGGGGTAGGGGACTGGCTGGACCGATCTTTATTGCAACTGGGACATTGACTTGGATGTTGACTCAGTGCAATTACTATGTGCGATGATGAACTCAAGCAATGCTAAGAAACCTCCACCCGCTTCACCTCCATCATTGCCACGCCCATTGGTTTCTCACGTTCAAGTCATCACAACCTACAGACCCTTCACGGCAACAGCTGATAAAACTTCGGCCTGACCTTTCGCCTGTTCTCAATCTTATTGTCGAGCTTCGCGCCCAAGATAGCTGCCGCCTGACAGCCCTCCTGGCCCACCATTCTCAACAAATTCAGGCTCCGATTCCTTCTGGCCAACTGATCCACACTTGCAATCAATGACTTATCGGTATGTTCACCGCAGAAGGCATAAAGAATGTCTCGCATAATCAACAGCTGCTCGTATCCGAAATCACCAAACCATCCATCCAGATAGCCGCAAAGGCTGTCAAAATAGCCGTAGCGTATCAGCTTGTCTACAATCGTTTCAACACCGCTGCCTCTCTCTCTCTCTCGTCAGCCACAGAGCCCGGCAGAGACTTGTTGTTCTCAAGTCGATTGACAACCCACATCAACCGCCTGAAAGCTGGCTCAATCTCGTCCTCAAGTCGCCAACTCCTGATCTGGAATCGTGGGCGTAGTCTTTCATGTCGAGTCGGCAGGCGACACGCGTCGACCCCGAAGCTATGTTGACTTTCTTCATACCAGCGCGACAACCTTTCGAGCTCTGTTTTGCCTTCGGCCAGACGGCGCAGGTGGTTGAGAGTAGAGGTGGTGCAGGCCTTGTTGCTTTTCATTTCGCCTTCGGCTACGATGGGATCTTCCGGTATCGCTTGCACGAGACGGAGGCCTAGGATACTATTGAAGAGCGCGTAGGCGGGTTGGTAGATGTTGGTGAGGCTGTATAGGTCGCGAGGAGAGTTGACGGCGATGCGCTCCATTATTGAGAGGGTGAGCTCGTTGGGCAACTTGTAGAAGTGGCAAGGTGGTTTGGGCGGCATTCTGGTAACTGATGTGGTGAGTGAGAGAGGCATGGTGTCCGGTTATTGTGTCTCGAAATCGGCTTGGTTCAAGACAAGATGGGACTGCAAGAACTGTGCGGCTGCAAATAGGAGGTTTGGGTCGCTGAGTCATGGGTGAGCAGCGTATTTGAGCTTCTTGCAACGTAGGAGCTAGTGCGAGGATATTGTCCTCACTCGTTCGAGGAAACAGCTTGGACCGAACGGGCCCGACGAGAGGTAAGCATTTTCATGGCTGGTTTGGTGATATCCTCGACAAAGATGAGCTCGACACAAACACTCCAAGACAACTGTGCATCATTTCCATACCTTGGCCGGCTAGATGGACAGCCTACCTACTTATGGCAGCCAGCAGTCATCCCACCAGCCTTCTTCGCAATAGTATATCATGGCCTTGCTTGATACGTTCAAGCAGTAGGCGGCGAAGATAACACCTTCGACTCCCGGTTCGCTCCGAGCTGCCACTGCTGGCGTCTGCACAGTTTGCGCATCAACAACCAACATGCGGCAGAGACAAATCAACCTCTTCCGGTGATACTTAGCGCTCCGCAAATGGGATGGTTACCTATAGCTATGGGAGTGGTTGGTGCGGGCATGGTACGGCATTTCGGCGCGAGAGTCATATCGCTTTAATTACCTGGCATTCTCGTTGCCGCAAAGTGTGTAGTGTTCATGCGGAAAGTAAGGTGTTGAATTTAGGCATAAAATCTAGCTATCCGTAATTTGTACAGCCAGCAGTAGTGACCGCGAACGGCCCTTGGGGTGAAGAAGCAAAGTCTTAAGTAGCCTTCTTTGCAAACTCCACCTTCAAGATCAGATGACCAAAACCATACCCATCCACCTTTTCGCACGCCCTCGACGCGTCGCTGCGGTCAGCATATGACACGAAAGCGAAACCCTTAGCTCTGCCCGTCTCCCTGTCCTTGGCCAAGAAAACACGAGTAACGCGACCGTGGCGCTCAAAGATTTCGCGGAGGTCGGACTCTTCAGCAAACTCGGAGACCTGGCAATATCGTCAGTAAGACTGAATTCAAAAGCTGTAGGGACCAAGAAACTCACGTTAGTGACACGCAACGTAGCCAGATCATCCCGCTCGTATTTCCCACCCATCCTCTCGCCACCACCAGCCCCAGCAGCACCCTTGCGCAGATGTGGCGGTACATAGTTGCTACCTCCTGCACCCGCCCCAGCCGCACCAGCAGTATCATCAGCATCCTCACCCAAATCCGCCGCGGCGCCTCCTTCAGCGCCCTCAGGCGCCATGGTATCTTTGAAAGGACACTTGGTCGTGAAGTGGTCACCACTGCAGATACGACATTTGATCTGCATCTTCTTCAGCTGCTCCGCCTTGCGATCCTCCTCGGGCGCTTTCTCCTGCACTTGACCGCTCTTGTAGCCCATCACGGGGCGGAAGATTATGTTCTCACCAAGGGTCGTGGTATCTGGTCGCGGACCGGCGGGTTTGCCTGCCTCGGGCCCGATCTTGGCCCATTGTCGTCGCTCTGCCACACGAGGATTCTCCTTCTTCTTGACTACTGTGCGGCGGATACGTTGAGTGCGCTTTACGCGTTTCCCATCCTCGTTCAAGAAGACAGTAATTATTGTCTCTGTGCCATCCTTGTTCTTGGTGATTTGTGGTGGTGGGATGGCGGTCGCCAAGTCTTCGGTATCATCCTCTGCCCAGTCTGTTCGGCCAGGGATGTTCTGCACGTTCGCCGCCATGGTGGTGAGGTAATGTTGTGACTTCCTGTCTGGGAGGCGAAGGATGTCCGGAATATCGGAGTGAAGTCGTTGTCTTCGATAGATCCAACGGTTCTAGTGTCGTTCCAAATTTGCATCACGCACATACTGGTGGCGTGGCGCGAGGTGACTCCACCGTCGGAGCGGCGCGGGCCGGGCCTGTGGCGTTCGTCGGGCTTCGAACTATCATCGTCTCGACATACAGATATTCACTAATCCATTTTACGATAATATTAGCAATCCTCCCTCAAATTCTGGACTGTTATGGGAGACGATACCAAGCTTCATAATAGGCAAGAGTAAGATGCTTGTGGAAGCTCGGAATGCTGCTGCCCAAGTCAGGAGATCGCCCACAGCCAGGAAACTTCACCCGCTTCGGCATCAGAGAACTTTGTAGATCGCCACCACATCAGTACAGTAAAGACAAATCCGACCTCGAGTGACTAGATCGGGTAGCAAGACCGACTTGTCTCCGTGCGTTGCATCGGTTCGAAAGATCCTCATGATTCCTGCCCTTCTGGCTCATCAAATCACTGGTTCAGACTGTGCACAGCATGCACATCATTACCACTCTGTTGGTATATGATACGTACAACCGGTAGATATCCGGTGCGGAGCTACCAACAGCTTGGGTTGCGATATCTCCTGCATCTCTATACGGTGCGTCGACACGGCTTGCCAGGCGCCTCGATGCACTCTTTCGACTGCCACTTTGCTTTGTACTATACTGTTGGTATTGGGCATATCGCCGCCCAGTCATTGACAGCGCTGATCACCTACGGCCAAAAGATGCAGCTGGCCCTTGGCTCTACTATCGTGACCTACTGCGAGTTCGTGCGTAGCAATCTGCAGAACAAGGCTGGCGTTCCAATATATGGCTGATAAGTACACTGGATCTAGTAGAGGTCGCACCAGCATCATATCTGCCCGGTCGTTGTGGCTGCCGCTATTTCAATATACATGCTCGCCCTGTACAAGTTCATATTTGAAAGCAACAATACGGTGGGATGTAGCTCTGCATCAAGAGCATATGAGGCTCCTGCAGGCAGTTCTCTGCCATCGTGAGATATAGAATGGTCAATAGCCCAGAGTAGTGTACTGGATTTGGCCGAAGACAGGCCTTCAACGACTCAGAGTTGACTACATGCAGGCTGCTCCCGGGAGTCTCAATCCCTGTGACGACCCTGTTCGTGATAAGAAACAGACTGTGCATTCGGGTATGTCCTGCGACTAGTTGTACAAAGAAACATTAGAACATCGTGGGTGCCCAGCTGAATTGAAGCGAAAGCGACGCACTGATATCGCTGCCATGGCATTCTGATTCGCGCTCTTGCTCAGGGCAGCATCCATGCACTCGGGGCACTTCTGCTCTGGGCCAACACCATCCGCATCCAGCGGCTTATGCGTACCTCAAGACAGGCTCTCGTCAACATGCCTGTTCTTCCAAGAAACGTGCGATATTTCTCCGTCGGACCGCAGCGCCTAGGTCGTGCATCTGGACATGGGTTTAGATGCTAGGTTGCAGCATGTTCGCTGACCCATGCTCCGGCTCTTAGGAGCCGTGCTTACAGCGTCCGAACCGACGTGTAGGCTACTCGTTGTCTCAACGGCTATACCACTCCGGTTCGCCTGTACTCCGCAGGCCACGGTGCGCTCCGCACAGGGTGGTGACAACGTTCCGTGCTACCGGACCTCCCAGCTCACTGGCCATGCATCGGCGACGAGCCGGTCTTGCGCATGTCGCCGAAGCTCAGATCATGAACGGAGCAAGTGGGGGGAAAGCATGCTGTTGTATGGCAGCTCGACATGTGTATTCAATGTCTCGTCCTACATAGTCGACAGCTTATCAAATCATTGTGACGGGCGGTAGTTCCTCCGTGTGTCGAGGCGGTCTAGGCATGACTTCGAAAATTCCATGCAGGAACCAGCGTTCATGCAGTAGCAGGTCTCATGCTCCGCTGGCATTTGGTGGTTGGAGCTGAATTAGTCCGCGAGCTTCCAGAAAGTAATTATTGCCAATGGATACTGATGTTGCCCTTCCCATCAGGAGCAGCCGTGGACATGGGCGGAGTCCAGATGCCAAGCGCACGATGGACTGTCAGTGCTCATTAGTAAAAGCAGTAGTGTGTCTTACCTTGTCAGGCAGCTGGACATGCTGATGATAAATTTCAGCGCGTGATCATCGAGTTGTTGTTGTTGTTGACGCTTCGCCAGTGCTGATCACCTTGTCAACGATCATTGCCGGACGCAAGTATCTGATAGAGAGTTTCTTCGCTACCAAGCGGAGTTTGCCTTTCGCCCCTCTTTAATAACCTCATCTGCGGCTTTTCTGCTGGGGATTGGATTCGTTGACCCCTACACCGGGCAATGATCATTACGGCACTTGAAGGAAAGTCAAACGCAGCCATCACGAAATTCTGAAATGCATGGGTGCTGTCATGCGAAGTAGAAACACCTTTGCAGCGCCCGGATATACGGAACTGGCCCCATGTCATAGCCCAGAGTACACCAATAGCTATCTGACCTCATTGCGACGCAGCTGACAAACTTCTTAGGGCTCCAACAAGCTCTTTTCCCTTTGCGAAGTCGTCGATGGACGTATGAAGTCCACAAGCCTGAGGATCGGCATGTGGCCCAGGATCATCGACAAGACCGTTTGCTCATCTCTGCCCATTGGGCGAAACCCTGCCAATCATAGCGGCTGTCATGGCGCGAGACATGCATATGCCATGTGCTGACAATCATTACGCAAAACGGTAATCTCGCCGTGTTGTCTTCAACCTTCTACTGCATTGCATGCGCCTCTGAAGTGCCCATAGAGTTCTAAGTTGCGCTGTTAGCAGAAACTACGTCTTTTGCTGCCCAAACGAGTGCGGATTGTCAGCACGCGTTATTCGGAAGGTGATCTTGCTCTCGGCGTGTTAATGCTTTAATGTATCGACTCCGCCAGGCCATGATGGCAATGTCAACGTCTGCTCCGGCCAGGTCGAGGTTTAGTCCTCAATCCGGTGTTGAATCGTGCTCTGCCCAGGCATCCCATGCAACGCCGTATTTTTCGCAGCTCACGTTGAGCGAGGGAGCGCGCCTCGGTGATTCATGCTACTTTCCCCTCCTCAAGTTTTTATGGCTCGGTAGCGAGTCATCACATTGCAGAGAGCACGAGGCTGAAGGTTGCGCATCACTGCCAGTGCCACAAGGAACTTGCTTGCTTACCACGTTTACACTACCGAGACAGCGGCACCGGACGTTATAGCTCAGGCCACCAAACGCCTCTTCTCCACGAGGCATGAATGCCGCCAGCCGCAGCCAGTGTCATGCTGCATGCAGGAGAGATATGCAAGCTGGGTCGTTTGGTGGAAACGTTAACGTCCACAACTCGTATTTTTGCGACAATGGCCCTCGATGCCACATGATTAGCAGAATTCAGAGAAACGTTGCATCGATGAGTGCGGCGAACAGTGCTGACTAGAACCGAAAGAAAATGAGAAGAGAGACACATGCGGAACGGGAATCCACGGTACGAGAGAACTTCCTGCGCCAACGTGAAAATGATGATTAGAGTGAGGCCAAAGCGCCCACATTACGCCAGAATCAGGTTCGGTCCCGATAGCAGACCGAATTAAATTAGCTTGGCAGATTCTTTTGGTATCTCCCTGTCGACGGAAGTGTGAAACGTATAATATATTGCTCTATCATTACAGGTGGACACCAGTGCACCACCCCACCAAAGTCAGCCGTGAGATCCATTATTAGGCTCGGTCGGTGGACATTAGCAAGTCTACTGGCGACGCTGGTTCGAAGGAGGAAGGTAGCGCAAGCTACGGCAAATGAGACTGACTGGTAATGCCCGACCAATACTCCTGTTGGCTCACATATTTCCGATGCTAGAATCCAGACGGCCCTCACTTACGGCTCAGGGAGACTAGCGCGCTTTCTCCCTCTAGCCCCACACGTACCGGCACACATGGATCGTCGACGCAGGCATTGGCGTTCGAACCAGTGCCCGCGACCTGCAGATCTCGTAGTGAGGCAGTCGCTGAAACATGAAGATACGTCTGCATGTGGGCAGCCACATGCTTCCGAATGGCGCTAGATCGGACGCAGATCTACAGCGTGCAGGTTTGAAGGTCGACTAGGCTTGCCGTTCAGGTGTGACCATCTGCAGTAATCGACGAGACGCTTTGGCGGCGGTCTCACATCCATTAAAGACGTGCCGCGAATATGCTGCTTTCGTGATAAGGGTGACCCTGACGAGCTAGGCACAGTCTCCCGCGAACACCAACCCAGCGTCGATCGTCGTTCCAGCAGCAATTAGGCAACGAGTCCGATTGATTACCGTTCGCAGACCTGCTGCTCTCCTGCACGCACCTGCAGCTCGGCCTCGACTCCACGGGCCGGCACTGCTACGACAGAACCTGACTACGTTGCCACGGATTGGGCCGAGCTGTTCGATCGATACTGTGATCTTATAGAACAAAGTCTCGACATCCGGCCGCTGTGCCTCTCGTACTCGGCATCTATCCTGGTCCTGCTGTGCGTCTACAGTTGCAGTCTTACCTCTCACGTTTCAGTGTCAGGCCGTATCACCATCGACTCCCCGAATGTTCACGCCTACATACTTTTGATCAACAGATTCGCGCCACCACTGCTGACATTCGAGTATCTGGAAGCGGCACGCGCCCTTCCCGACGTCAGAAGGTTGCCGGGGTCGTGAGTACGTTTAGGGCGATATAGACCCCTCCATTACTATCGACTACCATCAACGGCGCAAGCTACACAACGTCTTCACTACCTGCGGATCTCAATGGTATTATATGCTCCATTATCCGTCCTCACGATAGAGCAATCGATCGCGAACGGGCTCCTACGGGCCGAGAATTGCCAATATATCGAAACAATACTTTCGGAAAGCCACCAACCATGGACGGACATTATCCACCTCCAGTACCACCTTTGGGTGCATTCTACTCAACTGGGCCACCACCTATGTATCCTCCAGAGCCATATCCGCCTGGCTTGCATCAGCTGCAGACAATGTCTTTGGAAAGTCTGGGAAGCTACCCTGACTACGATGACCCCAACCTAGCCATGCTGCCTCCAGGTCATGTACAAGGTCAGCAGCGGCAACGAAGAAGGCAACCGCAGAGCTCTGAGCATGTGAAGCATCGGCGAACAAGGAGCGGTTGCTACACTTGTCGACAACGTCGGGTAAAGGTAGGATGTTCGCGACCATCATGACGGTAGCCTGTACTAACCTTGCATGTCTAGTGTGACGAGACTCGACCCATCTGTGATCGTAGGTAACCTTCAATCGGCACTATGTCTAGCCATCTACTGACAAGGCTATACAGGCTGTCGGAAGGGCAAACGAGACTGTGCCTATCCTGGCTCATCATCTCCAACCACATCAGGTTCCAAGTCTTCGCATTCTAGCAAGAAAGCTAAAGACGACGGCGCATCAAGTGGATCTGACGAGGACTATGAGGAGGAGTCCAAGAGCCCGTTACACACCATCCTGGATGACGAAGACGCGCTTGATGATAGCGAGTCACCTTCAGGTGTCTCGGACGCGCGCAAACAGTCCAGTGCTTCAACAGCTTCTTCGAGCCAGCAGCTTTCGCCCAGTATCGAGCGCGTACCGGGCTCATCGACCAGGCCAAAGGCCTCACGAACGACTACGAAGCATACAGTGAAGCCAAGCATAACGCAGAACAGTCGATGGGCAAGCCTACCCAAAGAAATCAAAGCATACCTGCGGTACCATCATGAAAGCTTATCGCATCACCACTACGGCTTCAAGTACGACGCTGGCGACTTCCTCAAGTCAACGTTCTTGGAAATCGCCATGAATGATGAAAGCTGGGCGCTACTCCACGGCATCGTCGCGTTCGCGGCATACCATCACGCAGTCCACAACAAGGAGCCCGCGATTTCGAGGTTCCTGATGTACTACAACCAATCCATCAATCTGTTACAGCAATCATTGAAGAAGAAACGTCACAATATCGCGACACTGTTAACAATCCTGCAACTTGCGACTATCGAAGTATGGCCATGTTCTCACATGTATCACAGTATCTTAGCCTTACTGACAGACGAACAGGAGTTTTTGGGGGATTGGAACAACCTTCTCGGCCATCAACGAGCAGCGCATCAACTATTGATGGATCTATTCACTCCTCAGACCATCATGCAAGACGAAACGCGTCGAAGGATCATCGCCTGGTATATCCGCTTCGATCTATTCGCAGGTCTCTTGGCTGGCAATGAAACGAACCTTGATCGTGCTTGGTTCGCCGTATGTGCCGATTTCTACGATCTCCAAGCCCGTGAGCGTCCATCTGACCTTGGTGCGAAGTTCGAGGGCTTCTTCTCTACAGCACGGTTGTTGGCGACTGACGTGACGCTGCTTTTTGCGGCGAGGCACCGGGATAGCATCAGCGACGAGGACTTTGACAAGCGGGTCTCTGATCTGACCCGACAGTTCGACGAGTTCAGGACAACGTTGAAGAATGCTTTCGAGGGGCCGTCTAGCTATGTCCAGGAATTTCCGCTCGCACCTCCTCCGAGTGCAGACGACCTCACTAACTTCCGTGATCCATACTTCCTCTATGGTGGGGATCTTTTCACCATGAATTATGTCTTGATCGACTTTTGGGCTATCGATCTTCACTTTAAGATGAGCCTTGCTAGCATCCGGCGCCAATCACCTCCCCCGGACCTCAGAGAGATTGCTTTGAAGAAATGCAAGATGTTTGAAGCCATACAATATTATGACAAAGGTCCTGCTGGAGGTATCATCGGGTGCCAGGCTAGTCTGGGGATTGCCAGTCTGTGCTTGCCGCACGACAAGAAGCACATTGATTGGTGTCGGCAGAAGTTTGCGCTGATCGAACAGAATGGGTATGCAGTAAAGCAGGTTGCCAGTATGCTAGGATGTGCTCACTGACGTGTGGATTAGATACATCTACCCTTCTGCGCTTCGACAACGCATGACCGGCATCTGGGGCGTGGACGTAAACCACTGGTGGCTGGCCAACGAGGAAGGCTTCCCACAAGTCGTCCGTGCCATTCGTGATTTCGTCGAATACAGGGCGTCAATGCCTCAAGATGCTGCAGCAGCCGATGTTCGAGATATGAGTGGCATCTTCCGAACGCTGAACATGTCGGATGATGGAGGTCTCCCCGAGGATCTCAAAGGATTCACAACCGATTTTGACACCCTTGGATCTGCTATGCAATGGGACGAGAGCAGCCCTGAGCAGCAATGGCCATAGTTCATTCCAACAGCATTCGACGTTTGGCTATGAGCGGATGACCCCGGTTGAGCATGGCCCGGTCCTCCTCGTCTTGACTTCGCGTCCGTCTACACCTGCCTCCCGCTCGAAGGTTGACATCGAGGCACTACGCTGTGCCACAAGCAACCCGGAAGTATAACACAAACGCTTCAAAGATTGACGCAGCCGGGTTTAATGGATCTTATGGCAGTCAGCTTGTAGGCTGATTTGTTTGCATTCTACATGCGGCGTCGAGCCTCGCGCCTGAGGACAAACGACAACGGTCAGTGCCTGCGGCGAAACACCAAGATCGCTTTACCTCTTTACCACAGCGCGAGCCTCGCAAAGGTGACCACATCGCTAACCCCATTCACTGCGGCATTTAGCTTCGATATCCACTCTTCACACATGCAACTCTATAACATTAGACTTTTACGGTCAAGAACGATAACCATAGCTCGACTCCTCCATGACGAGCCTATTCTGCAGTCTCCGCATAATGTCTCACTATGAAGCAGACTCCAATTCCACTCATGTAATAATTCTTCCGCCTACGACATTGCTTCAGCCCGAGTTCTCGTTCACCGTACCGTTGTGGGCTGCAGCTAGGCTATCAAGGAACCTGGTCGATGTAAGCCACAAATTTCCATGATGTCGTTCATTGCAGATGGCTTGAGAATCATTGAGTGATGGCCGACTTTGCGAGAAATGCAGCTTTTGGTGGCTGGCTGGTGCAGCCGGGCAGATGATCTTTGGCATAGCTGTTGATGCCATCATGTCAAGAGAATGAGCATAATTGATGCAGTGGTCCATAATGGCGACCATGTTGAGTTTACGATGATTCTGAAGAGTCTAAGGACCGTCGATTTGACATGGAATGGTTTCGCGTCTATCCAATACAAGTACAAAGCCACTCTACGGCTCGTCAACAACCTGTGTCGTCCTGCCCGTCTCTCCCTCAGCAACACTCAATGCCTCAAACCCCTCGCTTGTCAACCTGACCGCTCCCGCCCTCACGAGTGCCTGACTCAAGTCATCGACCAAATCCGTCAGGTCCTCGATACCTACACACAACCTGATGATATCCTCTGGCAGCGCTCTCTCTTTCCTCGTAGCTGGGTCGATACTCGCGTGGCTCATGCGGCAGGGCATGCTGATTAGACTGTTGACGCAGCCGAAAGAGACTGAGATGCCGAAAAGTTTCGTGCTTTCGACTATGCGCTCGGAAAGATTGATCGAGCCAGTCTCGAAGGACAGTACGGCTCCAGCGCCACGGGCTTGAGACCAGTGCAGTGCATATTGAGAATGGGACTTCAGACCTGGGTAGCGGACTTTGAAACCGTGGTTCTCAAGAAATTCTGCAATTGCCATAGCGTTAGCTTGCTGCTTCTCCATGCGCACAGCCAGGGTCTTGACTCCGCGGAGCAGAAGCCAGGAGTCGAAGGGTGCAAGCCCGCAGCCAGTTGAGTTGATCATGAAGTAAAACTTGTCTCCCAGGCTCGCACTGTTCACGCCGATGATGCCGGCCATGACATCGTGATGTCCAGACAGGTATTTCGTGCCACTCTCGTATGTCACGTCCGCACCAAGGTCCAGAGGGTTCTGTAGGTAAGGAGACATCATGGTGTTGTCTACTGCTACATAGCAGTCTGTGTTGGCCTCGTGGGCGGCGGAACTAATACCAGATATATCCACGATCTTTATCAGAGGATTGGTAGGTGTTTCGAGCAGCACCATGGTGGTCTTGCTGCTCAACGCTGCCTTGACCACGTCCAGCTTCGTGGTATCCACGTGCTTGACATTGATGCCTCCGTTCTCTTTCAAATACGTCAACAGCCTGTTGGTGCCGCCGTAGAGATCGTCGCCCGTCACGACCTCGTCACCGGGCTTGAGGATGCGAGTAATGACATCGCAAGCACCCATTCCCGAGCTCACGACCAACGCCCGATTGGCATTCATAATCTTGGCCATGTGCCTCTCCAAATGCGTACGCGTAGGGTTCCCACTACGCGAGTAATCATATTCCTGTCCTGGACCACCTTTGAAAGTGGCGCTCTGATAGATGGGCATGCTAGAGCTGTTGTACTGGTCACCGCTCTCCGTGTACACCAGCTCGGTGGCGAGAGCATATTTACGGCCATTGCTTGGGCTCGACGGAGCGGGCGATGGAGGCAGGTCGTGACCGTCCAGGTCGAGATGCTTCATGCCTTTGGCAAGGACAGCAGGAGCTGATGGACCAGCCATTGTGTTTGTGGGTGGTGTGAGTGGAGGGGTAGTTTTTTAAAGAGGGCTAGGGACCTCTTCGCTATGTTCTTACGAAGGTGGAATAATGGCTGAAGTCCAAGATGAATTGGTCTTCAGAGGAGTATGTAATGTTATGGTGGTGGTTGTCGTCTGGACGTGGGAAATCGTCTGTGGAGTCACTTATGGCCGAGCCCTCCAAGTCAAATCTCTGCGGAGGCCCGCACGATGCGAAGTGCCGGCTGAATCTGACGCCATCGCCGAAATCGGCAAGAGGACAAAGTGGAGCTCGATGGCGTGCAGTGAATGTCTCGTTGGAAGACATATCATCTCGAGCAAACAGTCAACAATCAAGCTTCCCTCCAGACTCACAAGCTCACCATGTCTGAAATTGTTGACGACAAATCCGAACACTGCATACCGTTCGTACTATCCCGAATCGAACAACACCGAAAGCAGTATGAGTCCAGAGGAGAAAAGCCACCACCATTCTTCGTAGGCTTGAATGGCGTACAAGGCGCAGGCAAAACGACATTGGTAGGTGATACAGCAGTGTAGGCTACTACAGCGAATGCACCCTACGAATAACTCTCATCGCCTTGCCTTGTTCTTGACCACCTCCTCCACCACTCGAGTGTCTTCAGGATATAAAACCATCCACATCATCGTCTCTCGCATCCCAGCTGAGACAGAGGTAGGTAACCACCCTCTCCCAAATCCTCTCCTCTCCACCTCACGATCTCAACGCCTTGGTCCTGTCAATCGACGATCTCTACCTCCCCCATGACCAACAAGAACGACTCGCATCCTCTCACCCACAGAATCCTCTGGTCCAACATCGAGGTCAACCCTCCACCCATGATATCGCCCTCGGTGCCGAGATCTTCTCAGCTCTCGACGCGAGGATGCCGAATATCAAAGTGCCGAGCTACGACAAATCCGCTTTCTCCGGAACTGGCGACAGGAGGCCTGAGAGCGAGTGGGAGATTCTAAATCATGAGTATCGCCCGACAGTCGACGTCATCGTGTTTGAAGGCTGGTGCGTTGGTTTTCGTGCTTTGACTGACCAAGATGTGGAGAGGAAGTGGGAGGCGGCTAAGCAGATGTTCGAACGTGATGGGGAGAAGTACTTGGGTCAGTTGGGGAAGCTGCAGTTGCAGGATGTGTTGTTTGTCAATCAGGCTTTGAGGGGGTATGATGTTCTGACTGATAGGTTTGGAGCGTTTGTGCATATGTGAGTCCTTCTCATGGAGGAAGACGGCGAGGTTTGTTCTTACAGCTGACCTTTGTACAGCGATGCTGAAGATACGCAGTATGTCTACGCCTGGCGTCTACAGCAAGAAGCTGCTCTGCGAGTTTCAAAGGGCACGGGCATGACTGATGAGCAGGTTGTTAATTTCGTGAACGGCTGTGAGTTTCGTTCCACATTTGTTGGTCGAACGGAAGGGGGCTTGAGCTGACAACAAGGTATAGACTACTCAGCCTACGAGCTTTACACAGAAGTCCTACGCCATGGCATCTTTCCAGGGCAAGAGGGCAAACAATTACGACTAGTCGTTGGCAAAGACAGGCGCGTCAAGGAAGTATATAAGATTTGACCAAAGTCGTTCGTGACCAAGTATTTCGCGGTCTCGAGTGCCATGACAGGCTGTTTGACTTGTTACTTCGATGTAGCAGATATCTTTGGTGGTCGAGGGCACAACCATGCCCTAGCAAAAGCAGCCCCGCCCTGCGGCTCCTTCTTATGCGGAGATACAGCTCTGCATGAGCTCTCACAACTGACCTCTTGCTGATTAGCGCTTATGCAGCCTCGGGTGCGCAACGTACCTCGCTTTCGAGTTGGAGTAAGCTGCTACGATGAGCCGAAGGAACACATCTGGCAGATGTGAAGAGCTCTCTTACCGTCTCTGTTTCATAGGACTCGAGATTGTAACCTATGAACGATAGATTCTCGGAGAAAGTAACAAAGTAAAGGCCGCATAGTGTCTGAATTCAACACATACAGCAGGCAAAATGCAAGCTTTCGATCCGTCAGTATCGCTGAAGTCAAGCGCAGCGTTCAACCCATCAGGCCTTGCCGGCAAAAGCGTGATCATCACAGGCGGCGCCTCTGGACTCGGCGAGCAGTTCGCTCACGACTTCGTCAAATATGGAGCATTCGTCACCATTGGCGACGTCAACGAGGAGAATGGTCGGAAAGTCGTCGAAGCACTAGGAGGAGGAAAGAAAGCAGCGTTTGTGAAATGCGACGTTATGTCGTGGTCAGACCAACTCAAGCTGTTCAAGACAGCTTTGTCTTCCTCACCTTCGAAGTCAATTAACGTTGTGTGTGCGAATGCCGGGATCAGTGGGCAGGATGATGTCTTTCTTGACAAGACGGATGGGGATGGTGAGCCCCTTGAACCTGACCTCTCGATCGTGAACATCAATACTATTGGTGTTATGCTTACCGCGAAGTTGGCTTTGCACTATCTCGCACAGGAGTCGGAAGGCAGTGAGGCTGGTGGGAAGTGTCTCATACTCACGGCTAGCTTGGCTGGGTATCTGGAGCTGCCTGGTTCGCCACAGTATACGGCGTCCAAGTTTGCGGTCAGGGGCTTGATGAGGAGTCTGCGGCTTACGGCTCCGATGAAAGAGGTCAGAGTCAACTTAATCGCGCCTTGGTATGTGATAATCACTTTCTATTACCCGTCCGGTTCACTGATGGTGGAGACTGCAGGTACATCAACACGCCTATCATGTCCCAAGAAGTAGCAGACAAGATCAAGTCAAAGGGTATCGAGTTCGCGACCAGAGAGGACGCCGGGGCTGCGGTATTGCATTTGGCTTCAGATCAGTCCTTGAGTGGTAGGGCGGTTGCGATAGTCACGCATGATGTAGACTCGAGAGGGTATATGGATTTGGGAGGTCTGCATGTAGATGATTATGATGATCAAGCTGGGTTTCTGGCGGATGTGACGAGGCAGGTACGAGGCAGTGGGCATCGTATCGGCGCGAAGTAGAATAGTGTTATATGTCGAGAGGAAGCAGAAGAGGATGGTGAGGGGATGAATATAACACTTACGAGAGATTTGGATGCCTGAGGCCACATGAATCTGTCTCTACTTCATAATTCTCGAACATCCACTTCTTCTAAACATCCCACTTTGCGCCTGGCGGTCCTACACCACCACGATGCCCTCCACATACAAAAAGGACAAACCATGGGATACAGACGATATTGACAAATGGAAGGAGGAGACGTTCACACCCGATCAGAACGTCGGCGGCACATTTACCGAAGAATCGACCTTTGCAACACTTTTCCCCAAATACCGAGAAGTCTACCTGAAAGCATCATGGCCCATGATCACGAGGACGTTGGAGAAGCACGGGATAGCTTGTACGCTGGACTTGGTGGAGGGCAGCATGACGGTCAAGACAACCCGGAAGACATTTGACCCGGCTGCGATCCTGAATGCCCGCGATCTCATCAAACTCCTCGCCCGTAGCGTCCCGGCACCCCAGGCAGTCAAGATCATGGAAGATGGTACCGCCTGCGACGTGATTAAGATCCGCGGGCTCGTCCGCAATAAGGATCGCTTCGTGAAACGCCGGCAACGCATCCTAGGACCTAACGGCAGCACACTCAAAGCCCTCGAACTCCTGACCCAGACCTACATCCTCGTCCAAGGAAACACCGTCAGCGTAATGGGCGGCTACAAGCCCCTGAAAGAAGTCCGACGAGTAATAGAAGATTGCATGGCGAACATCCACCCCATCTACCACATCAAAGAACTCATGATCAAACGCGAACTAGCCAAAGACCCGGAACTGAAAAACGAAAACTGGGACCGCTTCCTCCCGCACTTTAAGAAGCGGAATCTGAGCAAGCGCCGCAAGCCGTTTGTGGTCAATGAGAAGAAGAAGGTGTATACGCCTTTCCCGCCGCCGCAGGAGAAGAGCAAGGTGGATTTGCAGATTGAGAGTGGAGAGTACTTTTTGTCGAGGGAGGCGCAGGCGAGGGGGGTGAGGGAGAAGAGGGATGAGGTTATGAGGGAGAAGACGGCGGAGAGGAAGCGGAAGAGGGAGGAGGCTTTTGAGGCCCCGAAGGAGGAGGGAGAGGGGAGGAAGAAGAAGAAGAAGAGGGATAAGGAGAAGGGGGAGGATGGAGAGAAGAAGACGAAGAGGCGGAAGGAGGTTGCTGTTGAGGCTGATGGGGATGAGTGATCTGTTCATGAGTTCGTTTGCTGCTATTTGAGCGAAGGCGCTGTGGCTCAGGACTGCCCAATTACTGCTAAGTATCATTTCCTCCTCCTGTTCAGTCAATGCAGCACCATCGTCGCCTCCAATCCGTCGCCGCACTTGAGCTGTCGTCCGCCAGATCATGACAAAAATTCTCATCCTCCTGGGAACTGCGAAGCGCTGCTCACAGCTCCTTATCACGCTTGCTTCTAGATGCACCTGTGCCGTAGGTGCCATAGGCCAGATCTGCGAAGAAGGCTGAGATCTTGGCATACAAGCCCCACCCATTTGGCTTCGGCGCGATCTCGTGCGCACTCTCGTTGCCACTATCCGCCTGCTGCTCCGTAACCTCACTACTCCCCGCGGCCGCCTCTGACACCGCCGACTCCGAAACCTCCTCCGTCGCAACTTCACTCAACTCACCTGATCCTGTGCCACTGGATCATCGTGCCCACTCACCACTTCCTGTGCCGTGTACACCCACTCAGCAGGTGGTGTAGGCTGCAAGTAACAGTCATCGACACACTCCGGCTTACCAACGTGCCACTTCGAGCAGGCTTCGACACAATCTGGGTGTGGCATCAAGTGCTGATATCGTGTCATTGTTGAGCGGGTGGTAACTGTTATTCGTTGGTGCAGTGTTATGGTGGAGAAATTGCGCATGGCTTGGATCGTGCCGTTGCGGTCCTGAGAGAGGGGGTTGTTAGGAGGAGTGTTGTCTGGTGCGGTATTGGGGAGTAAGGCTGGAAGGGACTTGAGTGAAGGAGAGGGGGTGTGTTTGGGATTGTGGAGGGAGACTTACGTGGAAGACGGGTGGACCGTGGATCATGGCGCAGGTGATGAGGTGCGTGAGGAGGAGGGCGAGGAGGAGCGTGATCGTGATTAGGGGCTTCATTGTTGATGAAGGCGGTTTTGTGGGCGATGCTGGTGTTGTTGTGACGCTGCTGAAGGAATGAATGGTGAAGGTGGAAGTCACGAAGACAATTTGCGTTGCTGATCATACCAACGAGATGATGCGATCAAGCAACCAGCCGAATACCAAAGAGATCCCCGCCGTGACGCTCTTATAGTTACCTGGACGACGCTAGTGGCGGCCGCGGTTGTTTGCTAGACAAGGAAGGAACGACTCACAACGAGGCACGTGAGTGAAGGACTGTGCCTGATTCACTCCAAACCGAGCTGGAAGGTTGAATTCCTTGTTGCGTTGTACTGTGCACATGTGTCGGAGGCGGCCTGCGCTTGCTGGGCCACCACATTCAGTCACTCAATAGCACGTAGAGCCGAGCTTAACAAAGCTGACAAGACACAGGTCTGCAGTAGACAAGTCGGGGCAAGCTTCGGGTAGGCCCTTCCCTCGTTGGTGATTTCGGCTGTCGAACTTCTTTCTACTCTGCCGTTGATGTGCCAAGCCATACAAGGGTTTCGGAGCGTAGTTGAAGACGAGGCTATGCCGGAGCGGAAGTGGGGCCGCATAGCTCATGACTTGATGTCAGGGCGAGGACGAAGAGGCGTACTGTGGCATCCATGTCAAGCGATCCCACTAGTCAAACGAGGACGTAATCGTAGGGAATAAGTCCGTTAATATCACTCCGCGCCCTCTATCGCTCTATCTGCGCTGTCAGCCACTGTGAGCCGCCCGAGACGACGGCACATATCCGCCTCCATTTCAAGTATTGCCGGGCCGGCGGGCTGGCGTTTGTCTCAGATCTACAGATGCAGACGTTATAGTCCGTCGGAGGGAGTCCGCAAACGGGAGGCGAGGAGAGCGCGAATGGTGTGAGTGAGTCTGTTTCCTTCTTAGGTTGGAAAAGGGTGCCTGGATCATCTCGTATGTACAGTAATCCGAGCAACATCTGTATGAGTAGTGTAGATAGTCATCCCCGACAAACGCCACCAGCGCCACGCTATGCAATCAGTCTACCTGCACAAACACAGCCGACATCAACACAATCATATCCCTAACATGAAACCTCACAACTCCTTCTCCTTAACAACCCCCTCCTTCCTTTTCCCCAAACCCACCTCCAAAGTCCCCTTCTCGCTCCTATGTCCCACCGCCTCCGGCCCCCCCACCGCCTCAAACCCCTTATGAAACACCCACTCCGTCGCAACCTCAATCGGATGATCAAACATAAACGGCAGCGCCGGCACAGCCGCCAACCCCAACCCAATAGGGCCCCAGGTTCTTATCCGCGTATTCTTCACATTCTTCAGCGCTTGGCCTGAGTAGCGGACGATACTGTGAATTGTAAAGGCTGGTAGACCCATGGAGGCGATGGATTGGAAGACGGCGCGTTGGGCCATGACGGTTGCCCAGTGGTCGATTGGGGCTACGCGGCCTGTTACGGCGTTCGGTTGGGCCGTTAGTGCACTTCCCGGGACGTCTTGGGTCGTAGGCGCGACGGGGTGGAGTGCGGCTTGGTTGCGGGTGTAGGCTTTGTAACCCTCGTAACTCACGTCCCCAACCAGATATGCCCAGGAAATCGCATAGGCTCCTCGCACCAGATTCGGATGCGCTACCGGGCGGAAACTCTCGCCAATGTCACTGGTATATGCCACATATCGCTGGGCGGAAAGCATTATCGTGCGCAGGCGGTTGGCGTAGGCGGCATAGCGGACAGGGGAGTTTGTGCTGTCGTCTGCTTTGCCCGAGGACAAGACATCCCAGAAGCGTTCTTCGTCGTTCATAGTGTCTTGGAGGTCTTTGGGGAGGGTTTTGCGAGGGACAGGTTTGGAGAAGTCGGGGCGTGGTTCGGTTCGTTCATGTTCGATTGATTTTAGTTGGTCGAGGTCGGGTTTGTTGTCCTTGTCGCGGGCCATGGTGGGTGGTTGTGACCAAGGTGGTATCCTGGATGATTGTTGTCTGGTGAACTGCTTGGTTTTGTTGTTGTATATGGCCGTGACTCGAGTGTCTATTGCTGTGTGATATGGATATCACTCGGGTGGTTGCGGGACAGGTCGAACAGAAGCTCGAACTTCAAGGTGTGGCGTTGGATTGTGGCGCAAATACACCTCGAAGCTCCGCAAACTCACTTCCGATCACCACGAACGGCGAGCATCCATTGCGACCCCCACCACCAATAATTCCCTCCTACATCACCCAACACCGCAAACATGGTCGTCTACTACGAAATCTTCGGGCAGAAAGTCGGCTCGCACATCGTACGTTCATCCACACCTACCAGTCCAGAGGACCTCTCCTGTGCCTTCTCCCATTCATCAGACCCATTGCGCATCACAGCCTACGAGACCTCATGCTGACCTGCTCTGGCTCACATAGCTCGCCATCGCCACCCTCGGAACGACAGCCGTCGGCACCTGGGCCCTGAGCGGAGGCAGCAAGAAGCCGGCAGAGAAGTCTCCACCAATCCAGGCCAGTAGCAAGGATGAAGAGAACTTTATACAGTACGTCTACACCTCCTGACCATGGAGTAGTATAGCGGAGGTGTGACAGGATGTGTGGGATGTGTGCTAATACGAGATGCTACAGAGAGTTCCTGAAGAACGCGGATAAGGGTCCGGCGGAGGCGAAGCACTGAGGTGTGGGAGATATGCGATAGACCATGGGGTGTAGTAGACGGGTGACGGTGGCCCGGGGAAACCCACAATGTTGAGCTTTGAGGGACGTTATGTGTAAGGAGCGGTGGATAAGGCAGGTGGTAGTGTACATATAGTTTGAAAACACTGCATACCCCTAGGCTCCATCCATGGCCCGCCTCTCGTCCTGTCACACCGCCTGCATCTCTAAAACTTTGGATTGATGGACGGCGACTCGGTCCGAGCTTCACAGGCAGGTGACAATACGCCTTGTACGGGTCGAATACCGGCCACCGCGAAGCAGATCCTGTGCAGAGCCGGACTGTCCTCAGATCACGTTTACGGTCACGGCGTATCTTCGGTCACTCATCCTCCCTCTACATCAGGGCAAAGAAAATCCATTGAGTGCGGGGGAGTAGCGAAAGCAGGGCGTGGGTCCCATTAGGGGCAGCCACTTATCTCCGGATAGAACCTGGCTACCCGGTTGTCGCAGCCTCACAAGCCGCACGCCGTGGATACAGCCTCCTTCCCTTTTGCCCACACATACCTCAGAAATCCTGGCTATCATGTCTTGCTCATCCACTTTGCAAGCATGTGAGGACGGCAAAACTTCGGCGAAGACTGGTCATCATTCATAAAATCCCTTTGACGATGGTCGAAATCAGGGAAGTAGCTAAAATCGGAATCTGAGACCTTAGGGTCCCTCGTTTGGTGTGTCTCCGGGGGATTTTTGTACGAACCTGGAGACTTCTTCCCTTTTGCTGATCTAAGGCACACACATCCTTCCCACTTCAGCTCGCTTCCCTACTCTGGACTGAGGTCGATCCACGCCGGTTTCGAGCGCGCGATGACTCACTCATCCCTTCATTCACCCTTGGATCCTGGACCTTACCTTGGCACGTCCAATACCTCGCCTTCACCGATCTTGACTCACACCTTGGCTAATCACCGGCGCCTGTACAGCAAAGGGTATTTGGACAAGTAGCAAATTGTGAATATCTCAGGGATGTAGCTATGAATGGAACAGGATACATAGTGTGATCCAGCACCACGCCCTCCTTTCCTCTACAATCCTCACGATCTACCTCTCGGGTTGGCGCGTGAGCGGCTGTGTATGGGGAGGAAGGGGCTCGGTGCTCCATCCCTTTTTGCTTGGAGACGGTGTACCATACTTTTGTTTGACGCTTTCGACCGGGGAAAGATACGATTTGGGCGACATCTGGCCGAGCTTACCACGAGAGTCCTGCCGTCTTATCTGAAGAGTGTCTCTGGCAAATCCTCCCGCTGCTCTATACTCCTCAACTGCCTCAATATCGACATGCATCGTACGGCAATAGCAGGCACGCGGGGGACGCTAATGGTGTGTATGTGAAGATGGTAGACGCTAAGTGAAGTAGGTAGCTGTGCCGGCACATCCAAATGTTTGCGAGGAAATCGTGTCGTCTTTATCTTCCCCCGGCCTTTCTGGGGCCACTCGTTCTTCTAACGGAGTCAAGTCCGTATCCCGTTCAAGTCGCAGCATAGTGTATCACAACACTTCCTGTCGAGAGCATTCTATACACCACCACGTACGCGAGACAGTGGTTACTATCACGCAAGTATCCGGCCACGGCGAAAGGAGTCGCCGCTGTGCCCTCCCTTTTGGCCGATGATCTCATGTCGTTCCAGTAACGGTCGTTGCGATTACGTGGTCTCAAGGTTCAGGTAGTCAATGGTGTGAACGCCGGCGAGGCCAATGAAAGTGGTAGTGATGGCCCGTCTTTCCGTGTGTCGGACTTCCGCTTCATGAGGTACAGAGTATTATACCAGACAGAAAACCCACAGACATATGTGGCTACGAAGACAGCACACGACCATACCCAAAACACCAGCCCTCCAGAAGAAACGCGATAAACACCTCGCCATGCCGCGAAAAGTTTAGACCATACAAATAACACTCCAAGCCCCTCAGTCCACCTTCCCTTGGCCATTGCCACTCGAACTCCCCCCCAACAACCCATCCATCGCACTCCCTTTCTCCCCCACCTTGAAGTAAGAAGGCAATTGACTAACGTCAAGACCCCTCGCATACCTCCTCGCAAAAACCACCACCCCAATCGCCACCCCCACACTCACCGCCACACTCACCCTCGGATGCTCCCACACCTGGGCCTTCAAAACCCACCACGCATGCCCCAACACACTCATCGTCCTCTTCGGCTGGATCTTCGGCGGCGAACTCACAACCCTCGGCAACGTCTCCAATATCGACGTCCGCGAAGGAACGATGGGGAAACCCGTCATAGTGACATCCCAATACCGATGCGAGGAATAATCATACATGACCACCCTCTCCCCATCCCCCGCCACGGAGATGCCGAACGTAGTCCGGATCCATCGTTCCCAGAACACGCCGTCCACCCATGCGAACCCCACGTCTTTGCGTTCGATGTCGTCCATGTTAATCCTGATACTCTTCGCGGCACGCAAAGCCCGCTGATCATTCCGGTCCTCGGCCTCTTCAATCCGGAGTTGTTTCGCATCCCTTAATTCCTGCCTCTCGAGCTGGAAAGCCTGGGTTTGCTTATCGATCCACTCCAACGCCGCGTTTTTAATCTCGCGCTTCGCGATGATGAATTCTTCTTTCCTTTCGCGGGACAGAATTCCCAAAACGACGAGTTTGTTGGCGCCCATGACTTCTTTTGCATTAGAGGCGGTGAGTTCCGGGACGATGGGAAGCCAGTTTCCTTGCATCCAGGTTAGGACGCGTCGGAATTCGCGCATGTCGCGGGGGGATAGGGCGGTGTAGTAGGTTGGTTTGCCGTCGCGGCTGACGAGAAGGCGGGGCCAGGTGGAGATTTTGTAGCGGGTGTTGAGTTCAGGATCGGACGTTTTGACAAGTTTTGCGTGGCCGATTAGGCTCATTACTAGGCGGTCTAGGGCGGCGAAGTCTTCGGCTGTGGTCGCGTCGTCGTAGAAGTAGAGGAAGAGGACTTCTTCTTTTTGCTCTAGCTCTTCGAATTGTGCCATGTTAACGTCCATGACGGGTTCGGCTACGGCGATGGCTTTGTTTGCGAAGTCTAATAAATCTCCTAAGCCCCGAAGGCCGTCATATTCGACTCTTTCGCCGCCGCGGAAGAAGAGGAGGGTGGGGTAGCCTTTGACTTTGACGTCTTTGCAGAGGCGCTTTTCGGTCTCGCAGTTTACTTCGCCGATGTTGAGTTGCCCTTTCATTTGCCGTGCCATTCCTTGCCAGTTTGGAGCCATGGCTTGGCAATGGTGACACCATGGGGCGTAGAATTTGATGAACCAGGGGTCGTGGGTTGTCGTGACCAGACGTTGGAAGTTCTCGGCTGTGAGTGCTTTACTCTTGCCATCCAGGTTTGGAGTGACTGGCTCCGCGACTTTCGTTGCGGTGAGTAGTGACTTCGTCCCTGTCGCTTTCATCTCCACCCCATCCTTATTCACAGGTCCAGGCGCCTGCTCCGGCATCAATGTCTTCTCTACCTCATGGTCACCAGCCTTGGGTAACTTCGGTCCTCCCTTCGGTCTACTCCCGGGGTGGATTGTTTCTAATACCTCCTCTACGAATTTACCCATGAATTTAATATCCTTCCCACCAACCTGCTGCTTCACCACCTCTCCATCCTTGAACATCACGATGGTCGGAAAACTATTGATCTTGTTATCCGCGCATGCATCCCCATTGCTCGCGCAATCAACCTTGGCGAAGTGGAAATCATAGTATTTTGTAAACGAACTCGCTGCTTCTGCTGAACCTATGGGTGCGGAGGTGGAGGCGATGGTGTCTTGGGTGTAGTAGAATTCGTAGAGAGTCTGCCAGGTCGGGGCGAAGTGTTTGCAGTGGACGCAGTAGGGGCTGAAAAACTCGACAAGCCAGTAGCCGGACTCTATGCTTGGTTTTAGGGTGTCGCTGGTGAGGGATGTGAGTTCGGGGACGACTTTGTCGTTGAATGTGCTGTCATTGTCGCCGCCGCCTGTGGTGGTCGTTGAGCCGTCGTGGCCGGTTGTCAGGTCGCCTGAGGGTCCGTCTTCTCGGGGAAGGAGTTGTTGTGAGGCGAGGGTGGTGGGTAAGAGGGAGGCGGCTAGGTAGCGGAGGAGGGTGGAGGGGCGCATCGTGGATGGTGGAATTGGGCTCGAGGCCCGTCAAGGTGGTGGGTGTAGTGATTGTAGTGTAGAGTGGCGAGCAACGAAGCGAGTGGCGTTGCTATTTCATCCGGTCATTAGTCGAGCGGGTGCTTGTTATATGTTATACAGAAAGTCGCATGTGAGAGTTAGTCCCTTTCCCACGTTACGCGGCGGGCAAAAGTATAAATGCCTGAGGCTCTGCCAAACTGTATCTTCGTCATCCGCCATTGGCCACAAAACCACAGCTTCACTTAGGTACACAACATCTTCAACAATAACCACCCAACATGCGCCCCGCCCTCCGCCTCTTGGCCAGCGCAGCCAAAGAAGTCGTCGGCCAAGGCGTCCCCACAGGTCTCACCGGCCTCTTCACCCACCCAGCCCCACGCACCACCCTTCTCTACCTCTACAGCAGCACCCTGGACAAACTGCGCTCCGACTTCCCCGAGAGCAGCGTGTATCGGCAATCCCTGGAAGCCGTGACGAAACACCGTCTGAACATCATCGAGAACGTGAAACCTGCTGGGTTAGCAGAATGGCAGGAACGTGTCAAGAACATCGTGGAAGAACACCCGGAGGCTTTCCGCAAGATTGAGGTCGGAGGCAAGGGGAGCGGGGAGTTTAATGTGATATGGCGACCTTCGGCATTGAAGGGGATGGAGAGTGAAGAGTGGGATGATGAGGCCATCACTAAACCTGAACTTGAAGGTCCTCGATTCCAAGACGAGAGGCCGAATCAGGGTGAAGTGCTCGCGCGGGATCCGAGGGAGGAGCATAGGAATATCCCGCGAATTGAGCCCGAGCCGCCGCTCACGATCCAGCAGATTGAGGAGGTGGAGGGGAAGATTGGGGCGGGGTTGATTGAGGAGGTGATTCAGGTTGCCGAGGGGGAGAGGGGGTTGGTGGATGTCATGGCGGGGAATAAGGTGTAAGTCTTTGTTACACTGAGCTTGGTTGGTGATGATGTGGTGTGCTAATGTTGTGTGCTGTAGGTGGGAAGACCTCGAGGAGAAGCCGGCGGAGGGGCAGTGGAGGTACTTTGACCGCGATACTCATACTCCTACTACGCAGGCGCGGTAAATGCTGTGGCCGAGTCAGGTCGCTAGAGCCGGTATAGTGGTGTACATATGTCTCAACAGAGACTCTCTCGCAGCACGCACCCTGAGATCAACTGCATTGCAGTTGAGCCTCTCGACGATAGTACATGTGTTTACCTGGCCCGCAAGCTTATCAGCAGTCAAGACTCCGCCAACGACGACGATGTCGATGCTGACGAGATCACAGGCTCCACTCGTTTCGAGACACTCCAGTGGCCGAGCAAAACGTTTGCATCAACGATAGGTAGGTTGGGTACACCACCCAAGACTCTCTCGATGTCGGCTCGGACTTCTACATTCGTCCGCAACTCAGACTTTTGCGCCTGATGCGCACTTCAAAGTAGCTGATGCCATGACGGTCCGCCCGGGCGAGCTAGGCAAGACCGTCAAGTCCTCTGACAACAAAAAGTGGTTCAATGGTTACCATATCAAACCCTCCAAGTCCTGTCCGAATCGGATGGGTCTCTGCAAAGGCGATCACACCTGGTCACATCAAGAGGTACGGCGACTGGGCGTTCAAGGATAGAAGTGCTCCACCCACAATACACGTGGACGCACCGTCCCGGACCTTGAGACTCGCGGCAAACCCGGGTGGACTGCCAAGGCATTACTCGATGCGTTCGGGCAGAACCGGGACCGGATGGCGCTGGTGAATGAATCGTTGATTCAGCCGATGATGGACGACCCAGCAAGAGTTAGAGCTACTGATACTATCGTTGATGGTCATCGAAAGGCTGGCACAATGCGAGTACGGGACGCCGGCAAAATTTCGTCTCGAGGATATCATCAAAAATTGCGCGGACGCTGGTGAGAATGGAGACAATGGTGCTGGCATATATGTACGGTTCTACAATAAGCTCAAAACCATTCCTGGGTGTCGATTATACACTGGTTCAACGAAGCACTTCGCCGACCGTGCAGCCAGTCACACCGAGCTCCATGCCGGCAGAGGCAAGAGTCTACATTCTCGAGTATACCGAGATGCAAAGGTAATATTCGTTCGTGTCTTCTGCAGGATCGGCCCCGACGATAGCGCGATGCTACTGCTGGCAGAGCAGATCACGATCCTGTTGCTCGGGACTTGTGACTTGCGAGTACTCCGCCACTCTGACCCCGACTACAAGCCTCAGACGTTTTCCGAAAAGTCCGATGACTTATCGCAGGACTATGCGCGCCACGTAGCACACGATGCGCCTTCCTTCGACAACGATGTCCACGACGACGACGTCAACGTCGCCGTCCAGGGACTCGCTGATGGTGATGAAGACGATGGTGAAGCTCACGATGCCGATGGCAAAACTGGAGCGAGTAAAGCTCGTTGGAGAGCTATGAAAGAAGTTGCCGCTCAGATACAGGCCATCGCCAAGCAGGTCTTCGCCCAAGTTGACTGCATTCCTGCCATCGACCGACCGACCTTCGCTGGGTTCTACAAAAACATTGAAGGCCTCAATTTCCACTCTCCGTTCTCGGAAACGTACAGTCGTGCTGTAGTCACCAAGATTGTGGTCCCACGCGTCATGGCCATCTACCGACGTTCTGCCTTGTTATGCAGGGAGAAGGCTACAACGAAATATGTCGGACGAATCGGCGCCAAGAGTCCCAACCGTGTCGAGTTCTATGTTCACGAGACATTTGGACCTCCTCATGGAGCCAAAGTGTCGATGATTTTCGAGTTCACCGAAGACGGCAAACCCAATCCATACAGCTGGGTGAGGCTTATGCATGTTGTTTGTCAGAGCGACGCTGAGCGTGCAAAGATCCCTGGGATACGCATCGAATGGCAGGAGAATGGCCAATTGAAGACACAATATCTACAGACCTCGCACGACCCTGCACGCTTCAATGACGCTATACCCGGTGGTATCCGGGCTCCGGGCGAAACTATTGGGTTGTTGAACTCCTTGGAGCGCAAGATTGTGACACAAGGACGTCAGGCTTTTGAGACGTAGCTGGGCCGTGTGCGTATCCTGGAATTACGCCCACATCATCTGACCCGAGAGTTGGAGGCAGTGGAGGATGACAGTGTCTACGTACCATCCAAGACTGGCGTGGCAAGGCCCATGCACGATGTAACCCGTCAATACCAACAGTTCGGTGCTACGAATATTGGTGGTGACTACAAAACCATGGCCACAGGCTCAAGCCACAAGAGAAGCACGAGGTGTAAGCGCTGCTACTTGAAATCCAGGATAGACGGCAACACTCCGCTCAACGGATATGGCACTGAACGGAACAAACCTTGCGCCGAGGAGACCGATGACCAGTGCACGATGTGCGCCTTCGTGTACATGGACACCCACTGCAACCTTGGAGGCGAACCTGCAATTACGTCAGGCCATTTAGTATCCGGAGAAATTACGAGCCACTCTTCTGGATATCGATGATCCAGCGCTCCAGCATGGGCTTACCATGCAGCCATCGTCGGACGCTCAGGCTCCAAGTGCCATTGACTGGTTGCAACCAGGTCCCGCACCAAAGCCCAACCCACCGGGGTCGGGGCTAGTACTTACTACAGCCGGTGGTCCCTCGGCCACTGCCTCTACCACCGCTCCCACGTCGACATTGCCAGTGAGGCCGGCTGGTACCGTGACCGCAGGAAAGACAGAGAACACGCCCGAAGACTTCGACTTCGAAATTCACTCTCATCTCCTGCGCGAGAAGACCGGAAGTTCGCTTCGACGAGCGACCTCCATGATCGCAGGGTACGCCAACTCCAACCCTCGCTTGAACCTAACAAGAGGTGCTGAAGCTAGAGCTTACCTCACCGAGCTCCGTCATATTTTGCAGCCCTTTGTCGATGCCCGATCTGCAAACCATCGCCTTTTCTTGGATATTTTCAACAACGCGGATGTGAAGGCGGGCAGGAATTCCACGCTATCTGCCTTTCACGATGCTAGCGGACAGGGCATACAGAACAGAGTTCCCACCGTGTCCGAGCTCCGAGCTTACGTGAGGGATCACGACTCGATACCTTACGACCTCATGAGGGTCAATTTCTTGCAAGATTATATTCGGAGTCTTGGCGTCGCCCTCGGCGTGAATGTCAGCGGGCAGTTGCAGAATCGGTCTGGTCTCTTGCTTGAAATGCATGTGCGACGTGAGTCGATGAGGGAACGAAATGAGGGCAGGATGTAGATCTCTCTCCACCGGAAGGTAAAAGTTCCAGGGGTATTGTAACGACCGTCAGGACGCGGAGTTTCGGCGTCCTCGTGCAAGTAATTGGGATGTTCGTGGCATCTGTCGGAATTTAGTTCGATGTATGATGTCACTAGCATAATGAGCCGTCCAACCGATAGAGTCTCCATACGGGCCCTGAGATGATGTTAGAGTACCCGGCTATGCGGTCTTCGGCGATTGCATATACGGCTGTATGGTTCGATGTAAAACTTCAGGACTGATATGTTCCTCCTAGACCGAGACCAACCAGAGTGGCACATTAGCGGTCATCTGTTCGTCTCGTGTCTAAGTATATGTGCACAGGCTGTGGGAGAGCATCTGGCCACTAAGGTCTGTGACTGACCAGCTAGACGCAGAAGAGTTGGCTTCTGGGGTATAAAAGTTGCTGTCTATGACTTTCAATCGACACCACTGTGTAAAGGATATCAGTAGGGAGATTCTCCGTCTTTCAAGCAAAAGGATGTGGCCTGGAGGGAAAGGAAAAAGAGAGATGAACATCTATAGATGCCCGGAAGGTCGACCATCATGGGACTCGAACCCACAGCCTTCTTTCCGAGTTGTCAGAACGTGATACAATCGTATAGAGATGGTGACAGTAACTTACCCGCTAACCATTGAAGTAGGAGGCGGACGCTCTACCATTGAGCCAAACGGCCCCACTAACGTGTCCAAGTGTTGGAACAAGAGTTCTTTACCACGTACGACAGACAGATTTGCTTTGCTCTATTATCAATACATTTTGTTCAGCTCCCGAGGTTCTGCCATAGCCGGCGAGCAGAGCTCCAAGCCAGAGCTACAAAGGGAGGGGGTGGGTCGGGGCCAAGTAACGTAGTGGTTGCACCGAAGTCAGAAGTGCATTTCGTCTGATGTGTGGTTAGGCGGAACGGAGCATGTTTCGCCGAACTCCGACCGTATTCACTCGACTTCATGCTAACGAAGTGTAGATGACAACTCGCCCAGGTTGTAACTATCACAGCTTGCTCGATCACGGGCACAACCAGACCATGCAGAGTGTTACTGCGTATACGTGACACTGTTCTTGAGGACTCGCGAGAGAGCAATGGGTCCCAGCATGTACATGACTGGTCGCAAGAACACAAAAGTCTGCACGGCTTTCTATACTTTGACAAGTACACTCCTCTACTCTCTCGTACTCTCTGACTGAATCGACTCCTTTCCGGTGTCTCGCCAGAACGCATCGACTGAAGGCGCAACCCAATTTCGCTTTCCCATCCGAATTGTCGATCCGAAAGCTGACCCAGTGGCTACCCAACATTCTTGCTCGGCACAATGAGCTGGGGATAGCAGAGGCAGATGGCAAGGAATGAACGCGAATGGAGTCTCACAAGCTGTCGACTATCTTCTTCCTTGCGCATAGCAGATGAATATCGAAGAAGCCTTTCTCCTTGCAGGCCGGTATCGTATCGTAGTCTGTCGAAGTGATTGAATCGCTCCAAAATACGATCATGATCATCTCAGACACAATGATCTGATTTGAACAATGTATTGGCCTACTGAGACCAGAAAAGCCATGACAGCTTGATTGGGACTTGCCACGTAGCCATGAAGTACATTACGAACGATTGCTAGTACCGGAGCTGGCATCTTTGGCACAGCACTGATATGCATATGCTGGCTTGGAGTGACAGAGCCAGAAGCAACTTCCGCAAGTATCCGATAGAAGCTGATTATAATGAAGCAAGGTCGCCTATCTATTGGCACCGCTGATGTACAAGAAGAGTAACGCAGCAGATTCCGTCGGTCAGAACATCTCCATTCCAGACACACAACCGTGAAGACTTAGAACTGCTGTCCTAGTCATCTTCTCTCGTACCAGACAGCGCTCAAGTCGACGTTCAATGCCACAAAACCCACACGCAAGCAAACTCGAATCTTGTACCAAGAAATCCAGTCCAAAGGTCAAGCTCGTGGCTGTCTCTGCTGCTCTGCGATCCACGCCTCTCCCAAGTCATCTGTATAGTCTTGGATCACAAGCAGCATTGTAGGATACAGTTCCTGATCGGCAGGCTCGTTGCTGTACACAATGATAGACGAGATGACCTTCCTGCCCAAAATAGCCCTGTGCTCGTAAAGAAACTCGACAACGGACTTGGTCGTCTGTGTACCCAGCAACATGTTATAGCAGCTGCTCACACGGTCAGTCAGGCCGGATATAATGGAAAGCGGCCCCATGTCACTTACTCAGATCCTGCCGCAAACTTGTGCGCGTGCAGGAAGTCGGGCATGTTGTTGCCAGCTGAATGCCCATTGTATCCCACACACGCCATGCCGATTCCGATCAGCTCGGGAGGACCTAGCATGGTTGGAAGTATGATCATGTTGAGCTTGTTGATGGAGTTGAAGACAACTTCCTCACTAAGTCCGAGAGGTCTCCAGTAGTCGTACATACCGGCTAGGCGATGCTGCAGCTGCCACTCCCAGGCAAGCACACCCGATAGCGTGCCGGGATCGCGGCCTTGACTCTCTGCTTGTGTCCTTTCCCAATTTGGATTGCTCTTCATGATTGAGGCAACAGGCTCTTCTGTTGCGTGGATGACTATGAAGCCGTGTTTTATGTTGACCATGAAGAGCAAATGGGCTTGTGTAATCTGGCGCAGAGTCAGCGACTTGGAATCAGATTTCTGGCACGCATTGTCTCACCACGCGGGGCACTGCCTCGTTGGCTTGATGGTGCCCGTTATAATAAGCGACCGGAACGCTGTACCCCTGAGGATACAATGAAAAATCATGATCTTCGACAACAGTGTTGGGGACCTATCTGGCCAGTGTCGTACACAAACCCTGAAGTCGCTCTTGATTGAACATTGTGACCATATGTGGAGGGTGAGGTATCCTAGTCCTGCTCCAGCTAGTCGGCAAGTATGCGTGCGAGCAGCCCACCACCATAAGATTCTTACCAATACAAATCGACGCTTTCCCTGACGAGGATATCACGCGCAAGTGGTCCTGATCCTCCAAGTCTGCTGAGCTCGTCGGCTCGATGATCGTCGCTCCAACGTATGCTGGCATGCGTGCAGCCTGTGTAGAAGATAGGGGAGTTTTCATCTGGCCAGAGCGGCGTGACGTTCACGACACGCTTATCGGATTTGATGTACTTAGGGTTAGGCTTACGTACAGCTTCACAGGCATCTAGCTGATGTTTGGCAGTTCCTCTCGTCGATCCAGATGGTGGCGGAATGGCGGGTGGCGCTGCAGTCGCAACGGCCACATAGAAACTCAAGAGCAGTAGCCACAGCCAGCTGTGCTTCGCAACTTCGACCATGGTAGATGCCTAGCTCAGGAGATAGGCGGTTCACAACTGGCAAGAAAGAGAAAGCTTCGTTTGAGTGCTGTGAGGAAAGGCGGCCACGGGTCCGAATGCTCGTTCAATTGTTTGATGGGAGAGGCAAGAAGAAGAGAATTGGTGGTGCCCTTATATATCCCAGATCCTACACCCTGTGCGTTGTCCTTGCACGAGAAAGCACAAGCACGGAGCTGTAATTCAGCTCTGCCAACGTAGCACTAGCGCATTCTCAAGCAGACTTTCTGATGCTGGAGACATGCTCATGCTATGCGCTTGATGCAAGTGCCCTGTCATGAATAAGCATTATGCCAGCTGATGATCGTAATCATGGTCAATGTTCAATGGTGTTCAAGTCAATGACTCAGGTCATACTCAATTATGTATCAGTACAGAGAACCACTGCCCAAGCAGCCTTGATCAAGAAGCTTCTTGTCAGCAGACGACTGGCCGACTGACGGACTGAACGGCCACAAGCATGCCTGATCCCAAAGCGCCTCTCACCACATCAGCACCTCAGCAGGCGTCTCATGCCTACCAGAGCCTCAGCCAAACGAAGGCCGGCCAATAGTCCCATGCCCGGTATACCCCTCCACCTCCCCATCATCCATCGTCCGTCACCCATCTCCTGCAGCAGCGGTGATACCGATGGGGTGACGCAAAGGTTTGAAGAGCCCAGACTACAAAGCCCCCGCACCCCTCTGCGCCCCCTGGCCCTGTCCGCCTTGACTCCCAATACTCCCACCACCACCACCGCCATTCCCACCAATACTCCCAACGCCCACCCCAGCACCAGCACCAGCAGGCGGCTGAACCGGGCCCCCAGCCCCCAAGACCCCACTCGATGTCAGACCCGGCGCTGGCCCTGCAGCCCCACCACCGCCACCACTCCCACTCCCATTCCCATTAGCCATGCCCATCCCAGCCTGCGCCAACCCCCCCGCATTCCTATGATCCAACTCCCCATAATCGAGCGAGAACTCGCGTCTCTGACGCTGCCAGTTCATCGCGTCGAAAAAGACGTAGACCCCTCGTTCCGTGCGCTCGCCGACCCTGACAGGCGGTGCGCCGATGGGCTGGGTGGTCGCCAGATCCACAATCGGTAAGGAAGAACCGGAGGAAGCTTCGCGGGTATCCTTCTGCAACCATTGACGCAAGACCTTATGCCAGCGCCAGTCGCGGGCTGTGAGTTCGACGGCGGCGAGTTCTTGTTTGTAGTCGCCCGGGTTTTGGTAGAAGATTGAGAACAGGGTTTCTATGGAACAAATTAGCTTCGGCTGAGGAGTAGTGCCTGTTTGGTGGGTGTAGCTCACCGTCACTGAAGGCCGTTATCCTCCTCTCCAACGGCGGGACGTTGGTAACGGTATACGCGCTTGGAAGAGTGTACTCAGGGACGACATTCCGCTCGTGAAAATCGAACATCGTTCCGCTTCCTCGTTCTGGCGGCACGGGGAAGGGGGTGAAGGTGGGGTAGATGGGGTCCGGGCTGTCGAGGTCCATGCCTAGAGTATTAAGATCCTGGCCGAGAAAGACGCCACTTCGCATCGCGGGTGGTAGAGTCTCGTCTACGGGTTGCCCTGCCTCAATCGCTCTTCGTGCTTCGAATGCTGCGAGCATGCCTGGTAGACCGTACTGTTCGGCTTCGGTCATGTCGGCATATCGTTTGACGTTCGCAGGTGCTTGCGCGGGGCCGTTTTGCGCTGCAGGTGCCTGTTGTGGTAGTGATGCGGGACCCCCAGATCCGATTGGTGCTGGCTGTTGAGGTTGATGTGCGTACGCATTCGAGGGGTGGCGGATGGGTAGTTGTGCTTGTTGACCACTCTGCTGCTGCGATATGCTGTCGGGCGATGCGACGCTGCTGCCTAGGCCATTGCTTGATAATGATGAGTCGCCGTTAAATTGCCCACTCAGTGGCGGGAAAGCATCTTCTGTGCGCTCATTGTTAGGTTGTGATGCGCGCTGGCCATCAAATTGGTCTAGCGATCTTTGCGATGGCGCTGTTGACGGCGCTCGTGGTGGTTGTGACAGCTGCTGGGGTTGTGCTTGTGATTGTGCTGAGACCTGACGGATGGTGTTCGCGTTCCAGCCAGCTGCGGATGCCGAGCTGGCGTTTGGTCGTGGACCGCCACCAAGGCTTGGAAAGTCACTATCGGAGAAGATATTAGCTTCCATGGTCGTCGTCAGTGTACGACACGCGATGACCCAGTGACGGGCAGCAGCGACGGAGCGGTGGTTGGTGTGTGACAACAAAAGCCACAGGTGTTCCCAGCTTGCGCAAAGCTTTGAATGCCTTTGACGTCAACCTCTGCATCGCGCCTGCCTGCGTGCAGCACGCACCTTCCCTTTCCGCCGCCGCCGTACCGAAACAATGGTCAACTCACCTCATATCAATGGGCCCCTGTCCACTCCCACCACCCATCACCTGCGCGAACCCACTAAGCTGCGCTGGCCGGGCACCTCCCAATCCGCTTCCCAACCCCCCTCCTAATCCACCCCCAAGCCCAAATCCACTGCTACCCGCTGTATTCCACCCTCCGAGTCCATTGCCCAGTGCACTCTTCGGCGTATTCCGTAGCTGTGGTGTCTGGCGTGAAGGCTGTGTCGCCGAGAAAGAATTCATCGTAGATACCTCTGTCGGCTCTGCCGGTAGGAGAGGATTGGTGTCCGCCTGCAGCACTCTATTCGGTGCAATCAAGTCTGCTTGACCTTGCTCCTCAGGATCTGTAACGCTCCCGTCTGCGGGTGTGTCAGTAGGTCTCCCATCATCTTCATCATTCACCGCCTCCCATAGCTCCAGCGGCTGATATTCGCGCTTCTTCTTCTTGCGCCGCTGTGCCCGCTGCATCTTGCCGCTTTTGGGTCTGCTCCACCCGAACATGATTGTGAAAGTGAAGGGTGAAGAACGAAGTATCACATCCCCTCCTGCCTCTGCGCGACTGCTCCAAAACACGAATGGGGGAACGTTGTGCACCTACCTGAGCTTCACTGGCCTGCCTTCGTACCAGGTGCTTTCCTCCTTCGCAAGCGTCCACTTCACCTTGCCGTTGTCACCATCGCTCCTTTCGCGCAATCCGTCTTTCGGTATGATAATCTTCGGATATCGGCTTCTGTAGTCTGATGCGATAGCTTTGAAAGGGATCTGAGAAATATTGTACAGCTAGTATTGCTGAAGAGTAGTACCGAGTGTGGGGGATGAATGAGGTTCTGGGAAACCTTGAACTCTCCAGCTCGCATCGCATCGCATGCAGCTCGGGCCCTGCTTGGCGCTCCCGACAGCCGCTTAAGCTTTTCCCTAGCGGCGATCGTGCGTTGTAGGGCTGAGGGAAGGTGCGAGGCGAACGGAGATGAAGCACGTGAGAAGCTGAACATGAACGAGTTCGATAAAGGTGAACATATTGAGTAAGTAGTAACACGAAAGGTAGTACAAAGGAGTGAGCTCGTGTCGGAGTATCGTAGCATGGTCAGTAGCCCGCTCATGCCGGTTCGGGCGAAGAGATCTGACTTCCGTATCTGCTAAGAAGAGTCTTTACAAGAAGTACATAGAGCAACGCCCTCGTAGCGAAGACCAAGCATCCAAAACTACCGCACTACACAGACGAAGCTCAACTATCAGACCCACCCCTCTCCTCCATCTTCCTCCTCGCCGCCAACACCATCTCCTCCCGCCTCCTCTTCAACCCCTCCGCCCTAACAACTTTATCCCCACTCCACACATTCTGACTCCTCAACCCCTCCTCACTAACCACCGCCTCCTTCCCCTTCCCGCCCACCCTCTCCTGAAGCTGATACCTCGTGATCAGATCCTCTTGCTGCTTTCCCCTTCCCTTCCCCGCAGTCGCACCACTAATCCCCACCACCGGCGCCTGGGCCGCGGGAGCAGGTAAAGCAGGCTGATACGAAGGCGGTGGAGCATCTAAACCTCGTCCCGCTAGCACACGCTCGGTTGTAGCGGGGACGCTCCCGCCGTTACGGTGGAGGTCCCAGGCGATCGTTCTCCGGTCGAGTTGCGGGAACATGGCGGCTATTTGATCTATTTTCACTAGATCGACTGCTTGGTTGCCTCTTGATCGTGTGGAGGCAGTGTTGAAGCCTGTGCCGGAGGGAGTGGAGGGTTTGCTCATGAACCAGCGGAAGGCGAGGAAGCCTACCAGCGCCACGGCGATGATTTGGGGGATGTTGATGGAGGTTTTGGAGGCGTCTGCCATGGTTGCGATCGGGTCCAGAGGTTGGTGGAAGTGGTGGAGGAGTTGTTGGAAGCGGTTCTTTGGCTCGAGGTATCCGGTTTTCTGGGTGGGGTGTAGTCCTGAGGTGTCCCAGCTCGCCGGTGATAGTCACTCGGTGTTTGTATGTGATCGCAGTCTAGTCGAAGATGTCAGACCAGTCGTTCCAGCTTGTAGATTGTCGTTGTAAGTGGAGCGGAGAGTGGGATTGATCGTCACAAGATCATCTTGCATCTATGTATTCTTAGTCATCCACATCGGAAGCTTGACCTCATCACATCCGAAAGAAGCAGCCTGCGACGAGCCACTCTAGCAATCACTCAAGCACACGACAGCTCTCCAGCTCCTCCAAACCATCCATCCAACCAACAGGCGTGAATATGGCGAACGGGTAACATACACCCCCAGAACAAAACCCTCTCCAAACTCGCACCCGCTAATCAGAAGCTCGTAAAACACAGCTGGTCCCTCCTCATCTCCATCATCTTCATCGCCGTCTTCTCCATCCTCTCATGGTTCTTCGCCCCGAAAGGCGAAAACCGCACGGTCTGGCGCAGCACACTGATACTCACGGCCTGGAGTTGTTGGTTGATGTGGGGTGAGTACAGCATATGCCTTCTCAAAGCACGAGATGCAGACGGGAAGGGGTTGGTCATTGCGATATCAGGACAGGAGAATGGCGCAGCAAGAGTAGCTAACAATGGACATCGTGTTGCTGGCGGCTGTCTGGGAGAGAATACGGACGAACAACCAAGAGAGAAATCCAGCTAACGACTTTTCTGTGCACAGCTATCACGTTCCTGGCACAATGGCACCCGCTCATCACACCTGAGCGGGCGGACTTGAGGCCGCAGTATCAGGGTGGGCCGGTGAAGAGTGGCGCGAGGATGCTCTGATTGGGATTGATAGATATATAAGCATGGCGGGATGGCGTTGAAGGAGGTTAGGGAGTTTCTGTATCTGCTTTTGTGTACAGCGGCCCATAAGAGATGCGTGTGACTTCTACATCTACCGCGTCTCTAGTCTTACCGGCATTTCGAGAGACTCATGATGATCTGCTCTGGTAGACATGGTCAAGTACGCCTACCAACGAAGCCATTATGCGCCACTCTCACCCCTTTGCCACCCAACTCACATCCCACCATCTGCCCTCTCTCGCTCACCCACCACCCAACCCCAAGCCCTCCCCCACCCTCCTCCAAACCTCAATCAAATCCCCCGTCTCCACGACCCCCGCCGCCGCAACCCCACCCCCAATCCCCACAGCCTTCAAACAACACCACCCTACCCCAGCCCTACACACCGCCCCCACCGCACAAAGTCCCGCAGCCTTCACATACCCACAATCCAGTAGAATCTCCAACGCCGCGACGTTATTGATGATCACCGCCCAGCTGACCGCGGAGGCGGAGGAGGGGAGATCGTATTGCCAGATTAAGAGGAGGAGGGGGAAGAGTTTGGTGAAGGAGGAGACGAGGAGGGCGGTGCTGATAAGGGCGGGGTGCGGGTAGTGTGGGATGACTGCTCGTAGGAAGGGCGGGAGGCGGAGGGAGAGCAGGGTGCGGATGGGGAGGTGGAAGGAGATGGTTTCGGTGAGGCAGAGGGCGAGGAAGAAGAGGTATTGGAGGATGATGGGTTGGGTGGCGAGGAAGGTATTTGGTTCTGTCGAGATCGTGGTGGTGTTGCCCGAGGTCGTGCTTCCATTGGTGGCCGAGAGGCTGCTGGGAAATGGTGGGAGAGGTGGTGGTGGCGAGAGGGGGAGGGATGGCGAAGAGGGCGTGGCTTTTTCGATCCGGGCCCAGGTTAGGTAGACGTCGAAGAGGAGGAGGAGGATGCTGAAGCGGATGATTGAGGGCTGGACGTTATTTTAGGGAAAGAGGTTCGAAAAATGCTAGGTACGAGTGAGAGGGATGGAGCGTACATCGAATTTCTCGTCGTCTCTTCCCCAATGATTGAAGAGTAAGTGTCGATAGACCTGGACAATTCCTTAGCCACGTACCGCAGAAATGGAGTCATATATGATGGTCTCAACAGAGGAGAGCATGCTCCCTATTGTATATCGAAGCTGTTAGATCGCGTTGCATTCATGATGGAGATGGAACAGCTCTAGGAGGCTTGTACCTCTACTCCTTCGATAGCAAGGCGGCCATTTTATGATCAAGAAGATTTCATCGACCTACCTGAGGCTTGATAAGCACCAAATCAATGAACAGCACCACAAAATCATGCTCGACGTATTTGTCTGCGAAGCGTTTGCATCGTGGACATTGTGTCAGGCGGACGCCTTTGCCTAGAGCCTTGTCATCGGCTTTGCTGTATGTCGTGTACAGCGTCGGAACGGGAAAGCGACATTCGATGCATATTGGCATGGTGATCAAAGTGGCGTGGCCGGTGGTTGTCCATTTGGGTTGAGAGAGGAGTGAATGGTGCCTCGAGACGAGGCAAGAGTGACACCAGAAAGTCGGCATATGATCAGTATTTCGGACTTGCCCAAAGAGGTAGTCCGGCAGAACCACGTTCCCTTCATCAAACCTCTCCATCATCGGACAGTCGGACCCCTCACGCACCTCGCTCGAGACAAGCCCGAACGAGCATGCGAGAGGTGCTGCGAGCACTTCAGCCGCCAGGGCATTTGCCCATCTGATGTAATCATTTATTCGCCCGAAGATGTCTGCCGGTAAAAAGATCAAGATCTCTTCTTTCCTAGACATCCAAGCCGAATCTCTCCACGAAAAGATTACTGACCACAGCGCCGGCAAAACACAAGAAGTCACTAAGCAGGAACCTCACCAGACGACTAAATCTGTAACTGTGACATCCAATCCAGTCAAATACGAGACGAAAGGCGCTTCCGACGAGCCCAAAGTCACTGAGGGCAAGGAGAAGACGATACAGCAGACTGTAGCAACAGTAGGCTACGACACCAGCCAACTTTGAAACAACCACATATAAATCCATCATCACAATGGCTTCCGAGAAAGGAATGGTGATAGCCATGGGCTGCGACGAAGCCGGTTGCGGCTACAAGAACAAAATCAAGGCGGACCTCGAAGCGGACCCTCGCGTCGCCAAAGTCATCGACGTCGGCGTCAACTCCACCTCCGACAAAACAGCCTACCCCCACCCCGCCGTCGACGCGGCCAAACTGATCAAAAACGGGGAAGCGGACCGCGCGCTCCTGATCTGTGGCACGGGTCTCGGCGTCGCCATCTCCGCCAACAAAGTCCCGGGTATCAGGGCCGTGACGGCTCATGATAGTTTCTCCGTCGAACGAGCGATTCTGAGTAATGATGCGCAGGTGCTTTGTATGGGAGAGCGAGTGGTGGGGATTGAGCTGGCGAGGAGGTTGGCGAAGGAGTGGGTGGGGTATAAATTCGATCCGAAGAGTGCTAGTGCTGCGAAGGTTGAGGCGATTATGGAGCATGAGAGGAAGAATTTTGCGGAGGCTTGAAATATGTGGGATGGGTTAAGATATGCACGGGGCTGTCTGGAGTATATAGGATTGCATAGGCTGTAAATTTGGCTTGCCACCAGAACCCTTACAAGGGCAACCCTCATGACTCATGACTCTGCTTATCGACGGATAGTGATTCTAACCTTGGATACGACCTTACAAGGGTACTCAAAGACACGACGGATAGTATGCCGTAGGTACATCCAGATTTATGTGAGCAGCGAATGCGAAAGGCGGGGAGCTTCTCGCTTGCTGCAAGCCTCAACATGCCATATTCACGAGCGACTGTTCCCCATTACAAGAGATCCAGCTCGAACAAGTCATCGCTCTAAACCACGATCATGATCAAATCACTGATCATCGCGCTAACGACACTACTGACCAGCAGCCGCTGCTTTACTACCATCCGCAATGGCCAGCAAGTCCTGGGCGGACCCGATAACGAGATCAATATCCGTCCCGTGGTCAAAGAAGACCTAGACGATGTCGTAACGACCTTCCTCGATGCCTTCGGCCCTGGCGCCATAGCACAGTATACCCAATTCCCCGACCCAAGCCTGCGAAATTACACACATCGATGTTACCTCCAGCTGTTCGAAAAGGACTGGGCGCGCTTCGAAGCCAATGAACTCACCTTTGCCAATGTGATCACTGTACCCCGAGGTCCAGATGAGATGGAGAGTATGAGGAGTAAGAAGGTCGTCTCATTCGCCTTCTGGCGCTGGTTGGAAGTGAAGCAGGAGCGATCCTCGTCATTCCAATTCCAGCCTTTCCACCCCTTAGCCTTACGCCACGAAGGCAAATGCTCCGACCACCTAGATACGAACACGACCCGCGAAGCTCAAGTCATAGCCTACATGGACGACATCGAACGAAAATACTACAGCAACCTGACGCATACGGAACTCTACCTCAATGTGATAGCCACGCATCCGGACTGGGATGGTCATGGTTTCGGAGCCGCGCAAGTCGAGTACGGCTTAGGAAAGGCTAAGGAGGCAGGCGCCAATGTGACGCTTGTGGCTACACCGGCTGGGCATCCGTTGTATGCGAGTTTGGGGTTTGAGGCGGTGGCGAATGTGACGATGCAGATGTTTGATGGGCTGGGGGTTTTATGGTTGGAGTATATGAGGTGGAATTTCGAGGCGGAAAGCACTTGATCGTCTACCCTATGTGTACAGATTCGTCCCAGCCGAGTCAGAGACATATTAATTTTCCCGAGCCGATGCCTTTTCCTGGAGACCTCGCCCACAACAGCCTTCACGTCATACAAATGCGGCTTGGTCTTGCACAACGAGTCTCGCAATACTCGCACTGCTAAGCGTCGCCAAGATGCCTGTGAGAAGAGCGGAGATCGCAAGCCTGGAGACATCGCCGCCTCTTGCTGGTGCGATCTGGCTTTGAACACCTATAGAAGTCAGAAGCTGTAAAGTTTGGTCGTTGAGAAGTTTTAGAACATACCGATTTGTGTCCCAAGAGACCCTATATTTCCGAAGCCACACAGACTATAGGTCGCGATGAGTTTTGAGCGGGGTGAGAGGCCAGCATATGCTGGGTCCTTAATCAGAGTATCATATGCGACGAATTCGTTCTGCGAGATAAGATCAACTACTGCTTCTCTAGATTTTCTGCAAAAGCTCTTCTTACCGTGACGATCTTGATACCAATCAGTCGAGCCACCTTGAGCAAATCTGGACCCAGCAGGAAGGCCACGGGGTATAAAAGATATCCTAAGATCAGCTGGATGGTGAGTTCGTACTCTCCAGTCAGGTTCAGATATCGTCCGAACCAGGTCAACAGACCGTTGATCAGTGCGACGAGAGCAATGATGCACAGAAGCGTACAGACAATCATACCAGCGATCTTAAGGCCAAGCCATGCACCCTTTGCAAAAGCATCGAGACTATTTGCAGCTTCGTGATCTTTATCGTCTGGAACGGCAACTTTGCCAGCTGTGAGTGACTGCTCTTCTTCTGGGTATCGCATCTTGCTAATGGCCAGGGAAGCCGGTATGGACATGACGCAGCTCGAAATCAGCGCCTGTGGATTGACGCCCATGCCGATATACGCAACGAGGACCGAGCCAGCGATAGTGGCGAAGCCAGAGCACATGACCTGATGAAGCTCGGCCATGGTAAGATATGCCACGAACGGCTTGATCAACATAGCACTTTCTCCCTGCCCAATAAAAGGCGTGGCGGCCGCCACCACGGACTCTGCTCCGGCGATCCTCATAGCCCAGAAGAAGAACACGGCCGCTTTGCCAATGAACCATTGCAGTGTCCCCCAGTAATACAGCAGCTGCACGAGCGAGACAAAGAAGATGATAGCCGGGATGACGGACACGAGGAACCATGGCGTCTGCGCCGTCTCCGCATCCGTGAGGAACGCCACGCCATCCTTGGCGAAACCGAGCAAGGACCTCGCGAGCGATGATACGAAAGCGAAGATGTCGTAGCCGACGCTTGTGCGGAGGCCGAAGAGGGCGATGATGAATTGCATCAGCATGCCGACGATGATCGTGTGCCAATTAATCGCTTTTCGGTTGCGGGATGTTGCCCAAAGACTAGCCAAGAGGACGATGAGACCGAATAAGCTGATGGCGCGGTTGGCACGGGTATTGTCTGCTTTCTCCTCGCTGAAGAAGGGGCCGATGAGGATAATGGCTGTTGTCGCGGCTGCTCCAAGGGGCAGGCGCCACTTCTCTGGTATCAAGGCTGTCAGGCGTACGGCTGTATTGTGCCAAAGCCAACGCATTGGCCTCGTAACGATCGAGATTGGAACATGGCACGTCAGCAAACGCAGAGTAATGGCCAGCCAGAGGAGAAAAGGAATGGCCCAGTTCATGTCCGTGTGATGTAGACCGAGACTTGCCGCCCACCAGCCTGTTATGACGATCCAGCCAGCGAGGTCGAACCAGACCTTATGTCGGCGGTAGAACCGGGCGAACCTGCTATGGCTTGGAGACCGGCCATCAGAATTATTGCTCGAGGTCACTGGCGACATGGCCTCGATCTCGCCCTTTTCGACGTCCTGGGAGCTGGTGCCCATCTTGTCGCTTCTGCTTAACGTGTTGGGATTGGTATTGATACTAGTGATATGCTCAGGTTTGCAATGACCATGCTCCACCTCGAGATCCTCTCCCGGCGGGCGATTGTCGTGGTGGTGCATCTTGGCCGTGAACGAAAGCTGCACTCTACGGCTCGTCGACGTCGTGAAAGTAGATCAACGATAGCTCTCAATAGATCATCTGCTTTCCGTAGAGCAAGTCAAGAAGACTTCATCACAATCCAAAAACCACCTTCTTATCAGACTCCAATATTGGCGAACGATTAACCTGCAGTGCCCAGCCTACACGACACCTGCCCAAAAGGAATCGTCGTGCCGTGCCATGTAGCATCTATCACGGCACCACGACATCGCAAGACCTCCATCGAGATCATCATTGGTTGACAAAAGTCCTGTTCGTGCTTTGTAGAAGTGTCTATCATCTTGGTCCACCAACAAAGTTCCTGCCACGGGACTTGGAAGCCTTGGTATGGAGACTCACCAAGACATTTCCTTTCGCCACACCATGAGAACCTGCGGTCTCGGGGAATTTATTATGTCTTGCATGGATGGCAAAAAGGAACACTAGATGATACGAGACAGGAACTGATAACGCCATGGGGTGAGATACCACATCTCCGACAAGGGTCGTAAAGGCATGGCGAAAGTCTGTACAATGTGACTCTTGGCGTTCCCTATGTGCTACCGGACATCGTCCCTGATTCTTCCGTGACATGTCCACCTCCTAACCACACTCTAACTATCCATACCCCCCGCCCTGCCCCCCCTGCTGCAACCCCGCCAACGGCCCCCCAACCAACCCCGCCATACCGCCAGGTATCTGATCTCCATTCGGAATCCCAAAGAACTCGAACCAATCGCCCACATTCAACGTGGTAGGAACGATCGGTCCCGTACTCGACGACGTACTCCACTGATCCTCCGCCTGCTGATGCTGCTGCTGTGCATGAAGTCCAGCTTGTAACTGCGACCAAGCCTGTGGATCTTGATGGTATGCGGGTTGCAGATGCTGGCCGGCGCCGGGTTGTTGATCAGGGTGCATAGACATATTGGGTACCTGTTGCGCGGCTTGTCGTAAGGCTGGGTCGACCATACCTTCGTTCGGACTGAGGAGACCCATGCCCATGCCGTTCGCTTCGGGTGGGAAGAGTTGGCCAGGGTCATAGTTTTGCCAGAGGTCTTCGCTGATCTTCGGGCTGTTACGGGTGTGGAGGAAGAGGTCGGGCGGTGTGCCCGGGTAGGAGAAGCCGTTGAAGGGCGTTGTCGGGCGGGTGTTGGCTCGTGATGTGCCCATAAAGGCGTCCGTGCTGTGACGGACTGGAGGACTCGTCGCCGAAATTGTGGGTAGTTGCTGATGGTGATGTGCTTGCTGCTGTTGCTCTGGGATGTCGTGAGAGGGTGAGAGTACAGGACTCTGCGGTCTGCTGCGCTCGTAGCTCATTTGTGCGGCTGGAGGTCCACTCGTATAGCCAAACTCCATGTCATCAAATTTGCGCTTTTGGTTGTCATTATTTCCTTGCGGTTGCACTGGATGAGCACGCTCGCCAGGTGGAGTACTTTTCGCGGTCCGTGCGCCGGACACTCCATTTGGCTTGGCCTTTTGATGTCGTCTACCAGCCGCTTTCTGTAGTCGCTCTTCCAGAACTTTGTTGCCGAGAATGGACTCGAACAGAGTGTGAACCATTTTCGCCACCAGCCAAACCTTGCTTACGTCGCGTAATGCATTCATGCAGCTTGTAAGTCGAGCTTGTGTGGCTGACACGATAGTCTGATTCGAGCTCCGCATTTGGTAGACGTGCATGATGAGCGCGGAGAAGAGCGAGTAGACGCTGTCGAAAATTAGCGTTCGGTAAACATACATCAGTATGTAGATACTCACATAAATGCAGGTGTGAAGCGCAGCTGGTCGTGAAGTTGGAGATTCTCAATGATCGACGTGATCATGCCAGCGGCCTGATATGCGATCGTCCTGCTAGGATAAGCAGTCTCTTCAGGGAAGCCGTTGAGATGTTTGCTTTCAAATGAACCAGCTGGCGGCATATGAGCGCGATGCAGTAGACAGAGTGTTGTGCTGGTATCCGTCAGCGTTGCATCCTAAATAACGAATGGGCATGTGTTCTTACTAGTAATTCGCCTGCAGAAGTGCACTCCAGAAATGATGGTGATGTGGATCCCATCGTACTTCTGGTGAACAGTTCTGCAACCAATCCGCGAGCGCCATGTCACTATGTGTGAGATCAATGGCATTCTTCGGCCGTAGCTTTGAGGCCACACTGTACTGCTGTGACAGCACGAGTCCCATGATCTCGCATAGCTTGACGTAATTGAGGAAGAATTGGATGTGTATCGGGTCCGGTTGGTATTCGGATCGCACTGCGTTCTGGTTCGATGTAGGTCCACTGGGCTCATCGTCGTCAACGAAATCTTCTTCGCTCACCATCTCCACGTCCGAGTCTTCGATGTTGATGCCTGTCGGTCGGCCAAGTGCCACAGCGACAGATCGATCTCGTGTGAACAGTGTCCACCAAATGCGCTTCCATAGCCGCTTGTCGGCACGAGAAAGCTGAGAGTGTTCGACGCTGTGTGCCTAATGTCAGCGCTATCAGTATGTTCGCAGGTGCGTTGCTTACCTTCTGTGCATGCCAGAGCCTTGTGCGACGATGACTGCAACTCGAGACCAGTAAAAGACATTTTTGGTGACGTCTGCTGCCAAGTCAGACCTTGCAGTCATAACAAGATCACTATCATGTGGAGCCTTACCCTCAGGTCCTTCCCAATACCAACCCATCAAAATTAATGCTTGCACAATCGTGACCCGGTCGTCCTCGTAGCCCGCATCGAAAAGTGCTTTTGCACGCTTGTAGAAAGTCATGGCCGCGGGTGTGGTACTGCCGTTAGCATCCATGAGTTGCGGATTACTGCATACTCTGCTGCCTGCCAGAAGGACCGCTTGGAGGAGAAGCAAAGACGGCGGGTTCTTCGGGTCTCGATATCTGCGCATGAACTTCGTCCGGTTGATGACAGGGACTACTGGGGCAATCCATTGAAAGTACGCCTCGACCAGCTCGTCGCATAGTCCCCGTGGAGGTAGTAAGAAAGCGCCACGCTGGTGCAGGATATCAATCTCGACGTTATCAAGCTCATTGACACGAGCTCTCGCGCCACGCACGTTTTCTGGTAGAGGGTAATGGACCACGTCTGTAGTCCCGTGGCGGTCTTGGACCAGAAGACTGAGGTTGGAGGACTCGCCGAGATATGCTACACGGCCGGCTTCCTTTATAGGTGCTCGAGCGAACTTTGGCTTCATGTACTGTGCCCAGGTGCCATTGTTCACACGTTGCTGATCCGCGTATTCATCAGAGACCTCGGTGTCGGGCATGCCTTGCGTGCTATTCTGTCCAATGCTCTCCGGGTCGGGATATCGAGAACCTGCGGGCAGAGCAGCTTCCCTTTGCCGTGAGAAGGTATCACTCCGGACGCTGGGCGACGGCTCTGCTTCTGCGTACGAAGCTCGCCTGTCCTCGTTACTGGTGGTGGTGTCAGCTGTACCTTCCTTGTTTGTCATGCGCGTCGCAGCGCGTCCGCCTAGCACGCACCTTTCCTCATCTTTCTTCGCCCCCGTCTTCTTGCGCTTTGGTGCCGGTATCTTGCATTCGATCGAGAAAGCGACACAGTTCGTACATGGTACGCCTAAGCTAGCGGCGTCGCAGCGAACCTGAGGGGTTGGTTGATGTTAGCGGATGTACTCGGTTTTCCATGTATGCATCGTCATGCACACACCTTGCGCGAATGGCATGTCTCGCATGCCCGAGAGGCTCGTTGCCTACATCAACATGTCAGCACACATATCCCCCCTCGTCGCATTCATGATCCTGATCGCCGCGCACCTTCGGAAGCTGGGATGTCCAGGCGTCTGGCTCGGCGGCGCGCCATTGCTCGTGCTCGCCTGCACCGGCGTAGTGTCTCCTGACTCGCCCTCCATCCTCCTGCACCGTATGGTATATTTGGTGCTCGTGAAGCTCGATTATTGATGGACCGAGGTTCGGCAAGCGACCGCGTTGTAGGCTGACAGGCACGGCCGCCTTGCTCTTTAGACCCACGCGTCTGCAGGATGCAATACAAGCCACAGCATTGCCAGTGGCGTTCGAGATTATGTGTTGCGAAGACGGGACAATGGCCTCGCGAATATCACCTATGTTTGTGTAGGTGTAGGTGCAGGTGTTGTGTTCCTCGGCTGACCTTGGAGCAGTCAGTGATTCGGATTTAGGCTTGGTCGGAGTCTCACAAACGTCGCCGAGTGGGGTTGCTTCTTCGACTGCCAGTGGCGTTAAACCTCGTACAATAATGCATGAATGTGCTGTGAGCATTCATCGCCTTCATCCCAACGCATGAACGAAATCGACATGACCTGAATGCCTCGAGATACTGCCGTGAGTGTGCACTCATGTGCATTCATGGACAGAGCCGAGTAGGAGAGGCGCCGACATCATCCCATCGGATGTGGACATCAATCCGGGCCTGGACATCTTTCATCATGATGTGGTGTGCAACATGAAAGTGATATGCAGCAAACTCAGAGGCTTTTCTTACGCCGTCAAGGACACGATATATCATCCGGCTAGGCCTCGCTTCTGCAAATGGCCGTCAGGATCACCACGTCTTGGTTCAATATCGGCGATTAGCGGCTTATGAACGGCATGAGCAGCCAGCAGCAGTATGATCGCTTTGCCAGCTAAGTCTCTATGCAGGTGCACTCCAATATGCTCGCAGTGTGCTGGCTGTCTCCTGAAGTTGACACGTCGTGAAGGTAGGATATAAGTAGTATTGCCCGCCTCCTGCCTGCAAATCACTCACCTCATAATCCTGTAAATGTCGGGTTGCAGATCATGGCGCTACTTCCGAGCCGGTCAAACATAACATGGCTACTGATTTCTTACCTCATCAGCACCACTCTAGCGGCGCCGCCAAGTGCACCACCCGGCTCGGTAGGTTCGCCGTACGATGGGCATCCACGACTGTCAGCTACCATGCAGCAACGGCGATCTAAGTGCAAAGCCATGAGGCCGCCGAAGATGTCGGACAACAGCCTTACGCCTCGCGTGCTTTTCGCCGAGCCCGCGTCCCTTGAAGAAATGAATCAGAGCGATGCGATGGACGCTGGGTGCGTGAACACGGATTTGCTCTGGTTGGACGAGCAGCAAGCAGAACAGTACAGTCAGAACTTGAGAGGTCAGCCCTTAGCACGGGAGGTGCAGACCCTGACAGCGGCCAAAGTGTACTGGTGAGGCAGTCTTACCCTTGCATTACCTTCATTTGTGTTATACTAGTGCTCTGCTTACCTGTGCAGGTCCATAAGAACTCGGCCGCAGGAGATGGTTCCAATGCTGCAGCAGCCGTCTTTCCTAACCATGTGCAATAAGCTGGCAACCACGGAACCCACAGCTGACATTGTGGCACAACGTGACTGCTGGGAGCATCCTAGCGGTATGACCGTTTGGTTGGAGATGGTCGACGACGCAGACCAGCTAAGACGTGGCCCAGGAGCTATGGTAAGTCTACCAAAATAGCCACTACATCAGCGAGCATACTGATGGTACAGCTAGGCGACGCAAGCGAAATACAAGATGATCTTCAACCTGAAGCATGGTTTACTTGTCGCTCAATTCACAATGCAGCCTCGGGACATAATTCGTGGTAACCATCCTGGTTGGAACGAAGAAACCATCGGACATCGAGCGCCTTTGCCTGATACTGTCTCGGATCTTCTTGCTACGATGTGGAACCACCTACACGGGCTTGGTAGCACAAATCTCTTCCCGAACATGGGTTTAGGTGCGCAAAGGCTCGTTACTATGACCAAGCGACTTCGGTACATCGTCTTACCAGTCTTCGAGGATACGCACTACCTAGATAGCTTTGTTCTCACGTGCCTGGTAAAGCTTGGCGCAGGCACCCGGAACTTTTCTGCTTGGCCAGGCGTCGACTTCAAGGCTGGCGAGTTGTAAGCTGCATGGGCATCAACGCTTGCGCTCATATTGCTATTACGTCCCTCTACAGCTGCTACAGCTTCTTACTCGGTATGCAGCCAAGCAACCGTATCGCCGAATTTCTCTACCAGCATAGGTGAGCACAGTATATTGAGGCCAGATGTCTGTCAAAACGAGCCCCGACTAATGCTTATCGTAGAGACATGCTTGGTCATAAAGTCCTGGAATCTGTCACTATAGTTAGCTTAGAGCATCAAGATACGCACCAGTACCCGACGCTGATCTGGAAGGTCATCGACTGGTCGCAAGAAGCTGAGGATGCCAGACAGGCCACTATTTTCACCCCAGTAGAACCGGCACTTCCAGAGCAGCATGCTGGAGCGCAGTAGCGAGGCCTCGATACTACCAGGATCATCACATCTTGGGTCAGCGTGAAGACTTCGAGCTCATATGCTTGGTGATGCAATGCTCATGTTTATGACACGGCAGTCACTATACATGCCTGGGACGAATTAGACCAGCTCCGTCGCTTCGGCATACTTCCACGGACATAATCTGCTGCTATACTCGTGTCTGGTGTGCTTATCATCAGCCGATAAATAGCTAACAGGTACTTCATAGTTCCGATAGCATAAGTGTCAAGGCCGCATATGTGTCTGCGGTGGCAGCTCTCATGAATAATTTTAGCACGCACGCTTGGCATTCTTTGGACTGCCACGTCAACAAGGTGTCCATAGGCACTGACTTCATACGACGTCCTCGCTTTTCAAATACATGCTACTACCACCCGTACCAGCATCCGATTGCAAGGTGTCCTGTGACGATTAACATGCCCTGATCTGTCTGAAGGCGCTCCACTTATCATAGTCGATCAGTGGCATGAGCTGCGTTGTCGAGTACCTGACTGTCATGCATGTTACGTGCGAGCAAATTAGGGCAAAGTGTTGTTGTACTTAAGCGTCATGCGAGATTGCTTTCACGTTTCCTTCCTGTCTGTCCCCAGATGTAACATACATCTTTGTGCACAGCACCGTACTTGTGCCTTAAGCGAATTCCCTCTGGCTCCGCAAGTTCGTCGCCGCACCTTTCGCTTCATGTATACCAATCTCATCACTACCGATCTCGCTGCTAAAGTTGTCGGACTCGATGACTGGAGTCCGGTCATTGCTGTATACAGCTTCCGCCTCGATCTCGGCGATACTCTTCCCCTTTGTCTCGGGTATTAGGAGGGATACAGCGGCACAGAGTGCCATGATACCTGCAAAAAGGCCCAAAACACCTTTAAGTCCGATCCGGTCGGTGATTGTGCCGAATGCAAATGCTGTCAACACCGCGCCAGCTTTGCCACTCGCGGCTGCGATTCCATGGGCTGTGGCGCGGACGCGGGTGGGGAAGACTTCGACGGGGAGGAGAAAGGTCGTTGCGTTGGGACCCATGTTCAAGAACAGCTGGCTTAGGGTGAAGATTGTTATCAGGCCTCCTGTAGATGTGTGGTCGGTGACTCCTGCCCAGATGGCATAGAGCACCGCGACAACGGCGCTGAGGATCCATTGTTGACGTACACGGCCGATGCGGTCGGGTAGGAAGATGGCGAGGTAGAAGCCGGGGAGGTAGCCGGCGATGTCGACAATGAGGTTGCCGACTGCTATGTTCCAGAGGGTTTCGAAGGGAGTTTTGCCTTTGCCGAAGCCGATGCGGGTGAGGACTATGGATTGGTTGAGGTTGATGCCGTAGAAGGCTATGTCGCTGCGGTTGTGTAAGTATGGGATGCTGTTGAGGGATATAGATGGAGTGCACGTACAAGAGGAACCATGCAGCACAGACTGCAAACAGCGTTCTGGCATTCTTCCAGTGGCTGAAGTAGTCCCTGAAGTCTTGAAGCTGCTCTCCCAGACCGCGCTTGTTCTTGCTCGCCAAGCCAGTTTCTTTCGCGACGTATTGCTCGTAAGGCTTGCTCTCCTTCATAGTCAGACGTGCATACAGAGTCGCCAGTAGTGGTATCAACCCAAGGCCGAATTGCAGGCGCCAGACCCACTGTAGATGGTTAGGGTCGGCATTGATAGCACTCTTGAAGGCCGCCAGCAGGATCAAAAATACCAGTGCGCCTGTGAAACCACCGAGACCAATGAAGCTGAAGACTGTCAACACGAGCTTCGCTCGGGAGCCGAAGCGGTCGTTTTCAGCGGCAATGGACGAAGTCATAGGGTAGTCTCCTCCAATACCAAGACCAGTCACGAAACGAAAGACAAACATCCACGCCACAACATCGCCATGGCCAAAGTGCTTCCAGGGCATCATGATGAGCAGGAAGTTGCCGAGGATGGTGATGATGAGCTCCTTTCCATAGATCTTGTGGCGACCCAGCGCATCGCCGAAGAGTCCAAAGCTAATCTGTCCAACGATCATGCCCAACGCAAGAGCGCCTTTGATCGTATCTTGTTGGATGGTCGGTACGCTGTACTTGTGGTCTTCATAGTAGAGGTAGCCGATGATCGGGACCACGAGGCCAATGGTGATGTTCAGATAGCCGTCGCCGAAGAGGCCCACGCCAGCGATACCTAGGAACTCGAGCTGGTCCAGTATGCGGCCCATGGCTGTAGTCGACCTTCGGGACAGGTTGGAAGACTGGGAAAGACAGGTAGTAGCAGAGATGTTTCGTTGTCGTCTATCAGATATCGACTTGCTGGAGTCTCAAATGCACAGTTGAGTACGTCCATTGATTTATATGACTTCTGGCTGCTATGGTTGACTACATGTCGTCGCGGCCATGTTGCCGTCGTCGCTCAAAGAACTTGCGGGCGAAGTTCATGATTGAGCACGATCATTGTCGTGACATGGCGAGCACGTTGCCTCCAGGGCACGTTGTCGTTGGTACGCTCCAACTTCGAGTCGTGCAGATCGTAACGGAATACGTCTGCTTCATCCACTACGATAATGTCGGCAGGAAGTGCGTCCACTGTGAAGTCTGGTGGAGGAAGAGGATCGAATTGTGGTTGAGCAAGACCTTTCGACCAAAGAAAGCTCCAAGCTCTCCCACGTGTTCTTCAGTCCGTGCTGATCTCAGCGCGACTCTTTCGTGGCATCGCCGAAGTGCCGTCTCACTTCACCACGAACAAGATCGAGGCGCGTTCGAGAGAGCACCTACGTGTATATACAGTACCGTGCTTCCTCAATCAAACTCCTGTTTGGGGCCGTTTTGGCTCGGACAACACGCCGCTGGGTGCAGCAAAACCTCACCATGAACATCGGAGCATGAGCCGATTTCAACATGGACAGCTCACACCAGTCGCCCAACCCTCCTTCTCGGGAGATGTCAGGGAAGGGGCCAGAGATCACTCGCAAGATCACTGCCTGTGTTGCGTGCAGGTAAGTGCGGTAATACCAACTCTGCGTCTTCCCTTCTAAAGGCGAAATATCAAGAGCCGGCTTCCTGGACCTTGGACACCGAACTGATGCACGAGAACACATCCTGATGATGTTGTATTGTGTTGCATCGCACTAATACTCTGCAGAAAGCAGAAGATCAAATGCAATATGCACGACGGCCCGCCATGCTCTCGGTGCAAGAAGCGTGGTCTGTCCTGCACAGTCAACAAGAGTCTGCAGATGATCCTGGAATCCGATGCAGACTGGAAGACCAAGACAGAGAGTCGTATCCGCGCTCTTGAAGGCGCTCTAGGCAAGGTCGCAGATCATCTGACGTTACCGGAGCTTCTCGACTATGACATGGAGGATGCAGCCGACTCGCCTGAGCCCTCTGGTTCCCATGCTCGACCTTCGCTTACGCTGTCGCCACACGAAGAGAAGCATACACCGCACAACTTTGACCTGGTCATGGACGACAATACCGGGCCAGGAGCTATACCAGGATCTGTGGTTTCACCTGTGATTGTGCATAGCGTCGAGCAGAATCGGGCGGATCAAGATATTGTCACACGTGGTATCATTACGGCAGATCAAGCACAATCGTTTCTGGACATCTATCAGAATCGGCTGGACCACTTCGTCTATCGGATCATGGGCGATCGCGTAACTCTTGCTCAAGTGCGAAAAGCGTCACCATTACTTCTGGCGGCTGTCTGTACAGTCGGTGCTCTACACCTGGCATCTCCGTATTTTGAGAAATGCTATCAAGAATTTGTGACCATCTCTGCGACTCACACCTTCTCACGCCGCAACACAGTCGAAGATGTGCGGGCGCTCTGTATAGGGGCTTTTTGGTTAAGCGGAATCAGCTGGACTTGTATTGGGGCAGCCGTGAGGATCGCGACCGAGCTCCAACTCCATCGCAGCATATTCAAGGCGCTTTCTGGTGAGCGCAACCACTATCTGCGCACTCGGCTATATTACGTTGTCTATGTCTGTGACCATCACTTCTCTATTGCATATGGACGGCCGCCGATGACCCGCCAAGATGACGCCATCCGAGCATCTTCTGCATTTCTGCAGACCGAACACGCTGTTGAAGACGATGCCCGTCTTCTATCTCAAGTCAAGTTTTGGTCTGTCGGCACCGAAGTGTATGAGACTTTTGGAGTAGATGTGGAGCGGCCCCTCACACTGGACATGATCGAACCGATACGGCGGTATGCCATCAAACTCGACGAAATTCGAGCATACTGGACGGAGCGCCTGTCACAAAACCGCTACGTCGGCAACTACCCTCGTAAAGGTGTAGGCCTCCATTACCATTTCGCGAAACTATATCTTTATTCGATAGCTTTCAGAGGCATCGGACGTCCTGGCTTCAAATCACCAGACGTAGCACTGGACATCGATGAGCTTGCGAACTCAGCACTTCTGTCAGCAACCGCCATCTTGAGAGTGGTTACGCAAGATCCTGAGATCCAGAACTTCCTCAATGGACTGCCAACCTACTTCGATATTATGATAGCGTTTGCGGTGGTGTTTGTGCTCAAGATCTCCAACAAGTATGCTGCCGCTGTTCGAGTCGACACCAGTGATATTCATTCGCTGGTAGCAGAGCTTGTCCGAGTCCTCAAAGCCGTGACCTCGAACATGCACTCACGTCATCTCTTAGTCAGTGTCGCTCGAGGTGCCGAGACACTACTGGAACGTGTACGCCCTCCGGAAGCACGTGGGCCTTTCCCGGCCAACGCTCATGTAGTCATGACACAACCTACGTTCGATGACAGCTTGTACGATATATCTAGCCAGTGGAACGGCACATCCTTCGATAACTTCTTCATGGGCGAATTTGACTTCCTTGGTACACAAGAAGCGATGAACAACTATCAACCGGACATGTTATATCAGCAGATGTCTGCTGGTATGCTTCCTAATGTCAGAAATCGCTAGTGGTTCAGTACTAGATCAAATGCATCAAAATTGCGCCACTGCCGAGCACCACCGCTGTCAAGGTTCTTCGCCGGACGAGACATCAGTAGCGGTATAGCCTGCTCGGACAAGCCTCCATGTGATCTCAAATTGTGGCCCTCGAGGTTCGACAGATCATGCTCCTCCTTACGGCTGCCGATGACAGCATTAGCTTTTGCGATCACCACAATATCACCTTCGCGGTCGTTCGGTAGCTCGAACGCTATCGCGGCTTCATCCCGTAGCATGGCTATCTCGATTTGAGGCAGGTCCTTTATGAAGGCCAGCATGTCGGGAACATCACCGGATTGCTTAGCATAGACTCTGACGAAGGACCCGAGAGCGCCATGGTGTTTGACGAACGGATCTGTGATGGGGCAGATGATCCTGGCTGCACCTTGGCCCCACTTCTGTGCAATGGCGTCTTCAAGGAAGAGCACGTTTGGTGTGCCGTTTGAGTTGGTTTTGTCGCTCATACCGTGGTCACCTGTAATAGCCACTTGTGCTCCGAGCTCAATGAGCCTCCCAACTCGCTGGTCGAGTGCAATTAGGAAGTCGTTGGACTCTTCCGCTCCTGGAGCATATTCTGGAGATAGTGGTCAGGAACCATCGGAATCTCGAATCAGTCTCAATCTATAACTTACTGTGCTGCACAAAGTCCGAGAGTGTCAGGTAGTAAAGGTCTGCCTTCTTCTCCTCGAGCAGTTTGATCCCTGCATCCAACACAAACAACGATAGGGTTCCAGAGTATTGACTTGGCTGCTTTTGTCCGAGCCATCTCTCGACGTCCTCAATTCCATTGGTTTGCATGGTAGTGCTGCCTGCCCTTTCTGCGGAAAAACAAATGGCGCTGCCATCCAGCCCGTGGCGCAAGATAGCACGAAGCTTATCTTTGGCCGTGACAGCTGCCACTCGCACGCCAAGCTTCGACATCAGTTCCAGCAATGTCGAGCCTCGCAAGAGTTTGTCGTCGGTGATCATCTCTTCTTTGCCAGTTTTGCGGTCCAGGAAATAGTTGCCAACGATGCCATGGACGGATACAGGCGCTCCAGTGATGATGCTGACATTGTTCGGATTGGTGAAAGATGGCATGGCGCAGTGAGCCGTGGCGTGGAAGCCATTCGCTTTCATTGCTGCCAGGTTTGGCAGGATCCCATCTGTTATGCCTTGGTCCAGATACTCAGGGTCGAAGCCATCAACACAGATAACGACTGTTGACTTGGTCGGCAGTGCGTACTTCCTACCATGCAGATCTACGCAGGACCAGGAATTGATGAGCGAACGGACAGTCATGTCCTCGAAGTCGGCTAATGGTGGCGTTTGCATAGCAGGATCCTTTGCTAGATCATCCCACCTTCGAACGGCGATCTTTTCGCTAAGCAGCGGGTCTTGCTGAGCCGTCAGTATTTCGGCGTCGTCGAAAGGGCCTCCCTGGACTACGTCAGTACTTTATCATCGATCGAGCCAGAGCTCAACACACTTGAGTCTTGAAGCTGATCTTGCTAGCCTGACTGAGACTGGCGTAATAGTCCTTGTCGACAGCAGTCAGGTAGCGTTTCGCCATCACATGAGCACCGACGAGCTGGCATATCTTTTCGCTGAAGCCATGCTGCCGCAGATATCGCTCGCCGAGGACTTCGTGGCTTGCTTTGCCAGCACTCGAGCCGTCCGAATTGAGCATGCACGCCTTTCTCTCTGCTGCTGGGATGAACCGACCGAAATCGTGCAGTAGGGCGCCAAGGATCGTGTCTTCATCTGCATTGGCTTTTTGTGCAAGCGTTGCGGCCTGCAAAGAATGCTGCAATTGGCTCACCCGCTCCCCTAGGTAGTCGCCTTGGCCTTGTGATTCTATGTAGGAGAAGAGGCGTTGGACAGTTCGGCGAGCTTCCTCGTCACGAGTAGACGTATGGATCGCCATGGTCGCTTGTGTGGGTTATGGTGATCATATTCCATAGCTTCGAAGTTCTTGCTCAAGTAGTTCTTCGAGAAGGACATCTTGCCGTTCTGTCGATCACCATGCACTTCGCTCCTTCTCAAAGAAACTCAGTTTCCGGCATGCTTGCCGTGCTGCAGTCTCGGGACGAGATCGTCACGATCTGCGTCGGTGCGAAGCCCGAGACTGCTTCGATTGGCTTTAGGACGCAGGCCTGGAGGAAATATGTTGCCTCACACGAGTCCGAATCAATTCAAAACTACTATTGAGATTACACAACACCACCTACTGCCATGGCTCCTCTACAGCTCACCGCTGAGCAGATCCAACATTTCGACGACCAAGGCTTCCTGATCCTCCGACTCCACGAGCACCAATTGGTCGACCCTGTCGTCTTGCAAAGATGGACCAAGGAAGTTCGTGATCTACCTCGAGAGCACGGAAAGTGGATGCCATACGATGAGATTACGCCTTCGGGAGAACGACAACTCATGCGAACAGAAAACTTCGCAGACTTCCACCAAGGATTCTCAGAACTGCTAAATGGTAATAATCTCAAGTCTATCCTGCAGCAAGTCACCCGGGACAACATGCTGCTGTTCAAAGACAAGATCAACTACAAGCTCGCGGTTAGTACTCGCAATACGAGAACTCTCTGACCCGAAGACTGCCACTGATCCGTGCTCGACAGGGTGGCAATGGCTTCGGAGCACATCTCGATGCTCCAGCATACGATCACATCGGCGAGATCGAGCACACTACCGCGAACCTGGCCGTCGACCCTGCCACCATCGCCAATGGTTGCGTCGAGGTCGTGCCTGGTAGCCACAAAATGAATGTCGAACTCGCTGAGGGCGGACGCATCAGTGATCAATGGGTTGCTGAGCATGACTGGATGCCCGTTGAACTCGACAGTGGTGACCTTCTCATCTTTGGCTCGCATCTGGCACAGTAAGTTGTGTGCGTTCTGTGCTCTTGGATCCATCATATCTGACCACGGTATCACGTTGAACAGTAAATCAGCGTCGAACAAGAGCAATAAATCCCGATCGAGTGTGTACGCAACCTATCACAATGTCAGCGATGGCACCGACCTTCGAGACAGATATTATATTGACCGTAGAGAGAACTTCCCACCCGATCACGGTGAGTGTCCTGAGACTCTCTTGCTTGCGATGATCTTACTGATGAGATTACCCTAGAGCGCATCAAAGGCAAAGACTATGAAGCGGGCGTGAAGCGCTACGCCTTTGCAGCGCCATTCACCAGCATTGAGGAGAAGACGCCAGTGGTAGCTCAGGTTCAGGAGGTCGCATAGTTACATTCGTTAGCTCAGTTTTCGAATATGTGTTATGGTCCAGTGGTCCAGCGACGTATGATACGCTGCGTTTGTTACCTCCTCGTTCCTGGACTGGGCTGGGTATATTGATCCCATCTAGGTAGTGTTGAGTCTTTACTGGACATTGGAAGACGCATCTGAAGAAGCATTTTCATCATGCTTGGGACAGCACAAGCTGAATTTTGCAGCTTGCGATACATAATGTCGAACCTGTATATATTTCGAGTTATGTTTTCGAACCATGTCTCCAATATCCGCGCGGCGTTAGGGCTACTTATATCCGACTCGCCCCGGAGTGTCGTCTGTCCTTCAACAACAAACGAACATTCTGGCTGAGCCTATGGAGCTAGAGACTGCTAAGTCGAGTCCAAGATCCGTCATAAGAAGGATGAAATCTAATTACTCAGCTGGATCCTGCCGTCTATGTCCGCAAATCCAGCCTGACCACGAGGCGACCAACAATGGACGTCTTAACACAGGCCTATAACTCCTCGGACACTTTCTCTCGTCACACCAGCATCTCCACAAGCAGCAGCCTCCACCTCGGAACAGATATCTGTGAACAAGCAGTCTCAGCCGAAACTATCTGAAAACAATGCCGCCACCTCAGGGTAGTCTCAACCCCATCGAGGGACCTGGTATGTCTTGTCCTGTCTCGTATCAACATCAAAACCTCAGCTGACTTCGCACAGGCGACTACACCTTCACAAAAGAAGTCCACGATGACACCTACGCCGCCATCGATCCAACAAAAGCCGACCACACAGGGCACTCTGTGTTCATCGTGGGCGCCTCGCGAGGCATAGGCGCTGCCATTGCTTCATCCTTCGCCAAAGCCGGCGCCAGTGCCATCGCCATCGGAGCCCGCTCAGATCTCAGCAGCCATGTCGAGGCGATCAAACTCGCTGCCAAGAGAGCTGGGCGTGCTGAGCCCAAGGTCTTATCTGTCAGACTGGACATCACCGACATTGCTAGCGTCGAGGAAGCAGCAAAGACAGTCTCGCAGGCCTTCGGAGGAACACTAGATATCCTCATCCACAACTCCGGTATCATTGGCGCGATGATCCCCATCACGCTCTCTGATCCAGCCGATTGGTGGCGAACCTACGAAGTCAACGTCCGAGGACCCTACCTCATCGCCCGGTCCTTCATCCCATTACTCCTGAAAAGCACCCTGAAAACGTTCATCACCGTCTCAAGCGTCGGCTGCACCGTCTCGAACCCCGGCGTTTCAGCCTACCAGTCCGGCAAAACGGCGCTGACACGCGTGACGGAGTTCGCGGCGCTGGAGAACCAGGAGGAAGGGTTAGTGGCCTTTTCCGTGCACCCTGGTAATATCAATACGGGGATCGTGGATCTTAGTTCTGTGCCGGATGCTTTCAAGGCGGTGTTTACGGAGACGGTGGAATTGCCGGCTGATGGTTTGGTGTATCTGACTAATGAGAAACGGGATTGGTTGAGTGGACGGTACGTGAATATGACCTGGGATTTGCCTGAGCTCACGAGCAGTCCGAAGAAAGATGAGATTGTGGAGAAGGATTTGTTGAAGATTAGGTTGATGGTGTAGACGGCTTGAGCACGGTCGTGTAGAAGTCGAGGAACGGAGGAGCTTGCTAGGAATTTCTGGCATACTATACATATCTACACTACTTCTTGCTGTCAACATCAGAAGGTCTACTGTGCTTCTTCATAGCATCTCGCATCTCCTGCTTCATCCTCGTCACTGTGCCCACGCCGCCATACATCATGGCAGTGTAGATCTGACATACACTTGCGCCGGCATTGAGGATCTGGAGACATTGCTCGCCTGTTGTGATGCCACCCGTAGCGAAGATGACTTTGGGCTCGAAGTCTTTCTTACTTGTAGTCGGGGTTGACGGAGTACTTAAGCCGGCCTCTGCGAGTGACACAGGCTCTGGTGGTGGCGGAGAGGGCTTTGCTGGTGCTGTCGCAGGAGCACCAACACCGGGTGGAGGTGAAATAGGACCTAGCGAGGGATACGGTGCAGGTGCTGGCTTGACTTCAGGTTTACGAGAAGGAAGAGCTGGAGAGGCTATCCCAGCGTTCGTTGGTGAAGGTGGTGGCGCTATAGCAGATCCTACCGAGGTCACAGTCGACGGCTCAAGTACTTGACCTGATGATTCGAGCTTGGTGTCGGAATGTCTTTCGGGGAACTTGATTGGTGACTGGGAAGTGCTCGCTGCTTCGGCTTCCGAAGTCAGTGGCTTGAGATTTGCAAGGTCGCGCTTGACGCTGGCCTCGACGGCATCGACAGCACTTTCAATTGGTGGAGGTGGCGGTCTTGATTGCTGTACCAATTCTGGCTCGGGCGATGTTATTGCTTTCGAAGATGACTTTGGTTGTGTTGGCGTCCGGGCTTCTGGCTTCGAGGCTTTGGCTGGCTTAGAATTGCGTGGCGCAGCATCATTGCCCTCCTGTGGCCCCTGGTCGAGCTTTGATCGATATCGCTTCACCAGATCCAGCGTCCGACCGAACATCTGTGGACCAGAGTAGCCACCCATCTCAGTCAACAACTTCTCCTCATGCTTAGGCATGATATAGCCTTTCGGTATCGGGTCTGGGCGCTTGTTGGTCGTGTTCCCCACAATAACACCATCGACACCAGAGGACCAGACGGCTTTGCAGATACCTTCAATTTGTGCATCGCTGTCCTCGTCAGGGGAGACTTTGACCATGACTGCTGGCTTAGTTTTGCGGTCTGTCGACTTCGCTGCATCAACTACAGCAGTCAAGATAGCTGTCAGAGGTGCTGTAGCTTGTAGATCGCGCAGACCAGGTGTGTTTGGTGAAGAAACGTTGACGACCATGATGTCTGCGTACTTGGCTAGATGCTCAACACAGGTGACATAATCTCGCGCCACAGCTTGGATGTCGTTGTCGGGTGTAGTCTTGTTCTTTGCAACTTGTACAGCCAAGAGCTTACCAGGAACCATACTGCCCGGGGGCACTTCTGCCTCACCGTCCAGAATGATGCGCTCTGACTCCGCTTGCAGACCAAGACCGTGGTCATACGCGAATTGTCGTACTCGCTCCCGAAGCTGCATAGCAACATGCTCGGCTCCTTCCGAATTTAGTCCGTAGCGATTTATGAGTGCATTCTGCGAAGGTATGCGGAAGACTCGTGGTTGTGCATTGCCGACTTGTGGCATTGGTGTAGCTCCTCCCACTTCTACAATTGCCGGACCGAGTGCGAACAGTGCGTCTGGTATTTCAGCATTCTTGTCTATGCCCGCCGAAGTCCCGATTGGGTTGTTCAAGACGTGTCCAAAGATCTCTATCTTCAGATCGCCCTTCTCCTCGTCGCGGTTGTCTCTTTCGCGTGGGTGTAGATTGAAGTCGTACATGCCCTTGATGTATCGTATACCGGCATGATGGGCCTCTTCCGGGTCTGCATGGAGTAGTCGTAGGGTCGGCACGACAAGCCATTGGTGGATGCTGGCGCGAGTGTCGGTGATGTAGAGGTAGCCGAAGCCAGTGAGGACGACTGTAAGGGTACCATAGAGCCAGCCACGTAGACTTATACTGGCTGCGGCAGTTGTAGACTGGTGTCGTTGTGAAGTAGGCCGGGCAATTGTGCTAGGTGTGGTCGGTCGTCTAGTAGATCTCAAGGAGAGTTGGCGGTGGCATTGACGGGCGAAAGTGCTTCCCTGGCTGCCATACGACGTTCGCAACAGCCTTATAGGCGCCGTCGAGATGTACTGTGAGCCAGGCATCGCCGCCTACACGCTTGCTAACGACAACATATGGATAATCACGAGAGTTGCTCGAGCTTCACCTTGAATCCGTAGCTTCCCAATCTGGTAAGGTCCAGGAACAGAAAGGACCCACGTCATAGCGCGAAAGCATTGACGTATCCATCACTTCGATCACACTCTCGTTGACAACACGGACTCACGAATTGACTTCAATACCCTTTATTATGGCAACCAAACTAAGAACACTCGGCCCCAAAGCCGCCGCAGCCCTCGACGAAGAACTCATGTCCACCGGCGCCTTCTCAATCGATCAATTAATGGAACTAGCTGGCCTCGCAGTCTCCCAAGCAATGTACGCCATCTCACCACCATCCAAGACTCCGCATATCCTCGTAGCCTGCGGACCAGGTAACAATGGTGGCGATGGTCTGGTAGCAGCTCGCCACCTCTTCCACTTCGGCTATAAGCCGACGATGTACTATCCCAAGCAAAGCAAGAACGAGCTTTACCAGCGTCTACGAATCCAGCTGGAACAGCTTAAAGTACCCTTCACCAACGATTTTGGGGATGCGGTACAGAAGAACGACTACATCATCGACGCCATCTTCGGTTTCTCCTTCAGTGGCGAGGTCCGGGAACCATTCCCCGCTGTCATCAAAGCATTAGCCGAGAACAAGAAGCCCGTCCTTGCAGTCGATGCGCCTTCGAGCTGGAACATCGAGAGTGGTCCTCCTAACGACGGACCTGGTAAAGGCTACCAGCCAGCCGCTTTAATCAGCTTGACCGCGCCTAAGCCGCTAGTGAAGTGGTTCAAGGGCAGGCACTTTGTTGGCGGACGGTTTGTGGGGAAGGAGATTGCGGAGAAGTACGGATTTGATGTTCCATCTTATCAGGGGAGCGATCAGATTGTTGAGGTGGGTGAGCATGGGGAGAAGCTTTGATTCGAGGTGGTCGGTTCCAGAAGGCTTGGCGCACGAGGAGATCACAAACTTCGAGAAATCTTCTGTGTCCGGTCGCTTCCTCTCCAGATACATGTCCACCCTGAGAGAGCTCAAGGTCTTCACGAATCTAGAACGATCAACTGTGAAGCTTGGGACACGGCTCATGTCTAGGACGGCTTCATCACAGATCAACGCCGTTGATCTGGCTGGCTCATCTTTGACTCAGCAACCCAACCTCCCTTCACTCCTGACACTTCCGGACGAACTACAGCTGATGATCTACAAGTACTGCTGTCCAACACATGGAGTACTGAGTTTATGGCTTGCCAGTGGCATACTGGAATCCGAGCTGTATACTTTCCACCCAGAATCGATCTCAAGGAGGCTGAAGTCCGACCTTCGACTACTGCATATTTGCCGTCGCATCCGAGAGATTTCCCGGGCGGAGTTCTGGAAGACCACCACCGTCATCTTCGACATCGCCGCCAATGGTGCCATCTACGATTACCGGGCCGCCGTCGAATCTGTTGCCTCTCGATTACCAGGAGCTTTGCCTTTTTGTAAGACCTTGGATCTCTCCTGTGGACGCTTTCCAATCTGCCAACTCCCTTATCAACGCATACACGAGGAGTACACTGTGTTAAGTGCCAATGGCTGGGCGGCCGTACGCATCAGATGTGGGCGTTCGCTTGGTGAAATGCAGCGTCTTGATGAAGTGGCGCCGAGTCCGTGGAGGCCTTTACGACGACCTTGTTTGAGATGTGGCGAGAGAAAGGAGGTGATGATGAGGAAGCTGGAGACCACGATGCTGGTGATTCGGGATGAGGGTATCAGTCCAGGACGACTTTTGGAGGTTGTCGATGCGATTCTGTAGGCCACATGTAAGAGACTAGAGGCAAGAGCTTTCGGGAGTGTCTGGCAGATTTTGGGCACCGGCGTGCTTCCCGTCCATCCATTCCTGGCGTTTACACTTTCCACGATCAGTACTTGGTTCGTAGTACCTTACGTGAACATCCTCGCTAGTATCTCGACAGTACAGATGGGCCGTAAGGTACTGCCCTAGATGGTACTCGCGTTAGACACGGAGTATCTATGGACGACAAAGGCTTCATTTGATCACTTGGCACACGATGCACCATTAAGTCCTCACACGACTTGCCTTGCCGCAGTACGTTCATACTTGGCTTGCCTACTTTTCACCCAGGCGTCGCCACCGGTTATATGCTCTGCCCTCTTCCACGACACCTGGACAGCTTTCTACATCATCCTCTCGAAAGGCGACTCGACCACTTTCCAGGTTTGCCGCCGATTGCGCTATGATGCCATCGAAGTCTCCTGCAGTCACAGCACTTTTAGCATTGACATTCACTGTCAGATGGATGCTGCATGGGCCTGGGAACGGTTGGACCCACTGTCTGAAGAGGCCATAGCTGCGCTATACCTGACTACCATCACAAGATCTCGATGCAAGGCCGACTCCGTAATCAGCACCATGCGGAGACGAGAGACCTGGGTAAGGCGGGGGTGTCCATGAGGCAATACTACGAGTCGCTAGCTGGTCGTGAGCCGAAGGATATGCACTTTACGCGAGATGTCGCTGTGCTTTGATAGTCCTTCTGAGCCGATCGTTGCTTTTAGCATTATTCCGAGCCAAGCTACTGTTTCAAGCATTCCATGGATCTCTGGTGTATGCTTCTGCTACTCAGCGGATGTACCACGCCTACAATGATTTCTACCCATCGATACATGAACGGCTGGCGAGGTGTGTGTACTGTCCCTTTGTGCAGCGTTGCTCAGGATGTGGCCCTGCAATTTGCACTTTCAGCTGCGCCACCCTTCAGCCTCATAGGCGATCTCATCTCGTACCACTTCAACATCAGCCTTCGTCAACACTCCGCCACGTCTTCACAATCCATCGTCCGCCGCCATGGCAGATGCCTTAGGTGTTGCAGCCAGTGCCATTCAGGTCGCTGATGCCGGCTTCAAGCTGTATGGCGCATTATCGCACTACATTCGTGACTACATCAATGCGGATCAGCACGCCAAAAGACTGGCTGACGAAGTGCATACGACATCTTGGGCACTGCAACAACTTGGTACATTCTTAAATGAAGACGACGAGGTCAAATTGTGTAAGCCAGCGGTTGTGAGAGAGACCGAAGCGGCTTTGAAGGGTTGTCAGGGTGCTTTCGACGAAGTAAGCAAGATACTGGATGATTTTGTCCCGGATGGCAGTATTGGGAGTATCAAGAAGCGATGGAAATGGCCACTGAAGAAAGACAAAGCGGTGCTCTTATTGGCACAATTTGAACGCTTGAAGACTACTTTGCTACTGGTTTTCAAGGTCCTATCATACGCAAGCAAGCTTGCCTCTTCTAAGTATGGCGATGTCAATTGATGTTATTGATCGCGAAATTATAGCTGATCGCTTTACGGCAGAGCAAGGAGTGGCGCATCCCTGGTCGACGAAAAGACACAGGTCACGTACCTCGCTCAAGCCAAGGAGAACGCTGAGGCAACAGAGAAGAGGCTGCTTGCCCAAGCCACCGCACTTAGCACAGAAGATGCGAAAGCACATTTCTACCTTCCCACGGCCTCTAAGTCATCGGACGTAGTGACATTGCGCACTCTGGACAACTTGGCTTCAGTAGCGAAACATGGTCTCCAAGCAGGCCAGACCGCTCCCACGATGACAAATGCTATTCCTCACAATAATTCTGGAGGTCTCAGAGCCTCTACCATAGAGTCACTGTCTGCGGAGGAATTACCTGGGTCGTTAGAAACGAATGTGTTCGTAGGTGCCATGCTACAGCCGGACTCTTCCACGGACCTTCTCAGCGTACATGATCGAGTCAGCACTGTGCCTCCTCCTCCTCCAAAGTCTCTTTCGCAAGCTACGGAGAAGCAAGTAGAATTGTCGAAGCGCGAGCAGATACTGCTTGGTCATCTAAATGACTGCATCACGGCAGTTGCCCGATTGGCATTTGCGTTGCAAAACGCGCGGAAGGATCTGCAAAAGGAAGGCTCGATGCCAGTGTCCCAGATCTCTCAAGCTCTAAGGTCATCGAAAAGAGCTGTGGATACTCTGGTCACCGCCGAGCGCGACGTGGATAGCGAAGGGGAAGCGGAGAGGTATCCTGTAGGAAGGGAGACCAAACCTGTTGGTGGCGAGTTCGAAAGGTATGGTAAGTATTTCACACCAAGCCAGCAAAGCATAGGAATGCACAGCCCGAACTTGCTTCATCTGCAGCCGCTGCAGCAACAATGCCTACTACAACAGAGTCCACAACAACAGAGTCTACAACAACAGAGTCTACAACAACAGAGTCTACAACAACAGAATCAACAATATCAACTACCGATAAATCCCCACTCACATGCAAACTTTGGTCATCCGCCAGGCCGGCCGTCCGCCAGCGGAGCAGAGACCCCTGCAGACGACACTAAAGGGAGACCGTCGAACAGCAGCCAACAAACTCAGCAAATCGGCTCGTCCATAGGTCATCACGCCTTACAAGATTACCAAATCGCGCTTATGCTTGTGGAGCAGCAGAACAAGAAGCGCCTGCTCATGGCACGTCAGGAGGCTGATAGTGCGGCGGAAGCGGGACTTGGAGTGCCAGCGCGAGCCCCACCACTGAGCGGTCCTGAAACTAGTACCTTAATCAAGCCAGGGGAGCTGCGCGATTCGTCGAGGAGGAAGGCTCGGTCAACTGCATCCCAACCCGGCATTGGCCGGTTCCAGTACAAATTCGGCGGCCAGAGTGAAGCTGGAGAATTCGACTCAATGACCGGCGCTGCCTCAGACACGGTCCAAGAGATTGGAAGCTTCGACTGGGACCAGGGTCTACCGAGTGATGCTAGTCGTCTAAATAAATTCGTCTTCGACTTCGACTCCTCTGACTTCGATCGAAGAGGATCTTCGAGCACGGTGCCAGGCGGGGTACAGAAAAGTCCACGAGACGGGCGCTTGAAGACTATCTTTGGAAGTCATGATGACGGTGATCATGATTCAGACAGGGTAGTAGTCGAAGTCGGGCCTCTTAGGTTACGAAGAAGTCTAGACGCTCGATTCGAAAATGATGGAAGTGCACAAGTATCAGCAGATACGGCTGGCGAGAGCGATGTCTCGGAACAGGAGGGAATGGACGAAGATGGGACGAGTTACTTGGATCATACTGATATTGTTGAGAGGCTATTGAGGAAGTGGACCACGGTAGCGACATAACGGCTGTTGACGTGGACGAGTGTAGCTGGAGTGATGCGGTGAGATGGGAATCGCGTGCTTGGGCGTTGCTGGTGTTCGCTGTGGAGGAAGTGGATCAAGATATGAAGTATGCAGGAAACCGGATCCGTCTATGACCATCAGGCGAGGAAATCGCCACCAGTTCCGCCTTCGATTCACTTGCCGTTCGTTCACTATGACATGCTCGAGCTGGAGAAACAAACCATTACTGTTTGTGCCCGTACAGTGCATATGCATTCACGTGATAGCCCCACTTCAGTGGTAAGTGCAATGAAGTCCTACTCGTCCACTCATCCTCCGCCTTAATCTCTTCAATACCTATCAACTGATCGTTCGAACACCCTCCTCACATCTTTCTTGCAGCCACCATTCGCCATCACCCTCGAGATCCAGCCATGATGAGTTCGTGAGTAGAGGTTCCTTTTTCCTGGGATCACAACACGTAATTGACATCTCACAGAACAGTCACCACATGTCCTCCAACCGCCCGCTACTATCTCCTCGAACTCCTAACCGAGCTCCGACTGATCATCTACGACCTTTTCTGGCGCGAGGATATGATCGACCTACAATCTCATGGGAATTGGGACACTGTACCGCCCATCGCTCAGAGCTGTCGCCTGCTCCGAAGCGAAACACTGCCCCTCCATTTCGGACGTGGTCTCTCGCACACAGGCTGGTTCGGACTCGAAGAATGGGCCCGAGTCCATGTGACTGCGGAATCGAGCATCCACGTCACGAAGATGGTGCTCTCGGCTGGTAAAACGCGTCTCGAAGAGTTGCAATGGCTGCATAGATACTAAAAAGACTGCGGGTCAAATGGTCGAGGTGCATGATGAGAAGCATGAGTGCAAGCTTGCCGGCGATCAATGTGGGTATGAAAGAAGTGTAGAGAAGGCGAATCTGATCAAGGCACTCGACTGCCTACTCGAAGGCTGGCAGCACAACCTTGGTGAGTTGCTTCGCCAAGATTATGGGGCGCTGGAGCGCTGGAGCGCTGTTTGAAGGGTAACGTTGCTGCGTCAGAATGAACGGTCGTTGCGGGACAGGTCGTGACGGAACAGGTCGTTGCGGAACAGGTCGGATCTGACCGTATCACGTGTGCGGCGAGGATGCGGAATGATAATGTTGGCTGGTCGACTTATTCGACGGGTATGGCATGACCATTCGTAAGATGTCCATTGGGGGTGAATGCAGTATTACCCCAGGCGCGAATCCAGCCGAGCTTCCCGACGACCGCTCAGATAGACAGCCATTGAAGCGATGTTTGACATATCTTAGCTCACAGAGTCGACACACGTGACAGCCCCGCAGAAGTGCTAGGACTGCTGTCGAGAATGGCGCATGCTTCATGTGTAATCTCGTCGGCTTTAACCTGCCAGTGCCCTCACATGGCCGCAACAATAATGGCCTGCTCGCCAATATCTGCCGTCCGAATGTCGTTTTGCGTGTCCATCCCCATCCCATAATATTCATCCCACCTCAAACACCTCCACCTCATCCACCTCCGTCCTCAACAGTGGCGCCAACACATTAGCATCCCGAAACGCCTCGGGAGCATTCTCCCTCATCCCCTTCAATTTCTCCTGCAGCACAGCATAACTCTCTTCCTTCGCTGTGTACTGCCGTATAACCTTTTCCGAACCATGCTCGATATACACCCTCGTATCCCTGATCCTGACCACGACCCCATCCAACCTCAGAAAGAACCGAGACAGAAGCAGTAATCGCTCAGGCATGACACGGATCTTGATGCTGAGGAGTGCTATACCGTTATCCGCCAGTTCGTCTTCATACAGATCCACCGTCTCGAAGAACAAGATCGGATCTGGTCGGACCAGTAAATCCGTCCTCACCGGATCCTTCCCCTGCGAACTTCTCTCCCACCTTCCCTCCTTACTACCCCCAACATCCGTAGAACCCCGATAATCAGTACTATAACTCCAATCAAACGGCTTCACCACACTCTTCACCTCATCCTTCACCATCGCCTCCTTGCGATCCTTCTTCCATTCCTCCGCGACGGCAACTTGCAGCATTCCCTCTTCTGTTTTACTCACGCGGTCGAGGGCATCGCGGGCGTTAAATGATAGTGTCCAAGCTGTGGGGAGGTGAATGATGGAGACCAAGTTGTCGCCGAAGATCATCTCAGGTATGGGGATCCCAAGGTCGTTGCTGAGTTGGTCGATGGGCGTGGCTTTGAGGATGGGGAGTTTGCGGGTTGTGATGCGCCAGGTACCATTCTGTGTTGTGTAGGATTTGGTCCCTGCACCAGAATCAGAGCCGTTCGAGGCCATATTGGGATTGTCTTGTAATCATGCTATTATGTTGATGTCGCTGTGGTCAGACGTAGCAGCTGCTCAGGAACGTTTCCGGGCCGAGCCCAAATTTGTTCGGCGCCAGGAACCACGAACTTCACCACTTCTCATCCTCTTCATATACACGGCAAATGGCGAGCTCACAGAAGATGGCGGATAGCGCCCAGCGAGCGATGAACAACGTCGCGGAAACCGACTACTGGGCCTCCCCCACCACCCAAGTCTTCGCCTTCATCGGTCTCCTCTACATCACACTCAAGATCTTCTCGTTTTGGCGACTGATAGCTTCCCTGTTCATACTCCCCGGCACTAACGTAAGGACCACCACCATCTACAACAAATACACACACAGCAAACACTGACCTTATCCCAGCTCTCCACCTTCGGCAAAAAGGGCACCTGGGCAGTAATAACCGGCGCCTCGGACGGCATAGGAAAAGAATACGCCCTCCAGCTCAGCAAAAAGGGATTCAACGTCCTCCTCATCTCCCGCACGCAATCCAAACTCGACTCCCTCGCCACCGAGATAAAATCAACGCACAATGTCGACGTCCAAACCCTCTCCATGGACTTCGCAGCCAATAACGACGTCGATTACGCCAACCTCCAATCCATCCTCCAAGGTCTAGACGTGAGCATCCTAATCAACAACGTCGGCTTATCGCACAACATCCCGGTCCCCTTTGCCGAAACCCCGGAGAAGGAAATGCGGGACATTATAACAATAAACTGCACCGCCACCCTCCGCGTGACCCGCCTCATCGCCCCGGCCATGATCCAACGCCACAAAGGCCTAATCCTAACCATGGCCTCCTTCGGCGGCATCCTCCCCACCCCACTGCTAGCCACTTACTCCGGCTCCAAGTCCTTCCTCCAACACTGGTCTTCGGCCTTAGCATCCGAATTAGCTCCTCATGGCGTGACGGTGCAACTCGTGCAATCCTACCTCGTCACCTCCGCCATGTCCAAAATCCGACGCAGTTCGATGCTGGTCCCGACCCCGAAGCAGTTTGTGCGCGCGGCGTTGGGGAAGGTGGGGAGGAGTGGGGGTGCGCAGGGGGTCAGTGCGACGAGTACGCCGTATTGGGCTCATGGGGTTATGCATTGGGGACTTAGCACGTTGACGCCGGGGGTGATGAATCGGTGGGTTATTGGGGTGAATAAGGGGATGCATGAGGGGATTCGGAAACGGGCGGAGAGGAAGGCGGAGAGGGAAAAGGGGAAGAAGAGTGCGTGATGTGAGGAGGAAAAAAAATGCTATACAGCAGTCGTGAAGTCTGGATTCCCGTGTTCTGTCAAAAGATTTACACGACCTTTTTTGCCGCGACAGAGAAAAAAAAATTCTCCAATCGCGCTTCGGTCGACTGATCTTACCAGGCCGTACGACACTACTCAGGCACAATTACCAACCCCTCTCCCAATCCAGACACACCACACTCCCGCCTCCTTAAAACCCACCCACTACATCTTCCCACCCCGTCTACTCACAACCGGCGTATCCGGAACAGCCCAAACACTATCCCCCACCTCCTCCACCCCCGGCGTCGGCCCCTCAACAATCTCCTCTTCATGATCAGAAGCGACCTCGAGCATCGTCTTCGAAACACCATTCCCATCGTTCCCAACTATCCCATCAGGGCCCAGTTTAGTTCCTTTTGGACTCTTGACCGGACTCTTAGCAGGACTCTTAGCAGTGCTTTTGGACGTGGTCTTGCTCTTACCAGGCGTGGCAGCTTTGGTGGGTCGGGTGAGAGAAGTGGAAGCAAAGGGGAGGGGTCCCGTGCTATTCCAGATTGGGAGAGTTGTTTTGGTTTGTTTGCCTGCAGGCGAGCGCATGGTTGATGGTGTTGAGGAAGTGGGGGGTGGGCGTTCAGGGGCATGATGGCCGTTGGTGGGTGCCGCGTACTGAGCATCAAGTGCATCGACCACGTGAGAGGGACGCTGAGGTGGCGCTTTGACGGCTGTCGTTGGCTCGGGTATACCGTCAGTCACACCGGATAGGTCTAGCTCGTTCGTAGACAGTAACTCTCCATACTGTATGCCCGACGCAGCCGTAAGGGGTGGTAAGTTCTCCTCGTAATTCAAGCCGTTCGCACGATCGTCGGGAATGCCATCCGCGGGAGCAGATGGTGCGCCCCTTTGCGCTAGAAAGCCGTTGCTTGGTACCGCGTCCGGCCTGACACCCTGAAGCCCTGGCTCTGGTGCAAAGCCCGTGGTAGTCATGCTGTTAGGGGCTCCTCCCTCAGCTTGCAACGACGTTAGGTTTTGCTCTGACGCTGGGCCGGGACCTGTCACTGAATAGTCGCCATTAGTACGCGTTGCCGCTGGTGCGAGACCAGATGTCGTGGAGACAGCCCCCAACGTCTCATTATTAGCTGTAGATCCGGCACCATTCACGCCCCCATTACCACCACCAGTATCCGTCATGGCTTTCATTTTCTTCGCAGCTGCATTCACCCTCCTCGTCTCCGCCCCCTTCAGCGCCCTGGCTCGGCGTTCCGCAGCCTCTTTCTCAGCAACTTTCCGTTCACTCTCCTCCCTCGTCCCGACGTTCAGCGATATCTTCTTCAGACCCGAAGCCAGACGATCGACGTCATGATTGGCCGTCTGGTTCATGGCTGGCGCTGCTGAAGGAGGGAGCTGGGTGCCGTTCGTCGTTGTCGTGGTGCTTGACGAAGGTGGCGACTCCTCCGCGATCGATGACGGAAGATGTTCATGTTGCGTTGATGCCGAAACGGGTGCTGTAACGACATTAGCGGGCGATACAGTCGCACTAGCCACCCCTGTCTCCTCCAAACCCGCCCCAGGCGCATCCGACACCACAAGCTTCTTCGGCCGTCCCGACGCCCTCGTCTTCTTGACCAGCATCTCCCCTCCAGCAGCCACAGAAGCCCGTGGTACCGGAGTCTTGAAAACAGGTAAAGGCGGCACAGGCGGTCGATCAACCTCCTGCCCCATAAAATCAAGGCCGCCATCAAGACTACTCAACGTACTGCCTGCGCTCAACCGCCTACTCATCCTCCGCTGTTTCATCTCCGCCCCTCCCCCTGCACTCGCAGCAGCCGCCTCCTCAGAAGCAGAGGCCGAAGCGAGTGGGAAGTCGTGAAGGGTCTGCCGTCGACTAACATTACCATTACTAGCCCGACTCGCACTCCGCGACGCCCCTCGATCAACATCATCACTATGCGTACTCCCCGCATAACTCGACCCCCCCGCCCCAGCAGCAGCACCAGCAGCCATCACCCCCTTCCCCTTCCTCTCCCTCAACTGCCTCGGCCTCGTCGTCGTCGCCGTCACCTCCTCATCCCCCCCCGTCGTCTGCAAAACCGGCGCAGCACTCTGCCTCTCCTTCTTCGACCTCACACCCCCCAACTCCTCCGCCGTACAACTCCCCGTCGTCCGGTTCAGCGGAACCAGCAACCGACTCAATTCCTGCACCGCAACGACCCAATCGACCTCCGGCGCCGGCGGTGTTCGCGGTCGAGCGAAAGCGGGCGAGTCTCGCATAGTGCCTGACACGGAGCGGGCGAACTTATTCGGGTCCACGACTTTGTAGGCGAAGGATTCGGTGGGGGTGGCGTAGGTGGGTTGCGGGCCCGTGCGGACTCTTTTGCCGCCGTGGAGGGAGGGTGGGGGAGGCGGGTGGACTTTGAGTTCGAGGGCGGTGAGGTTGGGGGCGGACCACCAGGAGGGGTTGTAGTGGAATTTCGAGGCGGTGTCGAGGCGGAGTCCGTTCATGAGTGCGTCTAGGGAGTGACCGGTCGACTCACGTTTGACCTGTGGTTCGGCGAGAGATTGGCCGCATAGTCCGGATAAGTGGCTCATGACACCACTGCATAACGCTCGATCACTATACCCACCCTCCAGCACACTGATGACTCGGCCTTCACATCCCGTCGCCTGTTCAGCAGCCAACTTCACCACGTCCCTCGAAAATCGTGCGTAAAACTCCGTGGGCACATTAACCTTATGCCGCTGCATACCCGCGCCCTCCCACTCGCTAGCATCAAATCCCGCACTGATGAAAATAGCAGAACGGGGTGGTTGTCTTCCTTCTGCTTTTATCCTCGCCGTATGATACCTCAAGAACAATCGCGCCTTCTCAAGCAAGATAGCATACCGTCCCTCGTACAACAGCCAAAACTCCTCCTCCGTCTTCCAAGGCTGAAGATGCACATTCCAAATACTCTGCCCATGCGCATTCTCCACGCATAAACTCGCCGCCTGGACTTTCTCATCATCGCCCATTTCACAGGGATAGCTGTTAATATCGTGGAGACTGTAGTATCCAATATCCGGATTCAGCTTGAGTTTACTATTCGGTTTCGCATTCCATCGTTTGTCGTTGTTCGCGCGGTTCCGTTGCCATGTTATTGCTTGGCTGCCATCGCCGTGGTGGAGGTCGAAGTCGAGGATCGCGGCGTGGGTGAGGCCATAGGTTTGGGCGGCGTACTCGATGCTGACGTGGATGTTGTTGAGCCAGCAGAACCCGGAAGGGTAGTCGGCGGAGCAGTGGTGGCCTGGTGGACGAACGGCGACGAAGGCACGTTTTGTGGCGGAGGTGGGTTGGAAGACGGCGTCAACGGCGTCTGCGACACCACCGAGTGCGCCCTCGAAGGCATCCAGAGACTCTCCGCAGAGATACAGATCACCCTGATGTAGTTTCCGCTTCTCCGCCTCAGCCGGATCCGACGACCGACTCAACTCATTCGTGCCCGTCGCCAACCTCTCCCCAGCCACCTCACACAACCCCTTCAATTCCGCCATCCACGCCGTCCCATGCACATTCGTCACACAACTACTCGTAACATCCATCGACCGCGTCGTCCGTCTTATTTTGAACGGCGGCGGCGAAGCAGAGACCCGACCAGGCGACGGCGCATTCCCACCTCCAGCATGATGTCCTCCTAACCGGACATATGCCGCACTTGCCCCCAACACACTCGCATGGATCCGTTCCGGCCTCTCCACAATCATGGACAGCGTGGATTTCGTCGACTTCAACCGCGAGTAGCGATGTCCATAACACGCATCATGCAAAATGACCACCGTCTCCGCCTCGACATCCTTCCCCACATGCGCCAACAACTGGTTCGTGAAATGCTCCACTGCCATCTGCGCGGCAGTGAGTTGGATAGGTTCCTGTATGGGCTCCATCGTCGTCTGCGCCTCCCTAAGGTTCGCGATGAGATTGGAGATGGAGCGTTTGGGCGTCGGTCGCTTGTCTGCTTCTTCCTCTGCTGTCGTGCCGAGAGATTGTCGCGAGCTGCGGCGGGTGAGTTTGGGGGAGGAGGTGGGGCGGTCTTTCAAGCTCATCGCGCTGGAGGTGCGGCGAAGGGTTCGTGGGTCCGAGGCGGGTGGTTGGAGGGGTGAGGTGGTTGGACGGGAGTGGGAGTGGGAGTAGGAGGGGCGGCGGGGGGTGAACATGTTGGGTGTTGGTGGGGCGGTGGAGAGAGGGGAGGATGTTCCTGAGGTTGACGTTGTTCGTATGTTCAAATGACTGGGTGGGGGAGGTGCGACAGGAGGGATGCTTTGCGCCGGTCGCTCTTGCCCAAGCGGTGTTGGTACTGCGTTGTCGTCCATTGTCGATTCTATCATGTTATGCCGTCGCGCTCTTGTCTAGCGGGGCATCATTGATCGCACGCAACGTTCGTGTTTGTTCGTGCTGGTTTCATGTATTCGTGAAACATAAACTCTAATGACGCACGCGTCGCGTGTCGCATGCATCAGCCAATCGGAGTCCACCATCTCTCTTCCGAGCATTCACTGTGCGATTGGGAAGGCACGAAGTACGTTTCTATTACACAAGTCTCCTAGTCCTGCTGATTATTCACCTCCACCAAGACCAGACGACACTACCAATATGGCAGAAACCACAGCCTCACCAGGGGCCCAAATTACACCCACTTCCTCATCAAGACCCGAACTAGACGAAACCTTCTACACCTGGTCCAACTTCTTCTCCATCCTAACCGGCACCGCCACCACGAAACAGCGTGACGCCTACTTCACCCACAAAGACACCCTCCACTCCGAAACCGACGTCCGCCGCGCCGAAGCAGACAAAGACTGGCTCTTCAAATACAGCCCCACCATCCGCTTCCTCCAACACAACATCGACCTGCTCTCCTCCAACCCCTCCTCCAACGACCCCTCAGAAGAAAGCGCCACCGCCACCATCACCCCGACCAACGTCCGCTGCAAAACCTGCCCGACCAAACAATCCGGCGGCTTCTCCCCCGACCACGGCATCCTCCTCTGCGCCAACCACCTCCGCACCCGCAGCACGCTCGAAGACACCCTCGCCCACGAAATGATCCACGCCTACGACCACCTGCGCTTCAAACTCGACCCTTTCGATTTGCGACACGCTGCTTGTATGGAGATACGGGCGAGTACTTTGTCTGGGGAGTGTAGGTGGACGAGGGAGTTTTTCGGCCGGGGCCAGTGGGGACTGACGATGCAGTTGCAGGAGTGTGTGAGGCGGAGGGCGGTGTTGAGTGTGATGGGCAGGCCGGCGTGCGAGGGGGATCGGGGCAAGGCGGAACGGGTGGTGGATGAAGTTTGGCGGAGTTGTTTCAGTGACACGAGGCCTTTTGATGAGATTTATCGGTGATGATGGTGTACGATGTTGGGAAAAGTGATTGGGGGGGACTTGAATGTAGAGTGTGGGATTTAGCGTTGGCGTTTGTGGGGGGGGATTAAGGAAAGGGCATAGAAGTGGGAGAGATGTACAGGTCATTCGAGCTTTTCCACTCAGACGATAGAAAAGCTACCGATGCTGACGAAGAAAACGCCTATCATGCACTCCCAGATCATCCCAAATCGACAAACCAGCCACAGAACACCGAACAACAAGTACGAGAGTCATAAAACCCCACCACCCGGCGATCAACCTCATCTATCACACCTTCTCCCTCTTCCCCTGCCCTCCCTCCCCACTACTCCGATTATACGCCCTCTCCCCTTTGACACAATGCTTCAAAATCCACGGATGCCTCTCCACCTCCTCCAACGGAATCCTCCCCGCCGGATCCAATACCAACAACCTCCGGATCAAATCCCTCGCCTCCGCCGACACGAACCCGGGGATCGTCATCTCCCCCCTCGCAATCCGGCGTTGTGTCATAACCGGCGTATCCTCAAACGGCGCCTCCCCGACCAAAAACTCATACGTCAGTACCCCAAGCGACCACAGATCCACAGCCTCCGTATACCAATTCTCCTCCCTACCGGGCTTGATCATCTCCGGAGGCAAGTAGTCCAAGGTCCCGCACATGGTATTCCTCCGATTATTCGGCGCATGCACACTCCACCCGAAATCCGAAATCTTGATCTCCCCGTGCAGACCGACGAGGATGTTCTCGGGCTTGATATCCCGATGCATCACGTGTTTCTTATGCAGATACTTCAGCGCCGAGGCCATCTGGGCGATATACTGCGCGGCCTGCCATTCGGGGAACTTGCCCGCTTTGCGCAGATGTTTGTACAATTCCCCTTTTCCCGCGAACTCGAGGATGAGGAAGATGCGTTTGCTGTCGTGGAAGTGGCCGTAGAGGCGTAGGATGTTGGGGTGCGCGAGATTGGATTGGATTTCTATCTCCCGTCGGACTTGCTTTTCCACTTTTCCTTGCTGCAGTTCGGTCTTGTGGAGGACTTTGAGGGCGCAGACGAAGCCCGTGCTGCGTTCGCGCGCGAGGTAGACCCGGCCGAATTTCCCTTTGCCGAGCGGTTTGCCGATTTCGAACATGCCGAGGTGGAATTGTTTTGGTTTGGGGGCTGGGAGGTGGGGAGGCATGGCGGAGGCGAGGGGGTCGGCGTCCGAGGGGCGGGAGTCGGCGGGTGTGCGTTGTTGTTGTTGTTGTTGTGGTTGTTGTTGTTGTTGTTGTTGTTGGGCGGCTTGAGAGGGGAGGGTGATTTTGGTTATGGTGGTGTTGGAGGTTGTGGTTGAGGATTGGGCGAGCTTGATGCTGGCTGCGTTGGGCGGGAGTTTTTGGAGGGGGAGTTTGAGGCGCGTTTGCGAGGTGGAGGCTCCTAGGTTGGTGAGGGAGATGGCGGTGCTTAGCGAGCCCTGCCGTATGTGTTAGTTGGTGAGGGTATTTTTAATAGACTTGTTGATATGTACCTTTGCCTTGTGCTGTGGTGCCGGCGCATTGCTGTCGTAATTCTCGTCTTGGACTGTGATGCTTTCGAATCGCTGTTCCAGCGACTGTACCTCTGTCATGACTGCCGTAGTACTGTGGAGCGAAAGTCCTGCTATGTTAGTTGGCTGGTGTTCGCTCTGCAAGTTGCTCGTTGACAAAGTTCGTTTACTTTGGCGTTGCCACATAGCAACCAGCTGTATCTCGTCTTTCGGATCGGCAGAACAAATGACCGATCCCGATATGCCACCTTCGTCAGGATGTCGACAAGGACGGACGCATTCAGCACATTCATAAAGATGACGGACATAACACCAGATCTCAACCTGTGCTTGAAGCAGAACAAGGCACAGCTTGTTCGGCGACGCGGATATGATGTGCAGCACATCAACAGCTTCCTGCAAGAAGCATACAGCATAGTAGGCAAAGCAGCACCAGTAAAGCACAATCAGATGATCTGACGGTAAGTTATGTAGAATGCACGCATCACAGACCTCACCCGGGAGCTTCGTACCATCCGACCGGCATACCTGTCAACCGCGCCCAGTTCTCGACGACGCAAGCTTAGTAGCGGCGGGCATGGGCAGCATGATCATGCCCACCCGCTCACGAATGGCGAGAGAGACGCAGTCGATGCGCAGTCCAAACAGCTGCTTCGACAGCTCAACGGTGGGATTCAAGCTCTGAAGCAAGCAGAGGATGTACGTCTCCAAACAGCAGACTCAGTAGCACTATCCAAGCGAGCCAAAGGCGGACTGGGAGCGATAGGACGATGGGTAGCAGGCGGAGCCGTCACGGCCAAGTCACCTGAAGAGGAAACAGAGGAGGCCGAGCGGAAAATGATCGCCAAGTACAGAGAAAGCGTGATCACGTACCTGCAACGCCGTCTCGAGCAAGCAGGAGGAGTCCAAGCAGAAATGATGGAGGTGCGTCTGAGTCGCGAAGTGGAGAAGAGTAAAAGTGTGTTGTACAAATCACGCATGGGTGACAGTATCCCTTACGCCCATGACGAAGACGGGACAGCAGTCCCGACCAGTCCAAAGCGGAAACGACAGTCGACGGGCTTTTCGACCGATTACGATGGCGATCGATCCACATCCGACCAACCACCCGCACTCTCCCAAGAACAGCTCCAACTTTTCGACTCGGAGAACCGCGAGATGCTGAAGCATTACTCCACCCAACTGAACCAGATCTCGCAAGCCGAAAAGTCGATTCTTGAAATTTCCGAGCTGCAGTCCACCCTCGTCTCGAATTTGCAGGTGCAGAGCGAGCATATCGATCAACTGGTTCAGGACTCGTATATGACGTCCGAGAATCTCGGCAAGGGCAATAAAGAGTTGAAGAGGGCGAGTGAGAGGAGGAGTACGGCGCAGGGTATCTTTTATGCTACCTGTGGATTCTGCGCTTTTCTCGTCGTGTGGGATCTGGTGTTCTGAAGGCGTTTCCCACTCGAACCGACAGCAGCCACGATTCCAGCAATGACTTCCCCGAAGTTCGACTTTTAAAGTCCATTCGTACAGCTAGCTATACACAACTCCCATCAATTAATCCCAAGCAGCCTCTCAGCGTTCCCATGATATAAATCCTCAATCTCCTCGGGACTAAACATCCCCTTGACCCCATCATCCATCTGCCCCAACAACATCTCCACCCCCTTGGGCTGCGTAAAAGGGAAATCAGACCCATACATGATCCTACTATGCTTCACCCCCGAACCCTCCATGAGTCCCTTGATCTGGCCCGGAAAGGGGAAACCAGCTAGATCGAACCAGATCTGTTTCGCGAATGCCTCCCGGACTTCCGCCTCTGGCACGCCTACCCATGGCCCAGGGACGAGGGTACTGAAACCCGTGAAGCGCGATTGGAGGGGTGGGAAGGCACCGCCTAGATGCGGTAATATGAGTTTGATATCCGGACATCGTTTGATCATGCCACTCATGAAGAGATTCACCACCGCCCGCGCCGTGTCGAAGAAGAATTCTAGCATAGGGTTCGGATATTTGTTCGCCAACGGCGCGGCCTTGACAGGTTCCTGGCCCTGGGCCATCGCCTCGGGAGAGCAGGGACATTTCGGCGTAGTGGGGTGGATGAAAATGAGGGCTTTCCTCTTGTTCAGCTCGTCGAAGATGGGGTCGAAGAGGCTGTCTCCTAGGTAATGACCATGCCCGTTCGTCTCGAAGACGTAGCCATCACAGCCCTCTTCCACTCCTAGGGCGATTTCCTTGAGACATAAGTCTACGTCCGGGATAGGTAGGCTGGCGAAGTAGCCGAAGCGGTCGGGCGTCTTCTTCTTGAGTTCAGAGGCATAGGAGTTGCATTCTCGTGTCACTTCGGCGGCTAGGGCAACGTTCCCAGTGACCAGATGGGTTCCGGGACTGGATATTGAGAGGATTGACTTTTTAATGTTGAGTTTGTCCATTAGTTCCAGATGTTGTTCGGGACTCCAGTCGGGCAGATATGGCATCCCGTCTGGGTTTGCATGGCCGGTTTCCCGGCACGCCTTTTGGTATGCTGGGGGTAGATAGTGGCTATGGACGTCGATCTTGTAGGGCATTTGGGTGGCCATTGTCCTGTTTGGGCTTCGGTTGCCTTTGTTGCTTGGAAGTAATTCGTTGTGTTCGACTCTCTATTTTGGATTATCCGTTGCGAATTCCTTGTGTGCATGAGAGTATCTCTTTGAATATGCCAAAGTGATGTCAAGAAGCTGTTTCGTTTCTGGAAGCCAATTGAACGGACCTTTCGGAACCTTGAATCATCTTGCATGAAGCCTATTTCGTGGTCTCGTTGTACCCCACCCCGCACAGCAAGATCATGTTTCCGGTGTCTACAAGACTGCCTCAAGATTTTGGACCGAAGGCCATCACCTGGGCAGATACGATTTGTCGGTATTATGGAAGAGCTTTGCGGTGGCAATGTCCCCGGGCAAGTCTTCGTCTTCGTGCGATCATGACTTCTTGGACTATAGCATGGTCTTTCATGCAGGGTGTGGCGGTCCGTCGGGTTTTATGCATGAGGAGCTAGTGAACGACAACCTCACGCGATGAAAGACAGCCCGGGCCTTCGCTAGTTCATCGCTATGCTGACACTTCACATCCGCAATGGTCTCGTGCTGAGCATTTGTGAACACACAAGCTGCAGCTAGGTCAGTTCTCTGTAACGTCTCCCGAACTGTCAAGATCTCTCATCACTATGGCATCCTTCCTCATAACAGATGTCCGCATCTTCGACGGCGAAAACACCATCGAGAATGGCTCCGTTCTGGTGGAGCATGGCAAGATCGCAAAGGTCTCACGAAGCAAGATCAACCACTCTGGCAAGACCATCTCAAAACCAGGCCACACAGTCCTCCCGGGCCTCATAGACGTCCACATCCACGCCGACGGCGGCAACCCAGTAGCTCTCCCCCAATCCCTCCGCTTCGGCGTAACAACAGTCTGCGACATGCATAACGAAGACTTCAACATAGCGAAACTCCGCAAACAGATCGAAGGAGGCGATTGCGCAGATCTCAAAACCACCAGCTTCGCCGCCACGATCGACATGGGTTGGCCGATGCCTGTCGTCCTCATGCATCACGACACGCCCGAAGTCAGAGCAGAGATCGCCACGTGGCCTCACCTCACCACACCAGAGTCCGGTAGAAAGTACGTCCAGGACAGAGTAAAGGAAGGCGTAGACTACATCAAACTCATGCACGAGTCTGGCACCATCTTGGGTCAGAAATTCAACAAACCCAGTCTCGAGCTCCAAACAGCCATCATCGAAGAAGCTCACAAGCATGGTCTGAAAGCCGTCGCTCATGCTACCTGTGTGGCGGATACACTCGAGATCCTACAATGTGGCGCCGATGGACTCACGCATTGTGCTCTAGATAAGGTAATTACGGACGAAGTGATTGCAGCATATAAGAAGAACAATGCACACTGTAATCCTACGTTGTGTACAATGGGCTCAGCGACGACAGAAGGCCAACAGCTGCAGGAGAAATATGCGCATGATCCTCGCGCGCGGGACCTGATGGACGACGAGGCGAGAGGGAGGATGTGTGCATGTATGAGCTTTGCGAAGGAGACGGGAAGGATTGCGAATGCTTACGAGAGTGTGAAGAAGTTGAAGGCTGCTGGCGTGCCTATACTGGTGTAAGTGATCTGATCTAAAGGACTATCAAGCTTATATTGCAGCTGACAAGACGTGCAGCGGTTCCGATGCAGCCTCCCCAGCAATCGGCACAGCATGGGGTCTCTCAGCACACCACGAGTTGGCTTTATTCGTCCACGAATGCGGCTTCACACCACAGGAGGCCTTGGTAGCAGCGACATCTCTATCCGCCGATCGATTCAACTTCTCCGATCGTGGACGGATCCAGGAAGGACTTATCGCCGATCTGCTGCTAGTAGAAGGAAATCCGCTGGACCACATCGATCATACTCTAGATATCCGAGGTGTGTGGAAGAGTGGTAACTTATGCTCGACGTATGATGGGAAGTTTTAGATGTGTCGTACCAACCTTGGGTCATTTCTAGGCTGATGTAGGTAACTCGGATGAAGTAGTGCAAAAGCATGAAAGTTACAGCATAGATGCACTCTCCTCCAGCAAAAGAATGCTTAGTGATGCCACGATCCATCTACTGTCCCTCCTTGCTCACTATTCCGCATGCTCGAGCTTTCCCAAATTGACCTATCACTCTTGATTCCTGTCCCGCCCTCGGGTCCACTTTCCCACACAATCCTCGGACCAGAGCCATGGCTGACATCTGTTCTGAGCGCTGTCCTGGCATAGACCAGACTCTGTACCTTCTTCCGCCTTCCATGTAAGGGACATAGACCTTTGCCGCCACTCTTGTGCTTCGGGTGCAGAGGACACAATGGACTCGCTGGCAGGTGATCAGGAACGTTGGTCTCAAATCCGAAGACGGTCTCGGTGTCATCGTCATCGTTCAGTGCTTCTTCGACGAGTTGTCTGGTATGGTTGGCTTCTGCCCGCGCGGTGTCGGCAAGTCGTTGACTGACCGGCGTCTGCTAGGAGCCTGTGACCTCGAGATTGCGGCGCGGTGGTAGCGGCGCAAGCTTACTGGATGCCATACTGGTTACAGTGGCTTGAGAGCTCTTGCGCTTTAGCTTATTCTGTACTGGCCTTGGAGCCATGGCTCGGACTAGTGATGACAAGGAGGTCATGGATGCCAGACTTAGTCCGCGCTTCTCCTTCGCCTCTGCCGATCTGCGTAACGTTGAACTGCTGTATTCTGGCTGCAGCTCTCGGGAATCAAAGACGACCCGCTTCGCAGTCTCGACCCGCTTAGGCATGGTCGCAACCATCGATTGCTCCTCGACACTCATGCCAGCCTCCTGTTTTGACGATCCCGCTTTGAATTTGGCAGATAGATGTGGCGACGATTGCTTAGAAGACTTCAGCTGACGGAGTCCGATGTCTTGCTTGACGTGGTTTTGCGAAGTCACTGAAGAGCCAGCTGGGGTAGGATCCGCATCGACAATGCTTTCGAGAGTTCGTGCATTATATAGTCTTGGTCTGCGTGGTATCGTGAACGGTGAAAGCTGCGAAGATTCGTCCGAAGATGTTGGACGTCGATGCGCACCTCGAGGCCGCAAGGACGCTGAGACACCAGGAGACCTAGCGGGCGAAGATGCGGTGGACGAATGATCTCTTCGTCTAGGCTGTGCGAAGTAGTTTGGGAGGGTATGCTCTGATGAACTCGTGACCAGATGTCGTCTTTGCAGCTCGGCATCAGCCGGTGTGGTAAGCGAGATGCCGGGAGTATCTTTCTCCAGAGCTGGTCTGACACTGGTCACTCCAGTTCCAGGTAGCTCACGATCACCCTCCAGTATTGCAGTCTTGCGACGTAGTTTGAACACGCTGCTACGCTTGCGCTGTTCGGGTTTGCTGCCAATAGACTTATTTCTCCCCCCTGGTATTCGCCACGCTATCTTGGCAGATTGGTTTGATGCTGGAGAGGGCTTCTCTGGTGGGACGAGGCTTGGTATGGCCTCCTTAGTGTTCATAGTATCGTTGCCGAATGTGCGGAAGTAGTGGTCACCATGTACGAATCGATGATGTGCTGGTGAGCCTGGATCAGCTTCTGGTGGTGTGACACAATGATGATGCTCCTGTGCATGAGGGCGATCTACGACCGAGGGCAACGATGTTGGTGGTGACAAAGGCTGCCTCTTGGTTGAGTCATGCGGCTCTCGACTTCTGGACCGTTCCCTCTGCGGCCTTGCTGGATCTGATTTGCGCGCCAGTGACGGAGCCTGTATGAAGCCCTTACTGGTGGAGACCCGCAGAAGTAGCGATTTCCTGGGTGCAACTTGCGTGTTTGGGAATCTTGGGACTGGTGATACTGATCTTGATGCTCGCGAAGAGTGCATTGAGGAAGAATGTCTGACGGACCCGTCGTGGAAGCGCGAAAGCGGCATGTGGTCTGGCGGTTTGGATTGCCCAATCTTGCCAGCCTTGATGAAGTCGGCCATTGAAAGAGACATTGAGCCTCTCAAGTTGTGGGGGATGGTCACCTTAATTACTGCAGAATCCTCGACAACCTTTGGCTTGTAATAGGATGAACCACGTCGCTTCTCGACTGGCCGACGTTCCAATGGAGTCTGTTTTTTCAGATGCGCCAGAGGTTGACTTCGTGGCTTGAAAAGCCTCGTATCGGATCTTGTATTGCTCACAAGAAAGGCGAAGCTGCTGGCGTTGGAAGTCGAAGAATCTGCAGTCCGGTTCGTCTTCGCAGAACTACTCGGACTTGGCGTCTTGGGTGGCGAGTCTCCTTCTTTCTGGTGTTGCTCCTTCCCGGTTCCAGATTCGTGCCTACTTGAAAGTCAGCTGCTTATGAAAGATCGATGCGTGGCAAACATACTTCTGAGAACAGTCAGGCGACAGCAAGTTGCGTAGGCGGGCGGCAGTGGCTTCATAATTTGCGTTGTGATATTCAATTGCGGAACTGAGTGGCGTCTCAGAATCGGAGCTGCATAATCGCTTCAAATTATCGATCTTCAGAACGTCGGCATCGGACCCAGCACGCCCTCCTAGGAGCTGTGGTGGTACCTTCTTGGTGGCGGGTGACCGTGGTGGCGTCGACGGCGATCGCGATCGATGTCTTGGTCGTAGGCGTGCGTCCTCTCCTAATGACGACCGCCGTTGACCGAGTCCGTCTCGTGATGGTCGTATTGTCGCCTGTGCCGACTCTGGTGGCGATGTGGTCGAGAGGACGAGTGATGTCGGCGATGATGCTGATGCGGAACATGAGCTATGTGGCGGGGTGAGTGGGAGCGATGCCTGACTCGAGGGTGGTGTGAGTCGGCATAGCGATCCTCGTCGTCCTCCTGCAGTCGCCTCTCTACTTTCGCGATCTCCACTGCCGTGTCCTTCCTCTCCTTGCTGCTGTGTGCTTTGAAGCACATGACCGGGTAGATGCTGCATGCTCCTGCGAGCGCCAAGGAGGCGAACAAGAATAGAGCGCGCCGATAGCTTTTCTCTTCGTTGACAGGGTGGTGGAACTGGGTCATGGTCGATTGGGGCTGGCGTGGGTGATTAAGTCTGGTACATGAGTGTCTGCATAGGTGAGTGGCGTAAGTCTGAAATGTCGACTGCGGCGTTGAAAGACAGCTCGGAACAAGACTGTGATAGTGGCCAGCGCGGCAGAGTGGCAAGAAAAACCAGAAGCTTTTGGTTTGCGGAGTCTTTGGTTCAGTGACTGTCGGCGGATGTAGTTGAGGTGCGGCAGGAACCAGTGAAGAACGAGGCCACAGTCAGATGCTCTCTGATGGTCGGTCCCGAATGTGGCAAGCGCGTTCTTATGTCAGGAAGGCACGACTGCTGGAATGTGGGTCTCGCAGCACGTCTCGAATGCATTCACTGGGCATGAGCAGTTCAAATCTCTCCAATTATCTTAGTTCGCCGTCCGTGACATGAATCAAGACTTACCGAGAAAATGTACAGCACGTTCGATCGCATCTCCAGTACTGAGATCCACCTGACAATCGCACCATGACTCTGACCGCGTCCTTTGGAATCTCTACATTATACATTACACAACCTCAGCAAACAATCACAGTCAGCTCCCCGTCTGCACCGGCTGCAACCAAGCCCAAGTGATATCTACCCTACCCGAAGCCTGTGGCGCAAGCTGTGTGAATGCTCCCAGCGAGGTATCTAAGTCATCTGGTTGACAGCCTGTACATCGATCCACTACCTTGAGATCAATACTTCTGGTCTGGCCGTACTCCTCGTCGAACCGCGAAGCTCGAAGCATTCTCCCGCACAACGGATTCGCATTACTATTTCCACCTGTGCTGGAACTGGAGCCTGCGGCGTCGAAGACGATGTGGGATATGGAAACGATGTTGTCGTTATCCGTGCTGGTTTCGCCGCAGGCGCCTAGACCAGTACCATAGTATGTGAAGTCGCCGACGAAGGTTTGTGTGTTCGATGGGAGCGGGAGGTCGCTGTGTCTACGTCTTGTCAGCTCGGACATCGGTCACTTGTGTCAGATCGCGTACTTCGAGTGCTTGTTCGACAAGCCCGCAGCCAGTCCAATGATGAGCGCGAGCAGTGCGAGCAGTGCGGCAAGCAACACAATCAATAACACCTTCCGACTCATACCAAGATAGCGTTTATGAGCAGGCATTATCGAGTCGAGCCTGAACGATCGCTTCGACCGCGCAGCCTTCGCGCCGCTCCCAGTGTTCACCGCCGCATTCTCCCACTCGGGTATCTCTACTCCCTTCTCTTGAGGTTGCACCACGGTATCCGTTGCGCTCGTTGCCATTGCGCCCAATAGCGTCTCTTGCAGACGCTGAAGTCAGTATGCAGTCGCGACTGTGTCCACAGACTGAGGATATAGTAAGAAGGATGAAATGACCTACATTGCTCTACAACTCTACATGCAGATCACTCTCGCTTGTCGTGCACTGGCAGGATGGAATCAAGCTTGAGGCTCTCGCTTTGATGCTGGTGGCGTAGCCTTGGCAGGGGAACGAGGTCGCTATTCACTTGAAGTAATATGGCACGGGAATCGTGAGAGCAATGCACAAGCATGAGCAGTCGCGAGCACTGAGTAGGTGCTAACAAACACGAACGATATCGTCCACGAGAAACATTAGTAACTTCTGCCGACTCCATCGGCTTTTCGGGCGCAGGCAAGCGGACCAAAACTTGCGGCCGCGTCCAAGGATCGTTGCTGCTTCTTTCAACCACACATAAAAAGTCCAGTCTACTCCTCTACATGGCCGTGACTGTGCATGAAAGTATCTCAGTACCACGGAGACATTGTGCCGCTGCTTAGACCCGTTTGACGTTAATGCCATTGCTGTCTTACGCTACACCTAGATGCAAGGTGAATATACTTGCGACGGCCGCAGTGGACGGCGATGGCGGCAGCTCGAACGGATGAATAGTGGTTTGTGGACATGATACAGGTCAAAGTATATAGGTAGGTGTTGTCGTCTCTTATTACATTCTCGTCACAAGAACAGTATAGCAGCAAAGCACAAGCACATCAACAAGACAACAGATCCAACCCACCTCAACCGCCTTCCAGAACAATCACCAGCCTACCACACCAGAGATCGCAGTAAGACCAGACACCTCAGCAACCAAGATGCCTGCCTGGAACCCAGACAAAGACATTCCCTCCCTCGCCTCCAATGTCATCCTCATCACAGGCGGCACAGCTGGTCTCGGCTCCGGCTCCATCTCAGAGCTAGCCAAGCATGCACCAGCCCATATCATCTTCACAGGTCGCAACCAGCAATCCGCCGACGCCTTGATCAAGAAGCAGTCGACCGCCACACCAAACGTGAAGGTCACATTCATAAGATGCGATATCTCCTCCTTCGCCTCCATCGCCACCGCTTCGGACGAAATCCTCGCTCAAATCTCTCGCCTCGACATCGTCATGCTAAATGCTGGCGTCATGGCCGTCGACGCCGCGGTCTCGGTAGACGGCTACGAAATCCAGATGATGACGAACCACCTCGGCCACGCCCTCCTCATCCGGCGCCTGCTCCCGATACTCCAGCAAACAGCCACCACCCACGGCGATGCCCGCGTAATAAACCTGACAAGCGTAGCCTATACCCAAGCCCCCAAACTCGGAATCGACTTCGCCACGCTCAAGACTCCGCAGGAGAACCAAGGCGGCCTCATACCAGGAGGCAAATACCCTAAAGCAAACTAGCCCAACTCTTCTACTCGGCGGAAATAGCCACGCGTTACCCCGAAATAACCTCCCTGCCCGTGCATCCAGGCGTGATCCAGACAGCCCTGCTAACGGAACTGGACTTCCTGTCCAAGATCCCGATGATGTTCTTCACCAAGACGCCCGTGCAACAGGGGCATTGGCAGCAGTGTTGGGCTGCTACGGTGGATAAGAGGGAGTTGAAGAACGGGGCTTATTATGAACCTGTGGGTCAGTTGGTGGAGATGGAGAAGAGGAAGACGAGGCAGAGCAAGGATGAGGGTTTGTCAAGGCGTTTGTGGGAATGGACGGAGGAGCAGCTTGATGCTTTTGAGGTGAGGAGTGGGAGGTTGTGAGAAGTGCCAAGGATGCGTGGTTTGGAGGGTTTTCTGTTCATTGTTCATGGCCTTGGCTCTTTTTAACCGAGCTTTAGATCCATAGACTCCTAAATCAGCATCTGGTAAACATCCTCCCGCTATCTCGCTTCCTCAACATTGCCTTTGTGGGTCATTGCTGATATGCTCGCACCGTGCTCTTGTAGCGACTGCGCTGCCCTGGTCTCGTAGCCTCGTCTCCGGCGGCATTCGTTTAGGGATCTGACAAAGGTTGGTCGGCTTCTCTCGTGAGGTGCGTGTTACGCCAGACAATTGAGTGGAGAATCTTAGTCGTCGTCGTCGCCGATACGATTGCTCTGATGGTCTAGCTTTCCTTGGTCGGTATGCTGCTCGAGGGCTGCACCGAGCTAGTGGCATGTGGCAAAGCGTTATCTGTACTTCGTAATCGGGATGGATGGGGATGGTTCTACGGGGCGCGGCCTGTCTGATGTGGCCATGGTGTGTCGACGTCAGAGATATCCTTTTGCTTTCTCGCCGCACGGTATTGGGTACCCCTAGGTTGGCAGTGATATTTCCTCAGCAAGGGACGGGGAGAGATCCAGTCAAACTCGATACAGACGCAGCATGCTCCACGTCTTCCTATTGATGTGGTGGAACTGTGGCATCTCATGGGCGTGATAACTTGCTGCCGCGGAAAGTGATACGCACCTGGGTTTCTTGCAGGGTTTCACGTAACACTCTTCTTGAGCATATCAAGTCTTGTCTTAATTCCCAAAAGGCCGGCAAGGTCACAACGACATGTCGAAGTCCATAGGGATCATATGAGCGATGACTACCGACAGACAGATTGACAGCAGGACTGTTGTATGGTCGACTATTGTGATTTGACGTTTGGCATCCCAAGTGACGCTGTGCTTACCCAAACCCTAACCCTAAGCAGCTTGTATGTTCATGCGAAGTATCACTGTAGTCCCAGGCTACTTCCTCCACCGACACTCGCGACAAATTATTATTCGTGCATCTTTGATGTCCATGCGCATCACATGCTGTTCTCCCATGGCTCTCTAGACAGTTGAAAAGATTATATGATAGAACTACACCACGTCTGCTGACTTGGGTGGGCTACGAGGAATAGCCTGAACGGGACGGAGGTACATCCTGCATGTTCGCCTCAGCGTATGTAGACACCGTGTACTTCGCCATTCCGTGTGAATGAAAAGGTCGGCTGTGTATGTGGCACCTTCACGAATATCAAGTAGAATTTTCCACTATTCATGGCCGCTATCGACGTCGTGTTCGCCACCATGTGGTTGCTGAAACGGGCGAAAGGTGGGGAGAACAAGGCCACGGGTACGAAGGACAAAGGATTATGATTCACGTCCTTCCGCAGATTATTGAACCGAAATGGAAGCACGCGCAGCGGGACGAAGCTGACTGGTCGAACCTACATCTCAGGTACTGACGTGTCTTGTTGAGCCGCAGGGTGTGCCGAAGACGAGGTGAATGACGAAAGCAGCGTGGAAATCAGTCGTCTTGATTAATCAGGTGAATGGTAGTGATGAGAGGTTGATCGTCGACGACGACGAAAAGACTTCTTGAAGATTTCGCCTGGTCTGGTTCCCAATGAAACATACCCTTTCTTATATTGACAAGGCCTGGTGGTACAGGGTACTTTTCGCGGGCATCTCCACAGACCGTTATTGGCTGCTTCCGATATTGAATGGTCCGAGGGAGAAGATCAGCAGAAGCCGATCGGTTTTCAGTCTTCGTAACGGCGATGGTCATCGTCGCGGAACAATCAGCCACGAGGTGTCGTTCAAGAACACGCATGTGTCCACAAGGTTGACATAAAATGTTGTACACCAACGTGTTCCAGTGTCGTTGTAACGTGAAGACCCGTCTCATTCAAGATGACAGGGATGGCCACAAGGCCCCGACGGGAATCTTTATTAAAATTGCCCCTAAGCAGGATGCGTGCTAGTGCGTCGTTGTTGGCGCATTGGGCACTTGCGCTTCTGTCTCGTAGGCTTCTCGTAGTGGCAGCGCTCCGTGTCAAAGTCCCATCGTCCGTCCCACGGCTTCACCACCACCTCTAACCCGACCTACAGGCCCACCTCTCCACCTCGACGAGACGAAGTACTGCTGGTGAAATATACAGTACGTCTTGCCATCCCACGCCGTCGACGACACGCTCAGAGACCCTCCCATACCTTCGCCTGCCGATACCCCCTTTCGCGGTCGCACGGCCGGAATCACGCTCGCTCAACCATCACCACTTCGACTTATCACGAACGCTGTCTTAACGATTTGCGCATTGCCGGACAATTCGTTCAGTTGGACAAGGGAGAATAGATCTGGTCCTCACGCTCTTTTGGCTGGTACAAAACGCGCGGCCATTGTACTGGAATTCCGCCAAGTCAGATCTCAGCCGCAAAAGCTACAAACATCTGAAAGAAGGGCTCGGAACACATCTGCCATTGGCTCAGAGGAGTGTTCGTTCTGGTATTATTGAGAACAAAGATAAGCGTTCTTTGTCCTCGGGTATTGCATTACGGTTCACGCGCCAGCTTCTTTCACCTGCGCTTTGACGTTGCCAACAGTCGAGATTAAGCCTACTTACCGCCGCGTGTCTTACCAGACGGACGCTACCAACTGTCTTGGACCATCTCACTCAGGTATCATCAACGCCGTTTGCAAGACGACGGCACTCATATCAGCTACCGACACTCTTTTACAGCCAACTCACGAGCAGGCTAGAATGACTTAGGACTGCCTTGGACAGACCAACTTCTTGGACCACGATTTGCAAACCGTTCAGCGCTCTCTTGTGACATCTTGTCACCCACACTCGTTCATCCGTTACTTCTCGATTTACGGTACGTGCTGATATTTCATCTGATCCCGGTTGGGACTGCAGCTAACGTGGAACAGTCTTCACCGCGCCTTATTCGCTTACAATCATCCTTACGATACCCACTAATAGCATTAGCACCCCATCATCATGAGGACATCCACGGTGGCATGGACCGCCGCTGTGGCGGTCATGTCCATGGGTGGACAGTACACGAAAGCGGAGGCAGCGCCCGCTCAAAGGCAGGAACAGGGACAGGAACGGCCGAAATACTACTACCCGAAACATATCAAGCGAGAAGCACCTTTCACCAACACATCGACACCCGCAGATACCAGCTCGACGTCCTCGAGTGCGTTCCTGGTTGACTTGTCGACTTCATCATCACCTGCGCCTTCTTCACCGCCGGCAAATCCCACGAACGAGGAAGGCAATTTCTTCTTGAGTATATGGGAGAGCATGATGGGTGGCAGCCTACCGAGCTCAGCGAACACCGTCCTAACGACGACTTTTGGCGAGGGAGATCCAGTGACAAGGACGGACACGATAACATTTACCGAGACTTCCTCACCTGGGAGCCCAGCGTACTTGACGAGCTCAAGCAGTGTGTCGACTTCGTCTAGCCAGGTTGTTGTGGCGCCGATAGGATATTCCAACTCCTTCGGACCGACTGCGTACTCGACAAGTAGCAGTTCGAGCAGTACTTCTGCTGCGGCATCAAGCTCCTCGGGTTCGAGTACCGTGGCGGCTAGCAGCAGTAGCTCTTCGTCCTCTGTTGCCGAACCTACAACTTATCCTAGCACTGGCTCCTCTGCGTCAAGCACGAGCAGCATCTCTTCTGTGCCGCCGCCACCACCTTCCACGAGCAGCACCAGCAGTAGCTCATTTGTGCCGCCACCCCCTCCCTCAAGCACCACCAGCAGCTCGGTGGCGGACGCAGCCAGCTCTTCGGAAGCATTGACGACATCTAGCTCATCCTCTCGACCTGCTTTCTCCCTGCCGTTCAGTGTCACATTTCCCACCTTCAACATCAGCTCTGCTTTCCCGACAGCATACTCGACATCCTCCACTAGCACATCTGTGGCGACCACATCGAGTACGCAAAGTACATCTGTCGCGACTTCCACGACGACCTCGGTAGCAACTTTGTCCAGCACAAGCTCGTCTTCATCCGATGGTTTCTTCGGCCAGAGCAGTTTCCGGTCCGGATTCCGCCCGAGCGATACTTACTCTGCTCCCTCGGGTGGTGTGCTTCCCACATCCATCCTCCGACCAACTTACTCCGGAAGTGTCCCCGAATCCAGCTCCATTGCTGAGGCCGCAAGCGCATCATCCAGCAATGCTACCGAGACTACTACCGATCTTCCAAGCTCTGGAAATGCGGCTCCTACTGGATCGATACCTGCTTCGATCGTTCAGCCGATTGCTTACTCCACTCCCGCGCGTGCCGGAATATCTTCGAGGTCTGCTTCCAGTTCACCTCCTGCTTTGAGCAGTGGTACTGGAAGCAGTGTGGCGTCTACTGGTAGCATGCCGGCAAGTGAAGTCTCGCCTACGGCTTCTGCTAGCAGTGCTTCCTCCAGCAGCGTAGCAGCAAGCAGCGCCGCGTCTAGCGTGGAAGCATCGGGCACTGCACCGTCGCGTGGCATGCCTACCTCTGTTGTGCAACCCACAGCATCTGTCAGCAGTGCGTCGCCGAGCGGCACATCCTCGAGCGCCGCCTCATCAGGAAGTGTACCAGCAAGCAGTGCGCCATCGAGTGGCAGCCTTCCTGCGTCTGTCATCCAACCAACAGCAAGCAGCTCGTCCAGCGCCTCTTCCACTGGTTCAAACACATCCGAAGCTCCTACGCTTGTTGGCTTGACGACCATCATTGCGAGCACGCAGTTCGTCAGTCCCGTTCCGGTCAACCCGCCCACTTCATCAAAGACCTCTGGTACAGAGAGCATAAGCACGTCGACCTTGCAAGCTGCTAGTGGCGTTACAGGCCTCCTCGGCTCAGTGGCTTCAGCACTCACTGCCACGGGTGGAAGTGCTCAGTCCTCCTCTGTGGTTTCGACCTCAAGCAGTAATGTTACTGGAACTCAAGTGCCAGCTTCCGGCGCTCTACCGAGCGGATCTGCTTCTGAATTAAGTGCGAGCGTGTCCGCTGCCTCTTCGTTGTCAATTCCTGCTGGTATCTTCCCGACCGAGCAGGGTGCATCTGGTACGACGTCTGGAACTGGCGCGACCACAACCCCACCCAGCGCCGCAAGCACACAGGCGTCATCAGCTCAGAGCGAAGTCCAGAACGGCACGAGTCTATCAACAGTCACCAATGCCTCTGGTAGTACGCTTGTTGTTCCGATCCCGTTTTCACTACCGACTACACTCTCCTTGCCTGGTACAAGTGGTCAAGCGCCAGCCTCCACCACTGGAGCAAGCGTCTCCGTTTCTGGTACAGCTCCAGCAATCACGACTTCATCTACAGGACTACCAGTCGTTGCGCCTAGTGAGAAGTTGTCAAGCCTGATTACTTCTGTAGCCGGCGCTGCCACAAGCGGGGCCTCAGTCATCGAGTCTTCGGCTCAAGGCGTTGCTTCAAGCCTGGTCAGCGAGGGCTCTTCGGTCGGCGCAAGCGTTACCGCTGCTGCGTCTAGCGCTTTGTCAAGCCTGGCAGCGTCGATCAGCTCTGAGCTTACGGCTGTGGCTGCGACGGTCACAGATCCTGCGGTCTCGAGCTCCCTGGCCTCCGATCTCTCGATTTTGTTGTCCAGTGTTTCAGCCTCTTTGAATTCCGAGCTATCTACGCTTACTGCGCAATCTGTCAATGCCCCTTCGACCACAGTTTCTGGAGCTTCCTTGACGTCAACGACCATTACTGGCTCATCTGGACCAACTGTCGTTCCGATCCCAGTGTCTGCTGCGAGCACCTCGCCGTCCTTCACTTTGAGCACATCATCGGGCTCAGATGGCGTCACAGCTGTTCCAGTGCCCGTCACGACAGGAGCCAGCTCGCTGTCTCCAGCCGACTCGTTTGTGTCCTCGGCGCATTCGGCTTCGGCCTCCGCGTTGGCATCTTCGGCCTCTGCTTCTGAAGCATCTCAGTCTGCTGCTCAAGCATCGGCGTCTTCGGTCAGTGCTTCATCAGCCAGCTTGTCAGCATCTACTGCTTCTAGCAGTGGTGAGACCGGCGTTGCCGGATCTACCATCTCGACATCTATCCCGCTTTCGAGCGGAACTACCGTCGTGGTTAGTTCACAGTCAGCAGCTTCTGCTTCTTCTACAGGAGTTACGACGACAGGACCCACGACGGAGCCGACTTCAACAGCGCCATCAAGCTCTGCATCGGGGTCTAGCAGCGCAGCTTCGAGTTCGCCGGTGTCTTCTGGAACAGCCGTATCTGAGTCTGCCGCGCCCACCAGCGTAACAGCATCAGCAGCATCATCCAGTTCCGCAGCTTCTTCAGGTTCAGCTGCATCGCAATCCGGCTCAACAACTGTCGTCGCCTCCACTGGCGGCTCGATGAGCAGTCCACTCTCTACCAGCCCAACAGGATCGTCTGGAACACCTGCTTCCGAGTCCGTATCGTCGACAGTCTCATCTGCTGCATCTTCGGCAAGCCAATCAGAGACCACTACTGTTGTCGGCATTGGTTCCAGCTCCGCGACCATTACTTATGTGCCTACCAGTTCGCTATCGGGCTCCACGTCTCCATCAGCAGTGGAGAGCTCTCTCAGCTCCGGCTCGTCGGTTTCAGTAACTGCTGTGCAGTCTCCAAGCCCCTCGTCCTCGAGACCTGCACCTACATCGATTGTTGCAACTGGCACAGATAGTGCGACTGCCTTGGTTGTTCCAACGAGCTTGACTTACGAGCCCAGCTCCATGTTGCCAAGCACTGCCACATCCTCTGGTATTGTGACGCAGACCGGCACTAGCACTTCTGTCTCATCTGGTCTGCCCACGCAGATGCCTCGCTTGGTGCAGCCTCCGGGCGGTATTCCTCCACCGACACCTAACACCACGCTTGTGCAGCTGGGTTTCAACTACGAGCTCAACTATCCTTTCGTCGTGGGCTCGCGAAATGCCACTGCGCAGGTCTTCGCATACCTGCCGCAGGGTGTGGCGTATGGTCTTGGTATCTCTAAGGACGCTGTTAGCATGAACGCTCTGCTCCCATACGACACATCATCATCGCAGGGCTTCATCACCACGCTCGCCCAGGCATACATTCCAAGCAACATGGTCACCGCGCTGCAACAGAGTCTTCATGCACCGATGAGCAACGTCTACTCCAACCCTGACCCGACGGTGCACACGCTCATGAGCATGATCAATCCAACCATTCCCCTCATCCCGGGTGCAAACCTGGACAATGGTGTCGCGACCTCGAGCTACAATCCAGGCGCTACCACATCAGCTTCAGCAGGTGACGGTGCACCGATCGGTGGCGACTCAGGCAGCTCACAACCCGTGCAAGGCAAGTCCGTCGGCATCGGTGTCGGGGCTGTGGCTGGTGCCGCCGTGTATGCCGCAGCTATGGTCCTCATTGCGCGCAGATATCGCAAGAACCGCAAGAACCACAAGCGTGCTAGCTCCGTCCCCACCGTAGGTGAGATGAGCCAACGGTCTGGTGGTGGAATGGGAGGCTACTTCATGTCTGGTGCTACTGGACAAAGACGATCACCAGCAAGCGGTGGACGAGGAAGTCGGCAAAGTGCAGGCAGCAGTAATAATAGGAGTATAAGAGAGCAGGGTATATCCAACCCAATCATGGCTGAGAACAGCCTGGGTTGGAACTGAAAGGGAAAAGGCGACAGTTGACGAAAGAGAGCGTGAAAAATATATGGGCAATCTCAAGAATGGCGAAAGATATACATCGACATGAGACAGGCGCCTGATCTAAGACCTGAAAGGAGAAGGATACGTCCTCCCATTTTCGCTAACAGCATTTCCTAGCCAAGCGTTGGCTTTTTACGTTTGTTCTTTTCTTACTTTCGATTCGAAGATTAGATCATGATGGCCTGCCTTATTTGTGGCACGGCTCTTGTATATATCCCCGACTGAATGGCATGAGAAAATGTGCTTCACCTTGTTTGTACTTCATAGTGACACGTCCCAACTCCCTTGGCGAGATGTACTTACTCGAGGAGGATCAATGTGTCGGTTTGTGTGTCCATATGTACCACGCACTAATGTTACATTCCTTTCGTGCACTAAGGGGTATGCTACAGAGATGGCCGGAACCTATACTACTGATATCTTCGTTTGTGTTCGTTTTCTCATCGTTCTCATGCCCGCGTACGGCTTATAGCCGGTGGTGGTGAAGCAGCACCATCGTCGGATGGCGTGAGAGGCCCGGTGCGATTGACGCCGTATAGCCCTCTTCCAGCACTATCAATATTGGGCGGCGGTATAGCAGCACTGTCCTCGAAAGTCGTCGCTGCATCCTTAGTGCTCTCCGATCCAGGAGCTGTACCGCCAGAGCTACTGCGCTCTCTGGTATACTTTGCCCAACGATCAGAATCACTATGTCTCATCAGATCCGCCTTGGACTTCTCGCTCGAACTGTTCGTGCGGCCTTTCTCGGTGACGTCGTCGTAATTATTGGTGTATGTGTCTTCCGTTGAAGGGTCGCCGTTCTTGTCGTACCAAAGGGGTTCTTGTTGGGCGGTCTTGACCACGCCGAACCATGGATTACGTTTGCCACCTTGACTGGCGTGGGAGAAGAGGAGATCGACCTCTTCGAGGCTTCGCGATCCTGTCTCTGGATAGAAGAAGAAGACAATTGGGACTATACAGAAATTCCTGTTGATAGAGTCAGTTTCTGTGGCAGCGTGACGATGCGTGAGAAGTGGGGCTTACGTGACTGCGAAGACAATGTACGTCCTGTACATGGTTGTGGTGAACAGGATCGGGGTGACCAGTACGACGATGAAGTTTGACAGCCAGTTTGCTGCCGTTGACAATGCGTTCGATGGTCCGCGAATACTTAGCGGAATGAGCTCCACTGCCCAGAGCCAAGACATGCCTTGCCATCCGATGGAAAAGAAGGTGTTGTACATGAACAGGAATGCCGTCATGGCCAGGTGAGCCTTGTGGGTGTTGAGATATGCCATGCCAGCCAGTACAATCATGCACACACACATCCCAGAAGCACCGAATATTGTCAACGTCCTGCGGCCCCAGAAGCGATCAATGCCGACAACGGCCACCAGAGAGGCAAGGAAGAACTCGGTTGCACATGCAGCTGCCAGCAGTAGGGCGAGCTTGGGTGGGTAGTGTAGTTGGTTCATGAACATGCTTCCCAGGTATTGCATGAAGAGGTTTACCCCAGTGAACTGCGCCATAGTCTGGAGCACGACAGCAAGGATGATCCGATGAAGGTGGCGATTCTTGCCTTGCCTGAAAGCGTCCTTGATACTGGCGGACGTCATGAAGAGTATTGTGTTCTTGATCATGAGGAACTCGCGATGGATGTTCTCATCCTCTGGCGATACCTCGTTCAACGCAGAGAGTACGTTCTTGGCTTCTTGCTCGCGTCCAGTCAGGATCAAGTAGCGTGGAGACTCTGGCATCCATACGGCGAGCATAAGTGCGAGAACCATAGGGATAATACCAATTCCGATTGGGCCACGCCAGGATGCTGTGCCGGGTTCAGTCCACGAGAATGCGTAACCTAAATACGTATCAGTTCTGTTGTAAGTCATCGGTTGACATTGGGGAACGGCACTGACCAATCCAGTAGGCAAGGGCAAGTCCGGCAGTGATACACGACCCGAAGGAGACCATGAGTAGTGTGCCTCTTCGGTGTGTCTTGAGGCACTCTGCCTGCCATGCTGGGACTGTGGAAGCAATCCATCTGTCCGCCGTCAGAAAATGCGTGCGCAGGCGATGAAATGTGCTCACCCGTTTCCAAATCCAGCGATAAATCTACCGGCGAGAAGCTGACCAAAGCTGAACGTCGAGACCTGGATAATTTTGCCAACAATCATGATACATAGACCAGCGATGATAGCGCGTTTTCGACCAAGCCTGTCCCCAATCACTACCATTATCATGGCGCCAACGAAGCTGCCCAAGTTCCAGATACCAATGGTGATGCCGTCGATCCTGCATGTCTGAAGCGATAGACCAGCGATTTGTGGAAAGTATTTCTGAAAGGTTGGCATAACCATGAGTGAGCCGATATCTCCTTGGCCATAGCCAAAGCAGATGAAGCAGAGGCCTGCTGTCATACCAATGGCAATTCGCAAAGCAGTCCCGCTCAAACCCATGTAGTGGGCATGAGGAAGGGCGGCCCGGGGTGCACTCATTTCGTCGACCATGTTGCTGGGACCCACGAACAAGAGAGATTTATGGTCGCTTGTGTGAGATAGCGTAACAGCAGAGAAGCAGCGCATTCGCAAAGTGACAGGCGACAGCCATTACATGTCCTGTATCGAGTCCTTGGCCTCTCCACTCAGGAACAGAGCATGTTTCTCGCTTCGACACCGTTTGCATGGGTCGACAGCAGGAGACGTAATTCTGCAGACGGATCATGAACGACCACACAGTGGTGTACCGTCCTCTACAGGCAAAAGAACGACCATATGCGCAGCTCATTGCCGTTGGTAGGCATAGCGTGAGTTGAAGACCGTGCTGTAGAGTTCTAAGTTTCCGATTCCCAGGATAGCGATCCTGTCTCAGCTATGGTACGCTAGTTTTGTCCCCGGTTCCGGGTCCGCGATGCAGGAACAGCTGGGAATTCCTGGAACCTTTGCAATTTTTGTCGATCGACCAATCGAAAAGCAAAGTCGTGGTGGATACTCGATCCGTGATCGCACAAGATTCGAATTTGTTACCCGTTCGCAAGGTTTGACGCAGTTGATTGAGCGACAACGTCCTGCACCATCAAGACTCAAGAGCAGTCATGCATTTAGTACCCCGAATCAAGCCACAGACCCCAGTCGGCGCCTTCAAACAGAGAAGCTCAGCTGTCACCATGGTGTCAGTCAGCAATTGTAGTACGTCCTTGTGCGCGAGCTCGTATCGCTAGGACCGAGGTCATGATCGTGCTCTCGAAGTCTTGCAACTTCGTCATATCGCGGACCCCTGTCGTGATAAGCTTGCGGATGGCTGCGTGACCGACCTGACCTCTGGAACCTATCCAAGGACGAGGACTACGGAGCAAGCCTTGCGCTTCTTTCGGTCTGCATCGAGATTCAGGAATAACAGCCCTGAAATAATCTCACCATCAGACCGGCGACCGGCAACTTACAGATTGGGGCGAGAGGGACCATGCTAGTTTCTGCCTGCAGCAAGTCACACTCCAGTCGTACGCAATGTCGACGCTATACGTAGTTTGTCAATGTTGATACAGTAGAGACCTTTCGCAACTCTTGCTCCTATAACAACAACAACCTTAACAAGGCCATATCCGGTAATGTAGATATACTGTCTGTAGCTAATTTCCGTCCAGTCTATAAGCGCGTTGCTCGCCCGAAGTCTACTACGCCGCGCCGGCGTTCCTCATCCGGTTAGACTAGACTAGATATAATGTTAATGAGGGCCTGTTAACACTTACTAGCGCTAGATAAACCTATGCTAAGAGTCGTCTAAATGTAGACGAGACAGACCCTGTACTAGCTTAATTAAGCGGTTGTTGTTATAGGAGCAAGAGTTGCGAAAGGTCTCTAGTGGAGGTTGTTTTCGAGGCTTCCGAATGCATCAGAATTGGCGTAAGCATCAAGACGATCTAATGGAGCCAGATATGTTTTTTGTTTGGCATGCAGACCCACGCCGCATGTCTTGGCCGAGTGCACGGTGGTCAGATCGCGTCTCATCATTCATGAGCGCTATCGTCTGCGTTGCAATGTCACTCTACCTGTGCCCGAAGAGCGTCTCTCTCCACGTACACCATCAGCGCTGCCATTGACTTGGTGCTTGTAAGTGCTCGGTTCCATCAATGCCTGTGTCTAGCACCAGCATCCTGGCGATGTCGTCAGCGTAAGCTCCATCAGGCCTCGGTAAACTACGCAATTAGTGATGCAATTGTGGTGAAAGCTCAGTCGAGCTCCGGTCTTATTACAACGCGAGGATGGAGTCGACAAGACTGGTTCACCGATCTACTCGAAGTATCGTAAGTGCTGTACAAGCCAGATCCCTTTCACAGTACGCCCGAGCACCAGCTTTGCGAGCACTCCAGCATGGCCAAAATCTTCGACAATGTCGTCTCAGTAGGTTAGTAGCGGTTCCGTTCCAGCATCAGCAGAGACGGTACAAATCGAAGCCCACAGATTCATCGCAGCATCCGCTCAGTGGACTGTGGAAGCCTACGCACCTTCAGCGACTTCACTATGGGCCTGGTAGTGTAGATAGGCACTTGCTGGAATGCCTGCCGAACGAGAACAGCAAGGCTTTCATCATCACCGGCTCCTCGCTCGCAAACAAGACCGGACTGTAAGTGGACAGTGCCAGGACGTGCACCTGCCTCGCTGACTACTGCAGTATCAAGCAAGTCGAGAAGCTTCTTGGCAAGCACCATGCCGGCACCTTTGACAAGATAGGCCAACATGCACCCGTGAAGCAGCTCGACGAGGCTACAGAACTGGTCTTGAAGGACGAGAGCATCGACACCATCATCTCCGTCGGTGGTGGGAGCCCCATTGACTCCTCAAAGGCCATCTCGTATCGTCTGAACGAGCGAAAGAAGGAAGCAGGAGGAGGTCAATTCTTATACCATATCTCCATACCAACGACACTCAGTGCGGCGGAGTGCACACTCGGCGCAGGCTACACAAACGAGAATGGTATGAAAACAGGCGTCGCAGCTCCTCAGCTAGCACCGAGTGTGATACTGTACGACAGCACATTCGGCTTGGAAACACCTCCGTGGCTCTTCATGAGCACAGGCATGCGTGCCATGGACCATGCGATGGAGCTCATGTATCACCCGACGTCAACGGAGATGCCGTGTAGATGGATGGCGATGTTCGCGGCTGGCGAGCTGTTTAAGAATTTGCCAAAGTACAAGCAGAACCCCAAGGACGAGGAGGTGATCACGCGGCTGCAATTGGCTGCTTTTGCATCTCTCGGCTTCCTCGCACTGAACGTAAAAGGCGGGCTCGGGCTATCGCATACTCTTGGCTATGCTCTTGGATCGCCATATCAGATCCCGCATGGTATAACTTCATGTCTTACACTTGGTCACGTTGTGAAGCTGAAGGCGCAGAGCTCTGATGACGATGCGGCACAGCTCGCACGTATGGCACCGTTCATCGGTGTGAAGTCTTCTGGCGACAACCAAAAGGATGGTGTTGCCGTGGGTGATGCGATCCTGGATTTGGTGAAGAGCCTAGATCTGAAGACGACCTTGACGGAGAAGGGTGTTGGTAAGGACCAGATCCACACGATCGTGAACCTGGCTACACGGCAAGAGAGTGGACCTGTGTATGATAAGGTCAAGGAGCTTGTTGAAGGCCTGTATTAGGTATGTACTTGGAGGATAGCTCAAACATGGTTGATGCACGTGCAGGCCTAAGCTTCAAATCTCTCCTTGGTCGTGCTTTACTCATCTGCTGCTCAATTGAAAGTCACCTTAACATCGCAGGCACAAGTCAACGCCATGGAGAGCCGTCACTCCGGCATGGTTCCTCCCGCATTGGGTTACGCGAAAGCCTTCGTGCCATCTCATCGCCGCAATTTGACCGTGGGAAAAAGATCTGCGATGGTCACTTATCCTTCGTTCTGGCCAGAGGACATTGTACGTGGCAAATTTAGCCCCCAAAACATAGACTGACCTCTTTCACGACAAAGGCGGCGGGAGAGGCCGACTCATACCCTGCCTTCTAACCAATTCTCTTTTGGCAACTATGAACGCGCATCATCAGCGATTCGTCAGCGATTGAGTGACTTTGGCATCTGGGAGTTTGTCGAGCGTCCATATGCAGACTTTGTCATTCTCAACGAGCTTTCACGAGAGGAACGTGATCGGAACGACCACTGGGCGGTCGGACTTATACTGGACTCGATATGTCCCAAAGTCATGAGTATGTTAAAATACGACCCACCCTGCACTGCACCGGAGCTTCTTGCACAACTCAGTGTGGCATGCTAGCCATTCCGCTTCTCGGACTTGCCCTCGGATATGCGAGTGTGCGTCTACGATCTGCTCGTACCGGAGTACGTCGATCCTCTGCCCGAGTACGACTGCGGAGGCTTTTCGTCTCGACCCGAAGAGATTCGAAGACTATGCGCGGTGTCACAGGAATTTAGGGCAGAGATACTGCGACTTTACTTTGCCAGGAACAGATTCTATGTGACTTTCCTATCTGGGGTTGGGCCTCACCTGCTGCAGGCATGGGTTGATGTTGTAGGTATTACTCCCCTGCAGCATCTGACAGACCTTGAGGTGGAGATCGAGTACTACCAGAGTATCAAGACACGGTGCACATGAATGAAGGATAGAGACCCATTGTTCTAGAATGTATGTGCAAGTTACGTAGCATCTGCATTGTTCAACGATATCTCAACAAGAATCATGAGCAATTGCCCTTCGGCTTGTAACTATTCGTTGCGGCAATCGCTTCATCAGTCACCGTGTAATCAATCAACTTTCCAGCTCCCGGCACAATAGCTTGGGCGTAGTTGAAATGAGCGGGCACCGAGGCGAAACCACCAAACTGACTTCGCACATCGATGACATTCAGCAGCCCTTGGCGGTTGACGGTGAAGTTGCCACCTGGGTTTGATGTCTCACCAGTCAGCGGGTCGATGGCTGAGTTGTACGCCGATGTTGCGACAGCGGTGGAGACGTTCAGCTGGGCGGCGATGGCCCCGATGCTGCATTTTTGCGATTTCTGCGATTCGCTTGCAAGGTACTGGTTGGCAGCGTACATGGCTGCCATGAAACAGCGGATGATAGCGCGCTCGGTGCTGTTGCCCAGCGCCGCTTCACGTATGGTGAAGGCGGAGGACGAGAAGGGCTGGATGAAGTCTGTAACCCTGGCGATGATGTTTGGTCTTTGGGTGGTAGGCACGACTGCCATTGCTTCGCTGGTGAATGGGTAGGTCAAGATGGTGGCATAGACTGGAGTGCCATTTGGCAAGTGGCCAGCGACGAGGTCTGCATAGCGAATGTTGGTCGAGCCGACAGTCTGGAGGACTATGTCAACAGGTGACCTTTCAAGTCAACAGCATGCTTCTTACCTGGAAAGTGTAGTCGCCCTTCTCAAGGTACAAGCCATAGAGGGAGAGCACTTTTCTCAAGATGTATGCATAGCCGCTAACAGGTGAGTCGACCATCAAGGACAGGCCCTGTAGCTGCGTGGGATCCGTAATGTTAGGGATGGCAGCAATGCTCAATTCAGGACCCTGGTCGAGCTGACCGATCACGGTGAGGTTGTTCTTCGAATTGAATCGCAGGTTGACGGCATTGTCGATTGTGCCAGTGATGATGTCGTAGCCGCCATTGAGCAGTTGTGCGTAGCCGTAGGTGGAGTTGGGTACCTGGAGGTATGTAACATTGAGTCCATAGGCCGTGAAGAAGCCCAGCTGATTGGCTATGGAGTAGGTGGCTGTCTGCGTGAAGGCGCCATAGTTGACGTTCTGGAGAGTGGCCGGAGCAGCGTTCGACGAGTCTGCCAAAGTCAAAGAGGCCGCCGCCACAAGGCTGCAAAGGAGCTGTACCTGCATATTCGTAATGGTTAGAAAAGAGATAATCGAGAGTAGCTCAAGCGACGGGAGTGGTGAAACGGTGGGCTGATCCGAAATGGCAGCCACGGCGGGTTTTGAAGCTCTTTTTGACCTGACTCGATTTACTTGCTCCTTAGTGCATATATCTGCGACGGCTCGGCATCGCGGTACATGCACCATGCATGGAACGGAGGAGCACGATCCCTTGGAGTTAGCACACGGAGAAGCAAGCGTTTCTGCCGTTCTGGGACGATTTGAATTGGCATAGCTTGTAGATCGCCTTCGCCCAACGCAAACACGTGGGAAGCGAAGGACGCTTTGAATGCAATCGACGAGGCTAAACCTTACGCCAAGCTATTGATTGCCGTGCGGTCGGGCAAGCGGCAGCAGTGACGTCCAGGTTTTACCCTGGAACGCAATCTGCAAAGCGTGCTTTGGGAAGCCGAAGGACGATAGCGGCATGCAAGTAGGTGGGAGAAACCAACGGGTAATATAGATTACACTTCGCGGAAGACTTAACCGAGTGTCTCGAGTCAGACGTCACAAGAGCACACGAACTCGATCCTTCGAAAGGAAGGCAGGCTTAGTTAGGAGGAAACCATAGTTCCAACGATAACGCCATGGGGTTGTTATGTCGGTGCTCCGAAGCCTTCTTCGTCTTCGCACCGCCCTATACATCTGCGGCAGTCAGCCACCATTTCGTCTCCTCCGTCCCTGGGAGTTTGCCGATCTCTACGCCGACCTTGGAGCACACCCATTCATCACCACGGTACTGTCGAAGCATACGACCACGATGATTGACACCCGGGCGGCCGATGGGCTTCCACCGAACCCACATGGACAGAACCTGGCTACTGTCGGCATAATCATGTGCATCATCGCAGGCGTTCTGATGACATGCCGCTTGCTTACGCGCATCTTCATGGCCCACGCTGTAGGATGGGATGACTATACCCTGGCCCTCTCCATGTTGCTAGCGGTCGGCATGACCACCTGCTTTCAGATGGGTGCGTGCCGCTACGGACCCAGGCATGGAATTACAGTATGGACTGATTGTTCACAGAGGTCTTCTATGGCATGGGGCTTCACACTGCCGACGTCGAGAACGCAAATTATAAGCATACCTCACTACTTGTAAGGCGCGCTTGCAGGACTCGAGAGCTTGTACTGAGGCACTAACAGATATGCAGTGGCTATGGATCAATCAAATACTCTACAAGATCGCCAACGGCGCAATCAAGATCTCCATTGCACTCTTGTACCTGAGAATCTTTCCGAGCAAGAGATTTAAGTACACTGTTTGGGCCTTCATTGGTTTCGTGATCGCGTACTGCTTAGCAGCTCTTCTGCCAAGCATATTTCAATGCAGGTGCGTGCTTTGACCTTGTTCGAATGGTGTTGTTAGCCGCTAACGATCTCGAAGCCCGATAGCAAAAGCATGGAACAAGAGCTTAGATGGGCACTGCATCAACACAGTCCAGATTTGGTATGTGAACAGTACCATGACACTCATTGCAGACGCCATTCTGGTTGGCTTGCCTATCTCAAATCTGGTCAAACTGCAACTACCAAAAGCGCAAAGAATCGCTCTGGTATTCGTCTTCGGGCTCGGTATCTTCGTCATGGCAACCACGATTGTGCGCCTGGTGTCGTTGAGTCCGCTCGCCTCTCAAGGTGACCTCTTATGTAAGACAAATTGCTGTTCGATGCCACATTGTGCAAGTCTAATGAGCTCCCAGGGTATCAAGCAACATCTAACAGTTGGGCGTTCCTCGAGATCGACGTGTCCATCATCTGCGCCTCGATACCTGTCCTCCGCGCACCAATAGGCATGCTGTTTCCTCGTGTCCTTGGCCGATTGTCGACTCGCAATGGAGCAGAGAGTGGTGGCCAGTACCATGGCCAGTTCCGTTCAGGGACGGCTGCGCGTGTACCCGAAGGCAGTGCTATTAGTATGCAAGACCGCATACAATGGCAGAAGTCCACGGGCGGTAATGCGTACGTTCGTGGAGTACATGGTGGGATTGACGACGATGCTGCTAGCGATGAGGAGCGCATCTTGGGCGCCGAGGGCATCCGGAAAACGACGGAGGTGACTTTTGGTTACGATGAGTTGGAGCGGTCGAGATCGGGGACTTTTGGACGAAGATGAATTACAGTATAGCATCTGCCTATTTTACGAACAGCGCGGCGCCTCGTCCTTCCCTGTAGCTATACAAAGAATAGATAAAGACTCTGCATTAGCACTTATGTCCAAGCGTGCACAGCAAACATGTAGGCGGCGTGCTGCAGGTGCTGAGCGTCAAGTGCGGCAACCTGGATCTTGCGAAGAGCTTCGCTCAGCAGACGAAAGTTAGGGAATCCTGTCTTTCTGCAGCTGACATGGACACCACCGAGCGCTCGCGATAATACGTCACTTATCCATGTGGGCAACACCCATCGCCTCTGAGACTATGTGTCGGTTTTAAACATCAAACAGCGGTGGCGGAGATTGGTCGAGCAGTGCACACGTACGAACTTCGTGCACGCTGATGGTCTTCTACCTGCATTGTCCAGTTTTGGGTGCCTAGAGCTCGATGGATGCTAAGCTCGGGCAGTACCTTGCTGGTGTCTCGGAGAACGATATGCTTCGTGGTTTACCATGAACGTGCTCAAAGGGTGCCAAAGTTTATGCACCAGCGTCATTAATTGCGCCCTCCTGGGAATGGTCGTCTGCAAGACCACGGAGTGAGTTCGTTGGGTTGAGCGAGCGGGAAAGTACGGTACGGCAATGGTGGAAATCGTCTATGCTTCTTGTACGCTTACAAACATACGATCCATCGCATTTTGTGAATCGAGGCCATTATTACAAGCGCGCCTCGCGCGTCGTCCCGGCAGCGTCTGGTGGTGGTATCGCTTTACCCGAATCCGTTAACGCATCAGCCTTAGTTCCGAGCGCAAGCGGCTGTGGGCCATTAGCATCTGTCCTCCTTACAAACTCCTCCACAGGACTCACCTCATCTCCCGCCCTCCCAGGCAAATACGCCTCCTCGCCCTTCTCAACATCCGCATACAGGTCCACCTCCTCATCCTCCATCGCACTCATCCTCGCGTTCTCCCACGCATACCACCTCTCCGTAAGCACAAACTTAATCTTCTTCATCGTCTCCGCCACAACCTCATGCCGTGCATTCGCCTCGTAGTCTCCGTACATGCCGCTTCTCGCTGCCGCTTTCTGCCGCGCCAGCATGGCGGTTGCGCTGCGGTTATTTTCTTTCACGCAGGTCCACCATAGGCGGTGCAGATCGTCCCAGTCCTTGACGCGGAGCTCGGGGACGGTCCAGGCGCGGCCGTGAGCGTGTGACTCTTCGGGGGTGGGGAAGAGTTCGCGAGAAGGGTAGAAGAAGTCCCAGAGGCCGTGGTCTTCGTCTACATCGACTGTGCTTCGCTTTTGGGGGTCGAGGACTGGTTTTGGAAGGTTGGCTAGGGAGACGCCAAGCTTCTGTTTCCGACCAATGCCAGTGTGTCGTAGTGCAGAGACGCCACGATTGCGATTGCCATCTTTTCTTGCTTGTGCCGGTGTTGTGGAGGAGAAGGATGAGGTTTGGGTGATATTGAAAGCTGGCACCAGAAAGGCTGGTGGTAAGACACTGGCTCGTGTGGTCGTTGTTGTGAAGACGCTACGTAGGAGCGATGCACTTGAGCAATGTATTGAGGCCATGCTGGTGATGTGGTGATGCCAATGGCATGAAAGACGAGACAAAATGATAACTTGATTGCCTGACGAAACACGAGATTCAAGGCTCCTGGGCCGAGCTCATCCCCGAACGCTCCGCAACATCATCCTGCTTTACACTCCTATGCGCTGACTTGTATCAACGCATGGAACTCCATGAGCCCAACACCACGGTGCTGTAATTGCACGAGAAAAGCCTTTGTCGACACTGTTGTATTACAGGCACTTCTTCACCTGTCAGATAGACGTCCTACCATGACATTCATGGGCACAATCAGGCGCATGCCGAAACTTATCAGAAGAACGTGCTAACTCACATACGCTCTGTCTCGCACAAGATGCTGATGCAGCGATATGAGGTGCGGATGAGGTGAGGTAGCTTCAGACTCCGAGCTTGAAGCTCACATGGGTAATTAAATGTCGTCGCCTTTTCCTCTCTAGAGGACAACCCCTACCATTACTCTCTCTCACAGTACCTCGACAAGCAGGACGAGTGAAGATTATGAGTACCGTCGACCGTGCTTCTGTCGGCGCTTATAAGGAGGTTAAGCAGCATTGACCGGACGACCAGCAGGCTACCTGTGCCAAGAAGGCTGCTCTCAGAGTTGTGATTTGTCACGGTACAACAGCATCAGGACTCCCGTCCTACTCAACTCCGTCTTCCATATCTTGACGCCGAGCGGCGAACGGTTGTAAGTACTCCGACTCTGGTCGTCATTATTGTCGCTCGAAGCGATGGTCGACTGGACCGGAGTGTGTGCAGTACAATTTGGAGCCCGAAGCTCGAAGTCTCTGCTACCTCAGCAAGGTGATCACTTGTGGAAGCAGATAGACGACGGCTTGAGCGTGCCAACGAAGAGCAGTCTTGATTCGCCTGCGCCAGAGTTTCACACGATACTGGCTGGAAGTGCTGCTCAAGGAAATTGAGCAGGACATTTGCAGATCCATAAGGAAGATCCGGGGTATCATCGCCTGCATTGGACATGATCTTTTCCGAGCATTGTCCCCGTAAGACGAGTCGCGTGCGCACGTTTGAGTCTCTCTATCATGTCTGCACGTTCGCATTCTGCTTTCGTCCTGCTGCGCCTAGTAGCATGTTGATATTGGACCAGTCCGAGGTTCGGACCACTGCTATGTAACTTCTAATAATGCTTCAATCCGTTCTTCTGTCAGCCCATTCCAAGACCACTTTCTCGCGGTTGAATGTCGGCAAGCCGCGATATCTGCCCCACATGCCATCCACATGCCACTTCGCTAGTGACGTTGCGAGGCTCAAGCTCGCATTACAACAACCATCCAAACCCTACTGACCGCCTCGGACTGTGAATAAAAGAAGTTCTGGACACTCGTAACACCCTCGACTACATATACCCATCAGGAAGCACAATGGATGAGATAGCTCCGGAGTGAGTGATCAGAAAGCGTACGGAGCCCCGACTCTCCATGCTGACTTGCAACAGGTACGATGTTGTGGTCCTCGGCACCGGCTTGACAGAATGTATCTTGTCAGGAGTGCTGAGCGTGAAGGGGAAAAAGATATTGCACCTAGACAGAAATGACATCTATGGCGGCGAATCAGCTTCAGTCAACCTGGAAACGTTGTTCAAAAAGTACCAGCCGGGCAGTGCAGCATCCGAACCGTGGAAGAAAGTGAGTGTGGTGGGAAAGAGCAGGGCTCGGCGGATACTGACGTCCTAGTAGTATGGCAGAGCCAACGACTGGAACATCGACCTCGTCCCAAAGCTCCTCATGAGCAATGGCGAGTTGACCAACATCCTCGTCAGCACCGACGTCACACGATACATTGAATTCAAGCAGGTGGCAGGCAGCTATGTGCAGCAAGGGAATGGGGCAAGAGCTACTGTCGCGAAGGTGCCGAGTGACGCGGGCGAGGCACTGCGGAGTCCGTTGATGGGACTATTCGAGAAGAGACGAGCACGGAACTTCTTGAACTGGGTGGCTGCTTTCGATGAGGCAAACCCGAGTACACACAATGGTGAGGCGGCCTTGACATCGACATCGGTGAGCCAGGTCAGCTGATTGATGTGTCCGCAGGCATGAACCTCTCCCAAACCACCATGCGCCAGGTCTACGACAAATTCGGCCTCGAAGCCACCACTCGTGACTTCGTCGGCCACAGCATGGCCCTCTATACCACGGACGAGTACATCGAGCAACGGGGCGCTGCCAAAGAAGCTGTGGAGCGAATCAGACTCTACGTGAACAGCATGGCCCGCTACGGCAAATCACCCTACATCTACCCGCTCTATGGTCTAGGCGAGCTCCCACAAGGCTTCGCCCGCCTCTCAGCCATCTACGGCGGCACATACATGCTCAATACCAACGTTGACGAAGTCAAATATGACAGCAGTGGCAAAGTCGCTGGCATTCGAGCGACCATGAAAGAGCGAGGTGAAGAAGGTGAAGGCATGAAGTTCGAGACCAAGTGCAGCAAGATCCTTGCCGACCCATCATACTTCCCGGACAAAGCTCAAGTGGTGGGACATATCTTGAAAGCAATCTGTATTCTCAACCACCCCATCGCCAGCACAGACAACTCCGACTCTCTGCAACTCATCATCCCGCAATCACAAGTCGGGCGCAAGAATGACATCTACATCGCCTGCGTCAGCTCCGCGCATAACGTATGTCCGAAAGGCTACTACATCGCCATCGTCAGCACCATCGCAGAGACTTCTGCGAATCACCACTTGGAGCTCCAGCCTGGATTGGAGAGGCTCGGTAAGATCGAAGAGAAGTTCATGGGCGCCCCTATCCCAGTGTATGCACCGAAAGCCGACGGCAAGGCGGACAATGTGTTCATCAGCAAGAGTTACGATGCCAGCTCGCATTTTGAGACGATGACGGATGATGTACGGGATATTTATGCTCGAGCAGAGGGCCAAGAATTGAAGGTGGAAGGTTCGTGCTGCGATTAAGTGTGTTCAAGTGGTGAGCCCTCGCTAACATGGTTTCTAGGATTGAAAGAAGGGCAGAACCTTGTCGCGGAGGAGTAGAGGCAAAGGGTGATCATGCCTGAAGAATGCAGCACGGACGCCTGATGATATCACGTTATAGAAACGTACAATGAAGAGGTTGCATGCAGGCATTGTCGCATAAAGTCGCCAAATGATACGGCGACTATTCACGAGCCATTCGAGGTTTCCCCAATGCTTTCTCTAGTTATTGGAATGCTATGGCTAATCTGCTGACCTTGGTGATGCTGACTGGTGGGAGAACAAGAAGAGGTACATGTATGCTTGAGTGGTGAAGTATAACACATGCCGCGATCTGCTGGCTACCGCCCATTACATATGTGGGAATGTATGGTATGATCCACGAGTTATTTGTCTCTCTTGCGCAGCACGATCATTGCACTAGCGCCAGTGGCCATGGTCCGAAGCAGTGAGGTGCAGACTGTGCACCTCAAAACATCATCGCCATTCTCCGCCCATTTCGTCGTCAACGGAACGTAGCATTATGGAAACGCAGCAGCATGACCACGTACTGCTGCCCTCCGCCTACGAGTGCCTCAACATTGTTTGTGCCATTGCCCGTCCGCCTTTGAACACAGTACATCGGCACAGAGTCCGCTCTTTCTACTATGTTCACCACGGCCATGGCGACGGTTGCGAATCTATGCTCCACTTGTTACGCCATATTCTCAATACCGTGGGCACCGCGAGAACCTGATGAGTCGACTCGTGCCACGAAGGACGAAGAAAGCTTCTACTCGGCGTCAGAGGGTTCTGGCTCTTCTGGTAGACCCGCATGGGGCAGTATATCTCTCGTACCAGGAGCGGAAGACGCAGTATGGCAGCCTGTCGAGCATCATTGAGTTTCCGGTCTCAAAGCTAGCGCAGAAGCCGGTTGTGCCCTGTGCAGCCTTCTCTTCGACCAAATCAAGGACAGTCAGATAGGTCTGGAGTCCAGATTCTGTACTATGCTTGAGGAGGCTACAGGTTTTGCCGTGGTGAGCAGCGATCTCGGGAAAGGTGCAAGTTTGGAAGTACGGCCTCTCGGCCTTGAGATGTCATATTTCCAGCATGGTCAATGGACAAGTCGAGTAGCGTACATCCCTATCAATGTAGGCCTCGACATACTGCCTCTGACTGGTAAGGGCTGTGCGCATACAGCGGAACTAATGTCTCGAGTTGATCTTCTACAGATCCTTCAGATTTCTGCGGCACTACCGTCCAAGACCTGCTGCGCTCTTACAAAGAGACAGCTGAAGCTGTTGCGGAGTGGTCCCGTACCTGTATTCGAGACCACGAAGAGCGTGCTGCTATCAATCGTAGGGTCAGTGGCACTGGTCAAGGTAGGGACGCGCGGCCCACAAGGTTGCTTGATATCTGTTCGCTGGCTGCTGAGCAGAAGGTGCGACCCTGCGGCCACAACACATATCTCACCGACAACGAGAATGGATATGTTACGCTCAGCCACTGCCGGGGGCCGTTTTTACCCACAAGACTACTGACGACCAATTTTGCTGAATTCTGTGATGGCATCAAGATCGAGAGGCTTCCGCGAACTTTCCAAGATGCGATCGCTTTCACCAGGTCAATCGACGTTCGCTATTTGTGGATCGATGCTCTATGCATTGTAAAGGACTCACAGGAGGATTGGCTTCGAGAGTCTCTACGTATGGTAGATGCGTACTCGAACAGCATAGTCAATCTAGTGGCTACCGCTTCGACGGACGGCACAGGTGGGTCGTTCGTGGAGAAGTACGACCCATCGCTTTCTTTGCCGCTCGTTGTCAACGCTACCTGGACAGGCCACGCCGCAGGTCGATATGCTTGTCTCGATCAGTCAGCGTACGACTGGCGGATCGATGCTGGTACACTCAATAAACGAGCCTGGGTCTTCCAAGAGAGAGTCCTAGCTCCACGGACAGTCCACTTTGCGCAAGACCAGGTATGGTGGGAGTGCCAGCAAGTACGTGCGTCCTCGGCCTTTCCATCTGGTCTATGTGATGGAGTTAGACACACCTTTCGTCAGCCTCCTTACAGAGATCGGCATGCGATATCAGACGCAAGCTGGAAAGTAAGCGGCATGGCTGGCTCTTATTAGTGCTTATGCGAACACGGCGCTGACCAAGGAGACGGACCGCATAATCGCTATGTCAGGAATCGCGATGACTGCGCAAAGACTGGCGAAATGGAAGCCCAGTGATTACGCAGCCGGACTACGGCGGCAAGAAATCGAGGTTGCCATGCTATGGCACCTCACTGATGCAGAATCGAGGAGTGCAGATATGTTTGTTGCCCCGTCGTGGTCATGGCCATCAGTACGTGGGAGCATGGAGTTCACACCGCTCGAAGACTGGGAATCTGTCAAAACTGGGAATCTGTCAAGACAAATCTTGTTGCTCGTGTTATGCACATCGAGATGGCTACCATCGGAGGACCCTTTGGTGTCGTTACGAACGGTACGATGCAGCTGCACGCTCCTCTACATCAGATCGAACTATGGGAAGTCAGGTTCGATGGCTCAGCGTCGAAACTATACTGCATGAGCATCAACGAAAGGACTAAACTTAAACAAGGTGAGAATCCTTACAGCATAGACTTCTTCGAGGCCTTGGATCATGAGCCAATGTACCAGTCCGTGCCTCCCAATGGCCTAGATGCGGTGTTTTGTCGCTTTATGACAGCTGAGACGCCACATCTGCCGAAACGATGGGCTTCGGAAGGCTTGATACAGCAACCGACACCACATCAGCCCCCTGGTCACTATGTAAGGATCGGCAGGTTGAAATTGTTCCACGATGACAAAGAGCACATCTTTGACGCCGCAAGAAAGCAACATCTGAGCTGCCTAGCTGATCATCAGGATGGCACATTCACTATAGACATAGTCTAGACCAGGCGCGACTGGCCTGACGCAAGTTCTAACCAATTCAATAAATTCTTACCTCCAGAACTCAGCCTTCTCAACTTCCTTCACCCACAAAGGCCACACCTTACCAATACAATGCCGATCCATAGGCGCACAAGCCGCTATCTCAGCTTCGCTAAGCCCTTGCACCTTCCCACCACCATCGCCATGTAATTGATGTGCGGAGGACTGCACCAAAGCGTTCTCGATGGTCGAGAAAGCAGTCTCCGCGCCCAGCGACAGTGTTGAGCCAGACTACGTGAGTCATGTCTGTTTGCCGTCGGACGCGCACAATGCTCGAGGTTTCGGTGTAGATAGCATTATAAACTGCTTCCTCTATACTATCACCCACGCAAGTGAAGCCGTGACCGCGCTGGACGACTACTTTGTGAAAAGCCAACGGACCGGCCGTCTTGTTCGTCGCTTCGGCCAGCGATGCTCCGAGCGAGTAGTCGTTGACTAGTAGATGTCTCGCTTTGGTCTCCTGCGTCGTGTAGGCGTCGCTGATATCCCAGATCGGAACCTTGGGTCCCAGAAACGCAGCCGTGTGCAAACAGGCTTTGAGTGGCACCTCAGGACTGATAGCGAAAGGTAACACGGCTGGAGCATGACTGTGTACGACGGAATTCACCTCTGGATACTTGGCCAGCATGGCAGCATGAATATAGTGCTCCGAGTACGTAGATGGTATGGATCCGCCATCTGTTCGTTGACCGTCCAAGATATTGATCTCGTAGTATGGTGTCGAAGAGTCGATTAGAGCGGCTGGGACACCAGTGGTGAAGAAAGTGGTTTTCTTGGTCGGGTGGCGGAGGGAGATGTGGCCGAAGCCGTCGAGGACTTTGTGATGGTGGAGGATGTGGTTTGCTGTTACTAGGAGCGCCATCTGGTCTTCGAGGCTGGAAGGGGTGGAGGACATCTTTCTTGGATCCTGAGATGAGAGGGAGGTTGTTTTGATGGGTAAATTTATTAGGAATTCGACTGGGAGAGGAAAGAGGATGAGTGGTGGTTGGTATGAGGGTTGAGGAAGTGGATGGAGTTGTGCTTGCCTTGCTCTACGTGAAGGGGAAAAGCTCCTTATATGCTTTACTGGATACTGAGATCCTCAGACATGAAGCCCGGAAGCCTCTAGTGGTAAAGCCGTAGCCATGGTCATAGGATCTTTGATATCCGGAGAATCCGCTCGGATGACGTTGATTGGCCGGCTGAAATTCATGGGATCAGGCAATTGATATGGAGCTCGAACGTGCCGGTACCCATTCTCACATGGTGAAGTATGGTGGGAGCGGATACAGCTAAGCCGAAATACTGGTCACCGAGCGTGGAAGGGTTTCGGAATTGTCTACACTTCTCATCAATACCGCATCTCATCTCATCTCTATCTCCGCCCTTCGTAGCTCTCAAGTCTCTCACCTCATCTCTACCTCCGCCTTTCGTGTCCTTCATAACTCTCACTCATCCACACCACCAGGACCAATGCCTCAACTCCTCATATAATCCCTAATAGCCCCCTGTAACTTCACCGCCCCCTCTCCCAATAACCCAGTCAAATTCTCAATATCATCCCCCGCCGTAATCCCAAACTTGCGCACGAAGTCCTTCGCCGCCGTCTCCAAATCCCCATACTCGCCATCCACCCCTCCTTCATCCTCGGGACGACCAAAGTAAGCATTCGAAGAGATGGACTGCGCGCCTTCGAAGCCTTGGAGACGGCTTTTGGCTTCGGCTTGGGCGTTGTTGTCGAAGGTGCCGCGGCCGAAGAATTCGTCCGAGGAAATGCCTTTTTGCGTGCCGAATTTTTGACGGGCGAATTTTTCGGAGTCGTCTGTAGATGTTATGTCAATAATCGGCAAGATTTGGATTGAATTGGATTTCTGGACTTACCAACTACAGGTGCTTTGCCAGTAGAACCAAAGCCCATTGCTTTGGGTGCTGCTGCTTTACCGGGCGCACCACCACCGACTTGTCCAAAGCCAAGTCTTCGTACACCCATGCCTAGCCGCTCGACCTCACTATCTGTTTTCTGAGCGGCAGTGTTGCCAAAATTGCCTGCTCGACCAGGACTGACGGGTGTTGGTTGGTGTATTGTGGTGGCTGTAGTATCTGGTTGTGCTGCGGCGATCTGAGCTTCTGAAGGCGTGCTGCCCTCGTCCGGATCATAGCCTAGTCTCTCTTTCCTCTCAGCCTCTTCCCGCGCTTTCTTCTCTGCCTCGTCGAAATCTAGTGCACTAGCATCCACTTTCTTTGCTCCCAGACCCTTCTTCTTGGCACCTAGGATATTGGCTTTCGGCTTGTTCGCAATACCTTGTTTTCGGATGGCGGAGGAGGAGATTGTGCGGTTTGCAGCAGGAGCGGGTGCGGCTGTACTGTCGTCGGTGGAGATCAAGGGGGACTTTGGTCGACCTGCCGCGCCGTTGCCGTTGGCGGTGAGAAATGGTGAAGCAGTTCGGGTAGCGTTGGCGGGTGTACCGGTTCGTGAGGGTGGATTGCTAGGTCGTTTGATGGATGGCTTGTCCCATGACGAGAAGAAGTCGTCGGCTGGCTCACCAGCTGGTGTGTTTGTGCCCGTGCCTTCTCCTGAATCTGCGAAGTCGTCCACGTTGATTTCTTCTGGGTATCTGGTATGTGTTAGTTCACTTGCTCTCGCACGCCTGTGTTAAATGGTACCCACTTCTTGCTGTCCGCCTCTACCCTCTTCGCCAGCTCATCCTTGTACTTGTTGGCGGCATTACTTGTATACTTCTGCTTTGGGTCCTTGCTGGCGAGTGCAGCAGATCCACCATGTGACTGGAAGTACTTCGTTGCGCTCTCATTGCCTCCCACCTTCATCCGTCGGAGCTGGTCCCATTGCCATTCTATACAGATCACGTGTCAGACCATATCACCCCTCCACATACGTACATGTTGACATGTGACATTGCTTACGATCGAGGTTGGTGGAGCGAACAAAGGAGATATGGACACCCAGATTACGGTGGTTCGCCGAGCAATCCAGACACAGATATATGCCAAAGGGGACAGACGACCATGTCGGGTTCTTGGCGCCGCAGTCGAAGCAGATCTTGTTGGCCTCTTTCCGCTTCAGCTTCTCGAAGATGCGCTGCGATTCGGCCTTGGGCGCGAGCGCCATTTTGTCTGCAATCAGGATGACTATACGCGGTAATATGCTCGTTTACTTCTTGGCAATATCAGGAGGACGTGTGGTGCTGTAAGGCAGTCTCGTCGCTTCACAAAATAGTTTGGTGTGATTGAACAAGTAGCCCAACACGCATGCCCTGAAGCCCTCAGCAACGCCAGCTCTGCCAAGACATTTCTTGGACCCTTTGTATGGGTACTATCTCCTGTTCTTCACCAATCCTTTCCCTCACCGCGGAATCGTGTACAGTGGTCCTCGCACGAACCCGACACCCGCCTCGTTCCCGCCCACACGCATCAGTGGCGGAATGTTGCAGCAGGGCAGGGTGCCTGATATGCGCGCTGCCTCAACAACGAGGCTATGCTGACAGCACGGTCATGCATACAGCATGTAGCTACAGGTAGGATGGGAACTTTCACCGCATCTCCTACTCCTTCGACGCACCATCTATTGACCTTGCATCTCAAATGTCTGGCTGGGAAACTCTGCTTTGATGTCCGCCGACATGACGGATCTCTACAGCAATCTATCTTTAGGACCTGCCGGATTAACCACCCGCATACTGTGTATTTCCCCAGGCAGTTTGGAGGATCCCATACGATGCCGACTCGTCGTGAAGCAGGTGATGGGCGTGAGCAGCTTCGAAGCTCTCTCGTACACCTGGAGCGAAGACGATCAACCCAGCATCCGAGACCGCGTCATCACAGTCAACAGAAGTCCATGCTATGTAACCTCAAACCTGGAGGCTGCACTGCGACGCCTGCGTCAACCTAAGGCGCGACGCAGGATCTGGGTCGACGCTATCTGCATCAATCAGGCTGACATGGACGAGAGATCTTCGCAAGTCATGCAAATGGGCCAGATCTACAGGAATGCCGACCGTGTCATCATATGGCTGGGTGAGGGAGATCGGAGCACTGATCTTGCCATGAGGTACATACGCTGGTCAAATACTGATCGTGATACGATGTTCGAGGGTGCTACGAAAGAGTGCTGTCCTTTGCATTACGCACAGCTCTACTACCATGGCCGCAAACCTAGATTCGAGATGCCTGGTTTCATCTGCGCAGAGTGCGCGGTGCATTGCGAATGTGATGGCTGCCGAAAGACCCGAAACAGCATTCACGATGGACTCCATGATTTAGCCAATCACCGCTGGTGGTCAAGAGTCTGGGTCGTGCAGGAGCTTGCAATGGCAGCTGGCGATCCACTCGTGCAGTGCGGAGCCTACACAGTTCCATGGTCTGGGCTAGTACGTTTCCAGACCACTTATACAGAATGGCCCGGACAGCGGCAAGCAATCACGACCCTACAGGACATCCGATCGGATGTCAAGCTACCTCCTCGACTGCGGGAAAGTCTTGCATACATTCCATACAGCGGCGATGCGGCAGTGGCCGATGACGTCTTCCAGTGGCTGCGGAAGACGTGGACGCTCACCGCTTCGGATCCGAGGGACAAGATATACGCCTTGCTAGGGATGGCGAGAAGCAAGCGATGGCGTAATTTTCGTCCGGACTACGATGTTTCATCCACACAACTGGTGCTCAAGCTCGTCCTTGACCTGGTTGTGAGTGACGGGAATTTGGACATCTTGACTCTTGCCAATCCTTATGGCGGCGCGACAAGATTGTTCGACAGTCCGTGGACTCTAAAGGACACTAAGAGTATTGAGAACCGACCGGAGGATTTTGCAACTGGTCAGTGGCCTTCCTGGATGCCGGACTTCATGGCTAAAGGATTGCCTTATCTTGCCACGATGAATCATATCGATCCAAAGTCGCCGTTACGGTCGATCTTGGACCAGCTGCAAGATCTAGCACCTCCATACACGTCTGTACCGGGCGTGACCGCTCTCTCCACATCCGCCGGTATCACTTTCCCAGGCAGGGACTTGGTCTGTGGCGCGCAGCAACCCTCGACACCCAAGCCCCCTACCATCACGGCTCACGGCTACTGTATTGACAAAGTTGTCGAGATGTCTCGGGCTCAAGTCATCCTGACGAAATTTCACTTGACTGCTGCAGAGTCAGACAAGCCCAAATTGCGCATCGTGCCATGGTTGTCAACGTGGTACTGGTACCCTGTCTGGCGTGGCTTGGACCCAGCATACTTCCATTTGGACGAGCAGTACACAACTCAAGGCTTCTATGACGCGTTGACAGCCTATCTCGAGCATCAAAAGAAGCTGAATCAGTACATGGGCGTTCACAAAGACGAGGGCTTGTCGACGAGCGAGCAAGATGATTCTTTATTCGAGCCTGCGCTCGTGGATCACGGGACGTCGAATCCGAAGTCTCGTGTTGACCACGCAAAGCTGGCTGTACTGGTCAAAGCTACGCGCATGTCGATGATGGAGCACTACGAGCGTATTGTACAACACAGCGCAAGAACCATTGCGGCCATCGAGGACGCAATGCAAGGGCGTGAACTCTTCGTTACCGAGCAAGGGCTACTGGGTATCGGTCCACATGGTCTACACGCCGGCGATCAAGTCGTCGTACTACGTGGTAGCTCGGCCAGCTACCTCCTGAGACAGCACGATGATCATTACACCCTCGTCGGAAATGCTTTCATGGACGTGCCGAGATTTCCCTGTCCTTGGCAACAAGCAGCGGCGCCGTCTGCGACTGGTATTTTATCGACCGTGGCCTCATTGGCGACCGATCTGAGCGCTCTGAGGATTGTACCACCGAGAGACTTGAGGACTGGTAAAGCCAAGCTGAGCGAGGCATGTCCGCCCGCGGCGACCTGGACTCCCGAAGCTGCTCGGTGTGAGGTCTTTGAGATACGATGAGTTCGCAAAGCACGCTGTAGACCTTGAATTTCTCTCGTTCGCTATGAAATCACGCAATGCGACGCTGTCTTTCTTCGGAGCATGACAGTGCCGGGTGTGGAATGCAATTGCAGAAATAGGCCTTCGATACATGCCCTTCAGTTGATTGGCTGTTTCAGCGCTGGTGGCGGCCTCAGCAGCTGCTCGACATCAGACGGTGTAAACCTGCCGCGACCAAGGCTGAAAATCATGTCTCGACTCCTACACCGACAGGATACTAACCAGCATTGCACGTAGCGCTCTTCGACGCCCTGACATCCCATCATCGTAATATAACGATTGTTTGTCATGCTACGAAAAGCTCCAATGAGTGAGCGAAGTCCAGGATGCACGCCTGAGGGCCACAGGCACCTCGTCAGTTCCAAAGGATATAGACGATTGTTCCTACTCTATCCTGGACAAGGTGACGACCCTATTTCAGGCTTTACTCTACCTCCTATCATCGCGTGTCACACTCCATACGAAGCACTATCGTACTGCTGGGGCCTTTCATCTGAAGCTCGCACGATCAGGTGCGGTAGCACGACTCAGAGCGTCACAGACAACCTGTATTCTGCTCTTCTACATCTGCGGCATATCGAGGATCATAGAGTTCTGTGGATTGATGCTTTGTGCATCAATCAAGACGATGCATCTGAGAAGTCATGGATGGTGGCGAGGATGCCTGAGATATACTCTGGAGCTGAGAGGGTCATCATATGGCTAGGCCCTGATAGTGCTCATGCGCCGTCTGTGAAGCCAGCCATGGCTCTGCTTTGCCAGCTCCTGGACCTCTTCGTTGGTTATCATTCGAGTTCAGACTTCGGAGGGTGGCTGAGACTGGCCACTGAGAACCCTACCTGGCGTGCTGAGTTCGTGAAAGAAGTGCGCATCGGCATCGGATCATTAGGCGTGAACGTCGACACATGGCAGACTCTGGCCGCAACACTTCGTCGTCCGTGGTTCTATAGAATCTGGTGTGTGCAGGAAGCGGTCCTAGCGGGCTGTGGCCACGAGCACCCGGCCGAAACGATCTTCGTGTGTGGCGTGTACGTTCTGCCATGGAAGGATATGGTCACTCCCCTTCTGTCGATGCACATACGTGGACTACATGACTACCTGCAGGGGTTTCTTTCTGAGACGCAGCACAATCCAACACTTCACAAGCCTTTCTCAGGAGGAGTCACTACACTGCTGTTCATGGACCAGCTCAGGAAGGAAGGCATACATATCTCGCGCCCAAGTAGATTTTATCGCTTGTTGAGGTTGACGAGGAGCCTGGACTCGACAGATCCACGGGACAAGGTCTTTGCGCTGTTTGGTCTGCTCAAGCCTGACAAAGCGGCCATAGAGAATGGAGCTCTGCGGCCTGACAACACTAAGCCAGTCAAGGTTGTCTTTGAGGATGTTGCAAAGCACTTCATGCTGCATCTCCACTCATTGAAACTTCTTGAGCTGGTTCATGACACCGTTCGCTCTCGTACCGAGCTGACGGAAGCACTTCCTTCTTGGGTACCCAACTGGACGACCAGCTCAGACGCTCCGGTACTCGATGACTTCGCGTACTGCGCGGGCCATAGCCTCCAGGAGCAGGGCATACCTTGGAGTGACGGAGAGACTGCCACGAGCGAGTTCGAAGTTTGCTGCGCTAGGAATGCCAAGCTTATAACTCCAAGTCTGCACCTCATTCGACCCATAGTGGAGGACCTTGGCAGTGGCTCAGTGGCAATCCAGGGCCTGCTTCTTGGACCACTTAAGACTACAGTGCTGGCAGCCAACGAATGTGTCTTCCATATACCACAGCTGCCCGTGGAAGCAGATTGCAGGCTGCAATTTCAAGCTTTGAAATTATGTCGGCTTTACACGGAGATCGTCAAGCTGGTTAGAAGTCTGAATTGTGCATCTAGCACAACATCGACACGGGACGATCTTGACCATCCACTAGCCGAACAACGGCCAGTTGACCTAGAGCTCCCCTCTTCGGCCGCACCATATGCTCTTGGCGGCACTATGGTCGAAGCCTCATGGAGAACACTCATCGGTGACCGTACCGAGGACTATAAACAGCCAGCTACAGAAGAATGGCAAACCTACTTCATTGCGTTCCACCAAGTGCAGCAAATAGCGCATAAATATGGGCCCAAACTACCGAAAGGTCTAGTATCCAATTCCATGGACGCACTAGCTAGCAGATACTTCGGACCCCTCCTACGAATATTGTCCGGTCGTCGCTTCGCTATCCTGTCCTGTCAAATACTGTGTCTGGTGCCACAGAGAGCTACTGCCGGGGAATTTGTCTGCATTTTCAACGGCTCGGATATACCTCATGTCATTCGACCCAGGCCACGGATGGAGGGCGTTGAACAAAGCTAACGAGATGCTTGGGGGTGCTTACGTCCATGGCTTAATGCATGGCGAAGCCAGTCGTCTGTTTCCAGGTCAGGCGCCGCGGATTGTGCTATCTTGAGTATCGTGATCTCGAAGCAAACGACCAGTTATCTCGTGCATTGCATCTCTCTTTAACGCCAGCCGTCCGTTTGGGCTGTTAGTGGAGCGGCTGTTGTGGGCTAAGGATGTTGAGAGGATTTGAGGCTTGACAGGACGCTCTCCAAGCCCGCATACGAGACCGTGCAGATGCTTGTATGTACACCTTGCCGTTGTATGGCATCTTGCTTTCATAGACTTCATGTAATCGTACAGACATCGCAGTAGTGATAGCAGTAGCTTCCCAGTCACTTTCGCTTATCAGCCTCGCGCGAAAACACGCGGGCAAGGCCATCTCCCAACGCACCTCCGCGCACCACAGTCCCATGTTCTGCCCCAGGGAAAGCGCCAAGGCTTTCGAGCCTTCACAGAGAAATGACCCACATCACCTCACCTCAACACTAGGCCAAAACAACCTCCCCTTAACATTAATTTCCACCTCGAAAATCCCCTCCTCACACGCCGCCCACAACCGCCTGCCATCCCCACTAACCGCCAACCCCGCCGTCCGGACCCCAACCTCCCTCGACCCAGCCCCCGTAAACCCCATCCCCATCCCCCTCACCTGACCCCTCCGCATAAGCATCTCGTAACCCTCCGGAAAACCCGCTAGACGACGGACTTGCTGCTCTGTTGTTAGAGGAGTAGTAGACGCAGTAGTGGCATTGGCGCCCGTGGCTTCCGCGGCGGCGGTGGTACGCATACCGCGTACACGTTCGCGTTGTCGGGCTAATGATCGGGCTCGGGCGCGTTCGGCGGCTAGTTCGACCTCGAGTTCCTGCTCTGAAGGCCTGAAGGACGAAGGTGCCAAGGGAGGCGGGAGGGGTGAGGAAGCAGTTGCTTGTGCTGCGCCTTCGAACAGCGGACCCCGTGCAAGCGTCATGTGCTCTTCGATTGTGCGCCACGGGTTTTCTTCATCGCCTGGATGCGGATGTGTTGACGAAAGAGCCTGGCCGGGAGCTCGGTGTCCTCGAGGTGTTCCAGCCGCTGCGTGAGAGGTACTAGGCGGCATCGCGCCTGCGTAAGAAGGCGGAAGGACGACGGAGGCTCGACGACGAGGGAGGCGTGAACCCTCGATTGTTCTCGAGAGCCAGGAGCCGGAAGATCGTTGGCGGCCGGAGACCACGTCTTGGATTTCGTCGAGAGAGGGGAGCATAGGTGGTTGGTCGGAAGCTGTGCTCGTGGTGTTCGTACCACTAGATCGTGAGAGTTCTGGGAAAGAATCCGGGACGGAGTTGAGGATCTCACTTATCGGCCTTGCGGAGCCAGAAAGGTCACGAGTATATGGCGTTGCCGAGCGGGACTCTGCATGGAACAATTCCGGACTTGTGTAGGTGACTCCCGCTGCACTATTCCCACTACCATGTGCCCGTGCCTCTTCCCGCTGTCTCGTCGTCCGTAGACTCTCCAAGATCTGCTGCTCGCGAGCCGTAAGACCTTGCGGATCGTCTTCCAACGCACTGACACCAGCTGAGTTGGCCACAGAGCGTAGACTAGCCATATCCTGCCGTTGCTGTCGTTGCCGCCTTCGTGCCTCAATGTACTCTGTAGCAAAATTGACAGCCGTGGCATTATCAGGCGCCGCCTGTCCGTATCGTCTCAAGAATTCCTGTTCCAGATCATGTATATCTCTCGATGGCGCAGGAATATTCGCAGCCGGGAGCCCATCCCCCGGCGCTTCCTCATACACCAGCTTCTCCAGCCCGGCATCCTTCGGCTCCAGATTCACAACCTGCTTCGTCTTCAACCCCGTCCGCAAATCACCGATACATATCCGCCCCTGATCCTCCGCCCAAATAAGCAGATCCCACGGATCCGGCGCGAACATCATCGATCGCACAGCACCGGGAAAGGAGGACAATTCCGGTCTTGAACCCGGCACGACCGCCACAATCGCATCCTCGTCGTCAACCTCCGAACTCATCAACATCTCCATATCGAAGACGGTGACATAGCCGCCTTCCGACCCCACAGCAACAAGATGACCGTTGGGAGACCATGCGGTAGTGAAGTAGCCAGATGTAGTCTCCGCCGCATGCAAACCCACCACGCTCATAAGCGTCCACTCACAACTCGAGCTCGTGAGCCGATTATGCGGTTTCGGGATCTGAGGCGGAGGCACACTCAATTCTCGTTGGAAGAAGTAAGCTTGGTTGAAGTCACCCACAGCCACCAAAGTCTGTCCGTCCGGGGAAATAGTGGCATGGTTCATAGCAAAGGGCAGATCCAGGACTGTCGTCTCTACGCCTTGGGGTAGACTGTATACCCGTACCGTCTTATCGTTATTCGTGAGCACCGCGACGATATCGTCTAGATGGGCCTCCTCGTCCTGTATCCGGTGGATGGAGATGCTGTTCACGATTTCCTCTCCAATCCTCTCCACCTTGACACTCGCCGCTCGACGCCCACTCTCCACACTACTGTACGTGTTAGACCGCCACGGCTCAAGCGGAAGAGCAGAGTCGACGTCCAGCGATGTCCGGGACCCACCATCCAACTTGATCGCAGCGAAATGTCCCTCGTCCTCCCCGCCAACACACACCCAGCCGTGACCCGCAGCCGTACATCTCGCTTCGAAGGGCAAAGTGGCGACGAGTTTGCGCTTCTCGGTAGTGGTGTTCAGGCAGTAGATGTCGTGGCTGCTGGCGTAGTAGAGGAGGTCGGGTTCGGGGGAGGAGATGTAGTGGCGGAGTTGCCAATGTCTGTCACGCGTCAACGTTGTGCTTGGTGAAAGATTGGGTGGTGGTTTGAGAGGGGTTGGGACTCACGAGACAGGTATGCGTACAGGATAGAAGGCCTTTTGCGCATGGACTAGGTTGTCGGCATCGCGGTAGCTGCACGTGCTCGCGTTAGTATATGTATTGTGGTGCCTGCCTAGTATGGTAGCAGCGGTGCAACTCACGGTATTGTGTCAATCGCCATAGCTCAGGAGTCGGATATGGGGAGTGGTTGGCTGTGTGTGTGTGTTCAGAAACAAAAGGATATGCACAAATCCTGAACAATGACGCTGGTCTAGGCTGTGCAAGAACAAGGGTGCCTGTGGTGGTGGCAGATCATCTGTGGGGTGCAGCAGTGCAGAGCTCGTACTTGTGGGGAAGAGGAAGAGGCATCATCACGATCAATCACATGCCAACGGTAAGTCATCGGCTGGGTATGCATGGCTTTCACGCTACATACCACACACTCTAGAGCAACTAAGCTAAGAAAGTGAGCACAAGTGAGAGGAATCCCGCCTCATTTTATCATCTCTCCTCAATCATCTCTCATAACAACACCATAAACCTCATCGGCCAGACCCTCCGTCCCCAGAGCACAGCCAGACTCACAGACTATCCCTTCACGAACCACCCTGCACCTTCTCAACAACCTTGACAATGTCCTTGAACAGGGGGTGCTCAGGCGCCAGACCGGTAATGTCCTGCGTAGCCTCCTTGGCACTCATGCTCTTCAGCTTCTTGGCCAACTCAGCCGACTCCTCATCGCCCTCCACGTTCTGGAAGCGGAAAGCCATCTCGATGCCGCCGAGGAGGTGATCGTACTTGTCGCCCGACTCGGCCAAATGCGCGGCAGGCCCGATGAAGCGCTCCTTGCGAGAGAGCTTGCGGAGGGGAGCACGACCGACACGCTCGACGTTGTCTTTGAGCACGGGGTTGGAGATACGCCTGACGATCTTCTGGACGTAGTCTTCTTGGTCTGACTTGCTGATGTGGGAGTGCTTGGTGCAGATCAGATGGGCAGTCTCCTTGAGAGTATCCTGGACGATATCGTGGAGCTCTTTGTCCTCGAGCACATCGTGGATGAACTTCTTACCACGATTGTAGCCGTAGTAAGCAGCGGTGGCGTGGCCGGTGTTGACGGTGAAGAGCTTACGCTCAATGTACGGCTGTAGATCCTCGACGTAGTGCACGCCCTTGATGTCTGGTGGGGAAGCGGGCTTGAACGGCTCGGACTCGACGCACCATTCGAAGAACTTCTCGATCTTGACATTGAGGCCGGCATCAGCGTCCTGGATTGGCACGATACGGTCAATAGCCGAGTTGGCGTAACGAGCCTTCTCCTTGATGTTGGCCTTGGTTGAGTCATCCATCTTCTGCTCGATGAAGCCACGGAGAGTGTCCGTCGCACCAATGGCGTTCTCACAAGCAATGACCGCCAATGGCTCTTTCTTCTTGCGAGCAGCAATACCCTTGGCAATCGGCTCTGCGATGAACTTGAGGATGTTGGGGCCGACAGCACAGGTGACAACGTCAGCCGTGGCGATCTCCTCGATGACCTTCTCCATCTCATGCTTGCTGTTGATGGCGCGGTAATTGTCGATTGTGAAGCTCTTCTCGCCGTCAGAACCAATCTCCGTCACTGTGTAGCTCTTGGTCTTCTGCAGAGACTCGATAATTGAGTCCATGACATCGATGAAGACGACCTCATAGCCGGAGTTGTGCAGGAACTCGGCAACGAAGCCACGACCAATGTTGCCGCCGCCGAAGTGGATGCCCTTCTTGCCAGCCATCTTGCTTGGAATTTGATGTGTGAGTTTGTGGTTGTTCGTGTGCTGTGATTGACTAGTATCAGTATGAAGTTGCTTGAAAGAGTGCTGCAAATGTAGTTGGAGTACGAGGGAGGCGCTCGCTGCTGAAGATTCCAATGTTAGGTTGTAGGCAATCTTGTGGCAGCCACATGTGAAGGACGACAACCATAGCAGGATTGAGGTGGGAACGTACCTGCTTCTTTCGTCTTTTGTCTCACCACCGACGTGAGTGAATGAGTGTTTTCTGGCGAGTGAAAGTCAGTCAATTGATCTTCACAACAGATCGACAAGCTACCCCGCTCTCGTCCACTCCACCCGTCCATACTCACCTTGGCTCTGTTTGTCCTCGAGGCTCAGACACGAGCAATGTACGTTCAGTGTCGAGGGTTGTTGTAAAGGCAATGCAGTGTATATGTCAGGAACGGGACAGCAAGTAAAACCAGCAGCGGTCAGATTTTTGTTTCCCAAAGCAAGCTTGAACACAAACGCCCGCCAGCTGCACGACGAGAGCTTCCCTGCGGATGAGGTTCTGCGGGGTGAATTCTGGAGCGCCAAACGGGGGAGGGAGCGAGAGGAGTCCTGCCACGTCACGCTACATTTCATGCCGCATGATGATAATAGCGTAGACGGGCCGAATGTGCTGAATGGAAGTGGGAGAGGACTAGCCAACGAGGTGGCCAACGTGAAAGCATGCGTATCTTACACGATGGATTCGTTAGCTGCAGGTACACCGCCCCGACCATTAATCCTACGGCGTCTGCCGCGCAATAACGCCTCCTGTATCATATTCTAGCCTTGCTGCTGGGTATGCCGATATGAATGAACGCCGCGATATATGATGAGTGAAAGACCGAAGCCGTAAGCTTCCACCTTCCCCCAAATTATCATCCGGAATGACCGTGTTCAAGCATGTATAGCCTGCTGAACATGCGGATAAACCTGGATCATCCTCTGGTACAGATCACCATGCTCTTTGATCAGGACATCGGGGTCCCATGCCATCGCAACGAAGATGGTGTCGATGCCGCTCGATAGTGGTACGGTGAAGCAATTGGCGATTTGGAGGCCGATGAGGAAGGCGTAGGCGATGACGACTGGTGTGAATTGGCCATTCTGGTTGTACGCCGGATCTGTGAACACGAGATAGAGATATGCGAGGAGTGCGCATGCGTACGCGACGAATGTGGCACCCATCGTCAGGACTGGGCCGATGAGACATTCGTTGACGAGTGCGTCAATGCCACGATCTGGAGTAAGTCAGTATGATATTCCGACCCATGAAGCAAGGAGAAGATCTTACCTTTGATCAGCTTCCAGGTGTCCTTGGCAGACTGGATATAGTTCTTGCCGTAGAGAGCAATATACGAGAAGGCATAGCGGTTGATGAACTGCACGGCCCAGTCCACCAGACCAAGAACGCATTGCAAGAGACAAAACGCGCAAGCTGCAGCACCATTGCCACTACCCGCTTGAGATTGCTGAGCAATTGAGCACGCCTGGCGGAGCATATTGATGATGGCCACTAAGAGACTTCCCAAGCTAATCGAGCCGAAAGAGTAGGTCAAGGCCCGTCGTGCTGCGCCTCGTGTAGCGCCTTTTGGTGGGTTTTTGGGTGAGAAGTACCACGCTCCATACACACCCGAGATCGTAGTGTGGATGGTATTCTTGAGCCACTCGGTGATCCAGTATGCGGCGAAGGTGATGAACACTAGTAGCCCAATAACGGTGGCGGAGCTGCAGCCACCACTCCCGCCAGCACTAGCATTACAAGCAGGATTTGCTCCAGGCTCATACTTTGCATAAACCGCCACCAGGGTGACACTGAACCAAGCACCGAAGGCGGCAGCAATGAGGCCACCAAGGAAGGAGACCAGATAGACGTGGCCGAATTTCTTTGAGACGTCAATGGCTGTCTGCAACATGAGGACACTGAAGGGTATGCGTGGGATCCAGCTGATGAAGCAAAAGATGGCGAAGACTCCGAAGAGGAGGAAAACGATGCCGCCGGACCAGTACTTTCGGTAAAGCATGTATATGGCGGTCGCCAGGCACCATACGATGTTCAAGATACCAGTTATCCTATCAGCAGGGTTAGCCGCTGATGATTCGAATATGGCTCCACTCCGAACTTAACGTACCAGATGAATTGCTTTGTGAAGACGCGGGCAAGTGCAATGTAGCCATAGCCCAGCACGAAGGCCATACCCAGACAGAAGGCGAAGAGGACGATCGTGTTGGTATTCAGACCGAAGTCATTTTGTGAGCCATAGATCCCACCGCCATTGAAGCCCTTGTTGGCCGCATAGCCTTGCAGACTGATCGCCGAGACGGCCACGAAACCAGCGCAAACGAGGAGGAAGAGGATACCAGCCCATAGATCGTTCCACTTTGGTTTCTCGACCTTGAAGGCCTGGTCGAACGTCGGCTTCTGATCTTGGTTCCATTGGCCGTAGTTTTGCTGATATGTGGGCGGTGGAGGCATATACTGCGGTCCATTCCATTGTTGTGGTGGTGGTCCTCCGTAACCCTGCTGCGGCGCATTGTACGGCTGTTGCATGGGATAGCTTTTCTGCCCGTTCGTCTCGTCGCCGCCATTGTAGTAATCTGCTGCTTGGCCGCGCGACATGATTGCGACGCGTGCAACTGCTCCAGAGAATGCTGTTTAGCAGGTAGCGCAACAAGGCAGGGGCTGCGCGACGAGAATATCCAAATAACAGTAGCTCTTTTTTAACTTTCCACTATTTATTTGTTCAGCGCGCTGCGATCGGCAGTGTTTGCGTCAAGTTGCAGCTGAGCTCGAGCCAAGTCGCGGATTCCGTAGATTGGCGAGATCCAGACCTGGCAGCGACGATGCCAAGCTGGTCAGCAACGATAGAGTGGCGCCCGAATTCTGCTGTGCAAATTTGATTTCGAGAGCGATGCTCAGCTCAGCTGCTCAGGCTGTCGAGTTGTATCGATGGTGGCGAGACCATAGCTTAAAATGTGTTGCACTCTGTATCGAGAAACGTTGCACAGCTCACGGCCACAAGCAGGCGGGAAGGCCTGAGTGTCGTTGTTAACGACATGACGGGACAAGGTAAGATGATAGCGGCTCGGCACAACTTATAGGGCAGCGGCGAGAACAGTCTGCCGCAGGAGAATTTGCGTCACAATCGAGTCTTCGCAAGCTGTCGATACAATCATATCGTTCGCAGGGTGGCAGATAGGCCCGTTTTACCAGGTAGCCCAATGCAAGACGTGATTTCAGAAATGGAGAGGAGTTGGTATGAATACCACTTGCACAGCTTATTTGACTCCAAGCTACCTTACATTTACACAGACATCCTTGCGAAGCTACCTGTACCTACAGTTTGCTCTTACCACCATCCATCAACTCCGCACCTGCGCCAGCGATGCACAGCTTACCTGTGTCCTTGACCTTCGTCTGGAAGATGACAGTGTTACCCTCCTTCCACATCTCCGTGATCAGAGTCTGGCCAGGCAATACCACACCTGCAAACCGTACCTTGATGTTGCGATATGGACCGTAGGTATTCAGCACAGCCTTACCAGCGAAGCCGAAGAAGCATAGCCCATGTAAGATAGGTGTCTTGAAGCCACCCACTTTGCTGAATTCGGGGTCGATGTGCAGAGGATTCCTGTCACCGGAGAGTCGGTAGATCGCGGCCTGGTCTTCTGTCGTCTTCTCCTCGACCACAGCGTCAGGTGCACGGGATGGTGCCTTGTACACGCGTGTCGCCGCACCACGATCTGTGCCTTTCTTGGGACCGTTGAAGCCACCAGCACCACGAATGAAGACGGTGGACTCGTTGTAGAAGAGCTCTTTCCCGCTCTTCTTGTCGACGGTCGTGGAGCCTGTCACAATGATGCCGGCGTTGCCCTTGTCGACCACCTCGACAAGCTTGGGGTATGAAGTGGTGACGGCCTCGGTGGGGATAGGGAACGAGCGAATCTCAAGGTATTGCTCACCATGCAGAAGCATCATGGGTGAGAAGTTCGGTACTAGCTCGCTCATGCTGAAAGGTGCGACCGCGTTGAATGTCGGGATGACACCGAACGTTGGCAGGACTTGGAACTTGTCGTCGTTCTCGAAGACGAGAGGTAGATCTGTTCGCTTGGCACCAACGCCGATGTCTGGTGAAGTTAGCATTGCGCCAATCGATTTTGACCATATTACACTCACTGTAAAGAATGACGTCCCGCTCATCATAAGCGAAATCTGTGCCCTCCGCCTTCGCCTTCTTAGCCTTCTCGATGTTTGCCAAATGCTCGTTGCCAGATTTCTCAGGTCCGCCATAAGAGTTGTTAGCCTGAGCGTTGACCTTGTTCTCCATATTTGCCATGATCTTTTCAGTTCCGGCAGCAGGGTCCTCGGGATGATCAGCACGACCATCGTCGAAGTTGAGAATCTTTTGCCAGTTCTTTTGAACCTCCTCGGGCGTGAGCTGAACATCGATGGGGAACTGTGCACCGCCTGTTCGTTGCCACCTGGTCTCAGCAACCCAGCCAGAGCCGATTTCGAATAGACGACCAGTAGCTGGTTCAGGTACTTTGTCTGAGCACAAAAGCAGGACAGCTGGAGCTACGTAATCTGGCTTGAAAGCTTGCACCATCTCCTCGGGCATGATCGACCTGGTCATGTTCGTGCCGGCATTCGGTGCGATCGTGTTGACCTTGATGTTGTACTTCGCACCTTCTCGTGCCAGCGCACGGGAGAAGCCGAGGATACCACACTTAGCCACAGCGTAGTTGGCCTGGCCGAAGTTACCGTAGATGCCGGAGGTGGAGGTTGTGTTGACGATGCGTCCGTACTTCTGCTTGAGCATGTATGGCCAAGCGGCTTTGCTGACCTTGTAGGTGCCTCGGAGATGCACGTCCAGCACTTGCTGGAACATCTTGTCGTCCATGTTGGCAAACGCCTTGTCTCGTAAGATGCCAGCATTATTGACGATGATGTCGATACGCCCGTACGCATCGATGGCAGCCTTGACGACCGCATCTCCGTCCTCAGCACTGGCCTTGACACCGACTGCTTGCCCGCCGAGCTTCTGAATTTCAGATACAACATTGTCGGGATTCATGAGATCGTTGACCACGACCTTTGCACCGTATTTCGCGAATTGTAAACAGTAGATCCTCCCAAGCCCAGCTCCTCCTCCGGTCACAAGTGCGACCTTGCCGTTGTAGTCGATCTTCTCTGAAGGTGGGTTTGGTGGTAGCTTTTGGGCGTCCTCCAGTAACTCCATGAAGTTCGCTGGTCCAGTGGGATAGCTGGGCTCGGAGAAGTCGCTGACACCATCCCACTTCTTCAGCAAAGCGCCTGGTGTGAAGCTATCGTCGGCCTTGAGCAGTGCGCCTTTCGCTCTCTCCCATCGGAGCTTGGCTACATGACCACCGCCAACCTCGAAGATTGAGCCAGTCTCTGAGCTGTTCGACTTGTGCACAAGGACGGCGACAAGTGGTACCACCCACTCTGGCTTGAGCAGATCTAGCACATCCGGGGGCATAACCGTAGCAGTCATCCGGCTAGCGGCGATTGGCGCAATAACGTTGCAGATGATGTTGTACTTCAAGCCCTCCTTCGCAAGAGTCTCCGTAAATCCAATCTGACTGAGCTTCGCAGCCGAATAGTTACATTGACCGAAGCTCCCGAAGAGGCCTGCTGCGGAAGCAGTGTTGATCACCCGTCCATACTTCTGTTTCCTGAAATGAGGCCATGCAGCACGAGCACATTTGTATGCACCAATGACATGGACCTTCATGATCAGATCCCAATCCTGGTCCTTCATGTTCTTGAAGCTGATATCCCGGAGGATACCGGCGTTGTTGATGAGGACATCGATGCGGCCAAAGTTCTGGATGGCGGTTTGGATGATGGCATCGCCATTCTCTACAGAGTCGTAGTTGGCGACGGCCTTGCCTCCAGCTGATCGGATCTCTTCGACGACCTTGTCGGCGGCCTATTCATGCAGACGACTATGTCAGTGGGATTCTCTAGCCATTCTCTATGAGCAAATACTTACCGCCGACCCACCACCCTCGCCCTTGAAGCTACCTCCCAAGTCATTGACAACCAGATTGGCTCCTCGCGAGGCGAAGAAGAGGGCATACGCTCGACCCAGTCCGCCTCCGGATCCCGTGACAACTACGGTCTGACCATCATATCGTAATTCAGCCATGTTATAAGACTAGTCCTACTCGATATGTACAATAACGAGCAAGTAAGCAGCAAGAAGGGCACGAAGGTAAGTAGATGGTCTTCTGACAGCTGCCATGCTCTCCATGCCGAGGCACGCCCTCGGCACTGGAAACTGCTCTGACGACGGCATCTCCAGACGGCTTGAAACTCTCCTGTACTTACTCACTTTACATGTGATCGTCAGCAACCACGATCAATTCACATGCACTTCAAAGTGCCAGAAGCTGAACCGAAACTGTCTCGACTGCCATGACTATCTCTTGCTGTATGTCTACAGTGACGTCCAGCTAAAGTCGGCGGTAGGCTAGACCCATAGGCATCATGCATTCAGACGACACGATATCGTCATGGCTAGGATTGCCACGGAAGTAGCATATTTTGCACTACTGTAGGGCAATGTCTACCATTAAATCTCGACCAGAAATCAGAGAACATCTTGGCGCCTGCATACCGGCACTGCTGACCAAATCATGATCAAGACTCTCGACATCAAGAGTGCACTAATTACTGGTGGCGGCGGTGGCATCGGGTTTTCCATCGCACAGTACTTTTCATCCCTCAACAAGAAAGTCATCATCTGTGGTCGCACAGAGTCCAAGCTACAAGAGGCTCAGAAACAACTAAAAGGGAGCTCGTATTATGTCCTGGACACCGGCGATATCAAGGCTATACCCGACTTCATCAAGAAGATCACCACAGAACATCCAGATCTTGACTGCCTCGTCAACAATGCAGGAGTGCAGCGACCATTGTCCGTTAACGATATGGAGCCGAGGGACTTCCTGGAGAAGGCAGACAACGAGATAAACATCAATGTCCACGGCCCCATGCATCTAGCTGTCGGCCTCCTACCTCATTTCAAGACAAAGCCCGGCGCCGTGATCATGAATGTATCCTCGGTGTTAGGCTTCATCCCCACCTCAATCTTAAATCCTGTAGGTACCGTAGAGGCCATCGGTGATCTTTGCCCGACTAATGAACTCCAGGTCTACAACGGCACAAAGTCTTTCGTACACTTCTGGTCCATGAATCTGCGTACACAGCTCGAGCAGGGTGGCCACAATATTCGTGTCATCGAGATCGCGCCGCCCAGCGTGAGTACTGACTTGCATCGCGAGCGTGCCGACCCGAACGACAACAAGAAGGACAAGAATGCTTCGGCCTTGACGGTCGAGGAGTTTATGGACGAGATCATTGAGCAGTGGAAGGCTGACGTGGACGTTATGGGTGCCGGGCCAAGCAAGCAAGTGGTCGACAAGTGGTATGAGTCGTTCGGAGAGAAGTATGACCAAGCGGCTGGGAAGAAGTGACGTGGACGATATCGAAGCAAGGAAGTCTCTCGCCAGCGTTGCGCAGCAGATGATCGAAAACTAAAAAATTCAGTGTCGTAACTTCCATACTTCATCTGAACTTGCTATTCTAAGCTTTCTCAGGACCGCGCCATCGTAGGCCCCGCAATTGTGTCAATGTTGGATCATGCACCCGGATCCCGTTGAGACTGTGGTATCAAAGCGCTACTCTGAAGGCCGGTACATTGGTAAGGACGGTCGAGTGAACGGAGAGGGCGCGAGTCAACTAGGCAAGAGTGCTAAAGAGATCAGGATAGGCAAGGCTGTCGTGGCTACAGATTGGCTCGTAATAGTCTTTGAGCAGCCATTCTGTCCTCGACTTGGGCAGACAAACTTCCCATCGGCAAGCATCTCGGATGGAGGATGCTTCGTTTTAGGCTTTCTAGCCGTTGGTGAGCTCGCGCTCTGAACACAATCATTGCGTTCGGTATGCCTCTCAGCTGACCTCGGACTAAAAGAGATCTCATCGCAGCCGCCGGCGGCATTCGTGCAAGCGAAACGGCCGTATGGAAGCTGATCGAGGTCGTGTAACCCGAATCGCTGCTTTTTGGACTTCGAATCATCTCGGCTGCTATGCCGACAACTATGCTTCGCATGTTTTCTGGCAGCTCACTGATCATGGAGCAAGATGTGCATCCTTCGGCCTTGTTGGGACAGATAATTTTCCAATTTGGCGGTCGGTCTGGGTTCCGTCGTGCCTGGTCCTCTAACCACTTCCTATAAGCTGGAAGACCAACGCATGAATAGGGTTTGGCATGTCTACTAATAGCGGACAAGGGAGATCAGTGTGCTCAGGATGTCGCTTATGCTATACGCTCACATCTTTGCCGCCGATGTAGTTCACATTCCCTTTTTGGAACTCTCCACATAGCGCTCAACAAATACTTGCCGTACCGTTGAGCCGCATGTAACAACAACTTCCATGGAGGGCCTATCTTGAATCGCACATGCTATGACGGAGAAGCAGGAGGCGTGATGGTCGGCGAGGCAGGGGTCATCGTCACACGGCGCTGTGCCAGTAAGGCGGATGCCGTTCTGCTTGATCAAGCCTTTCTTGCTGTAAATGTCCATGGCGAAAGACTCGGAGCGAATATCAAGGAACGACTTCTCCATTGTACGCGGACTGAAGTATGCAGGATTCAGAGTCGGACCAAATCTCATAGTCTTGCTGGAAAGTAGAGGAGGAGACGTTTTCAGCTCGCCTCTTCGTAGAACCAGGATTAGACCTGCTTTCGTCTTCCACCTCGCCATTAAGGACCCGTGACCCATACTCATCGCCTTGTGTCCTCACCGCCATCCTCGTCGTCGCTGTTACAATAAGTCCCTCGGCTAGAAGTCTTGGTATCTAGTGGGCACAAGCGCATTTAAAAGAAGACCGTAGGATCATCTTGCAGTCTGCCGCTGGGAAAGACGAAGTTGGAGCCCATGAAAACGATGTTGTTTGCCCATGTAGCAGTGCTCTGCTGCTCATCTTGCAATTGCTCGAACCAGTGCTCATGGCTGAGCAGCCGCCACTGATTTTAGTATCGCAACTTTGATGTTTCATCTAATCTGCTCTCACAAGGCTATTCTCAGAACCGCGCTACGGTCGATCTTGTGGGGTCGACGTTGGTTGCCCCGGCCGACCGGACTGTTGTTTGCCGACCTTTCAACGGCTCATCTTTGGTTGGCACAACAGGCATTGCAACATCATACATTAGTCGTCGATACCACCGCCACACTAGGAGTACTATCATCGTTTAGACTGCTACATGCGAACATACCGAATCATGCAAGCCTAGAGAAGGATTAAACAAATCAGTAGACGGTCCCCGCGTACGCATTCCACTCGTTTCTACGGCCACCACGACATGGCCGCACCAGACGGCTACGGCCCTCCACCAGGCTACCCTGGAGATAATGACGACACGCCTTATGCCAACCGTAATAATGGCTCGTCCATGCGACTCCTGACTCAGAGCGACGACGGCAGCTACCAGCCCGCACAACCTTCACCCACTCAGCGCTCGCCGTACGATCTCTTCTCCGGTGCTCAACATCGATTATCGGGCGAGACAGGCCGACAGGACATCCCACAAGCCACGCGCGTGACAGGCAACGACAGTGACCTGAGCAGTCTACTACGAGAGGTCGAAAGCGATCTCTCCAGCGCACGACCGTCTGCCCCTCGTACACGAACAGCAAAGGTCCGCTTCAAGAGCAAGGATAAGACACCTCCGAGCACGATACTAGATCCAAGTATCGTATCTGCGCCGCTGCTTTCCAGACACGGCTCAGTTCTCGACAACGCTCCACAAATGCCACCTCCTACCGCTGAGGCTCCAGCATATTCGCCATACAGACCGTCGTCAAGAGGCTCGCAGTCGCCCAGCCGCCCACTCTCGCCGCTGAGAAGCTCTGTGGACTACAGTCGGCCACCTGCCACGAATGTACCATACGCGCCAGCAGACATTAATGGTGGGCCTCGGCCAGGCACGCCTTCTTCACACTATGGCTCTCCTCGGAGACCACTCCCACCACAGCCACTTTTTGCGGGTGGGAGACCCCCATCTTTCGACATGGGTGAAGGTGCGCCAGCAACATCGAGCGTCTCGATCGAGCCTGATGCAGACGATCCTTTTGGCCCAGCAACTGTCGCCACAGAGGAGACACTAGATGATGAGGACAGCGATCCTACACGCCCGCCGCTTAGGCCACACGATAGTTTCGTGTCGACCTCGACGGTCACCGATAGTATCTACGATGAGAAAGATGCGGAACTTTATGGTCCGGCGCCTACAGGCAAGCAAGAGCGTAGAGGCGCAAGACAGGCTCAGATGGCGACAAAGGAGGTCAGACTGATCAATGGCGAGCTCATTTTGGAGTGCAAGATTCCGACAATATTATACTCCTTCCTGCCACGACGAGACGATGTCGAGTTCACCCACATGCGCTACACTGCTGTGACTTGCGATCCAGATGAGTTTCAAGACAGAGGCTACAAGCTGAGGCAGAACATTGGTTTCACTAGCAGAGAGACCGAGTTGCTGATCTGCATCACAATGTACAATGAGAACGAGATCGACTTTACTCGGACGATGCACGGTGTCATGCGCAACCTTTCACATTTCTGTAGTCGTGCCAAGTCGCGCACCTGGGGCAAGGATGGCTGGCAGAAGATCGTGGTTTGTATCATCTCGGATGGGCGAGCGAAAGTGCATCCTCGGACACTGGATGCCATCGCCGCTATGGGCTGCTACCAACATGGCATCGCCAAGAATACAGTCAACCAGCGCGAAGTCACTGCTCACGTCTACGAATACACGACTCAAGTTTCCCTCGACGCCGACCTCAGATTCAAGGGCGCTGAAAAAGGCATTGTGCCTTGCCAGATGATCTTCTGCCTCAAAGAAAAGAATGCCAAGAAGCTGAACAGCCATCGTTGGTTCTTCAATGCATTCGGACGAGCACTTCAACCAAATGTGTGCATCCTGCTGGATGTCGGCACCAAGCCTGGAGACGACTCATTGTATCACCTGTGGAAGGCCTTCGACCGCGACTCGAGCGTGGCGGGCGCAGCAGGAGAGATCAAGGCGGCAAAGGGCAAAGCGTGGTTGCAGCTTCTGAATCCCCTGGTGGCCTCTCAAAACTTCGAGTACAAGATGTCCAACATCCTTGACAAGCCCTTGGAGTCAGTCTTTGGGTATATCACGGTCTTACCTGGTGCCTTGAGTGCCTACAGGTACCATGCTCTACAGAACGACGAGAACGGTCACGGTCCGCTAAGTCAATACTTCAAAGGCGAAACACTACATGGACAGGACGCAGACGTCTTCACCGCGAACATGTACCTTGCCGAGGATCGTATTCTATGCTGGGAGCTGGTGGCAAAACGTAACGAGAGATGGGTGCTGAAATATGTCAAGGCTGCGACTGGTGAGACTGATGTCCCGGATGCAGTACCAGAGTTCATCTCCCAGCGTCGTCGTTGGCTCAACGGTGCCTTTTTCGCTGCAGTATACTCGCTACTACACTTCCGTCAGATCTGGAGCACCGACCACAGCATTGCACGGAAAATCCTGCTCCATATCGAATTCATCTACCAGTTCGTCAGCTTGCTCTTCACATTCTTCTCGCTCGGCAACTTCTACCTGACGTTCTACTTTGTCGCTGGCTCCCTTGGTGACCCGAAGATGGATCCCTTCGGCCACGGCATCGGCAAATATGTCTTCGGCTTGTTCAACTATGTCTGCGTGCTCCTGATCATGATGCAATTCGTGCTCTCCATGGGCAACAGACCGCAGGGAGCGAAGAAGATGTTCTTAGGCTCGATGATCACTTTCGCTGTGATCATGGTGTACACCACGTTCGCGTCGATCTATATCGTCGTTAGGCAGCTGACCGACAAGGACAACCTCCAGTTCGGCAACAATCTCTTCACCAACATGATCGTATCCTGTCTATCCACCATTGGATTGTACTTCATCATGAGCTTCCTATACCTGGACCCTTGGCACATGTTCACCAGCTCAGCGCAGTACTTCGCCTTACTACCGAGTTACATCTGCACACTACAAGTCTACGCTTTCTGCAACGCGCACGACGTGACCTGGGGAACCAAAGGCGACAACGTAATCACGAAAGATCTCGGAGCCGCGAATTCCGGCAAGAACGGTACAGTCGAGCTCGACATGCCCTCCGAACAACTCGATATCGACAGCGGCTACGACGAAGCCCTACGCAACCTCCGCGACCGCGTCGAAGTGCCCCAACCGGGTGTGAGCGAGTCTCAACAACAAGAAGATTACTACCGCGCCGTCCGAACCTACGTCGTTATTGTCTGGCTGACCTGCAACGCCATCCTCATCATGGCCGTCTCACAAGCCTACAGCGGCACGCACATCAAGAGCAACTTCTACCTGAAATTCATCCTCTGGTCTGTAGCCGGTCTGGCATTGTTCCGTGCGATCGGATCCAGCACATTCATGCTCATCAATGTCATCCACTCCATTGCGGAGGGGAAGCTGAAGTGGGCGAATAGGAGTAGTAAGAAGAGTGTCATTAGTGGGTCGAGTCGGAGCTCGGGCTGGACGAGCAAAATGAGTATGCCGGGTTGGATGAGCAGTGGTGGGAGTTGGGTTAGTAGTAAGGTTAGTACGTGGACGCCTAGTAGTATCGGCAGTTCGATTGGGCGATGAGGATATTTGGAGGGGTCACGAAAAAGGCGTTTGGGTACAGGAAGCTGTGGTCAGCTGAGACCGGGTTGCATGACTTGTATTATGCATTTTGCATGAGGTAGCAGGATATCACGTATATTTTGCCAGTACTTGTCTTTGCATGTTTCAAGCCTCACCTGACACTCCACAATTCGCTCAAGATCTCTGAGAGGGACGACAGACGGGGGCGAATCTGAATCTTTGATATGTCGACCATTCGTATGTACATTCATATTCTTATCCCACTCAACATAGCCGCGGCGTCAGTCGTCTTCTGCTCCCCAAAAGTACTCATGATGTGATTCTCCCAGAACCTGATACCATCCAGACTCTGGTCGCGACACAGTGCTCCAATCTCCTCCGCCATCTCCAGCTCCTCGGTCGCAACGCCAACGCTCCAGCCAAATCGCTCTGCTGTCTGCTGTGCTGTAACACCGATGCCGAAAGTCTGCTCAAGGGGCAGTCCACTCGAATTTTGCGCGTCCCGGAGCCATGCTAGTAAGCTGGAGATAGTCCTCTCGTCTGTCCTACTACACTCCTGCACCACACGCAGGCCACTTTTGAACGTCCTGAGTCGGATGGGTAAGCGTAAGTTCTCCCACATATCTGCCGCCTTCTCGAAATCTAGCGGTGAGATCAGTTCGATGCCATTCCGGGTTCGATTGAAAACAGCCCACAGATCTACAAGAGACATAATGCCGCCTTCCCGCCTCAGCACACCACGCCGATCATCTGTGAGGAATTCCGCTAGGTTGCGTGCGAGTTCTGTCACGTACAGGGTCTCTGATGCTGAGCCTGCGCCTAGCATATCTTTCGTTGTTACCAGACCAAGTGCGGAAGCAGAGTCTGATAGGAGATTCCGTGCTTCAACTGAGTCGTTGCCGTTCTGCTTAGCGAATTGCTCAGCCATCGCAATGACTTCCTTTGCAGACGTCATGAGGGCTTCGATGTCTTCGAAAGCGGTGCCTATTACAGTCTGGTTGTTCTGTCGTAACTCTGCGCCTCGCCTCTCAAGGCCAGCGATGCCGACTACTCGTGGTGGTGGTGTGGCAGGCATGCTCTGTCCGTTCGTAGACATACCTGGTCCTGGGCCAGTGGGTGCGGAGTTGAGCCCTGGCCTTGGTATTGGAGGAGCACTTTGCAATAACCACTTCCGCTGCACCAGAGCACCCTTCAGTCTGTCCAGGAAAGGCTTCTCGCCACCAGCCCTAAAGGAGAACTTGATTGTCTCTATAGTATCATCGTCCAGGATGCTGCCGGTCAGTGTCGGACCTGGCGACTCTGGTCTTGTCCGTCCATGGTTGAGATCTTGCAATGCGATAATACTGGCTGCTGTGAGTGAAGCTCCGCAGATCTCACACTCTCTCAGTGATGGATCGTTCTGGAAGGTACACCTCGGGCATTGATTGATAGCTTTTGGGAATAAGGGTGAGCTGCCAGCAGCACCATTTTTAGCAAAGGCTGCAGGTGTCTGTGAGGTAGGTCGATTGCTCATGGCGGAGATGGATGCTTTGAGTATAAGAGCTAGCTCTGGCTTCACACCGCATGTTTGGCAAGGCGGCAGAGGAGTATGCTGGTTTGCAGTAGCTGGATCGAAGTTCCTGGGTACCGCGTTTGACATGCCACAGACATTGCATACCCAAGTGGCGTTGAGATCACGTGTCGATGGAGGCGCTGGCGAAGCAGCGGGACGTGATGTCGGCGCTCCAGGTGTGATAAGAGCATCCGCTGGTGAAGCATATCGAGGCACTGGGCTCCGAAGAGCCGGTACGCCTCGCCTTGTGGCCTTCGGGAAGAGCGTGATCTTTGGCGATGATTTCAGAAAGCGGGCGGAGAATTCAGGCCGTTCGATCTCCTTAAGATCGACAGCCACCGAGTACTTCCGAGGATCATCGTTGTCAACGTAGCACACTCTGTGCGACGTCAGGTAGGCATGACCATTCTGGTAGTGAGAAATCTTGAATTTGCCTTCGTAGAGACCCACGCCGTCCTGTACAGAGAGTAGAGTTTCGTCATCGTGAAGAGACGGCCGAAGCGCGGTGGTGAGGTCGAGCTGGCGGAGGAACATTCGCAGACATCTAGGTTGAACAAGGTGTATCGATGGAGTGACGATTCATGCAGCCTGCCTGCCTGTCGGTACGTGAATTCGGCTTGTTGCACTGTTATGATGGTTCGTTTCCAGCAATCCGGCACACAAGATGTAAGCAGATTTTCCTTGACACTTTTCCTCGTGTCGGTAGGGCACTTTTGTCTGTTCGATAAGAGATACGTAGTATGGTTGTCGCAAGGTTTGTCGTTGAAGACGAGATTGGTGCACGTGACGACTTACATAAGCGGAATTCACCAGTGACCGCTTCAAAGTACCATTTTCGTTGGCTTCACCTCCTGCATTTGCACACGCACAACCACATCTCGCGAGCAGAACAGCAGGACCATCATACTCCTGTTCACGCGCAATCTTTTCTCAATAACAACTCAGCACGCTCGGGTCTCTGTCTGATGAGCCTGCCATATATGCCAGCGCCGCCTGTTGCAGCGTCTTCAATCATGCAAACCGCGCCAGCGTACACACCTGTCGCAGCACGTCAGACTCTCCAAAGACCATTCATGCCTGCTCAACCGCAGAAGCAAGCATGGCCGCCTGCCGTGCGCGGCTATGTTGGGCGAGCATTTGATCCCGAGAGTATGATACCAGGAATAGAAGGACCGATCGTAGCAGAGCGCTTGAGGGACGTCATCACAAAGGCAGCAGAAGCGCGCCAGCTTGACACTATAGATTGGAGCACATACCCTTTGCCACAGGTCTTGATCAAAGCGGAACGTGAACAGGCCGCATTTCATGGTGGAGCGATACCTGTCCCAGCTAACTTGTACTCTCTTTTGCCACCACCAAATGTCCAAGCCTGGGCTGGTCAGCTCAACAAACGGAAGAACGATGAAGTAGAGACCACTCTGGAAGAAGAGGACGCCATCACCCCACCGTGGAAGAAGAAGAACAAAGGAAATCTGGAAGACCGGATGTCTGGAAAGTCCAAGGCGCAGGAGAAGAAACAGAAGAAGATCATTTTACTCCATGCGAACGGCTTTGGAGCCGACTCGGACGTTCTGGCAAAGCGCAAGCAGCGCTTCGGAATGACCACACCTGAACCCTCTCCTTATCTATCATCTCGTGACGACTCACCCGAGCCAGCTGGACCCCTCGTGGGAACATGCCAGACCATCGAGAAAAGTTACTTTCGTCTCACAGCACCCCCATCACCTGAAGTTGTGCGACCCTTTGCAGTTCTTGAGAAAGCACTAAATCACATCCGACGTAAATGGAGGGAAGAGCATAACTACAACTTTGCGTGCGACCAGCTCAAGTCAATGCGTCAGGATCTCACAGTCCAGCACATCCAGAACGAGCTCACCGTCAAAGTCTACGAATGCCACGCTCGCATAGCCTTAGAAATGAAGGACCTCGGTGAGTACAATCAGTGTCAGACGCAACTGCGGACACTGTACAAGATGAACTTGGGCGGCAACCCGGAAGAGTTCATCGCGTATCGCATCCTTTACATCATCTATACGTGTAACCGTACCGACATGAATAATGTCCTGGCGGATCTAACCTCAGCAGATAAGCAGAAACCGGGAGTGAAGCACGCATTGCAGGTACGGTCAGCACTTGCTTCGGGCAACTACCACAGATTCTTTAGGTTGTATCTCTCGGCACCTTTTATGGGAGGGTATCTTCTCGATATGATCATCCAGCGCGAACGACTTGCTGCTATGGCTGCCATGTGCAGAGCGTACGTCCAGCCCCCACCAATTATTATTGACAGTCGCTAACACCTTTACAGATACAAGCCAGATGTCAGTCTCAACTACCTCGCCGAAGAGCTAGCCTTCAGCAGCGATGACGAGGGCCCAGAAGACCCGGATGCTACCCAACGACAATGCCTCGAGTTCCTCTGCCTACATGGTGGTGAGCCATTTGTTGAAAGAAAAGAGCATGGTACTGTCCGCTTCCAGACCGGCAAGGCCATGGCTGTGTTCGAAGGAGCACGAGCTGCTGCATTCCGTGGCGTCGATATCAAGGGCCAGATATGATTCGCACACTCTTTCCTACTCTTCCACCCACCAGCCGCTCCATGCCGACTGATTTCCACCATACGCACGAACAAGCTTCCCATGCCAACAATACGTGCGATGCCATCAGCGACACTTTGCTGGGTCTTACTTCGGCCGTCAAAATCCTTCTTGTGGCTATAACAATAGGGGAAGCCTGAACACGGCACGAGGATACACTAGATTGTTGGGCCTTACAGCGCAGAGAGCTTCGAGCACCGCGACTCCACTACCCGAGGATATGAGCACACAGCTCTGGTACAGTACAGCACGTTCTTCATTCAAAATAGTAAATCGATTGCAGCGAAGCCTTTGTCTAGTCTAGCGTTGGGAGCCCCGGTGGTTGGTTAGCGGACGGAATGTAGAGTGGGTGATGCAGAACGGACGTAGAGTGGAATGGTCTGATGATTGGTGAGCCACTGGAGGAGTAGCATATCCTTCGGGTCTTCACAAGCAATCGCACGCGGCACAACCTCGCATGCGAAGGCCTTGTGAGAGCTCCTGCCATGTAGTAGTGCAAACTCTTCGCCTTAGTATAGACCATCAACGCACTGTTCTCACATATACAGTCAGACCTGATGTTGTAGGGAGCATCGTCGAAGAGTACTTCTGGGCAGCATCATTGGCGGATACTGCGCGCACTGCTTCGTGGCGCATCGGGTGCAACGCATGATGCAGCTGCAGCGAAAACAAGGATACCTGGTTCGGGACATGAGAGTGATAGAAGATGGCAGTGCCTTGCATTCGACATTGTCAAGAAATAATGCTTGTAGATCCTAGCCAAGGCTGACCACGTTTTCCTCTGCTCCACTTGGACAATCTTGACAGGCTTCTACAACACGCCGGCGCGGTTTCACAGTCTTCTTCTGCAGGGCAGGGGGCAGGCAGGGCGAAAAGTTGCGGACCTGCCGCATGTGAGGTGTCGATCGCCATGCAGATGCGAGGCAATAATAATGCGATTCGTACCTGTCGTACAGGTCACCGAGCCTGCCTTAGAACAAAGAGGGGAGTCCAGTCTTCTCAATGTGGAAGTGTAGTATTTGAGTACATCGATTTCTCTTTGTGCGTTATCTGCGTGCCCATCACAGCACGCCGGAGTCTCTCTTTCGCACCCAGTCGTCGTGTCGCCTCGTCACAGCAGCAGCAGCAGCAGCAGCACCGCCACTCCACTCCACTCCACTACTCCTGCACAGTTGTGGTCGGCATACACAGCCCACGCTTCCACGCGAGACACTAGCACGATTCGGGCATTGCGAGAAAGTGGAAGTGAGAAGGATCTCTTGGACTCTGCTTTTTTGCAAGCAAGTCCTCGCCCATCCCACTCTTCTCTCTCCCGACCGGTCGTTGGCTATCATATCGTTGCAGCTGCTGGGCCTGAAATCTCCGTCGCAAAAGTCTCACCAGGAAGCGGCGGCCGCCACCAACATCAACGTGCGGGAGCACGGTCGTGCGTGGGTTGCAGGGCATACGGTACATGTAAAGTCGGAGACCATACTGTTCAGGCTACTCTTACGGGATTACGACTCACGACACTTTGAACGTCTGTATTGCAGGACTTGTGAGAGGTGTGTGGAGGAGAAGTACGAGTGGGAGATTGTCTGGGTTGCGACTCGTAGGGCTGAACTCTCGTCTTCTTTGGGCTTGGGCAGCATACCGTAACGGCCAGAGCCCCGCCGAAGAGAACACGACCATAGCATATACAGGACACGCATACGCTGGCACGATCACGAGTACTACTGACGAAACGCATTTGAACGCCAGCAAGTGAGGCCTGAGGAGTAGAGGAAAAAGCGAGGCAACTGGCGCAATTGGCTTAGTGGCGGCGGCGGTCAGCTTCAAGACAAGATGAAGGTAGGCGACAGCGAATGCTATGCGTACAAAGATATGCGAGCGAATACTGACCAGTCCGTAGTTTCGAAGATCCATGAAAAGCGACGGCAACATCAAGCACGACTCGGCGAAACCTGTTCAGCTCTCCATACCGCAAAAAGACGCCATCGCAATAGAGCCGCCGAAGAAGGTCATCAAGGCGTTATATGACCACAACGCGCCTGACAACTCCGATATATACCTCTCCTTCTCCGCCGGCGACTTCCTCCACGTCTTGAGCCGGGAGAACGATATAGACTGGTACGAGGCATGTAACCCTCTGGCGAATACGAGAGGGTTGGTGCCGGTGAAGTACTTTGAGAATGTGGGCAAGACGACGGTACGGGATAGTGGGGACTCGTCGAATAGTCTGAGCGCAACACATGATAGTGGATATGCAGAGGGCGCGACACCGGGCGCGAGGAGTGTAGGGACGTCGAGGTCGAGTACCATGAATGGGAGTCATGGGATGGATAGCAGACCGCCTATGCCTGGACATCGAGCGAGTAGTTCGGTCAGTAAGATGGCGGGAGGGATATATGGTATTGTGTCGTATGATTTCCATGCTGAGAGGCCGGACGAATTGGATGCGAAGGAAGGTGAGGCGATCATTGTGATAGCGCAGTCGAATCCGGAGTGGTTTGTTGCGAAGCCTATAACACGATTGGGAGGGCCAGGATTGATACCGGTATCGTTTATCGAGCTGCGGGATATGGCTACGGGAAAGGCGATAGATGATTCGACGGCTGCGGTGCAGAAGGCGGGGATACCTAAGGTTGAGGAGTGGAAGAAGATGGCGGCGGAGTATAAGAACAACAGCGTCCCGCTTGGCTCGGTATCGAGCAGTCAACAATCTCAAATGCAGCAAGGCATGGAGCGGATGAGTTTGAATGGCCAGCAACAACAGAGTTTCGGCGGGCATTCGAGACAGCCGAGCAACTATGCCTACCAGCAACAACAGCAGCAAGGGCTTTACGCGCCGGAGAGAGCATCGGTACCGAGATATATCTTTGCAGACGACAAGTTCCATTTCATTGTGGAGGCAAGACTATCGAATGGCACGCATTGGGACCTGCAGAGGGTATATGAGGACTTCTACGAGCTGCAGATCAACCTCATCAATGCCTTTCCGGAAGAGGCTGGACAGGTGCAGAATAAGCCGAGAACACTGCCATACATGCCTGGGCCGGTCAAATTTGTTACAGATGGTATCAGCGAAGGACGACGGGCGAATCTGGACGAGTATCTACGAGATCTTCTTGCGCTGAGTCAGAAGATCACGACTTCCTCTTTAGTGCGGAACTTCTTTGCACCACGAGAGAATGATTACGAGGTGGATCCGAACGCTGTTGACTTGGATATACATGCACGGCCGAAGGACCCACGGGATAGATACTCGGCGGCATCCCAAGGATCATACCAGAATGGCGCGTACCCACAAGCCCCGCAGCATCAACGGCAACTGTCACAGCAATCGCAGCAGCAGCAGCAGGGTCACCAGTACTCGCAATCGCAAGCCTCCGTGAATGGTGGTCCGTATGGTCAACATCAACGAGGCATGTCAAGTCAGGGTGTGAATCACTACCGCACGCCTTCCAATCACGGACAGCAGCAGCAAGTCCCGACCACCTCCACCCCCTCCCTCTCCTCCACCGCCCCCTCAACAACCACGACCACCCAAAGCACCAGCAACAACACCTCCGCCCCCGTCAAAGTCAAAGCCTGGTTCGACCGCGACACCTGCGTCGTCATCCGTATGCCCCCCCGCAACGCCTTCCGCTTCTCCGACCTCCATCGCAAGATCGTGGAGAGGAGAAGACTGGAGTATAAGGGCCAGGATCAGAATGATGAGGATTTGGATATTGAGTATAGGGATGAGAAGGATGGGGAGTATTATCGTCTGGAAGGGGATGAGGATTTGGAGATTGCGGTGGAGCGGAATGAGAAGTTGACGCTTGCTGTTAGGGCCGCGGGGACGTGATTGGGGTGGGGAGGGGGGATGGGATGGGGATGTAATGAGTTTGGGATTGGGCTGTGTTTTGGGTAGTATTGGTGCTGGTGGCGCTGGTTATTTTTTTCTGGTGGGGCTTCAGGGCCGAAGTGCTGGATCGCTTATTGGATGGGATCGCTTGTTGGGTGTTTAGGAAGAGATGGAGCATGTTAGTGTAGCAAGCGTCTGTGATTGTTGACTCTACTCCTCATACATCATCTCCATGAATTTTTTGATTATCGTGGTATGTATGACTCGCCACCAATTTGCCAAAGGCATGACCGAGGCCGGAGAAGAAGATTCTGGGCGATGTTCGCGGATGGTCTGTGCGTGAGTCGAAGGGGAAACGATTTTGCGCGCATCGACGCCATCACCATTTATTCATAATCACATTATTCTACATCAACAATCCATTCTCCTCGCCGCCCCATCCATCCATTCACCTCTTCTCCCACACTATCCATCCACTCCCTCTTGATAGCAGCGCGCTTGTAATTATACGGCCGCGGTCCATCACACCCTCACACCACACAATATGCTTTCATCACGGTTAATGCGAAGCGTGAGTTCATATTCCCATCTAGCTAGACATCACACGAGCACTAGTCGCTGATATGCTCCCCAGGCTATTCCGCGCGCAGCACCGACCTTCAGACAATCCGCATACAAAGCCCCTGCCGCCCTACAGCGGAGATGGGCGACGACGGAGAATGTTAAGGAGTCGGGTGACAAGGTCAAGGGCCCAGTCATCGGTATAGATCTGGGCACTACCAATTCGGCGGTGGCGGTGATGGAGGGCGCTACCCCTCGCATCATGGAGAACTCGGAAGGTGTGTACAGCCCTATGTAGAAGCAGCCCGCGTGACCATCTTACTGAATTTCTATTGCTAGGTGGACGCACAACCCCATCAGTTGTCGCCTTCAGCAAGGAGGGCGAGCGATTAGTCGGTATCGCCGCCAAGCGCCAGGCCGTTGTCAACCCCGAAAACACCTTCTTCGCCACCAAGCGTCTAATCGGCCGCAAGTTCACCGATGCGGAGGTCCAGCGCGATCTCAAGCATGTCCCCTACAAGATTGTGCAGCACAAGAACGGTGATGCGTGGCTCGAGGCTCTCGGGAACCGATACTCGCCTTCGCAGATTGGTGGCTTCGTGCTGGGCAAGATGAAGGAGACGGCAGAGGCGTTCATGGGCAAGAAGTTGACTGATGCGGTCGTCACTGTGCCGGCGTACTTCAACGACCAGCAGAGACAGGCTACCAAGGATGCTGGCCAGATCTCTGGTCTGAATGTGCTGCGTGTGGTCAACGAGCCTACTGCTGCTTCTTTGGCATACGGTATGGAGAAGGAGGGTGACCGCGTGGTTGCTGTCTACGATTTGGGTGGAGGTACCTTTGATGTGTCCGTTCTGGAGATCTCCAACGGTGTCTTCGAGGTCAAGTCTACCAACGGTGACACCCACCTCGGTGGTGAGGACTTTGACATCACCCTTGTCCGTCACCTTGTCGACCAGTTCAAGACCGAGTCCGGCATTGATCTCTCCAACGACCGCATGGCTATCCAGCGTATCCGTGAGGCTGCTGAGAAGGCCAAGATCGAGCTTTCATCCTCGCAGCAGACCGACATCAACTTGCCTTTCATCACTGCTGACTCTTCTGGACCCAAGCACATCAACACCAAGATGACTCGTTCCCAGCTCGAGAAGCTTGTTGACCCCCTGATCAGCCGCACCATCGACCCTGTTCGCAAGGCTCTCAAGGACGCCAACCTTCAGGCCAAGGATATCCAGGAGGTCATCCTCGTTGGTGGCATGACCCGTATGCCCAAGGTTGCCGAGTCCGTCAGGAGCATCTTCGGCCGTGATCCTGCCAAGTCTGTCAACCCTGACGAGGCTGTCGCCATTGGTGCTGCGATCCAGGGTGCTGTCCTCTCGGGTGATGTCACTGACATCCTTCTCCTCGATGTCACTCCACTGTCCCTCGGAATCGAGACCCTCGGCGGTGTCTTCACCCGCCTGATCAACCGCAACACCACCATCCCTACCAAGAAGTCGCAGACTTTCTCAACTGCCGCCGACTTCCAATCTGCCGTCGAGATTAAGGTATACCAGGGTGAGCGCGAGCTCGTCCGTGACAACAAGATGCTCGGCAACTTCCAGCTTGTCGGTATCCCACCTGCCCACCGCGGTGTGCCTCAAATCGAGGTCACTTTCGACATCGACGCCGATTCCATCGTCCACGTCCACGCCAAGGACAAGTCGACCAACAAGGATCAGTCCATCACCATCGCTTCCGGCTCCGGTTTGAGCGACTCCGAAATCGAGAACATGGTTGCCGACTCCGAGAAGTTCGCCGAAGCGGACAAGGAGCGCAAGGCCGCCATCGAGGCTGCCAACCGCGCCGACAGCGTGGTCAACGATACCGAGAAGGCGCTTAAGGAGTTCGAGGACAGGCTAGACAAGAGCGAGGCGGAGAAGATCAAGAGCTTGATTAATGAGATGAGGGAGGTTATTGCTAAGAGCCAGAGCGGAGAGGGTGCTCTCACTGCGGAGGAGCTCAAGGCTAAGACGGATGAGCTGCAAAATGCTTCGTTGACCCTCTTTGACAAGATGCATCGCGCTCGCACCGAGGCGTCGAATGCGGAGGGTCAGCAGGGTGAGCAGGCGCAGGGTGGTGAGCAGCAAGGTCAAGGTCAGCAGAATGGTGGTGAGGGCGAGAAGAAGCCTTGAAGGGGGTCGTGAGAGTGCTCCTTCACGACTTTCTTGGGCGGCGCGGACGACACGCTTCCGGCCTTCAGCGAGTTGGCATCTTTACTCTCTCGCATGAGGTTTTGGCTCGCTGGAAGCGCGCGCTTTGTACGGATACCTCGACTCTCTTTTTTACGCCGCTCGACATTATGCACCATACCACGGACTACGCTCACCGGATGTCCTCGTGGTCTGGACATGGAATGGTGTGCGATTATACCATACCTGGCTGGCGTTCACGGCGTTGAGACAGAAGAAAACATTGGGCTTAGCTTGTACGTCTGGAGATTTTGCTTCTGGGGAGCGAAGGATGTGTGTAGGTTAGGATCTTCAGTGTGTTGTAGTTATACGTAGGCCCTCCTCTCTGAAAGAAATGTGTATTACTGGTGTCTTGATTCTTCTGCTTAATCATCGTCGTCCTGACCTCTCTACTCGAGAACTTGCTGTGGCTGTTAAAGCTCGACGCGGTCTCACTCCGAGCTCATTAGGCCGCGAAGAATGTCGTGTCTCGTAGATGGAAGGTTAGACACAAACACACTGTTACCCGACACAGACCTGTTCCGCAAGTGTTGTTGAGTTCTTCGGACGTCAACGTCGCCGGCATGCCCACAAGTAGTAGTCCGCGGTCCACAAGACTATGTCACTCGCATGAGTATCGGACACGTGTGTGGAACAACTTTTTTCTTTATAAAGCGTGCCAACCTAATATTCTGGTACGACACGTGACTCATCGTTTGTGACTACCGCTTCGAGAGCGCTTAGAACTGCTTCACACACTGGAGGGGTTCGTGCAAGCCCCGCTCCCGCCGGGTTTACGACCACTGACTGCAACGCAACGTCAACACAACCAAGCTTCTTGAGCTCCAAACACGAGCTTTTTGGTTTGTGAGGATGTCTCTTTTGGGAGCTGAGGGGACGAGCCACGGATATACTCCAGGCACTTCGACGGCTCTGGCGGCGGTCTCGGCGTGGAGGGGACGACATCATCGTCAACTTAAAGGTGAAGATGTCCCGCGCAGTAGGTAAGGGTAAAGCCTACGGCAGTCCTTTTCAATATATTTTAACACAAGTGATCGCCAGGAGAAGTACTGTCTGATCTCTGCTACTACGACTGTAACCATAGAAAGCACACAAATCATGGCTCCTTCAGCGGTCCAGGTCAGCCAGGACGATGTTGCTCGTTTGCCATTGAAGCTTGATGGCAAGAATGGCACCAAGCATGCGGAGGATGTTCAAATGATGGAGTCGCAGGACAAGACACAATTCGTGCTCGGTTGCTACAGAGTACTTATTGCAGATCTATGTCAACAATTCAATATGGGCCACCCTGGGTAAGTTCAAGAGAATGATTCTCAGAGTGCCGAATGGCTACTAATGGAATATCAGCTCTGCCATGGGTATGGCAGCAATCGGTATCGCGCTTTGGAAATATGTCATGAAATACTCTCCCAGCAACCCGGACTGGGTCAACAGGGATCGATTCGTGCTTTCCAACGGCCACGCATGTCTTTTCCAGTATTCGTTCCTACATCTTGTGGGCTACCAGAACATGACTTTCGAGCAATTGGTCAGCTATCATTCCGATCGATGGGATTCGTATTGTCCTGGTCATCCAGAGATTGAGCACCCTGGTATCGAGGTCACTACTGGACCACTTGGACAGGGTCTTGCGAATGCTGTTGGTTTGGCTATGGCGTCGAAGCATATTGGTGCGCAGTATAACAAGCCTGGTTGTGAGGTCATCAACAACATGACCTGGTGTACGATCGGCGATGCTTGCTTGCAGGAGGGTGTGGGCATGGAGGCGATTCAGTTGGCTGGTCACTGGAGACTCAACAACCTCTGTGTGATCTTCGACAACAACAACATTACTTGCGACGGATCGGCCGATATTGCCATGTCCGACGACACAAACACAAAGATGCGAGCATGTGGCTGGGATGTGCTGGAGGTCGAGGATGGCAACTCGGATGTTGCGAGCATCGTCAAGGCACTCGTAGCCGCGCGAGCGAACAAGGAGAAGCCCACTTTCATCAACATCAAGACAACCATTGGTGTGAGCAGCAAGAAGGCGAACACGGCTGGTGTGCACGGTGCCCCTCTCGGCAAGGAGGATATCGAATACATCAAGAAGGCCAATGGCATGGACGTGAACAAGCATCTCGATATTCCACAAGAAGTGTACGACTTCTTCCGGGAAGCTGTACCGCGTGGTAAGGAGTTGGAAAAGGACTATGCTCATGTCACTGCGAAGTACAATAAGGAGCATGCCGATCTTGCTGCGGAGTTCACCAAGAGAATGAAGGGCGAGCTTGTTGGTGACTTTACGCAGTGCATTCCCAGCAAGGACTCGCAGCCATCCAAAGCCGAACCCTCTCGAAAGTCTGCTGGTAACGTTGGTGTGGCGCTCGCGGAGAACATTCCAAACGTCATGATTGGCACCGCCGATCTCTCGCCCTCCGTCAACTTGTCCTCGAAGAAGAAGGTCGACTTCCAAAGCCCGAACGTCAAGGTCTCCAGCGGTCCCAATGGCGACTACACTGGTCGATACATCCACTGGGGTATCCGCGAGCACGCTATGGCTTCCGTCTCGAACGGTCTCGCTGCTTTCCAGAAGGGTGCGATCTTGCCAGTCACATCCAGCTTCTTCATGTTCTACATCTATGCTGCACCCGGTGTTCGTATGGGTGCTCTTCAAAGCCTGCAGGTCATTCATATCGCTACCCACGACTCGATCGGTACTGGTGAGGATGGTCCTACACATCAGCCTATCGAGCTTGCCACTCTCTACCGCGCCATGCCCAACTTCCTCTACATCCGTCCATGTGACGCTGAGGAAGTCGCTGGTGCTTGGACAGCAGCAGTCAGCGCCAAGGATACGCCTTCCATGATCTCTGTCGCTCGTCAAGACGTCACTCAATACCCAGGTCACTCCGACCGCAATGGTGTGCTGAAGGGCGCATACGTCTTCATGGAGGAGCAAGACGCCGATGTCACTCTCATCGGTGTTGGTGCGGAAATGAAATTTGCTGTCGGCACCGCCAAACTTCTCAAGGAGAAGCACGGTATCAAGGCCCGCGTCGTTTCGTTTCCATCGTGGCGACTCTTTGAACAACAACCCATCGAGTACAAGCGCAAGGTCCTGCAGTACCGCTCGAAGGCTCCTCGCGTCGTCATCGAGGCCTACTCTGTCAATGGCTGGGAGCGATACGCCGACGCCGGATACTCGATGCACTCTTTCGGTCACTCACTGCCCAGGAACGACATCTACCCTCGCTTCAACTTCGACGATGAGAAGATCGCCGCGAAGATTGCGCCGTTGGTCGATGAGGCGAAGCAGTATGGCATGGAGAACTTCCGTGGCGAGTTCCGGGATCTTAACATGGATTACACGAGGGACGTGTTCCATAGCCCGCAAGGTACCATCCACGCACCTTCATAGAGTGCGAAGTGGCTGCATTTGTATATTGTGATGTTGGTTAGCGTGTATGTATTTTGAGTTGGAAAGCACTTCATAGTGAACCCTCGTTCAATCATTTGTCGTGTTCGTGTCTTGTTGTGCACCATCCTCGGCAGCACCATCTGGTGTATTCCCCACAGCACCTTGCACTGCTACTGCATCGTCATCGATGTCTGCCCAGCCATACTCGTCAACATCTTCACCTTCAGAGTCTGCCACCTCGTCGAAAGTGCGTTTTCGGGGCTTGATCGGGCTGCTGATGATCTTTGCTTCGAGCCCATCGGTTATGCTAGCACTTGCACTCTGCTGAAGCAGACCATTATGGTCAATGTCGAACGGGAACAGCTTTCCGACTTCACCGATCTCCTCCCGACTGATCAGACTTCGACCTTGGCACCTCTGTAGGCCTATGAACCTGCTGCCAAAGTCTCGAAACACCACCATCCTGTTCCACACTCTTCCATCCCACTCAGCGCCACCAAGACCCGGGACTAGAGAAGAGCCCAGACCGCTATCAGTACGCATTCGCGAGCCGCAACCAGTCGTGACCACGACTGCGATACTGTTAATCACGGCGAGTTTGTTGAGCGCACTGATGATGGTACCCAGGATAGCATAGCGGCGTCCAGCTTGCCACTTCTGCTGCTCTGTCCGGTTCGAGCTGGCGAACAAGGTCCGAGGATAGTCGATGTCGAGGAGTGTGTTGATACCATCTATGACGATCAAGGAGATACCGTCCGGAGTCAGGGTTTGTGACGTATGTAGGATCAAGGCTAGAAAGTGAGATAGAGTGCTGTTTGTGAACGAGCGGAAATCATTCTTGTAGTCCTCTTTGCTGGCGCAGCTTGTAGAGTCAGCATGCTCAGCCTGGCGTAGATGATCCAGAATGCCGTGCAGTCTATCATGGTCGAGTGGCGTTGCTGCGTCTGCCGCGATGTTAGCCTTGTGCCGACGAACCACAGACATCGTGCTCGTACCAATCCATGTAACCTTGTGGCCACTGAGCAGCTCACGCGCTGCGGCGTTCAATCTACATCTGATGAGTAAGGACAGCGAGGACGGTTTGAATGAAACTCACCCAAATGCAGTTTTGCCAGCACCAGCAGGACCCCAGAGCTCCGTCGTCTTGCCTCGCTCGATGCCACCAGAAGATGATATGTAAGAGTCGAGCAAAGGCAAGCCCGTCTTCAATGGTCCAGATCTGTTATTTTGCAACTCTTGCAGAGCTTCCGAAGCAGACACGGTCGGCAGGCGATCTACTTCCAGTCAGCAAGATGTGACCAGATTGTTCGAGGCGGTAATGTGCTTCGCATACGAGACGAGGGTGGCACATTAGCCTGTGTTGAAAGGTCAATGACCTCTGGCAATGCAGCCATTGCTGCTGTGGACCTGTACTACATTTGCCGGAGGATGGAAGTTTTCATCTCGTAATTCACAGCTTCATTTCGATAGTCGTCGTGAATGATGTCGTGGTATCACGACGCGTGCAGTAATGTTGGAGCAAAGGCGATTGGACTGCCTCGATCCACTTCACGAGCTAAGACCAAAGTGGCAAAATGACAACCACTGTTCACCATTATCACTGCCTTGCATTTTCCCAAAGTCCCGATACAGGAACGACAGGAACCGCTACAGCGATGGCGGGCATCTTTGCGTCAGACTCACGGGTAGCCACTGAGGTTGCCAGGATATCGTTACTCTGAAATCGGCCACAATCAATACCGAATTACCAAGCTTATATTTAGGAGGCATTGTAGCACTACTTGCGACCTTGAGTATCCACCAGAGCAGGCGGTACCTCAATTCCTTGCTGCCGGTGAATAAGTACTTCGATATTCTCCAGACCGGAAGAGATGGCGGCCACGGCGCTGCTCCAGCATTACGTTGAATATCTCACCAGTCCGGCTCTCATAGTTACATTGGCAGTAGTCGTCTTGCCTATCATCTACACTGTAGCCAAGGAACGGGCCTTAGCGTCAACCTCCATCCTGTCACAGCGACTATATGGGCTCCGTCGTGCTGGACTAGTTGGCCGCTCGAACCTCAAAAGCCTCGACCAACAACTTGCCCAGGCCGAAGGAAGTGCTCCACGGATCAAGGCATTGTTCACATACCCGGTCAAGTCATGCCGCGGCGTCGAGCTCGCTGCTTCGGAGGTCGAGGGCACTGGGCTGAAGTACGACCGTTCATTCACCTTTGCACATTCTGTACCGACCCAGGAGTCTAGCGCAGACAAGGAATTGAATGAAGATGATGTAACGCCTGAGCCTGGCCACCATTGGCGCTTTATCACGCAGCGAGAGTTCCCGCGACTTGCTCTGATAGAGACCGAGCTATGGTTGCCAGACACTCGTCGGAAGTCTGCTGCCTCTAGAACGGATGGTGGCGATACTAAGAACCAGCTTGCGGGCCCGTCACGACCGCGAAGTCGAGCTAGGGGAGATACCTTGGTTGGCGTACTCGAGCAAGGATCCGACAAGGCGAAGCGCCATGCCAATGGCAGCGACTCGAGCACCAAAAGTGGATGTCTCATCTTACGCTTCCCAACACCTAGTCTTTTTGGCCTGATGACGCAGCAAGCTGCTATCGTCCTTCCACTGGATCCGAGTCCGAATCATGCCAAGGCAAAAGGCTATACTTCCGAGCAGCTGAGCATCTGGAAAGATATCGCTCTCGCCACGAACGTCACGAACGAGCTAGACCCAAAAGCCCTGGGTCTGCTTCGAAAGTTCTTGGGAGTGACCAAACCGCTAGCACTCTTCCGTCTTGATACGAGCCACAAGCGACCTGTAAGTAGGTGTCTGCCGAAAGACCCGCATGGCGAGTGTTTCGAAGTTGGCTTTGCCGATGCATTCCCAGTCAATCTGCTGGGGATGGCAAGTGTGAAGGCGACCGATGACCAATTACCAAAAGAGGCCGATGTCAAAGGACGGCTAGATGCCCGAAGATTTCGAGCAAACATATACGTAACAGGCATCAGCGCTTTTGAAGAGGATGTCTGGAAAGCTATTTCTGTCGGCAGCCGGATCGGAAGAGATGAAGAGGGACTATTCGAGTGTGAAGCCGAATACCACGTCGCTTGCCGTACCGCACGCTGCAAGCTGCCAAACGTAGATCCAGACACGGGCGTCAAAGACGGGAACGAACCATATACGACTTTGGGCAAGACCAGAAAGGTTGACGAAGGCGCCTACCCGCATCCTTGTCTGGGTATGCAGATGATACCACTTTTCGAGCGGGGCATCTTACGGGTGGGAGATAGTGTGGAGGTGCTGGAGACTGGCGAGCATTCCTATGAGAAGATGTTCACTTGAAGATACAGAGTAAGAACCAAAGTATATATTGATACAGTCGACATATGTGTACACTTCGCAACAAGAGAATTCGGCCACCTGTACCTGACCGACCACACCAGACCGCAGAGGCATCGGCTCAAGCCTGCCACGCCCTCACATCGCCTTTCGAATAGCACAACATCGGGGCTTTCCCCTCGCCCATAGCACAGAGTCGGGAAGCCGCATCGCCGCCTACAGCTGAGTCCAGAGATTCTCGATCAGGGAAGAACGCCAATGCCGACAAGGCTATCTTCGCTCTGCAAGCATCGTGCTCGTCGATCTCAGCGGTGTCGTCGAAAGTCGACGACAAATCTGGAGCGGGAGTCGCGGATGGAAGGTTTGATGCACCAGACCAGGTTGTTTCGAGGCAGGCGGCACAGTAAGGGGCGGAGTCGCAGGTCATGCTGGTCGGGATGTGAGTACGAGGGCTAGAAGGACGCTGTACATACTGCGCACTTACCATGCTACATCTGTGGCTTCACACTTGTACCGGTGTCGACAGCTTGCACAAGCCGTCTTGTCGCATCCGGATTCCTTTTGTCCGCCATACCAGGTCTGCACTATGGGTGCCGATGCGTGCGTGGTTGAGGTTGGCTCGTTGTAGATTGTGATTTGTGAGGTGATGTGTTTGGTCGTTGTTATGGTTAGCAAGGTTGTTTGTCTGTCGTTGAAGACTTGTTGCTGGTTGTTGTCGATCAGAGCTGATGATGTGGCGACTGGGAAGGAGATTGCTATTGCTGGGATCAACATGGTGGGCTAGGAAAACCAGATGCGATGGCTCTTGGAAGGAATGACAGAAAGGGGGTCTTTTCTATGGCGAGGGACAGATTATGAAGACAAAGGCAGCAGTACCATCTTGACTTCCTATCCTCACCTCTTTTACCTCCTCCATCCCCAGCAGCAACGACGTCGTCTACGCGCCACCGTGCCTCTCGCCAACTGTAGTGCACATAGGAATAGCACCAGGATCTACAAAGCTACCCTACCATCATAATCTACCCGCTCGATACCGTATGCGGACCATGTTGGCCTCGTACAGAAACCAACTTACTCGGATGCATGCATGCGCAGACATATATGCAAGCGCCCTATTGTGCCGCGCGGAGCGGCAAATCCATCTACATGGCGGGGGCTAATCCCGGAAGTGCATGAACGATGGTTGGGCTGGGGTTTGATCCGTGGGGAGGGGTCGAGGGATATAGATATGATAGATATGTTTGTTGTGCCGTCGTGTGGTGGGAGAGGAAGGGAAGTAGAAGTCAGGTGGGTTGTCGAGAGGGTAAGGCCTAGGGTTAGGGTTTGGGTAGAAGAGAGTATGGCCCGTGCTTCAGTTCTCTCTTAATGAGTAGGCACAATAATAACCTCACCCAAAAAGACGATTGAAGCATGCCATTGGCAAACCTTCGGGGACATCGTCATACGACCGCTGAAAGACGGATGGGCCCTTAGCGAGACAGGCCGGCGAAATGATGATGATTGCCATGCATTCTTGGTACAGATTCTGGGTCTAATTCTCAAACGCCAACCCACTCTCCTTCCTCACCGCCCCATAGATCCCCGCAATATCCCCCTTGTCCCCCATATGCTCCACCACCTCCTCCAAATGCCTATCCGCGACCTCCAACCCCTTCATCTTCGCCCCACAGCTCTCGGCCAGCGCCCGCGCATGTCCGGCATCCTTCCTCGCCAACTTCGCCGCGAACAATGGCTCCTCGCGCTTGTAGTAATCCCCCTGTCGTAGACGATTGGAGTAGGCTGTGTATGGACCCGGGAACATAGTCTCGATAAAGGCGTGCAGGTTTTCGCTACCTAGGCCCGATTTCTCCGCTAGTGTGTGGCCTTCCGAGAGCGTCTCGACCATGTTGAGGATGAAGGTGTTGCCTATGATTTTCAGTCGGGTGGCGGCTCCGTGCGGTTGGTCGGAGTAGTCGATTTCGGCGCGGCCCATTACGCCCTTGCAGTAGGGTTTCACCCGATCGACTTGGGCTTTGGGGCCGGCGAGGACGCAGACGAGTTGGCCGTTGTCTGCCATGGCTGGGGCGCCGAAGACGGGGCAGGCGACGAAGTCGGCTCCGGCGGCGTTGATGGTTTTGGCGAGCTTGTTCGTGCAGTCCGGGTGGACGGTTGAGCAGTCCACGAACAGCTTGCCTTTGGCTGCGGATTTGTCCTGGAGTGCTGCTGTGATGGTCTCTTCTATTGCTTTGTCGTCGCCTACGCAGGTGAAGATTATGTCGGCTTCTTTCACAGCTTCTGCTATGGTGTCCACGACTTTGGCCTTGCCTTCGGGGAGGGCGGAGACAAGCTTATCGGAGCGTGCACGGGTGCGGTTACTGATGAGGAAGGGGATAGTGTAGTCGCCTTTCTCGACCATGTTCTTGACCATGCCGCGACCCATGTTTCCGAGTCCATACCAGGCGATGCGTGGGGTGGAGGGCATGGTGGGTGTGAGGTTGTGTTGTCGTTAAGTGATTGCTCTAGCAGGCGGATCTTCTGTATGTTAAGGAAGGAAATTAATAGAGTAAGGATGGATGGTGAGAAATGGGCAGTCAATGGCGTAGTACATATATCACTGGTCTACCTTTTGTAGCTCTACCAAACCTATGACGTCTTGGCAGGTCGAGTGTAGCGGCAATTGCGGTGTCGGTGGACCCCTCGGATGTGTCTTGTTCTTGGACACTGCCTACGCTGATGATTACTCGATGCCTGCTATGTGTGCCGTCTAGTCAGCCCGGACGATCTGTTACAATGCCATCGGCGTGATGGCTGTCGGCGGTGTATGCCCGGCACGATCGGCGGTATGTGGTTGTTGAACAAGGCTCGTCGTTTGATGTCCGAAACACCACTACAGCATGATCCTGCCATTGCGTGCCTGCCGCATCGGGCAATGGCAAGGTAAACATATGTCGAGTATCGCTCGTGGTGAGAGGAAGGGAGTGATACTCACTGTGTGAGAATAGATCGTGCACGTGGCCGGCTACTAGCGGCTCTGTGATAAGATAAGAGCTAGTGCCGAAGGCTTTGAGACAGGAATGCAGGCACGCAATCCCTCTCGCTATTCACCTCATCAAAGCCTCTGTATAGAATAGTACATTGTGCCCAAGTTGTAAGTGAATGCCACAACCATCTCCTGATACCATCTCTCCTACATCTCATCCTCACCATGTCTCACCTCACCTCCGAGCTACCACGGAACCCGCCAGCCATCATGTCCAGCATATTACAGAACATCGGCAACACCCCTCTGGTCCGACTGCATACAATTCCCAAGTCCGCCGGCATAGATTGCAACATCTACGCCAAGTGCGAGTTCTTCAATGCTGGTGGCAGTGTCAAGGATCGGATCGCCCTCCGCATGGTCGAGGCGGCGGAGAAGGAAGGACGAATTAGGCCTGGTCATAGTGTCCTGATAGAGCCCACATCCGGCAACACTGGTATCGGCCTGGCGCTCGTGGGTGCTGTTAAAGGCTACCGCACCATCATCACATTACCCGAAAAGATGAGCAGTGAGAAGGTTTCTGTCCTCAAAGCATTGGGAGCTGAGATCATCCGTACGCCGACAAGTGCAGCATGGGATAGTCCGGAGAGCCACATTGGAGTAGCAAGAAGACTAGAGAAGGAGATCCCAGGCGGCGTGATCCTGGACCAATACAACAACCCCAACAACCCGCTTGCGCACGAACTCGGTACCGCAAAGGAGATTGTAGAGCAGACAGAGCATATCGAAGGCCAACTAGCAGCTGTGATCGCGGGAGCAGGTACAGGCGGCACTATCACGGGTCTCTCACGAGGTATCCGAAAAGCACATGGAGACAAGGTCAAGATCATCGCAGCAGACCCACAGGGCTCGATTCTTGCTCTACCTGCGACCTTGAACGACGACTACAAAGACAAGCCGTATAAGGTCGAAGGTATCGGCTATGATTTCATCCCAGATGTTCTGTCACAGAAGGAAGTGGACACATGGTACAAAACAGACGACCGCGACTCCTTCTACTGGGCGCGGCGATTAATACGAGAGGAGGGGCTACTGGTAGGCGGTAGTTCAGGCTCAGCAATGGCAGCCTGCATGAAAGCGGTCAAAGACATGAATCTCAGCAGAGACGACAGCGTAGTCGTTATCCTCCCAGATAGCATCCGCAGCTACCTCAGCAAATTCGTCGACGATGACTGGTTAGCCGCAAACGACCTCCTACCACCCAGTCCACCATTAACAGCCCCCAGTTCGCCGAAGATGGAGAACAACGATCGAGTCGGCCAGGAGAAAATCGTGATACCAGATCGTACAAAAGATAATAATGAAAACGCACCACCACCTCACTCCCCGACCACCCCACGCAAAAGTACCAAAGACGAATACGGCACCCACACCATCGCCGACCTCCGCCTCAAACCCATCCAAACCGTCACCTCCTCCCAAACCGTCGACGACGCCGTCGAACTCATGCGCGACAAAGGCTACGACCAAATCCCTGTCACTTCGGCCAAAACCCGTCGGCTTGTCGGTCTAGTCACACTCGGGAATTGCCTTTCGTACCTTTCCTCCGGTCGGGTGAGTATTACGTCCCCTGTATCAGACGTGATGTTCGATTTTGGACAAATGGATGAGGTGAGGCCGCTGGAGAAGTTTGTCGGGTTGACGGAGGGGGAGGAGAGTAAGCGGTCTTTTGTGGAGATTTCCCGTCAGACGAGTTTGGGGGCGTTGGAGAGGTTTTTTGTTTGGAATGCCGCTGCTATTGTTACGGAGAGGGAGGGTGAGGGCGGGGTTTTGAAGCCGTTGGCTGTGGTTACCAAGGTCGATTTGCTGGTTTGGCTTGTTAGGAGGGGGAGGCAGAATGGGGGTGTGGGTGGGCTGTAGAGTCTGTTGGTGTCTTAGAGTCTGGTTGGAGTTGATGATAGATCGTAGGGTTGAAGAAGATCATTGTTGTGAGCGAAGGTGTTCGGGATTGGATTTGGAGCTTCAACGCTTCTGGGCCCGAAGGGGTGTTGTGATGTTATGTCTGCACTTAGCTATCATGCAGACAGCTTCTGGTTGGGTATCAGACAGGTATATGGTCGCACTTACCGACTCGCCTTGAATATATCCACATACCTACAACCAATTTCTTCCTAGCTCAGCGACCTACATCTCTCCTCCAAAATTCATGACTATGAGCTGATAGAACGGTCGCTAGATGTCTCGCACGAAGTTGTACAGCGGCGAGACAGCTATACAGTATCAAAACCACACGCTGTATAAGTCACAGTAAGTATCTCGACAGTTTTCGCTTATCGCAGACCCGTATTGTCCCACCTGACCATTCGTAAGCATGTTTTAGGTCTGTGTTGGGACAGCAGCAGCAGGGCAGAAGCTCAGGGATGCACCCCTTGTCCGTAGCCAAAAGTTGTTCCTGGCGAACCCACTCACCGGACCAAAGGGCAAAAGATTCATCAGGACAATCCGAGATGTTACTAGGACCGAGACTTGAACTCGGGACCTTCTGTGCACCATGTGACGCGATGCATCAGCACGATGTTAGACAGACGTGATAACCAACTACACCATCCCAGCGGTATTGTCGTGGTTGTGAGCAACGAGTGTGATTTGATACTATATCCTACATCATGATTAGCCGAGAAATGTCCGAAGGCTGAGGCCTCAATCGACGACACTCTGACACCTGCTGTAGCAAATATGAAACCCCGAGCATCTTAGAGTGCTTCCTCACATCGCCATTCCATCGATCTTCCTTGTCTCTGTATCCGCGTAGGTACTTTGCGCTGACTACTATGAACAGCTCACGGAAGCCTGTCTGACCTCACCTTGAAAGACTTACACCAAGACATGACTCAGTAGGCATCAAGGTAACGACTACATCATGCTGTGGTGCTTCGGTCGGAGGCAGAAAGCGAGTTGGATATCTCTTCCAGACGATATTAGAACTATGTCTGCCGACCATACCGAAGCAACGGTCTTTTTCGGCTACGGCTCAAACCTATGGAAGCACCAGATGCGGGAGCGATGTCCGAAGTCGAAGTATCTTGGAATCGCTCGTCTGAAGGGCTACAAGTGGATTATCAACGAGAGGGGCTATGCGAATGTGGTCCAGATCGTTTCGAAGGAAGACGACGATGAGAAGAAGAAGCATGAGTACAGCAAAGAAGTCTGGGGTCTGGTCTATAGTCTTGACAAACAGGACGAGAAGAACCTTGATGGTAATGAAGGTGTCCCGAGGGCATATACGAAGGAGTGGTTGCAGGTCGACTACTGGCAGGCTGATGCTGGGGAGGATGATGTTGTTGCATGCCAGGAGGAGAAGGCGAAGAAGGTCAATATGCTTGTTTATATCAATCGTAAGCAGATCTCGGAGTCTAAGCCGAAGGAGGAGTATATTTATCGGATGAACATGGGTATCGAGGATGCGGTGGAGGAGGGCATGCCGGAGGAGTACGTTAAGCAGGTTATGAGGAATTTCATTCCGGAAGTTGAGGACGAGGTAGTTGAGGAGGTGGTCAAGGAGGAGAGTGTGAGATTTGAGGCTGAGAAAGATCGGTTCACTTGAAGTGCTTGATAGGGTTGGACTCCTGGGCAACGACCGCGGCTACGTAGCGGTCCTTCAAGAAGTATTTCGCTGTGAGCTACCAACAAACACAACCAGCACCGCGGCATACCCAGCAGTCACAGCCAAGATCTCCGCAGGCTTCAGATCGCTGAATAGTGCACCGCCGAGCGCAAAAGCAAGGACGAACACTGATGTCGTGACGAGCTGGCACGTCAGGCCTGGTACCAGCGACATGATGATCATCGGGACCAATAATGATAGACCTCCTGCCAGGGCACACGCCACAGCCAAAGATCGATTTCGAGCTTTTTCTTGGCGCTGCCGTGCGTTTCTTCCCATCCCTGATAGGCGAGGCTGGTCATGGTCCAGGACATCTGGTAGCTGTGTAGACACCACAGAAGGATCGAGAAGGCCGGCCTCAGCATCATGTCGCGTTCGAACCGTTTATCTGTCTGTAGCAGAAAAGGATCGGCATCGTACCCCTTCTTTGCTTTCTCCTCCATGTAGTCCAGGTCGCGTAGCATGATACCTATTTACTGGCAGCAGAGTACCTGTGCAGTGTTATTGAATGGTGCAGCTTACAGTACTCATGCAATTGGTGGCTCAGATTGCCACTGATTTTGCCGACCCATAGATCGGTGGCACTTGCAACCAGCTCCTTCTGAGCATTACGTACCGCGACCGCCTGCATTGTGGCAATTTTCAGTACGACCTTGCTCAGTCTCTCCCGCTTCGAGTCATGATAGATGGGCTAGAGGACGTTCAAGTTCGCAACACCGACCAACTTCTGAGAAAAGGTCGGGTGCGTGTCAGGCCTTGCCGGACTGTCGAGGGGTGGTAGGACGACCCGTATCCTACCCTGCTTAGGCTCCTTCGACGTGAGCGTAATGCGTTCTTCTACTGGAGCCGTTTGTTTTCTAGATGGTGCATCTCCAGAGTCCATGCCAGTCGCAGATTTCCCAACGGGTTTAGTGACCCTGGCTTGTCGGTAGGCTTCCCGTTCAAAGACAGACGGCTGGATCTTCAGCCCCGCACCTTTTCGAGGACCTGTACGACGCAGTTCATACAGTTGATGAGTATGCGCCGAGCTTTTGGGAGTGTCAATGCGGCGACTTTTTCGCCCTGGAGGAGCGTTCGTTTCTCCCCAAAATCGTCGCCACATCTCCCCTGGAGCCAGCTTGGCTGCAAAGATATCTTGCGTCAGGTGTAGGTCCAGGAAATCAAGGCTTGTAGAGAGTGAGGGCTCTGTACGAATCTCCAGAAATCTGCGGCTGAATTTGATCGTACTTCGCCAGGTGACTGCAGAAATGTATTCCGAGACATGAGGGTTTTAGTCTCTGAAGTGCGACTGTTGGATGATTATCGTCAGCGGCTTCAACATATACCACAGTTCGCAACACTGCCACAAGTGCAAATAAGGCGCTTAAGCATCTCAGACCCGTATAAGCGAAGCACCAAGTGGCTTGCATTAGCGCAAAGCGGATTGCTGTGTCGAAGCGCCCGACAACCAGCACGTTTTGGAGGTCCGCGTGTCTCTTCCGAGGTTGGAAAAGAGTGACGTGCAGCTACGGAGCTGATCGCACGAGAAGTGGATACATGTATGTTCAAAGCGCTGAGGCTTCAACCAGAACATCGAGAAGTCCCTCATACCACACCAGTCGCCGCGACTGGCCGACAAGAACGTCCACCATGCGCTGGGTTGCCTGATCATTCTCATCAGCCTTCCCACCCTCCGTCTCCCGCCAAGCCTGCTCAGCAACCGCAGCAGCCTTGCGAATAGCAGCCTCCTCGTCTTCGTCACCATACAAATCGCACTTCTCACACTCAATGCATCTCCCACCACTGGGCCGGAAGTGCTGGCAGAAGTGCCCATATCCTTCCTTCGTCGTGATCTCCTGGCGACAAATGTAGCACATTGTGTAGCCACAATTGCAGACGAGCTTGTTACAGCCACTGGATTTCACGAAGCTGAGCAAGCACCTCGGACACGTACGTTTCACGGCTGCCGTTGCTGAGGACTCGATCGCGGTGCGTAGCGAGGTCTTCTCGTTCTCAAAGCAGACGTGCGGATCTCGCCAGCGTGCTGTGCAGCGCATGCAGGATGTGCGTCGGCAGCTGGAGTTCTGGCATTTGAACTTGTGGCCACGGCGTTGCTTGTAGATTCGTGACCATGATCTGTCAACGATTGCACCAAGAGGTGGTACGAGCAGTGCCGCGAGGTACATCATGCTGATGAAAAGCAGCAACGGAACAGTGAACAGTAGTAGTGCTGCCGTTAGTGATAGCATCATGATCTGCAGGGTTACCGATGACCGGGTGGCGATATGGTTCCATACTTGCATAGGATGTCGTAGCTTCAGGGGTGGAGTTTCGTCCACCTCGGCGTATTCGCAGAAAGGACAGCGCTGAAGTGGAAGGTGGCTCTTGAGCAGTGCCTCGCTAGCCATTCGACCCTGTAGAGCATCCCATGTGTCTTCTGCGCCTGTAGTGTGATCGTACAAGGCCCGACGTACTATACCTGCTGGTAACGAACCTGTACAATCCTCTGTGGCGGACGCAAAGCAGCGGACACTGCCTTTTCTGATGTCCATAGTCTGGGACCAGCCCTGGCCATAGACTGCTTCTTGCGTCGAACGCCGAACGCACTCGAAGCATAGCTGATGGCAAGCACCATCGCATGCCGCGATCTGCTCAAAAGGCACATTGTCATAACAACACTCGCAGTCGAACATGGATTCATTCTCCTGTGCTTCGGCCTCGTTCAGCTCTTCCGCGTAAGAACGATCAGCTGCCTGACGGGACCTCTTCTGCTGTGCCAGAACAGGTTCGACGAAAAGTAGGTGCAGCTCATGGTCCAGCTGCGAGCTTCCTGTACGTTTGACGGCCGGGGCAACATCGGTTTGGGAGCCATTCGTATTAGTAATAATGTACGGATGCTGCTCAACGCCTTGCGTTGCAGTACGTCTAGGTAGTAGATTCGATATTGAGAAGCGCCACGTACGTGCAGTTAGCTGCTGTAGTATCGGCCTACACAGGGTATACGAATAGTTCTGCTCCGCCATCACGGCCTTGATAGCAGAATGATACAGAGCTCGAAACTCTTGATACAGGACCTGCTTGACAGCTTTCTTGTAGGTTTCGTGCCGGAACATCTCTTCGTCGACCAGCCCCGTGTCGTGTCCTGGAAGACTTCGGCGCTTGTGACGATCTGCCTCGATACCATCCTTTCGAGAAGCTCGAAACCGACCTCGAGCCCATTTGAAATCCTTTTTAAGTAGCTGCTCGGTGACGATCGCGACTCTGCTTGTCTCGCCCACGTTCAGCAGCATTTCACGAAAGACTTCGGGCTCCACACCAGGGAAGATGTCGACCAGAGCTGACAGCGCGGCGTTCAGATCCTTGAGATCGGGCTCATCGTCCGCTTGATGATGAATTGACGGGTCGTAGAGCGGTGCTATGTTCTCACCAGCTTCTACTGTCGCGGCGGTCCTGAATGGCCGAAAGAAGTCTGCCTTACTTTTCCAGAGGCGACTCGATCTTGGGGGTGGCATGGCGTCCATGGTAAGGTCCGATAATGGTCTGATATTGAAAATGCATTCGCGCTCGCCACGTAATTACCTATCTACGGTCCTAGTGATCGAGATGGCGAGCGAAACAGCATTATTGATGCAGGATTGTGGTTGTGTTGGTGGACAACCACATGATGCTTCCCTGGTTCCTGCTTTGTGAAGGCTCTTTTACGTAAGCAAAAGTGGGGATTCTCGAGATGTCGTGTAGTCAACCACGCCGCCACCCTACAAGAGCATCGCTAGCAAGATATGAGTTGACATACTGTTCCGCACACTGATCACAAAGTCGACGGGAGTTACGCGGTGTATGGTTGGACGTCTGGCCATGTTCCAAGGGCCGAGCACACCATACCCTGAACGTCTGCGAACCTTTTCTGGCTTCTGGAATGAGCATGAGGCAACAGCACGCCAGCTGGCGGCGATAGGACATGTCTACGATCGGCCGCCGCTCGAAGCGATCGAAGAAGGCTCACGGTGCGTGACATGCAGTCAGTTCGTCAGGCGAGAGTCGAGCATTCGAGCCCTTGAGGGTTCCTTGGGACATCGCCGAAATCAGGACGGCGATTATGAGACAGGCTTTGGAGGCTTTGCTTTCCACTTCCCAAATTGCGAGCGACTGCAAGTCAAGATTCCTTTAGACCCGCAAGCTACACTTGGCGGACTACACGGCGGCCACCGTATTGGCGACCTTAGAGAACGGTGGGAGGAGCGATCTTCAAGAACTACTCGGTCAACGACTTCTAACTCAGAGGTGCTTCAGACTAGTCCTCTCTTCTCTCTACCGACTGAGCTGCGACTTGAAATCTATGCTCGCATACTTCCGCAACTCGATGAAGTCACCGATATCGTATCGCTGCATCGAGACTCAGCCCGTGTATGCACAAAGACTGCTTTGACCAAAGCCAATGCCAGAGATTACAGTAAAGCGAACCTCCTACGCTGCTGTAAAACCATACATGATGAAGCACTCGACATCTTATACACGAACCGTACCTACAGGTTCGGGAGCAGTAAACTTCTCTACCTCTTCCTGCGGAACATAGGACACCACGGCCGACAACAACTAAGATCGGTCGACATCTGTGGACCAAGCAGAGAAGATGCGATTGCCTTTTCACTCCTCGCAAGTTGCTCAAAATTACGCAGCCTTACGTTACGCTGGACCAGACCAACACTACTCATGCCACAAGCACGGCCGATTTGGGTCACTGATAGTGTGGCAGCATTACTAGAAATCAGTGGCGTTCATGCTGTTGAGTTCGCGAGCGATGGTCCTGATGTCAAATCGTGCTTGAAGGAGGGTAGTGAGGACGCTGCTATCGTGCGCGCACAATTAACAAGACCAAAGGGCGAATCAGGATCTATTCGATGGGTAGATGGTAACATGGATGTCTGAAAACATCATTCATAAGAGCACTATCGCTTACTACGACGGGTCATTGTGCTATCTACTGTTTTCGCACCCATCCTCAAACCTCATCAGCCACACAAACCCTTCACATCACCATCCGACAGATAATGAGAGCCACCGGCACATCTATACCCAGAAGCTTGACGAATCCACTCATATCCCATCGGACATCTGCCCATCTGTGCCAGCTTCTTCTTCATCAGAGCCTCTTGCTTCAACTTCTCCGCCAGAGCCTTTCGCTTCCGCTCGATCTCTGCTAGCTCTTGCTGCCGCTTCGCATCGGCGCATTTCCGAAGCCATTCCTTGAGCCGAGCCTCCTCCTGCTGAAGTCTGAGTGCTTCTTGCTGCTCCTCTTCCTCACGAAGTCTGTCTTCCTGCAGCTGGGCCCAGACCGCATCCGATACGCCGGCGTCTCTGATCGCCAGTCGACGACCATCTTTATCGTCGGGACCGTCACCGTTGTGATTGTTCTTAAGCTCATCAGACTCCCCGGCGCCTGCATTTTGCTCTGTCTCTTGTACAGATTCCGGATCCATGGCTTCGGTAGTAGCAAGATTATGAGGAGCAGATCTTGCCTGATTGAGATGCTGTTGCTGAGCCAGCAGTGGTGTGTCTGATGGCGGAACATTTGTCATGAGCAGGACGGAATCGGTCCTGTCAGAGCGCTCCTTTACCAGCTTCGCGATCTCGTCCAATACCATTGCCTCAGACAGGCTTGCGGATCCATCGGCCGTCCTCATCAATCGTTGTGTGAGCTTCTTCGCCAGGGTCTGTATGTCGCGGGCACTTGCAAAATTGGCCAGCGAGCACAACTGCTGCAGTTTACTCACGGCAGAAAGCTCGAATGCAGGATTCGGAGTCTGCAATACTACCGACTTGATCTGCGGTTTCTGCTTGAAGAGACTGCCTAACAGCTTGAAGCTCTCCTCGGCGGTCATTGCTCTGAAGTCCACAGAATCTGCAAAGCGAGAGCTAAGTCCAGGATTCACGTCCATTAGTCGGTTGATATCGTGCTCATACCCAGCCAAGATAACGACTACTTTCTGGGCGAACTGTGTTTTGGTCACACAGTCGACCAGCTGATCCACGGCCTCCTTGGCATAGGGACCTGTGGCGAGTCTGTAAGCCTCGTCAATGAACAAGACCTTACCAAGAGCCCTTTCGAGGAGCTTCTGTGTTTTCGGTCCTGTTTGGCCGACGTATTCACCCACAAGATCCTTGGCTGAGCAATCTACCACTTCGGCCTTGGCCAGAAAACCCATATCGTAGTAGACCTTGCCCATCTTGCGGGCTGTCGTCGTCTTGCCGGTACCAGGAGGACCTCTGAACAAGAATGTGAAAGGTAGCTCATCGCGCGGATCCATACCACAGGCTTTCATTTTCGCAGCGACTTCTTGGTAGCCTTGGAGTTGAGAGACTATCCCATCACAACCGATGACGTCCTTGAACAGCATCGCCAAGTTCGTGGTCGCTCTCTCACCGCGGGCATGGTCTTCGTCGAAGTCATGAGCTTCAAACATCGAAGGTGCTGCGTAGCCTTCACTAGCAAGACGCTTTTGTTGCCTCGTCTTGGTGTCATTGAGCAAATTGTCGATCTCGCCAGCGTTGCCAAAGTTTGGTCTGTTCCTCGCGCGCTGCAGCATCTCGAGAGCGACTTCTCGGGCTCTGGGTGTGACTTTGAAGCCGATACTTTTCAACTTCGCATCGAAGATCACGGCCATCTGCTCGTCGTTGAAGTCTTCGAAGACAAAGGCAGAGTCTGGTGAGAACCTGCGCCTCAGACCCGGGTTGACATTCTGCATCATCTCTTCCATTTGCTCCTTATAGCCAAGCAGAAGTACACAACGATCGTCGCCCGGCACATTTTGGACTTCTGCCACGATTGTGTCGATCACCGCCGTTCTGTAAGGGTCGGATATGCCACTGCCGCCATAAAGACCGTACGCTTCGTCGATGACCAGAACTTTGCCTTTGGCATTGTCGAGGATGGCCTTCGTGTTTGCTTCAGAGCCTCCCATCACGCTGCCGACGAAGTCTGCCAGTGTCTTCACCAGCACTGTCGTCATGTTAGTCTAGATAAATATCACGAAATGCTCATATGCTTGACTCACCTTCGCCGTTAGACAGGAGGCCAAGATCAAGTAGAATACGACCATACAATTTGGCCACAGTAGTTTTGCCAGTACCTGGAGAACCCAGGAAGACCTTGTTGAGGCTGAAATCGACCAGCGGCTGCTCCTCGAGCTCGCGACGGTAGTTGAAGTCAATGCTACTGAACAGTGCTGTTATCGCATCCTTGACAGATCCGAGACCAGTCATCCCATTCAATTTCGACCACGATGCATTACCACGGAGTACATCCGAGGGTTCTGGCCCGATTAAGTCTTCCTTGACCAGGAGCATGTCATCCGGCAATGTTCCGGCACGTCTTGCCTTCGATATACGTTTCGCCTGACGAGCAAGTACATTGCTTAATATGTTCTCAACAGCACGTGCATTGCCAAAGCCTGGTTTACCACGGCCACGACCTAGTCGACGAGTCAAAATGCGTGCATACAGACCGTATGCGCCACCTTCCACCTTCATAGCATTGTCGTAGCGTCTTGTGAGCCCATAGTTGAGGATCTTCAGCAGCTCAGTGTCCTCATAGTCCGCAAATTGGATTGTGCTGGGAAAGCGGCTTGGAATCCCGGGATTGTGGGCGAAGAAGGCCTCCATCTGCTTGTTGTAGCCGGCAATGATAAACACCACTTTTCCAGTAAAATTCTCGACTTCAGCGAGCAAGAAGTCGAGCACAGCACCACCTCCATAGCTAGAACCCGAAGTCAGCTGATATGCCTCGTCAATGAAGAGAGCGCCCCCTCCACTGTTCAATATATCATCAAGCAGTTTCCTGCATCTTTGAACGCCGTCGTTGGCCAGCTTTGATCCTGTAGTCTCAACGAAGTGGTCACCTGGTAAGGCACCACCAGAGGATAAGAACTTTGCGTATAGACGGGCAACAGTTGTCTTGCCTGCAGCACAAGTAAGTTATACTGATCATCTGACATATCGCCGTCGTACACTTACCAGTGCCGGGATTCCCGAGAAGAGCTGCACCAAATCGATCCTTCTTCACGTCGCTACCTTGCCGCATGGCCAGGTCGATCCTCGCTTTAATTTCGAGAAAAGCTTTTTTGACGTTCTCGAGACCGATCATGTCCATGAGTCTGTCCATAGATTCGTCTTGAGCCTTCTCGTACACTTTCTGGTGGTGCCATTCATCGCACGCGGCCGACGTGCGTGGTGCGCTGGCCCCCTCATCATCATCATCTGTGACAGTTTGAGTGGTCTCGGGAGTGTTGTCGTGTGGCTGTGATCGGTTATGAATCATGTTGCTTTGGGCGGAGGAGTCGGCGGGAAGTGATCCCGGCACCGAGTCTGTATCGGTTGCTGCGTTGGTCGTAGGTTTCTTCCTCTCCGCCATTCGTTGCGTTTGCCGAAGAGCCTGTGCCTTCACGTCGTGCAGGTCCTGCTGACGCTGTCGAAGAACAGTCTCCTGCTCTGCGACCTCACGCTCGACTTTCATGGTGTGACGCTCATGGTCGATCTCGCATTGCACGTTCGCGAGTCGCTCTGCGTAAGCAGCCTGAAGAGCCTGTCGTCTGTTCTCTAGGTCCAGATCCCTTTGTAGGCGTTCTGCCGCAATTCGGGCTTCTTCATCGCAGGTATGGCATGTTGCAGGGCGCAGTGCGTGGCATCGCCATCTTAATTTGTGCTTCTTCGGGCACTCGTCGCTAAGCAGCTCCATACACTGGACCTTGGAGTGATCTTGATTCCTGTGGCACTTGCGGGTGCATTCATGGATGCCGCACTTCAATTTGGCGCCACTGATGATTTATTAGCATGGCTCCTGACTGCCACAGAGGGTAGCCTTTAGTAAACATACCACAGCGCAGAGCATCCGCCTTCGGGACATTGCGAGTCGAAATCTGTAGGCTCGCAGAGATTTGACTTGACCTCCGGATGCTGCTCGCATCTAACAGGCAAGCCGTCGAATATGGCGTTGGTGTCTGACAAGTGCTCGATCAAAGGTCTCCAAGTCTCGGCGCCCTTGCGACTAGTGACGAACGTCTCGGAGTTGCCAACCAGAATCAGAGCCTTTCGCGCTCTTGAAAGCAGGACATTCAGCCGTTCAGGCGATTGCATAAATCCAATGTCACCATCGGCATTGCTGCGTGTGAGACTGACGATCACGATATCACTCTCTTCACCCTGATAGTTGTCTGCATTGTTTAGCACATGACCAAAATCAAGATCGGCTCGACATACCAACGGTGGACAACCTGATCGGTCGCTTTCCCGATGCCGCACTAGAAACAGACATCGCGCCCGCCCTGATGAGGTCGAAGGAGTCGAGATCGTTCAGCACAGGGTCATTCTCTTGAGCCAGATCTCGGCGAAGGAGAGTCAGCTGTCCCAAGTAAGGCGTAAGTACAGTCTGAGCATCTGTGCCATACCCTTGCTGAGCCATGTAGCGTACAATTTTGAGCACCATGGCAGATTCATACTCGTTGCTTTTACTGCCTGACGCACCTTCATCGCGCCGATCTGCAATCTTTGACGCTACTTCCGGCTGACGGTGGTCAATAAATACCACTCTGCTGCGCAGTCCACGTATCGACTCTCTATTTGAGGTACTCTCGGCATCCACCAGGTATGGATATGTCAATTTGCGGACCAAGGCTGAGATCTCTGGAGGCATACGATGCTGCTCTTGCAAGGTTGTATGTGGGTATCCAGCCTTGATAAGGCGCTCAAACAACGAGCAATTAAGATCGTAGCCTTTGCCTTTCTCGACCGTGAGCTCGTAATTGTTGACCTTGGGCCGAAGCTGCTGATGATCGCCAATCAGAATGAGCTGCTTCGTGGCCTTGGTCAATGCTGTCAGAACGTGACTCTCCAGTACTTCGCCAGCCTCTTCGACGAGGACGATACCGGGACCGACAGTTTGCAAGTGCTTCGTATATTTAGCAGCGGCTGTGGTGGTGCAAGCAATGATGGTCCGCTGCTTGAGAAGATCTGTGTCCTTTTGATCAAGGGCTGCGCGAAGCGCACTCTCCATGACGTTAAAATCTTCAACAACGGCTCCAATACCTGAAACCATCTCCTGAAGAATCTGGCTGTGCCAGCTTGTGAGAAGACGTGTCCGCGAGTCTTTTTCCATGCTCCAGATGTGTGCGTGTTCTGACTGTACTGCATCCTGGAAAACGCCTGCTTGCCAGCCGTTCACCCATTGATCGAAAAGATAAGTTGGCCCAACAGTTCGACCTCCTCGACCAACAATAGTCGCTCCATCTTCTGTCTTTGGAAGCTGGAAAGCATCGTAGAACTCGCCATCGTCTTCCGAGAACTCAAGATAATCAAGAACGTTGGTCTTAGACGGTGCGTATCCCTTGAAATCAGCCATCAGACCATCCAATGTATCTCGTTGAATCTCCGTATCGCTGTTCAACTTGTTGATGATGTCCCACATCTGGGGCGTCCGTCTGTTCCTGCTGAGCTCAGAAAGACTGAATGGTTTCGTGCGAGGAGTTGACTTGGAGCCCAGACGGACCATGCTCTCGGGTGATATGCCAATGTCTAGCAAGTCTTCAAGAAACTGGTCTAGCGCGTGGTTCGTGTAACAGATGACCAGTATCTTCTCCCGAGAGTGATCGTGTAGTGCTTTGGCAAGCAAAGCGCCAATGAAGGACTTGCCAGTACCTATTCATCATTTAACTATGAGCACGACCTCAGCAATCTGTGCGATAATGTGGACTTACCTGGTGGGCCCTGGATGAGGCTTACTGACTGACGAAGTGCAGCGAGCAGTGATGTTGTCTGCGAAGCCTCGAGGTTCACTGGTTTTGGCAGGTCCAGTATTGCGTCCAGGCCTTGTCCTTCGGCGTCTTCGATCTTGTCTGCAAGTTCGGCGGACACAACACCAGAGCATCGAATACGGTCATCGTCTTCGGTGGCAGTAAAGCTTAAGAGCTCCTCACTGAGAGGTAGATCCATTTGTCTCTGCAGACACTGCAATACTGGCTCGTAAGCAAAGGCAGAAGTGTCCACCAGCACGAAGTCGAGCTCGTTCGTGCGCTTCAAGGCTCTCAAAATTAACTCAACGGCAGCTCGGCCTTGCAGCTGGAGCGCAAGCTCTGGGTCCTCGAGTAGTAGCAGCTCTTCAATTCGAGACAAGGTTGCAAACGCGATCACATCCTTACCATCAAGAATGGCGCCAAGAGCTTGGTGCTTTAGAAACTTTGGGTTGTCCTTGAGAAATATTTTGCGCTTCGAAGGCTCCAGGCCAGGGAATTGGCCAGCCCCCTCTCTAAACGTCACCCGCAACGAAAACGGATGTGAAGCTCTGGTCTTGCCACAGTATACACCTGCCAGGGCGAGCCCGCGCAACCTCATGCCGGGACGCTTGCCTTTGCCACCTTGTCGCAACTTCTCCAAATCGCTGCGTAGCTCCGCAAGAAAGTCTTCACGTAGTAGACGAAACTGGTTGTCGAGGTGAATCACAGCCCTCTGCTCAAAGGGTGTGTCATAGATTGCATCTCCACGACGTAAGAAGGGCTTCCCTTTGCTTAACAGCTCGTCTCTCGTGGGGAATATGGCAATCTGACGGAAGTCTGCATGATCGTTGTCATGTCGGCCGCCAGGTCCATTAACATCGTGGTTGGTGTTAGTGCTTCGAGCTCGCACCAGGCTTTGCACCTGATAGCCTAGCGCGCGGATATCTGCCGACTCGGATCTTAGCAGCGTCTGTCGAGCCGAGATGTCTTTTGCGTCCTGGAAGGCGTCATAGGGAGGACGTTCGGTCCATGACAGCAGGTCGACCAGCATACTAGCGAACCCCAGCTCTGTGTCTTGCTCCAATTGCTTCGAGAGATGTGAGCGTACCATCGCTTGCCACAACGTTGGTGGCTCCACTAGAAGCCCAAGCAGCTGTTTGTAAAGCACTCCATTGCATAGCTGCTGGACCGTTGGGTCCTGGATGTAGAGCATGAAGTCCTTGAGTGGTCCATTGAGGAAACCCGGAGAGTTGTCGAAGCGAAGACTGATCTGTAAAGCCTTCATCGCATTGTCGCTGGCCACAAGTCGCTCCACACAATTGGCCGCATCCTTTCTCGTGCAAATCGCCTCCAACCAAAGCTTGCTATCATTCGCCGACTTTACTGTCCGGCCTCCCTTCGCATACGAGTCAAAGAGCTTGATGAGTCGTGTCTGTCGAGCTGCTGCCGCAGCGCCGTCGTCTGCCATCTGAGCGTTAGCTGCCTCCAGATGTGGTGCGTTGCGTAAAGACTTGCAAAGAAGAGAAGTGGCGAGGCTGTAGCCTTACTGTCGATAGGAAAAAACGATGAACCACTCAGCATGCGGGAGTCGTGCCCCGCCGGGCCTTTGCATGCAGGTTGCATAGAAGTGTCGAGACACGTCGCAAACAACAGCTCTTCGTGACACGCTACTGGGAGGGTGGAGGTTCGAGACTGAGTAGCTCTACACGAGCAGATCTGAAGTGTCTACTGCTTCCAAGTGGTGTTCCTCTCCATCTTCCCACTGCTATATTGACAGAGTGAGTCACGATGCAGACACGTAACAAGCCATACACAGGTGGGCAGTCCTCTCGATGGCCCAAGAGCAAGACGCAGACGGCTGCGCTGATCGAGCGTCCCCCATCGCCATCCGTCGGCCCGCTGGTTGAAACATGGACATTAGACAGCCTGAGGGGTCTCGCAAAGATATCGAACACAACTATCGCCAAGTGCGAGTCCATTGCATCTTTCAACTGGCTTGACAAGAAAGATCCAACCATTGTTGTACCAGGTAAGGCACTTCTGCTGTCGTCAGATTCCGGCTGTCACTGACCAGATTCATCTTGCAGGAGGCCCTCCAGTCTGGACTCCATTGTCCGAGCCCGTGCAGCTACAAGAAGACTCAGGAGATTATCTACGTGATCCAAACGGAGCTCGCTATCCCACCAACCCACTGGACCCAGCAGTGTGGGCGCTGCTCGTACAAAAGTCATCCTTTCAGACTTCCGAGGTCGACATCTTTGCTTGTGGAAGCACGCTCGGCAACTTGTTGCGGTTCGTGCGCAAAGTTGATAAGCCCTTCCGATTCACGATCCAGAAAGTCGGTAATACCGTCTTCTTCGTCCGACGAGAGAACAAGCATGATGAGCGGATCATCGGTGTCCGCGGATATGGGCACAGCTTCCCAGAGGCGTACACGAAGTGGTCGTCCGAAGTCAAAGGCTCTGCATCCCATCAGCGTTTGATCAAATATGACTTTGATGGTTTAGCCTGCGTGGTGAGGTTTGAGGGCGATGGCTACCTTCCTGACTTAGCGTCAGCTGACGAGCATGATGAAACGTCACCACTGACTATACCGGAGCTGGCGAGACTTTCCATGCAGCTAGGTGGACGACCCGTCCCACAAGAAGCCATCTTCGACCTGAAGACCAGATCAGTAAGGAGAATCCTCAACGACGTGCTGGGCGAAGAACTTCCCCGATTGTGGCTCACGCAGATACCAAATTTCATCTTAGTAAGCGAAATCATCCGGTTGGACTATTGCATCTTCTGATTAAACTACTTATCACCCAACAGGCCTTCCACGACCGCGGCACCTTCCACGACATCCGAGTCCAAGATGTCCGTAAAGAAGTCCAGAATTGGGAGAAGCAAAACCAGGGCATGCTGCAGCAATTCGCCGCGCTCCTGCGGAAGCTCGTCGATCATGTCATGGACTCACCAGACGGCAGATGCGAAGTCAGATGTAAGCGAATCGGCATACTCGAGATCCGTACCCAGCTCGACGATGCACCGGTCGGCTTGTCCAAGGAGCTCCATGAAGTGTGGACACGAGGGCCCTGGTCGCCACCCACCTCAGACGACGAGTGCGTAGGTGGCGGTGCGGTCGCAAGCACTTCAGACAACGATTCCGCAGACGACGGCGTTGCTGTCGACATCGCTTCATTCTCCGATGACGAATCTGCAGACTTCACGGCCTGCTCGCCTGCATGCGGATATTGTGGGAAGTGCTGAGGCAGGTCCGGGATCCGCAGATACCTAGAAGTAAGTACGTTACCTGCGGAGTCAGAGCGACAGAATGGAATGTGAAATGTCAACGGCATTCGTACAGCTGCTTTTCTTCTCTATCAAAGCCTGGTGGCGAGCCCATCAAACAACGTCCACCTAGTCTCCCACTCCTCGAGCAATATGTGCGTGTACCACCGAACCCACCATCTTCATCCCACAATCACTTCAGCAATCGGGCGCCTTTTCATGCCTTCATATCGTTTCACAACCCCAGCACAGCACAAACCCCCATCTGTCGTTGAAAAAGAAAGTCAAGTAACGCCACTCGTGCGTACATCCTCAGCCGTGTCGAGCGCAGAACCAGGTTCACACAAGGTTCCACATCACTCTTTACGGCCGGTCGCGTATATACCGCGTATGTTCCTGATCCATGGCTACCATATCCATACCACCCGTCTATAGTCTATATTCGTTATGTTCGATTGTTGTCGTTATCAATAAAGTGCAAAAAAGCAAGCAAGGAAGCCACCAACTCCAGCGCGAGGTACAAGCGATAGCGAGTCCAATTGTGAACGTCTCCGGACAGGTTGCTCATCTCAGTAGGTGTCAGTACAGGTATGTCTGACTTCTTGCGTGTCGAGCAAGACTTTTCATATGTGTCATCGCAAAAGCAGTCCCTTCACACATCGTCCATCGAGATCGTGCAGCTCCATCTACGAGGCGCACGACAGGTGTAATCAATGTGTCCGGATCCCAGCAATAGGGCTGTCGACCAGACTGTTATACGGCTTGAATAGCAACTTCATGTCCAGAGTGAGGTCGTCGAGCCCATACTGATCATCAATGTCGCCCACGGAACCGATATCATGACCCTTAGTCTCGTTATCGCCGAGGACGAAACCCTTGATTCGCTTCAGCAGAGACATGACTTGCTGAAAGCGTTTGTCGGCCTCCAGCGTCCAATCTCGAGGGCTTTGAGACTGGAAGAAGCTGCGGCCGAGGTAGAAGAAATGTACACCGTCGCGGCTGAATCCGAAGCGCCGTTGTCTGTCGCCGGGAGGGTACTGTAACTCCATATCGTAGTCCCAGTTGCGTTTCCACTTGTCCAAAGCGTTGCCTAGCTTTCGCTTCTCGTGCTCAGCAGCCATGGTCTGTGTGCTGAAACCTTCGGTAGGCGTGACTTGGCCGCTGTTGGTGGCACTGTGGGGACCTCTGTGCATATCGAGCCAGTCGTTTTGAGATAGTGGAGTCGCAGGTCCACTGCCAGTGGGTCCAAACACGAAGCCTTGGAAGGACGAATCTTGCAGGAGAATGGTCTTTTGGCAGGCGATGATCCGAACAATGATGGCATGGACAAGTATGAATTTGGCATAGGCATTCGTAGAGCTAGGGTTGAACATCGCGCCGGCATCAATCAGAGTGCGCATGGCATCTCGCATGCTTGGTTGGGACGGTCGGCGCGTGCCTGTCAAGTTCTTCGACTGCGCTTGCGGTCCGTTCAGACCAAGCGCGTTGGCACATTCCTGACTATCGCGAGCATCCCAGGCCGCATCGTCAGTGGGTAGCATCAATCGCATGTCCAACGAATCGATCTGCGGAATCATGTTGAAGAACATGACCATAGCAGCGTCAGTCAGGTAAAGCTGATACAACACACGATTGCGTTGCTCCTGCGCCAGCCAAGCATGCCAGTTGAAGTGTTCAGCACTGATCGGAGCTCTCTGCGTGTGCTGGCAGTTGTGTAGTGGGCTATACGCGAAGTGACCCGGGCCAGCTTGTTGCAGCAGGTTCATAGCCTTGGCAATTCGCACGAGCGTCGGGAAGCTCTCGCGAGTAGCTTTTCGTTGGCTTCGCGTGCCGTTCCAGGAGAAGACAGTCTGCAGCATCAGGAGAGCCTGCAGCTCTTCAATGTCCCATTCAGTAGATCCCATGCCGTCAGTCTGTCCAGTCATTGTACGGCTGTAGATACTGCTGTTGTTGGTGACTGTCATACGCGCAAAATCCATCAACTGTCGGACCTGATTGACATCTAGTTTCGGACTGTATACTGCACCAATGACGATCATAGCCAGCACAAGTCCATTGTTCGCCTCGGTGAGCTTAAAGGTCGGCATGTGCAATGTTGGCCAGTGTCCCTGGTATGATTTGTAGTGCTCGGCAAAGTGCTTGATATTCTCTACAGTAAGACATGCGTTCATCAACTGGGCAGATGAATCTCCGGCCATAGCTTCCGGACCATCAGGGAAGCAATAATGCGTCAGGCTCTCCACTTTGGCCTGCAATGGATCGTCCAGACTCCAATTCGGAAAGCCTGGAATCCCGTTCTCGTCATAGTTACTGTACTCGCTCCCGAACGGAGGATGCGAGTACAGACTACCTAAAAAAGACTCGTTCGCTTCAGACAAGCTGCCGTAGTTTGGTTTGACATCGCTCTCGGTCTTGATTTGCGAGCCCGCGTTCGGCGGATGGCGCGCGATGAAGCCATCCTGTCCACTAGAGTTGAACATGCGGCTCCAGTCAGTCTGCTGGGCGCCGCCGTTTGTGTCGCCGTTGGTGTGTTGCTGGTATGGCGAGTGACTATTGTGGTTGTGATCGAACCGCGAGCTCTGCTGGCCTAAAAAAGACATCTGCTGAGCGTTGTTGTACCCATTGCCATTCATATGAGATTGGCCGTATGGGTAGTTTGACTGCATGTGGCCTCCGTTACTTTCAGACTGCATGAATGCAGGCAGAGGTTGCTGGTAGCCGGCGGATGTTCCGTTCTGTCCATTAGACGGTGCGTTTGATCCGAGTATGCCGAGACCAGCAACGCTGTTACGCTGAGACATGGTGCCTACAGTCGACAAGCTGTTGGCTCGCGACGGTCGGCCAGACATGTCTCCGTTCACGGTTGGACTACTTGTCACCATGCCCGAAGAATAATTGGCGCTGCTTCCTGCGACTTCCGGCATTCCTGCCAGACCTATTGGACCGTCCTGTTGACTGATAGACAGGCGATTGCCAGCGCCGGGTGTACGCCGCTGGTGAGCGAGATGGTTTGCGCCGGTTGGATTACCTCTTCTAATCGAGCACTTCTGGAAGTGGCGCTTCAAAATATCGCTTCGCGAGAATGTATCCTTGCAAAGGTGACACATGTATGGCCGATCACCAGTGTGCCGTAACAGATGTCTCTTGAGATGCTTTGCGTGCAAATACGTCTTGTTGCAGTGAGGACATGGGTATTTGCCATCGGCGTCCTTTTGCGGGATCATACTCTTCGCTGTGGCGGTACCTTGCGCTGGAGCAGCTGGTCTGCCGGGTGCGCTTGGGAGCACGCCGCGTCTGCCCTGAGAGCCCACAACGTGGGTGGGTGCCTCCTCGTTCTGCATGAAGGATGGTTGTTGACCATTTTGGCCAATGCTGCTCAGGCTGGGAAGCCCACTCATCGAGGAAGAGCTTACGCCGCCAGGTGGCATAGGTCGAATGTTGGGTAGTCCTGCACCGGCCGTCATGCCTGACATTGCAGTCGCAGTTGACGACGGGTACGCCATGGTTTGAGACATCGGATACGACTGGCCGAACGAGCTAGGCGGTAGCATGGAGCCTTGTGTATGCGCTGGTGACATGGTGGAGTATGCGCTGGTGGCGCTCTGCGGCATAGACATGGTGGAGGGTGTATGTGGCGCTGTGGGTGTATGTCCATTGCTGCCGGGGTGTGCGAAGGACAGCGAGCCGAACTGGCCGCCATTCTGGCCCTGTAGCGGTGGGAGGGTCGTGTGGGAGGAGTCCTGTTGGTGGTTCTGGGCCGATAGATTGCCAAACGATGCCAAGTTGTGCTGCTGCTGGTGTTGCGACTGCTGGTGCTGTGACTGCTGACCCGGCTGGCTGTAACCGCCAGGCAGGTAGCCACCGAAGTTACCGTCCATGCTTTTATGGATGGTGGGTAGCGATGCGGAGAGAGGTGGAGCTCGCGGAGGGGGTGGCGAAGGTTGGACCACTCTCACTCATCGGGATGCTGCTGGAGCGACTGGACGGAAGTGGAGTACTCCCAAACTTCCTCCGATCCACGAGGAAGGTGCTGTCCAAGGATGCTATGCTGCAGTACCTGACATGCAGCAGGCGCGATCAAGCGAAGCGAAGTGAAGTGAAGTGCAGCGAAGTGAGGTCGGGGTGGGACGCGAAGGGTGGAAGGTGCAGACGACTGTGCGTGAGAAGCGCGCGTTGCTGCGGGATGAGCGATGATGAAAATGCTGGCCCGGGCAAGGACTAGAAAGCTCCGACGATGCCAAGAGCCCAATCAGCGCAGCTCAACTCAACTCGCGCACCGATTCCGAAGTCGCAGGAAAGTGTGACGAGTGCAAAGGGCCGGAGTTGACGGGTGGAGGAGGCAACTCCGAGGTGATAGTTGCCGATAGCAGGCTGTCTCGGACTCGTTATGTGATGTAGCACAAGTATCGTGTGTTGGAGAGCGTGGGTTGTTATTGTCGTTGTGTGAATGGTAGGTATGACGCCGCAGCAATAGTAGGTGATACCGTGATAGGCTGGCTTAGATCGACAACCAGAGGCGCTCTGGGGTGGAGCCTTGCCGCCAAAAGGTCCCACTCGGATCAGGCACGCTTTCCAGGAAGAACCAGAAAAAGGTTGCGGAGCTGCTCAATGCGAGCAATATTTGCGGGCCTGAGCGGGCACCTGCACTGTGTAACGCAATTGGCGTGGTATTTGGTAGTAGATGGGGTTTTGATGGGAGGCGGGTGTCTTTGGTGAGAAAGAGGAAGAAGCTGTTGGGAGATCGTCTGGACATGGAAGAAAAGCGTGTGACGTCTATCTTTCGCGTCGACCATTTTAAGGTTCCGCTCTGAAAACTAGACTATCGCTTCCCGGAGCCATACCACTGCAACTTCCACTTCTTGACGTTGGACTGAAGCCAATGATTGGTATCGTCAATATCATTGTGAAGTTCACGGTCGACTTCCCCATCCTTACGCTGCCAACACTTCCCATAGACAGTCCTCACCATGCTGGCACAGCTGCCAGGCTGACACTTCCTGGCATACCCGCCACGCTTACCGGATCAACCGCGGAAGAAGCTCTGCTGACCAGCAGATCTTTCCACGGTACCGGCGGCGATGTATAAGCTGGCGGAAGGTGTTGAGTAGTCGCAACAGCATCTGATGACTATTGTTCACAAATCAAGCTGTGCTGGTGGTTAGATTATCATTGTCGCCGTCCAACATCACCACCTACCTACTTTGCTCTGCCGTTCTCGGGCTCCCCAGCCCGGCAGTAGAAAATCCTTGCGTGATTTGCGGCATGGAAGAGGCCTGGTCGGAAGAATCCGTCTTGTCGCATCGACAGTCGGGATGTGGTCTTAGTTCTGCTCTTGTTGACAATCAACATTAACCTACACCCTCCCAGCCACTTAGCCATCCAAGGGCAGCCTCGTTTGACTGACTATTGACTATGCTGGCAATGTACATTGTACATCTTCTCGTCCAGGTAATTCTTGCCCAGCACAGGTCAACGGTTGCACGGCAGAGCTAGAGCACGCCATAATTTCCTCGCCGGGATGCCCTGACTGTTTCAGCCTCTCCCGACGTTCAAGCGGCTGCTCAAGCCGAAGCCGCGATGATGAAGTGGTGTGATTGGCTGAACGACTGACGCGTCAAAGACAATAACAATACGGAATCGGAAAGTGGCAAGAGAGTTCGCTGTGCCATGGACGAGGATAAACCGAGCCATTGGTAGATGTTCAGAAGAGTTTCAACATGGCCAGGACGTCGGTAAGCCAAGCTGCGAAGAAAGCAACATCGACAATGCCACGATGGTTAGTTGACTCATGTCCGCGAATTTGACAACGGGAGAACTTGCAACTATATTCGCAGCATCTACAGCACGCCTGTGCTAATCTTCAAATATCCTGATGGTATTAGAGACTCGACCTCCCAAGCGACATCCACCCTAGTCAAACATCAACTCTTCTGGCTCCAGCCCGTCGTCCTCTCGATTCCTTGCTCGGTTTCCTGCGTCCCATGCACACTAACACTCAACTCTGGCTTTCGCGTGATGGTTTGCAGCACGACGCAATAGCGCTCTGTCAGCTTGCCCAATTTCTCGATCTTCTCCTCTGCCACTTCCGCCCCGTCCTGCAACTTCAAGTCAAAGGCTAGCCGGATCTTGGTGAAGCCTACTGGAGCATTGCGGTCCACGCCCATGGTCCCTTTGAAGTCCAGGTCGCCTTCTGCTCGGACCGTACCCTCCTTGATCGGGATGTCGAGGGCGGTGGCGACGGCTTTGAGGGTTACGCCTGCGCAGGCTACAAGCGCCTCGAGCAGCATGTCGCCTGAGCAGAGTTCACCGGAGATCAATGGGTCGTCGCCTCCTGCTTTTTGATGTAGGCCGGCGACTTTCTGCTGGGCATCGTGGACGGCCTTTCCGGTGTCCAGCTTACAGGTTATGCTGCTGGAGTCTAATGTGCCGGAAGAGGACAAGGTGACGATCGCACTGGTCGGATCTGATTTGTACTGGTCTTTAATAGGTGCCTGCTTTTCTCGGAGTGCTGCTGACATCGTGGCTGTTACCGTTTGACACGAATTGGATTATTGAATATGCGTTTGCTTCTCGTAGGACCGCGAAGACGTGCACGACTGGAGACACGTACGCACCCTACCATTTCTGCCCGCAAGGCGCGTCCAGATCTACCATCTGGATTTCCATGAGACGACCCCGCCATGTACCCCTCCAAAGATGTATTTCCTTACCGCCGAATAAACGCCGTACGTGCGGTATCGTTCAACTTTACTATCATCATGGTCGCGATGGCTAGGCACGCGTGAAATGTGAGCATGCATTAATATCTTCCTCAGGCATAGGGGAGTGTAGGCTTGCAGTTGGCTGTCGCCCAGAAATATCCCGAGCTCGGAGCCACGCTGGCATGCCGAATTCGGAATGCCGAAAGCTCGAGAGACCTGAAGCACTCCAGTCGAACCCCTCACGGAGCAAGTGGACATCGACGACATAAACATGGTCGCATGAAGAAGACTGTCTCTGACTCAAGGTATTGTACACTTTCCTACTCCTCTACAGGAAATCACTCATGGCTATCATTGTCGAACAAACCATTCCCTTCCCTTCCTCATCCTTGGACCTGCACAATGAGCGTCGATGGACAGACCTTCTACCACTGGTCAGACCCACGATCAAGGCTGTAAGAACGCCCAAGGGTCAGGCAATTCTTGTCGACAAAGCGTTAGTGAAAAGTAAATTCGTGCACATCGCAGCTGTAGGAAGTCTGGGCAGCTTCTCGAGCAAAGTATTAGACGATCGCAATGTCACTGCAATCGCAATCGAGCATTCTGGTGCAGGACTCGTGACGCCTGAGGACATACAGCAGGCGTTGCAAAGTGCAGGCGTGGCGTACGAGAGAGGCTTGGTCATAGCAAGGGTTGGGAAGAAGAGCAGGGTCGAGCAACGTGGACCAAATGTTCTCGAGGTCGAAACGGAGCATGAGCTTGCGCTGGATCATATACTGCACCTGCTGGGCAATGCCACGGAGTCTTGTCGAGAATCGATAGACGACGTCAGCGAGCTCTTGAAGCTATTTGGGAAGAACGCCAGCACAGCACACTCGACCTTCCATGTGGAGAAAGCTGAAGGCAATCCTGCTGTGCTACATGCGGAAGGTGCGGCAGGCTTCGAGAAAGCGAAGCATGCCGTCGAAAGGGATCTAAAGCACGTCATGAAGGCACATACCACACAGGACGGCGATGTGACATACAGTGTACACTTTTCAGACGTCAACGGTTTGAGCAGGCTGGAGAACTACATCATTGCTGGGGAAGTTGCTCAGTATCTTGGTAAGTGCTCATGATTTGCAAGCGTCTTCCCTTGTGCTGATGACAAGCAGAGGCCCAGAAGATATCTTACCAACTCTCGCATTCTACCATTCTCAATCACAAGGATGCTGCACGAGGCTTCAGCATCTCGATCTGCCCCCTTCCGTCAAGTTACCTCACGCCGCAGCCCAAGCCGCAGGCACATCGGTCAACACCCGCGCAAGATGACACAATTCTACAAAAGACACTCTCACCATCCAAAGCTCAGATCACATTCGACGATGCCGAAGTACGCAGACGGATACAGTCTGGCTGCAACGCCGTCATCAAGGCAGAGCCTACGATCACAGAGTACGACACAATCGTCGGCGATGGCGACTGCGGCTATACACTTCGAGACGGCGCCAAACAGGTTCTATCTTTCATCGAAGGCAAAGACCTGACACGATTACCCGAGACAGTAGCACAACTTGTCAGCGAGCTCGAAGTCAACATGGGCGGCACATCGGGAGCACTGTACTGCATCTACCTGACCGCACTAGCTGGCGCGCTGGCTAGCGAGTCGAGTATCGCGAAGGCGTTGAAGTCGGCATTGGAGCAATTGATGAAGTATACGAGAGCGAGACTTGGCGATAGGACCATGATGGATGCCCTGATCCCGTTCATTGATACTTTGGAGAAGAGTGGAGATGTCAAGCAGGCTATCGAGAAGGCTAGGCAGGGTGTAGATGGCACGAAGAAGATGGAGGCACAGCTTGGCAGAAGCGCGTATTTGGACGAGAGTGCAACGAGGGGTGTACCTGATCCTGGCGCGTACGGACTACTGATATTGCTGGAAGGTATGTCTAGTGTATGATAACAAAAAGCGATCTGACCTGTCAAGCCGACACGTTCAATATCCTTGTTCTCAAACCTTTTCTGTTGCATGGTCGGAGATCTGCGTAACCTCGCCATTTTCGGTGACCACGCCAGCTTCGGTGGGTAAACACCAGCCAGGATGCCAGATGTTGAGTATCAAGGCTGCGATAGCCACGGCCATTCCATCGAGGCAGATGAAGAGGTACTGGTTGCGCAGGATCTTGTTATCGACCCAACCTGGAAATGTTGGTTAGCTCGCGTCAATCAAGATATGGGTGCTCTATCACTTACCGCCAGCCAGCTCAGCTACACGGTAGCAGCATCTGATCAAGATACCAAGGTAAGATATCCACAATGCCAGGATGAAGAGTTTGAAGCGGCGAGTGTGGCGGAATTGCGCAGTAGCCGGGTTCAGATGATGACGGTTGCGGTAAACGGCAAGAGCATAATCTCCAGCAAGGATACCAAAGACCACCAGGGTGAACACCTGCGTTGCCAGACCAGTAACCATGACATTGTCTCCGGCATCCAAGAGAGCTTTATCTTGAGAAACCGAGGCGAGCGCACCTCCAACGGCCTGGAGAAGGATACTGAAGACATCACAGCTGATGAAGATGTAGGTGTACATAGCTGGACGGAGCCTCGAGAAGCTTGCACCGAAGGTGAGACTACTACACCGTCAGCAAAATCTCCTCGACAGGAAGATACTACGTACCAGAGATGCTTCAGAGTATAGTATATTCCAGCAGCGTAAAACGCCGGTGCGAACGTGAGAAGCACAATCGACATCTTGAATCCAGTGTCCGAGAAGGGATCTTGCCACAGGAGGATCTTGGCGACATAACCTATCACTTCCGAAGCAGATCCCAGGACCATAGCACTGGTGAAGAACTTGGTCTTGGTCTTGACTCCTTGCCATGTGGATACGATGCCTGAGATTGTGAAGACAGCCATGAAGAAGATGACGGAGCCCAGGTTTGGTCGGTAGCCGTAGACAGACCAGATCACGTCGCAGGTCTCCTTTGTACAGACCCCATTCTCGTTGGCTCGCTGTAGTATGTGGTTCATACCTGTGTGTAGTCGTCGATGTCGAGCCCTGCGTACAACCCCGAGGAACAGCTGGTTAAGAGCTTGATCAAGAGCGAAACCGCCTGCCAGGAGGGAGAAGAGGCATTTATATTGCAACCACTGCCTCAACCATAATCAGGCTGTGACTTATATCAGCATCTCGCCTACCTAGTTCACTAATGGTCTTGGTCGCGACCGCGAACGTACGCTCGTACGACGGGGCGCAAGTGATCCCATATCGCAGGAATATGGCTGACACAGCCATCTTCATCAATATATGCATCTCAGTGTCCAATGGCAAGACGACCAGACTACTCGTTTGGCACGGAACGGGATATCGTACAGCTTAAGCGAGTCCCCTCGTGGCAGGGATTAAGTAATGCTCGCATACAATCTCGGATTGGGAGCAGCGTAGGATTCTCTTAACGGTATAGAAATGGTAGGCACCGTCGTGACGGTTTTCCGACTGCATATAGATTGATCTTTCAAGGATGTGTTCTACCTCGCAATGACGATTGTGTAGTGTAGGTGTTTTGCTTCGGGGGAGCTTTAAGGCGAGCCGCTCAAATGATTCCCGCCAGAAATGCGTTTAGCCGGACACTTTTGTGGTTGTCACTCCATCGGCAACGTCTCCATCGGTTGGTGTGGGCACCAACTCTGCCGCACTGATAGCCGACCAATTGCCCAGCCTGTAGCAAAGACCGACATCGCTGCTACTGGCAGGTGAAATAATATACAAGAAATAGATATCGTAGGAAGGACGAAACACCGTGCAACGACGGAGCCATCTCAAATACCCACTCCAATCACCAATTTCCACCATTCACCATCATGACATCCAGCAAACCTTCAGTCGGCTTCGCAGGCCTTGGCGCGATGGGCGGAGGCATGGCAACGAATCTGGTCAAGAACGGCTTTTCAGTGACTGGTTTTGATGTCTACCAACCGCTCGTGGACAAGTTCGTTGACGCCGGCGGCAAAGCAGCTAAGACCCCAAAGGAAGCAGCGACAGGTGTGGACTTCTTCGTATCGATGGTGGCGAACGCACAGCAAAACGCAGATCTATTACTAGAAGGCGAAGATTGTGTGAGTAAAGGTTTGGGCAAGAACAAGACCTTCATCCTCTGCTCGACCACCCCGCCAACATTCCTCCACGAGCTTCGAAAACGACTAGATGAGGAAGCCGGACGACCTGATATCAAGCTTTTGGACTGCCCGGTATCAGGAGGCACACTCCGAGCAGCAGATGGCACCCTCTCGATCTTCGAGTCTGGTCCAGAGGCAGATCTGGATGAGGCCAAGGATGTGCTGAACACCATGTCCGGTAATCTGTATCGTATGGGCGGCATCAGCAACGGCACAAAGACAAAAACTATTCACCAGCTCCTGGCCGCCACTAATATCATCACGGCATCAGAAGCTATGGGCCTTGCAGCAACAGTCGGTCTCAATACTCAGGAAGTAGCCGACTATGTCAAGAAGTCGGACGGCGACAGCTTCATGTTCTCCAACCGCGCCCCCCACATGATCAAGAACGACTGGCACCCCTATTCTGCGCTAGCAATCATCCTCAAGGATACATATATCGTTACAGATACCGCCCGCGCAACCCTCGGTCCCCAAGCTTTCTCCGCTCCTCTGGCAAACACAGCACATTACACCTACCTCCAAGGCGTGCAAGCCGGCATGTTGAAAGACGACGACGCCAAACTCGTGCAACTCTACCTCCCAGCGTCTCAAGGCGATCTCGTATCCAAAATGGCCACCGCAGACGTGAAGATGCAATCCTCCCACCAAGTAAGCAAAGATACTATCGTCGATCTCCTCTGCGGTATCCACCTCGCGGCTTCCGTAGAAGGTATGGCATTCTGCAAACACCTCGGCGGCATTGACCGCAAAGTCATGCACGAGATCATCTCGAAGGCCGCTGGCTGGAACGCCATGTTCACGAAATGCATACCCGGTATGCTGGAGAAGGACTCGTGGTCCCTAGCTGACTGTGCGCAAGCGACGGAGGTTGGCAAGAAACTCGCAGAGGCTGTGGAAAAGTGCAGGAAGATCAACTATCCTTGTCCCATGGCTGCTGCGGCGCTGCAGCAATTCAGCTTTGCCACGCTCAGGGACAAGGAGCTTACGAGTTTGAGCAGGAATGACAGGTAGGTGCTGCTCCACGCTCTGACCGCTATATACACATACACAAAAGTCGTCTGTACAACGCAAATGCAGTATCTGTACTAGACTTCAACGTCGTGACCCCAGTAATCTCTTAGATCATCAGCTCGCCATTTACTAGCCCATCCACTCTCCCTTTCGATGCGCTCCAGAATCTCCAAGATTGCTTTATGCTCGCTTGGATGGCTCATCTGCTGTCCAGCAATCCACAAAGGCTGCGTACTATTCGTCCATGAACCATGATGTGAGTTCGAGATCGAGATCGCACAGATCTGTCTCGCATGCCAGAGCATGGAATGCGGCTTCCGGGAGAAGGTCACATGTGCTGGTTTGTGCTTCAGCATCAGCAAAGCAGTCGTGTGGTACATCTGATTCCCTGAGACGGCGGGACCGTTGCCGAAATAGAGAGTCGGAAATGGTTTGCTCGGATCTTCGTAAGATGATATCGATAGTAGTGCTTTCATGCCCTCCGGTCTGTCCCGATACCATGACTCCACCATCTCGAAGAGCTGCGACCATTCGCTTGTGTAGTCGACCATGTCCAGAAGGTTACTCCGCTTGCATCGTTTCTGCTCCCACTTGCCTGATGAGCATAGTAGCTCAATCGTCCTGCCAGACAAGTATTCCATTTGATTCGCATACATATCAGCCGTGTTCTGCGCAGAGAACATTGCCATATCTGTAGTGATGTCGCCGCCGCACATCCAATTGTGCATGGGAATCAGAGTCTTTTCGGACGATACCAGTCCACCGACGACATCCATACGTGCGAAGATCCAGAATAAAGCTTGCTCGAAACCTCCGCATGCGCCTGATATGCCAAGGGCTTGGATCAGGGCTGCGCAGCCATCGAGATGGCGTCGCCACGCTCGTGGAGAACAACTCATCATTTCCAGCACAGCCAGGATAACGCATGAAGCCAGGACTTCCGTAGATCGTTTGTGTAGGACGGGCGAGAGCAAGTGGATAGCGTGCGCATATAGAGCTAGACTCCATGAGTAATCCGGCTTCTGCTCTTTGCGCTCTATCTGCCGTGCAGACAGTGCTAGGATAGAGTACTTTAGATGCGCGTGTGATTTCGCTAGCGGCGGGACTCGGAGCTCCATATGTCGATTGAGATCGAATTTGTCTAACCAGGGCGCTACTTCGTTGATATAATTCTGTATTAGGATTAATTCCTGCTCTGGGGATAGTTGCGCAAGCCGTCGCCACTCGCTATCATAACCATCGTCCTGCGTGCTATGATCACCATTTGTAGTCGGAGGTAGGTCGATTTCTGGAGAGGCGATCCTGGAAGGTGCTGTTGAGCGAGCGGTGTCAATGATGCGCGTACGCAGCTGCGAGTGTAGTTCTTGGTACTGTGAACCAGGCAAGAAGATCCCATCCTCGAGTGTAGTATCGCTGTATTGTGGAGACAGGAAAGAGAAGCCGTTAGCGTCGAGGAGCGATGGTGTAGCTAGTGGTGTGAGCCCCAACGAGTGCGAAGGCGGTTCTGGAAATAATGATGCAATGTTACTATCCAGTATCGATGGCGTCGCGAGCGGCGTGACGCCCGATGACTGGGAGAGAGTTTGGCTGAATAGTGGTACAGAGCTTGTGAGATGTGGTAGTGGAGGCTTCGGCATGGCCGTAGACGCCGTCTCAATCGAAGCAATACTTGCATGCCTCTCCCGCTTCGGCTCTGCGTGGCTGGTGTGGCTGGTAGTCGGGAACAGCTCGTCCAGCAGCGAGTTATATTCGATGGCGTATCGTCCGGCAGACTGGACTGGTAATCCATTCTCCATAGGATTGGTTTCCTCGAAATAGTCTCGTATCACTTCCGAGGTAACGTCGACGATCTGCAAGAGTTAGCCCGGGAGAATGGGAAACAATGCACTCGAGTAGGACCGGACAGACCTGGTAGCTGTTACCACGAGTATGTCCAGCAGCCTGTCGCATCGAAGGATGCTCGTCACTCATATGTTGAGCATTCTCCGGCCGGAAAGACAACTTCAGACCCCATTCGCACGTCTCATTGCGTGCCTGGCAGCCTTCGCATGTCGGCTTCGTCTCGTCGCCTACGTCGCATTAGCACAATGGCAAGACCATCTGTTGCGCGGACTAGCACATACACTTCCTTCGCTTCCTCCTGCAATTCAAGCATCCCGTCCTCGTCCTCTTCTTGCCCGCCGAGACAAGTTTGCCCTCCGCCGGCGGCTTAGTCCCTGAAGCGCTCCGTGGCTTAGTCTTCACATCACTCCCGTCCCTCGAGTCGGACGACTCGGCCCTCTTGACCATCGCAATGTAGATGGAGTGGATGACATGGTGGCAAGAGAGGTGGTGTGCATGCTGAAGGACCCAACAGCGGGGTACCGTCTCCCGGCTCTCGCCCAACTCAATCGGGGATGGTCGACTGCGGGGACGCACGTGGCAGTTTGGCGTGGGTTTGGGCTTTGGCGGGGATATATTTGGCGACAAGCTTCGACACAACATCTCAACATATCTCTACAGCTGTTTTGACTATCAGATTTCGGTAGCAATCGTTGAGATTTTGTGCGCTTATCATGACCGACCCCTTATCGCCCTCGTAGACAGAGGGGTTTGCACAATCTTTGCAAATTGGAAGCGCGTTCACGACCCTTACACCTTCAGTCTCTCTGTGTGGACTTTAGAACATTCATGTATGCCCGTACAACATTGCTAGAAACTCAACCGGAGCGAAAAGGTAGTCCGTAGCACTTCGAAGGACGATGATCCTGGGGCTCATTGCAGACATTTGGCACAGTGCTTCTGGTCAGTAGAGAGTCCGCTGAGCAGCTTGTTGACTGCATCGCGCTTCTGCTCGTGAGAGCTCGCCTCAGTCTCAGGCATATCGATTCCAGTCTATTGCTAGTCATCTTGCACGGAGGTGCGGAGCTCACCTCGAAGTCGACGTTGGGGGAAAACAAGATCGATTTGCGATCTGTATATCGCCTGAAAGTTGCCCAGGTCTTCGCCTTCCTCTCTCGACCGGACTGTAGCAGCAGATCTATCATAGCGCGAAGCTGTAAGAGGCAAATATCGGTTGATCATCGCATAAGATGGGCGGTTGCAATTGAGGCACAACCTCTGCTAATTAGTAACAGCCCCATGATCTGTCCAGTATGCAGGGCTATACAGGGAAGCAATGATCGTTTGTGGCTGTCCAAAAATTTCAAGCACTTTCAATTGATCAGCTCGGCGTCAGACGCAAGCTTGAATCAATTCTCGTATCATACGAGAACAGCATGTAGACGTTGAAGGATCGCAGTCATAGAACTGCCATCTTTCGTGGTTGAGGTCGAAGAAAAAGGCGTCTCTTGCCAGCTCCGTACTTGATCTTAAGGCAAGAGGTGAGAACGGTTAGCTAAGGTACATCGGTCTCCTGGTGAGCGCGCCAGAAGGCTCCGCTCGCTGTTATGAGAGCGAGTAAAAGATCGAAGAAGCAGGTCGGCGTGGGGCGACTTTATCGAACGCCAGTGTCCCTTTCATTAGAATTGTCGTGGGTTTGGACTTTCATGGAACAGAACATCGTCGACAAGGATGGGGAGCAGCGAAGTCCCAGTATCCAGATTGATCCATTCATCAGCATGGGGCATCACTCAAGATTGATTAGGTCTCAACTGTATTCAATGACAAAGACATTATTATTCTTCTTCACATCGGATCTCCGCTATCCCCACAGCCAAATGGTTCTAAGACATGTTCGACATTCGGAACAGACTGCAGAGGCCTTCCGGAATGTGTTCATCGCGGTCTGATGGACGGTGTCAACCATGTCGGATGAATCTTCAATAAAGAGTTCCAGAGATATGCACCTATGTCCAATCTGCGGCCAGGCCCCACTTTTCTGCTCGGCTCGGCTGTTCATTCCGCCGTGGTTTCAAGCCACACTTTCCCTCACGACGGGAAGCGCTTGTCACACAAGTCGCACGCGAGAAACAGTCGCCTGCTACACTGCTCTTGATCGTGCCACAGTCAATACAAGCCGCAGGCCTTCGTAACGACCTTGGGGGCTTCGCTGCACGCACCACTACTGGACGCCCTTAGAAACTTGAAGACAGCATCTCGCATTGGCTTTGTTGAGAGATTAGCAGAAGCTAGATACTCGTCTTGAACGGGAAGGCACACGACAAGGACGAGGCCTGTGATCAGACTCCGTAATTTTAGGAGCTGCTGGCCTGACTGACGACGACGTCCAACCTCATCCGCCACCATCTCGAACATTCACTGGACATCACAAGCGGGGAGGACCCGAGTTCTTCGGTCGGAACAGGAGTGTTGAGTACTACTTCATAGCGACAAAGGCTTGGATCCATCTGTTAGTGAAGACCCGACTCTCCGTCCGCGAGCTGCTGGCGGCGATGGCACCGGTAGCCGAGCATAATCCAGGCTCAGATACGGAAGGAGCAGAGAAACCTGTGCGCGAACAGCTCCGGAAAGCCACGATCGCGGCACAGGGTGGCATGTCTAGCTCGGGTGACGCTCCAAGTAATGCAGAGGCCGAGGGAGAGAATGGCGAGAGAGGAAGAGTGCAGAGGAAGCGCAGCTTTGAGGAGGTAGAAACCGAGCAAGGTGACCAGCCTAGCACCGATACCGTGAAACAGCACACACGGAAACGGTCACGGGATAGCACGGCAGAAGAGGCGGCGCTCAATGATGGTCGGAAAGTGTCTGGTGAACGGCCACGTGAGAGCAAGGAACCACCTCTATCTGCTGGTGGCGCAAATGGCAACGGACTCGCTACCAACAAACGACCAGTCACGCCCGATGAGGATGAGGATGATGGGACCAACGAGGTCGCTGCAGAGTCTGTTGCAAGTCCGAAGACTAAGAGGAGTCGACTGCACTCAACCACTGCTGAGGACAGCGAATTGCTGGCGAGTGCAGCCCAGCCTGCCAATGCCAAGGACGGGAGTAAGGATGCTAGCGCAGGATCTGCAATTGCATTGACGAAGCTTCCGGCTGGGAGTGCTTTCGCCAACACATCAACCACATCACCTTTCGGCGCACTATCTGGCAGCAAGTCTCCGCAAGCATTCGAACAGCCTGCATCGACGAGCGCTTTCACATCTTCTGCTTTCGGCTCGGCGGCAGGTTCAGTGACGTCAGGTTTCGGCGCAATTGGGAAGACCACAGGAGGGTTTGGCACTGGCGGTAGTTTCGCCACAGGCAGTAAGAGCTCCTCCGTGGTCCCGGAAGCTGCAAAGGAGAACGAGGCGCTGGTATCGACATCGAGCAGCACTTTCGGTGGCGCACTTGGACAAAAGTCTGCTTTCCTGGCCGGTCCAAGCACATCAGGTGGTTTCGGATCTGCTTCATCTGGTTTCGGACAGCCTGGTGGTGGACTAGGCTCTGGGTTCGGGAGCAAGCTTCGAGGTACCAGCGCATTCGGCAGCAGTGCCGGTGGTCTGACGTCGTTCGCAAGCAGCAAGGCCCCTACACCGCTAGGCGGCACGATCGGCAGTAGCTCGAAGGCGCTCAAACCCTTCGGAGCACCGGCGGAGGAGGAAGCAGAAGCCGATAATGGCGGCGAAGACGAAGAGGGCGGAGTTAAGAGCCCACCGCTTTCTCAGGACGCCGACCAACAAGATGAACGTTTCCATGAACAGCACATCGAAACGGGCGAAGAAGACGAAGAAATGGAATTCTCATGTCGAGCGAAATTGTACAACTACAGCACAGCGACCAAAGGTGGGAAGAAGGAATGGCGAGAACGTGGGCTAGGCGTATTGAGGTTAAACGTCAACAGAGCTGCTGGGACGGAAGGCAATTCGACTCAGGCGAGATTTCTGATGAGAGCGGATGGGAGTCATCGTGTTGTGCTGAACACGCCTGTGAAGAAGGAGATCTCTTTTGGGGCGGCGGCTGGTGGTCCACCGCAAGGCGGGCTGATGTTATTTATGGGGACTGTGGATGGGAAGACGGGTTTAGAGATGTTGCAGCTGAAGGTGAGTGCCAGGCGGGCTGCCACTTGCGGGATTTGTGTGGTTCATGCTGACTTGATGCACAGATGCGACAACAATATGCTCTAGAGCTTCACGAGAAGATTGTGGAGCTGCAGAAGGAGATGTAAGCAATCCCATTTGTCATCACGACAGCTCGCAATCGGTGCATGATGGATGAAGATACCCGGAAATGCTGGCAGCGCTCTTCTGGTATGCTTGGCGATCTCAGGAAACCGGTCCGTTGTTTAGTTGGTTGGCATCGAGTGGAGCGATGAATGGCCGAGGCATATTCGCAATCGTGGCATACATTGGAGAATACGATGTAGATGTGTAGATGGATGAATTTGACGCATAGCATGAATCAGGTAGTCAAGTTGAAAGCAAAGTTGTGCGATCTAGGCCCTCTTCCTTTGTGATATGAGGACTTGAACGGATCAGAAGTGTGATCGGGCTAGTCTACTATAATATCTCCGCTACCGCATCTATAACCTGGCTCTCGCCTCAACGCCTGGCTTCTTTTGACCTCCCCAAACCTGGACTTCTGAATTCGCTCGCCATTGACCTGGAGCGAAGTACTGTGGTCCTAGAATCTTCTTCTGCACCTTGCCCGTTGCGCCCCTGGGTAGCTCTCCAGGCACGACTCGGAGGATAGTGGGCAGCTGGTACCCAGGCAACTTCTTCCTTAGCTCGGCGCGCAGGTCGTCGATTCGCAGGCCCGTCAAGTCGTTGCTCAAAGTCACCACGGCACCGACCCGTTGTTCGAATTCTTCATCTTCGACACCGATAACCATGGCTTCTTGGAGGTAGGGGATTTCGAGCAGACATCGTTCGATCTCGAGTGTGCCGATCTTATAACCACCGGATTTGATGATGTCTAGGCTGGCACGGCCAACGATGAAGAAGAAGTCGCCTTCTTTCCGGCAGGTATCGTCGGTCTTGAAATACCCTTCGCTGTCGTGCGCGGCGAGCGTAGCGGCGGGGTTGTACAGGTATTTGGAGAACATGAATGGCGATTTGATGAGGAGCTCGCCTTCCGCAGAGATTCTAGCCTCAACACCTGGTACAGCTTTGCCTGCGCAACCACGCGGAAGTTGGGAGAAGTCCATATCGGCGGGGTATCGGATGCAGGCTGTTACTTCGGAGGATACATATCGTACCAAGATCGGCCTTGTACCGCGGATCTCTGTCCAGAAATCTTGGACTTGCTGCTGTAGGGCTGGTTGGCCTTGTAGCAGCTCTCGTATCTTTCTCGGACTTCATCTACTGCATGCCGCATACCTACCTCCTGGCACCCTTCACCAGTCTAGGTCTTGTACCCGAAGGCGGACCATCTCTCGGCTTCATCCGACGTATGGGTATGGCGAAAGCAAACGAAGCGCTCATCGCTAGTCGGAAGCTCCCTAGTGAGGAACTCCTAGCCTGTGGGTACGTGAATGAGGTCTTCGACTGCCTGATGGGCGATGACGAGAAGTTTCTCGGCATGGTACTCGCCAAAGTGACGATCTTCTCGGTTCCCAGCTGGTGGCTTCGAGCATGCTCAAAAGGAAAGCTCTGTTGCTCGAGCCACTTCGGCAGCAGATCGACAAGCAGATGGTTGCGGAGCTCTTCACGGGCCTTGGTCGTGTCGCGAGAGGAATACCACAGATCGAATTTGCGAAGATCAAGTCGGGTGCCAAGCGGCATAAGCTGTAGTTTGCGGGCTTGTACGAACAGTTATCAACTGACATTACCCAATACCATGACTACTGATGCCCGCCCTATGATCATCTGTTCGGTGAATCCATGGAAAGCGTGCAGCTGAGACTGCGTAGAGGGCAATGGTGCCCCTGGCAGGCTCAGCTCTTGGCTCATCTGGACCACTGTTCTGATCATCTGCTTCATCCAAACTGGAGCTAGAAACCTTGCCAGAATCTCTTGTGCTATATACCATGATCCCGATCTCAGCGAGTCTGTCAGTTGCTTGGCTGTGCCGTAGGACCATAACGACCAGCCTCACAAATGGAACGGTGGCGCCGTTTCCCCCATAGTAGCAAAAACGGCACTCATGTCGCCGGCTAGCTCGTCAGGCAAAGGCCCCGCCTCTATAGCATCCAAGCTACTATGCAATTGAGACAGCTTCGAGACGGCGAAGATGATCGCATCGCCGTAGCGACCATCAAGGATGCTGTGATACGCCGTCCATCTCAGGGCAGCGGCGTGACCACCGATATTATGCTTGAGAGCATCTTCTCGGACCTTGGCTACGGCGGCTTGGACGGCTGGCTGACTGTAGATCATGCTGTATATTTGGCCGATTTGGTTCTGTGTGGTTGTGAGTCAGTGGGGTTCGGGGTGCCGTCTGGTAGATACGACTCACATCGTCCTTCCAGCGCGAGGAGTCTGGGTTGGCTTCTGCAAAGATCCCTGCTGCGGCGGCACTAAGACCGAGAATCAGTAAATGTGCTGGATTGTTCTTTGCTGGCAGGTACATACCTATAAGCGAAGAAGCTCATGTTATGCTGACGCAGCAGTGGGAAGAGTGCTTCCTCGCCACCTCGGACCAGGGCATTGTAGTGACCTTGATACACACTAGGCTTGGTATAGCCGTGTTGCTCACAGATTTCGAGGAACCTTTTGACCTCATCAGGCGCATAATTGGACAGCCCAACCCTTTTGAACGCCCCGGTCTTGGCGAGTTCATCCATCGTCTTCGCCACGTCCTCGAATGGAGTTTGGCGATCCGGTACGTGCAGGAACATCGTCTCCACGCTGTCAGTCTTCAGCTCAAGTAAGGACTTCTCGACACTCTGCTTGAGCTTGGCGGGTTCATGAGCACCTGGTGGGCCGCTGTGGACTTTCGTGTGGATGGTGAAGCGGGAAGGAGCGCCGGCGCGACCAAGAGATACTTCGGATCCTGGGTATAGACTCGCCGTATCAAGCTGGCGGTAGCCACGTTCGTAGAAGGTATCTAGTAACTCCTTGACGTCCTTGTCCTCGGAGAAGTGGACGATGCCTTGAGTTCCAGGCACTTGCTTGTCGCCGACCTGTTTACTGGTCAGTCCTGCTGGCAGTCATGAATATTATCTGCATACAGTGTGAGTCCCGAGGATGATGTTGACCGGAGTGCTAGGAGCCATGTTTAGCCTTGTCGACTAGGTCGAGATCGAGCTGCGAGAAGTGATAGGTTGTTGACAATGGCTGGACGCCATAATGCATGCGACTATATATCATGTCGCGCAGCGGCGGTGGACAATTGGAGGGTCCGTACCCATTGCGCTATTCACGTTGTCGAGTCCTGGTGAGGGATATATCGGACGAAGCATTGACATAGAAATGTCCGCGTGTTTTCCCGCACGCAAGCATGAGGCTCTGCAATTTCCCGCAAACCTTTGGGTGAAACGATAATTTGTAAGCAGATGTTCAACATCATTGCTTTGGTTCGGCCGTGGCGTGATTGTAGTCTGTAACATAAATGACCGCATGAGCTGTGTCGTCGATTCAACATGTCCGCAACAAGCCAGAACCAATCATGTACTGCCTGCGCTCAATCCAAGCGGAAATGCAATAAGCAGCGACCCTCGTGCCGACGATGCCGCGATCGAGACGAAGACTGCGTGTATCGACCACGGAAGAAGCATTGCCGGCAAAGGCGACCTTTGACCAATGCCTTCGAGGCGGAACAGCACATTATTGGAGATGACTTGATCGTGACTCCACCGCATGACTGGCCAGCCTTGTCCTTCCCAGATCCGGCTCTAGACTTCACCACAGCAGGCTGGTCCATACCACCCTCACCAAGAGCGGATGGCGGCATTGTGACACAGTCTTTGCTCCCCATCACTGCCATTCTTCCCACCATTCCTCCAGACCAGAGCTTATGGTTCCTGCAAACCGACAGCTGGACCCTTCATCAGAATGACGAACTAGCCTCTTGTCAGTCTACGACAGATCTTGAAGCAGTCTTCGATACTGTCAGATCAATGCTAGTCCGTTGGATCGAGACCGGTAGCAATGGTTTCATTCACTCGAAGTTGTACGAGTATGGTATGCCTACGTCTTTACAGGATGCTTTCGTCATCTTCGCCTCTTATACTGCCGCGACACCTGCGATGAGGACGACGGTGTTGCAGATTGCTGATGAGAGGGCTCGGAGGCTTATACAGGAGAGAGTGAGTACTGCAGATGAAGGATTAGGCGAAGTCAGGGCGCAGCTGAGTCGGGTGCATGCACTTTTCGTCTTGGTGTTCATCCGGCTCTTCGATGGTTCAGTGAGATTTCGCGCTTCGGCGGAGAAGCAGGTGCATATCCTCCGGAAGTGGATGAATGACTCGAGGATGGTTGCGACTGGTCATCGTGGATATCACGCCCTGGCTATGGAATTGACTGGTGTCGATCGACGGTCCGCCACAACAAGCATTTGGCACTCCTGGCTCGAGATCGAAAGCGTCCGCCGCACCCTCCTCATCGTTCAAACCATCGCGAATGTCTACCATTGTATGACAGTCGGCCACGCAACATGCCACGGTGCTGTAATGATAACAGCACGAAAGGGGATGTTTGAAGCCCAGACTTCGGCCAAATGGCTTGATATCTGTAGTAGTATTGAAGAACCACTTCTTGTTCCACCGCTGCGGCCGACGGCGTGGATGCTGGAGCACTCGAGCGCGGATGTTGATGAATTTGTGTTGGAGTATTGGAGGTATATTGTTGAGCCGGATAGATTGAAGTGTTGGGTTGACAGAGGTCGACGTGATCATACTGTCGACGAATGAACGATCGACAGCACGTGGGGTCTCACCCGGTCCATTGCTTATGGCTAGAACTCCGGACAATGATCACGATGACCCTCTGCTTGTGCAGGCATCCCGTTGTAGGTAAAGTAGCAAGGGGAAGGTATAGATAGCGAAGGTCTCTGCTTCTCGAAACGAGTCCCACCTCGTACAAGGAACGGGGAAGATGGTCGATGAAGAATGGTTGCTGACATGACCGACCTGCTATCTTGCATTCTGCTAGCACGGGAGGGAATATATGCCTCGCCCAATCGCCTTCGGTGCGACCCAGTGTCCTGTTCTATCTACCATAGCGCTGCGGGACCGCTGTAGATCGAGACCACATACTCAGCACTAAGGAAAGACAACGAGCCCTTGTGTCGAAGAGCAGATCTGTATCTCCTTCTCCAGCATTGTGCACTTTTCGATGTCTATACATGGGGAGCTGGTGAGGTAAGGTGAGATGAGATGAGATGAGACTAGATGATATGGGTCTGAGAGGATCTCGGAACACGACTTCTGTCATTCTTGCCAAATGAAATGGCGCATCGCCGCGTGTTCCAAAAGTGTTCAGCACTGCCACATGCGACAACGTAGCCCGAGGGCAGTACATTGCTTGGTCGCCTGATGTGTGTTTGTCTGGTTGCAAGACAATGTATGATGATGAGATGAGAAGGATGTTTCTACCATGACCGATGACACTCCCGCCAACATGGCCACACTCGAACCTCACCACGACCACAAAGCTTCCAGCAGCAATTCGAGCTCGTCTGGGAAAGATGGCCTGGACAAGGTCGAGCTCAGTGATCTGGAGGCCAGTCCACCTCGATCATTACCGGTGGAGCAAGACTTGATGCAGCTGGCGAGGTTGGGGGAACTACGAGCGGTGCAAAAGTTGTTCGATTCGGGCAAGGAGACGGCCAAGTCGACGGATGAGCAGGGCATTACAGCATTGCATGTATGAAGCATCGGAGTATGTTATGCGTGTAGAGGGAGCTGATCTCATACCAGTGGGCAGCGATCAACGGCCACCACGCCCTCTGTCACTTCCTCATCCAATCCGGCGCAGACGTCAATGCCCGAGGAGGAGATGCCCAAGCGACTCCCGTCCTATGGGCCAGTAAACGCTGTCATCTCCAAGTCATCTCCCTCCTCCTCTCACACGGAGCCGACCCTCTCCTACGAGACGACCAAGGCTACAACCTCTTGCATTCCGCTACCCTAGATGGCAACCTCTACCAACTCCTTCTCCTCCTTCACCACCCGGACCTCCCAGTCGACGTCCCGGACTCCCAAGGCCATACCTCCCTCATGTGGGCCGCGTACAAAGGCTTCCCAGCATGCGTCGACATCCTCCTCCGCTGGGGCGCGGACGTGCATGCGGTAGATGAAATGGCTTTCACCGCCCTCCACTGGGCCCTCGTCAAAGGCAACTACGCTTGCATACAGAAACTGGTCGAGTACGGTAGTGATCGGTTCGCTCGAAGTAAACCTACCGAGGGACAGACGGAAGGTGATACGCCCGCCCAAGCCGCAGTGAAGATGAAGTCCGAACGCCAGTGGCATAAAGCTCTGCTCGATTCCGGCTTCGATGAACACGCTAATCCGCTCGTATTTCCCATCCCTGGCGTCAAGGATAAACGCCGCTTCTACAAACGCTTCTTCTTCCTCTGGCCGTTCGCGCTGGGAGGACTCCAACTCTGGATGCTCGCCACCCTGCCCATCTTCTTCGGCGTGCCCGGTGTATTGATTGTCGGCTATGCACTCCAATTCGCCGTGCAAAAGCTCTTCCGTTGGGCGCCTCCCGATGTAAAGACAATGCACAAAACACCCTTCCTCGCCGGCATATTCGCGGGCACGCTCTTCTGGGTGGGTGTGCGCTGGGTGCTGGATATCCTCCCTACTACTTTCTCCACGAATATCCTCATGAATGTGGCTTTTGCGGTCGCGTATGGATTCACGGCCTACTTTTACACCATGACCATGACGGCCGATCCGGGATATATCCCCAAAGGCAGTAGTCGAGGTCAAACGCGGAAGACGATTGAGGAATTGGTCGAGCATGCGGCGTTCAATGAGGCGCATTTTTGTGCGGCGTGTTTGATTCGCAAGCCGTTGAGGAGTAAGCATTGTCGGCGGTGTGGACGGTGTGTCGCGAGAGAGGATCAGTAAGTTGATGTCATCTAATACAGGATCTGGTCTTGATATGAGAGGTTTGACGGATTTGCTAATTTGTCCTACAGTCATTGCCCCTGGGTCGATAATTGTGTGGGTGTCAACAATCATAAGCATTTCATCTTGTACGTCATGTGTTTGATCATGGGTATCTGTCTGATTATACGGCTCACGATTGCTTGTAAGCACCCCTCTATCTTAACGACCGTTCATCTCTCCAGCCCACAGATCATCATGCTAACACGCTATCGCAGACATCGAGATCCTCCCCGAGCCCACGGAACTCCACTGTACACTTCTCAAGGACGAACTCTGCGCTGAATTCTCCAAGGATCCCCTCACCATCATCACTTCGGCCTGGGCGGCTCTCCAGCTTACTTGGACGTTTATGCTGCTTTTCGTGCATCTTACACAGATAGCCCGGAATATCACCACCTACGAGACTATGCGTGGAGCCGTGCAAGCTGGTCCTCTTACCTTGGCTATGACGACGGGGACGATGTCGGTCGAGGGTGCGCAGGTCGATGGACTGGCAGCTGTTCCCACTCCTGCTATTAGTGGCGGACAAGGAGCGCATGCAGGACACAACCACGCCAAGAACAAAGATGGTCTCCTCTCCTCATGGTCCAAACTCCTCGGCCTAGACACTTTCCTCACCATCGCCTTCCAAGGTTACAAAGGTTCACAAAATCCGGCCGAACGTGCCCGCCAACGGAAGAGTAATTTGTGGTCCCGAGGCGTGGTGAGAAATTGTCAGGACTTCTGGCTGGATGGGCCGGTTATGCAGCGCAAGAGTGAAGGGACGAAGTCACTTTTGGGGGGGGAGGAGGTGGATTATGCGTTTGTTTATGATGTTCCCCGGCCCAGGGCGGGGATGGGGTATCGGAGGGGTGGGTATGAGGGGGTTGCGCAGGGGGACGAGGGAGAGGTGTAATCGTCGGTCTTGCGTTTTTGGGCGCTGGTGTGTAGACTTCTCTCTGCTATGAAATCCATCTTCATTGGCCAAGCCCTCTGCGGCACGTGCAATGCCCCGATCAAGCTTTAGGCATCCACTCTACTTTTGCCTTTACCTCTTTCTACCTCCTCATCGCAACATAAACAGCCATGCTGAGTGTTGTACGTTCGTGCTTAGGGTTGCGACCACCTGATCAGCATCATGTAGACGGCGCAGGAAAAGTCATCGTGTAGCCATCGACACAGAACCAGGACCAAGCATACGGTGGCCAATCTGTGCCGCTGGACGCAAGTCGCGACCCGGATGACTCTGACTTTTACGCAGACTGGTTTGAGAAGTTCATCGTACTGCCCGCCAGCGACGTCAATAGCGTGATCGTCTTTGGCCACTGGTTCCGAGCAGAAGATGCGCACACGAAGTATTATATCACGAGAATGCATTCGACGCCCGGAGTACCGAGGAGACGGACTGGATAGGGCGTCTTGACTGTGCGAATAATATATACCAACGTCTGTCTGCTTCAGGGAATACTTGCGCCCGTGTAGTCCACTACCACGGTCCGACAGCAGCAGGATACAAGCTGGAACGACTTCGTCCTGGTCCAGTATACATTGGAACCTTGCGAACTGAGACTGGGGGATGTTGTGCTTGCTCTTTATCAACGCTGCGGTCTGCAGACACTGAATGCGCTGGATTTCATCTATGGCAAAGGAGTCGTGCTCAATGCGTTCTGTGAGGATGCACTTTGGCTGCGCGGGGACTTCTCCATGGTCATTGCTGGGTTTGTGGCTGCAGTCTGCAATAAGCTAGAGATTCGAGCAGCACAGTGCGGATCTATGCCTTGGGGGTCGTACTCGAATCCGTGGGGCGAGGAAGCTCACCTGTCCAACGTGCGCCAAAGAATGCAATTTGCTCGTTCAAGCCTGTCGGAAGACGAGAATGAGTTCGAGCCAGCCTATGATTCTCAGCCGAAGAGAGATATGTTCGACTGGGCAGTGCGGATGTGAGAGAGAGTGACGGGCAAATCACCCTTGGAGCATAACATGACCCTCACGAAACGAGATATCGGGTACTCCGATGAGCTGCGGCCTCTGCTGAATCGCGTTGAGAGCGGCCAATGCAATGACTGGCCGACTCTTCCATACGAGAACCTGGGCACTGTGGTTACGAAAGTGCTGCGTGGGGAGTATGAGACAGCTGGGCAAGCGCTGAACGAAGCACGAGAGATCTAACAGGCCTGTGGGCGTTTGTTCTAGCACGCAGTGCGAGGAGATTGATGGGTTTAAGTGGGCGAAGGATTTCATCATTGAGAGAGGCAAGACTGGGTTTCCTTAGCTGCGAACTAGGAAGCTATGATTGACTCAGCAATGCCATCAGTCCTGGAGCCAGATCTAGTCTATGCGGAACAGAAGTATGAGCCAGCCATGGTACCGTGACTGGCGGTCGCTCTTGCCTGGTCTACATAATCTTGCCGAGCCGTGCGAACAAGCTGAATGCGCTCTGATGAAACTACTTTCAGGCGCCTTACTAATTGTATCCTTGGGACTCATTCACTACATGTTGGGACGAGCGGCGCCCGAAAGCCTCGCAGCACCTCCTCGCCTCGGGTGGAAAGCATCATCTACAGGCGTGCATTGCCCGCGCCATGCTTTCCCTTATCAGGAACTTACGAAAGTCCGAAGTGGCTTGTGATCTTGGCTATGGTCTCCGGCGGAAAATTGGTGCTGAGAGAGGTATGCCGGTGACTGAACGTGTGATGCGGACATTAACTTCGTCTCATCGACAATGTTGGCCTTGTCGGTTTCGCGTCCACATCACATCACAATCTCGGTGAAATCGGATCGCACCATGGATCTAGTTGGCCGCTAGAACAGGACAGTCAATACACATATGATGCTGTGACAATCTCCGCAGTCTCTTCGCTATCGATTCACGTCGTCCGAGGAGGCCATGTGCAGAGGCCTGAAGCACGCTTCTGGTATACTCAAGCTTGTCAGAAGCAGAATCCTGGTGGACAGAATCCTGGTGGAACGAACGGCTTAGGTAACCGTACGCGCTCCAGCATACCACCACGCCCACCAAGCCTTCGATTGTGGTATTGACAGCTGCAATTCCTCAAGCGTCGCATCTGACAACAGCGACTGCAGGAGGTTCCAGGCAGTAACCTTCGTTGGCGGGCAGGTCCCCATGAATGCGTTCAGGGCATCCCGCATGCTGCTCTGTGCAGAGCCTAACATCTTGCTGCTCGCTACATTGAAAGCTGCCGAACAGCATAGTCGCTTGAGATCCGCTCCGTGCTGGATCATAAGCTTTGCTGTACGAATATGAGGGTCGCTATCCTGACGCAGGGGGTCATGGGAATTCGATAGGAACCACTCCCATAACGTCACTGTGAGATCTATCAGTTTGTGATTCGTACACGGCTGGGTCAAGGTTGAGGTCTTGAGGTATGGAAGTGTGCAGAGTAAAGATTGTGAGTACTCACACCTGCTTTCGTTGTACAAATAAGCATTTGGGTTTGCGCCGTGCTGAAGCAACAGGCTGATCATATCCGGATCTATACCGTCAGAAGTGATGATGTCACCCAGCATCAACTCGTGTCCACCAAGATTTTTGTGAGGGCGGAGAGCATACTCCAGTAAGGTCTTCCCATGCGAACTCCGCATAGCAGCTGGGTGCTGTCGAAGTGTCGCACGCACATAGCTGACCAGATCAACCGCGACGGCGAAAGCCAAAAAGTTTGGAAAGGTATAGGTACTGCCTACAAACGTCAAAGCTGCTGTCCAATGCTGGTGTCGCTCAGGACCGAAGTCCGACACAAATCTGTCGCCTTTTTGGTCCAGCTCCGATATCAACCGAAGATAGGCGGCAGTCCCAGTAGAGTTCATCAATCGTCCGTATTGCAACAGTCCGCTCAAGAGGTCAGCGAATCGGGGCAGACTGGGCTGTAGCTTCATCTCAGCTAAACAGACCTTTGCCAGCGACAATCGAACATCGTACGATGCACCCGCGCGCCGCCGTATCTTGGCCAGGACGTGATCCTGTTCCAAATAATCCTTGGCGGTGCGGTGAAGGAAGACAATTGTCTGAAGTTTGACATTGTCGATTTCCAGCAGATCCATGCATCTGGCGTTCAGGTACACTGTAACGTTCCTTATTTCAAGCTCGTCGATTTCCGTCAACTTCTGGATCGGCGCTTTCATCGCATACTCTGGATCTGCCAGCTCTCGACCCAAATGCCAGGGGACCGAGACAGGAAGTCTGAACTCCGTTTGCAACGCCGCGAGAAATATCCTTGCTGTGTGGTGTTGATACACTGGGTCGATGCTTTCGAGCATGTGTTCGAAGAAACCATCTAGATCTTGCGGGAAATGATCAAGCCTAGCCATAAGCGTGGGTACATCATTGTTATCAGTCAAGCCTCTCAAGAGTGACCGAACCACCAGAAATACCCAAAGGAATACTCCTTGAGCGCGGCGCATGATGTCGAGCATCAATGGTCTGCAGAGCTCACCGGGACCGTGTAGTCGCACGAACCGCCGGTCTGCCATTAAAGTATCGGACACATACTTCTCTATGTCTGACTTTGTGAGATCTTGTAATAGTAGCTTGCACTTGCCATCTTTGCCATATGCGCCAGTAAAGACATTCCATGGTCGACTGGACACACAGATCTTGATGTATGGTGATTTGGCGAGAGTCGAGATGACCTCAACGATATCCGAATGGTCCCCGTCATATTCGTCCAGTCCATCAATAAAGAAGCAAAACCGTATTGACAGATCTTTGTGTTCAGCGATTGCTCGTAAAGTCGCAGTCAGCTCCTGGCGGGTCCATGGAAAATACTCCTCCCCATGCGACTCCTTGATGAACCGTTGCGGCACAACTGTGTACGCAAGTGCGGGACTTTGCCTAACGATTTGTAGAAGAATCGACCTCAACAAGCCGAGTTGTGTCTTCTGCATGCGTGTGCCCGCATACCAAAAGTAGTGGCTGGCTAGAATGACCCTCTTATGACCACTCCAAGCGCCGAGCAATTCAGAAGTTCGAGGATGCTCGCTGAGGTATTTCATCAAGGTGGACTTGCCAGAACCGGCCTTGCCAGCTATCCAAAAGACATTGCCAGCCGACTGCATCCAGGCTCGAAAACCACTATCGGGGCTGTTAAAGATCCAGTCGAACGTCCTACTGTGCGCTTCCAGTATGGCTTCCTGCCGCCAAGTCCGTTCCTCGAACGTCAGACTCGACAAGATATTGTTGCAGGTCGTGATAACCTTGAACCACCTTTGTCGAGACACGGCATCCAGACTCGTTGACAGTCGAACCAGTTCGGTGTGGTTAAGAGCAGTGTGGTCGAAACGGCAGATGCCTTGTAGGGTTTCAATGCAGTTAATGATGGTGTCGTGGGACGTAGTACTTTCTAGCGCCACATGCTGTAGTGCTTGAGATAGATCTGAGGTATGATCGCTAGGTCGCTTGTCAGCTTAGGTGATTGTCTGAGTGAGTGCGTTCCTCATGCCTTAACGAAGTCGACATGTAAAGAATCATGCTTTGCTGTAACGCTCCTAGTTCCTGCTGCAACCTGGCAAGATCATCCTTCTTCCACTGACTTCTGACTGCCTGTACTAGTGCCTGTCTTCTACTTCTTCGAAGCTCGGGTTGCACTTTTAGGTACCCTAACAATGCCTCGAGCTTCTTCGCAGTGGCGTAAGCTTCTGCTGAAAGTGCCCGAACGGCAGCCAGGGCATCGGTGGAGACAACCGACATAGTCGGCGCTGCTTGGAAAGTGATGCCTGAGTTACGCTCAAAGCGGTCCAATGTAACGATGAATTGGTCATGAATCTTCTCAAATTCACGTGTTAGGGTTGAGACAACATCCAGATCGCTGTCTTTGCCCGATTTGACTATGCTGCGTGCCTTAATTACGAGGCCGGATCCGAATTGGACCAGTTGTACGACGCTGGCAGCTAGACCGAGTGCAGACACGGGGTCAAGCATTTTGTATCCAGCGTCTTGAGTGTCTGCTGGCTAGAGGTAGACGCGTCAGCTCGTTGGTGACTTGCTTGATCAGTCGACCAGGGTACAATGTTGGTAGATGGTGAGTCTGCTGGGGGACCGCAAAGAGCGCTCGTCAAAGCACATGAAAGATGACTTTCGAGGCGCCATCATTTTTCGACCATCTGATGGAGGCGGAGCTCTTCAATCTGCCGCTTTCGTGGCTTCTACTTCGCCTCGCCTCAGCCGCCGACGGCAAGGCAACGAGAGCACGTGAGCAGATGCATCTTCATCAAGCCACATAACTTCCAGAAGTAACGTAATCGACTGCTTATAACGAAGCTCTCGTTTGTCTTTGTTACCCCAAGATTTGCTTATTAAAGTACTATTCTGCTGTGTCTAATGCGACGCTAGCGGAGGCGCAGAAATGGTTATGTCCGCGGATCTGCATGCTTTTAAGAACCCAACCCTACCCAAGACTTGCCACCTCCAGCCTGCCGCTGCTCCTCGCATGATTGCACCAGCACTTGGACTGGCGTGTATAATGCAGGCAAGTAAGACATCTCAGGGTAAATATTCATTCGGAGGGCCGCGTGACTTCTACAATGCCGTCTCCGTCACCGGGAGGATACCAGACCTTCTCAACAGCTAGACCAGCACTCACAACTAACCCCCTCCACTCGGCTTCACTGCGCTGCGCTCCCGAATGCAAAAACAGCATGGCTATATCGAGGCCACTGCGTCGCAAAGGCACATTCTCCTCGGACAGGATGATGTTGCCAATCAAGATCTTGCTGTATCCCGGTATCATTGCGGCGCGGAGGTTAGATAGGATTGTGTGACAGACTGGCGAAGCCCTGGACGAGAATGTCATCAGTACATTGAAGAACATGCCGACTGCAAGGTATGTGATCTAAGAACGTCAAACCTACCAATTATGTAGGATGTTCTGAAGGAAATATACCCTTGCACCCTTGACTGGCTGAGGAGTAGTGAAGTCGTGCGCCAGTCTTTCAACCCTCGGATCCAGATGGGCGATGTCCTTGATGACGAACGGTAAGTCTTGCACCATGAACTTTCCTTGTACATACGGGAACTTCTTCAGCACAGCCTCACCCTCATGACCCTTCCCGCCTCCCACGTCCACGAAGCAATATTCGCTCTTCTCCTTGTCGAAGCCAGCCGAGCAGATGTCTTGAATGGGAAACCAGTCTAGCCAACCCAAACGCATGGGCGTACCGAAAAGCCCTTGCATGAAGATGTTGAAGTTCTCCATTACGCCAGCTTGCTTGGACCAGAAGGTATAGCAGTCCTCGGATGTGTCATGAGCGAATTGGAAAGGGCCATCGATCATACCCTCTGGCAAACGATACCCATTGTCTTTGAAGTAAGCCGGGGCGTGTGAAAGGATGGGCAATCCTTGGTCGTAGCTGCAACACGACCAGTCGGTATACACATGTTCCAGCAACGAGCGACGTTAGATCCGAAGTACAAGAATTTGACGCCCGCTCTCACACTCGGAAGTGTCATCTGCTTGCTCACTGCTGTAGAGGCAAAACGCTCATGATCAAGTTGCCTCACGAATCCCATGCCCACAAGGGTGCGAAACAGTCGTGCAATCAAGCCTGTCGAAGCACCAGTGGCACCCGCTAGCTGATCGATGGTTATGGGACTCTTCGCCACCAAAAGGTCGAATAGGTTGAGGTCGTCGGCTATCCGCACATACATGTGGCGTCCACGTCAGAGCTTTGCCTGGAGTGGCTCGAGTTGCGTCCCGCCAACACGAGAGTACTGGAGGGACAAGGTATTCATACCCAAAAGGCGACGAGTGAGACGATCTCATCTGGCTGTTCTAGACTGGCTGTCAATTGGCGGGATAGCTGGAGCAGAGAAGCTCTAGCTTTCTGATCGGTGTCGACATTGTGTGTACCTGCTGCAACGACCTGCATTTGTGCTATGAGCGTCGCTACATCACTGCTTTGGCCGCTGATTGATGCCATATTTCATGCGGCTCGTGAGCGATACTCGAGAAGGGTGGGTGTTAAGAATCAGCATACATCGGATCCTTCCCGAAGATAAGACAGTCGAGCAGACGTCTGTCGTGGGCGTCGAGCACGGCTCGTTCGATGGATGTAACGATGCTGGGCTCACGCTACACGGCTGTTGATCTATTAGGTCGAATGTCACACCGGCAATCAGTGTGATCCAAGTGATGGTACCTTCTTGCGGCACGCGGGGTGGCAGACTGGTACATACAGCTCATGGTGATCTTCGCCATATCGAGGCCCTTGCACAGGATGCTATAAGACTACGAGGACGTGCTTGGCCTAAAAATTGCACGACGGCATCAACGACCCAGTCTCTGACGGCAAGACGCTGAGAGGTACGTAGTAATGGTCTCATGGTCCGTCCATGTCCTGATTGCCTTGCTCAGACTGAATATCTCATTGGCAATGTCACAAATGGGGTTACGCGAACTTTGTACAGCAGATCGATAGTTCAACTATGATATCTCTGCGCACTACAAACAAAGTTTCGAGCACGAACATTGTGCCCGCCTTGCATTTCCCGTGTAGAGCATTAACAATGTCTACTTCCAAGCACCGAGCCCAGCCCAAGGATCACCACCACCACCAACACCAGCCTGCTGCTGCTGCTGTCCTTGTCCTGCGCCCCGCCTAGCATCCTGCGCGTACCCGCCCGGTCCAGAAGGATAAGTACTAGCTTGTAGTACGCCATAGTCGTGACTCGGCGGTGGTCCTGGTGGTGGCGGTGGAGGCTGCCAGCCTGGCGGTACTGAGGTTTGCGCTGAGCCGGGATATGATTGCTGCTGCTGAGACGGATGTCCATATTGTGATGTTGTTGGTTGCTGCTGTTGATAGGAGGAGGAGGGGAATTGTTGGTGCTGCGTGGGCGGAGGGGAGAAGTATTGTTGATGGGCGGGTGGCGAGACAGGTCCGTAGGAATTCGGGTTGTAGGAGCTCCTCTCACCTTGCCCTTGTTGTTGTGGAGGCTGAGAGATGTAGCTCTGGGGTCGTCCGCCTCCTTGCTGCGGTTGGGCGAATGTGCCGTTCGTAGGTGTAGGCTGATAAGCATTTTGGTATGATGGTGTACCATTAAGCTGTTGATATCGCGGTGTGATCGGCGGACTTGCGGCCGGGTTGTACGAAGGCTGCTGTGACTGGCCGTAGCTTGTCTGTGGTAGGAGAGGAGGTGGTCTGTGGCCTGAAGCTCTCTGATCGCCCATGCCCATCCCACCACCTGAGCCAGGAACGGGCGAGCCAGAAGATTGCGTGGAAGGACTAACACTCATCCTCTCCATCAACTCTTTTAGCCTCGCTTGCTCGCGGTCTGCTCCGCTGCCTTTGGCAGCTTCGATGGCACTCAATAACTGCCCACCCTCTGATCTCCTGTTCTCGACGAAGGATTCCACGTTCTTCCGCAAGCTTTCCACCGTCTCTCGTATCTCGTCGTAGAACTGCTGTGCCCGTGAGAGTCCAGACTGTAGGTCTGTGTACGCCTGGTACACTCTTCGGTACCTCCCAAGGACGTTGTTCCGTTGTCGCGAGAAGGCCTCGTATTTGTTCTGCTCGCCTCGGACGCGCTTGTCTTGTAGCAGGTCGCCATACGTTCGTGTGAGCTCCTTCATCAGAGATGATTGCTTGTGGTTGGCCTGTAGTATTCTGTTCTGATGTGGTCGGAACTTCTCAAGCTCTGATTTGAAAAGTGCGGCTTCTTGGTTCGTGATGGCTTTCTTGTTGAGGATGAGGACGGATGAGATGTCGTCGTTGTGAATCTGCGGCACACACATTAGTATGACAACGGAACTCAGGGTTCCCTCGCTCCCTGCATACCTTATCCTTCAAATCCTTCAGCACCTGCGCCCTCTCCCTCTTCACCAACTGCAGCTTCCTCATCAACTCCTCCACCCGCTCAATCTGCTCCGCTACACTCTGCCTCGTCTCATCGGCAAAGTCATCATCCAACAGATTCCCTTCTTCCGCAGCACCTGGACTCGCCACATTCTTCTTGCCCGCACCAGCCTTGATCATGGCGCGCTGATATAGCACATCCGCCTCGTCTGTCTCGCCCGCTGATCTCATCTCCTCGAAATCAGACTCGAACTGGCGGAAGGAAGAGAAGAGTTGCGCGTCGCTCGTGGAGGCTTCTTCGACTGCGGAGCGGTATCTTCTGCTGTCTGTCCGAAGGGTGGAGGTCAGGCGGCTAGAAGGTTGCTGTGTCCATTCGCCGCCGTATTTGCTTCGCATCTTCTCGCACACGGACTCTTCCATGTCGAGTTGTTTTGTGCAGCCATCGAGAGTAGAAAGGATACTCTGCTTGTCCTCTCGTAGCTGTTCAAAGGTTGGACCGAAGGGACTGTGACCTGATAGATCGCTACACCAATTCCGGAACTCGTCGTCGACACCCATACTTTCCTGATCCAGGCCACCCTTGAGGATGTTCAGACTGCCGGGAAGCTTCAGATAGTCCAGTGAAGTAGCAAGCTCATCATCGGCAGTCTCTACTCGCTCGGCTTCGGCACGTGCCAGCTTAGCCTTCTCCTCGTCGTACAGACTCGCACTCTCCGTAACGCTCATCGGCACAATCCTCTGGAAGATGTCGGGTCCGATAATTCTTTGGATGTCCTGTCCCTGATACAGCTCACTGACTGGGATAGCCTTTGCCGCTGGGAGCTTAGGTATACTCGTCAGGTTGTTTTCCGAAGGTACGGGCTGGTGGTAGATCATGTCGTTGTCTCGAATGTACTCGGTCAGTAGCTCCGTTATGGAAGACATATGCTTCTTCGTCATATCAACCAGGACCTGCCCCGTTTCGGAAGTGAGATTACTGTTCGCCGGCACACTTCCAGGGAAAGCATTAGCAAGCCGAGTAGCCTCTTTACTAGCATTTTGGGCCGCCTGCACGCGACTGATCGCTTGCCCATAGCTGTTGGCCTCGTAATCCGCAACGGCCTGATAGTACTGTGCCAAGCTAGCCAGATGATGCTGCTTAATTTGCACGACCAACAACCACACTCTCTCAAACACTGCCCGGGAAACATTATCCTGCGTTCCCTCCACCGCTTGTGCATACAGATACGCCGCTTGCGCCGCCAGCTTAGCAAGCAAACCCGGTTTCTTCTGGTCCACAATCTGCTTCTCAATAAACACCTCCTGGGCCTGAGCAAGCATGATACTAATCAAAGTCTTGACCGTATCCCGACTCAGATCCGTACTGGGAGCGTGTAGGAAATTCTCGTTGATGTAGGTAAACATGCCGGCCGAGGCTTGGAAAGAATGATATGCCGTCTTCAGCCCGGTGTCCTCGTGGCGGTTCTGGTTCGCAGCATGACAGGACAAGACGGCGGAGATGTTGAAGATGATGCTGGCTTTCTCGTAGGCGAGGCTGTACTGGGCGGTGGGTTTGTGTGTGAAGGCGTCGAACCAGGTGAAGGAGATTTTGATATGGTTTTCGTCGACGGGGAAGCGGAGGTCGAGGAGTTCGAGTTGGCCGTAGTAGCGGTACAAGAGATCTCGACCGGCTGCACTATCTTTGCCTGCTCCTCGCATGTCCTGCCGTAGACGGTTCAGGCTTTGGCATTCGTTGTCGTATCGATCCGGGTCGTCTCCGTAGGCGCTGCGGATGTGCTGCCGTAATGGTGCTACCCAGTCGATCTCATTCGTCTGTTTGAGAGGCGAGGAAAGCATCGGTATCTGCATGGCTGAGGCGGAGAGGGCCCTTGAGAGAGCTGGGCGGGTAGAGATGGGAAGCATCTTTACGATCTCGAGATGGGAGCTGACTGTCTTCACGTGCTGCACCACTTCCACGTGATCTGTATGCTAATCTTTCTACCTGCAGTCCTGGACGAAGCGGGCGTATGCTCAGTTCCACACGTCTATATCCAAGCAGGCATCTCCGAAGCCCGTGTAACGATTGGTTATTTGTCCCAGCCCAATCCTCCTCTCACATGCACAACTCTTCTTAATCAATTCTGTGTTCCCTGTTCCAGAATTCCGTTCGCCGATGTTGCTCATATACCCATGAATCCATCAACCAATCAATCAATCCTTCATCAATACCATCAATACAGCAGAACACAACATATATGAACAGACGCAGACAATACAGCAGTGACGCAGGCCCCAGGCGGCCGTTTATGCGGCCCACCACGATGACTTTAGCTCACACTGCTTTTGGCCCTAGTCTACTTAGACCTAGTCTACCGGACCGCCGCCATCAGCCACGCGAGACAGGTAAAGCATGTATCACAAGCGCGTGCAGATCACAACGAATATCATCGACGACTCCAACATTTTTGATAAAAGCGAGGCGCCCAAGATCAAGCTCGTGCAGAAGGCGGTCTGACCAGCGCAACCCATATCGGTCACTACATGGCGACCGGAGCTGGCCAATGGTGTTGTGGTTAAGCGCGCGGCTAATGCTCCTTCCCGATACGGTAATTCTGGAAGCCATGAACAGGATAGAACTGAGGTTTTACAGGTATTGCCCTGTCAGCACAGCGCGTAGAGCTTGCCTGATGAGTCGAATTGGCGCTCCGCTATGCTAGCTATAGTACAACTACTCCGTCACATCCCATGGTATACAAGAAGTCGCCCACAGCAGGTCTTACAACGCCTGTTCTTGTCCAGATTCCAGGAGGTGTTGCTGCTACAACCAAGCAATGCTCATGAGCACCGAAGAACAGACCCTCGATCTTGATACATGATCCCATCCATCTCACACATACCTCATACTCACCCTGAACCCGACCCCGAAGCCTTCTTCGGACTCACGTCTTCTTGCTGGGCCGCCTCACCCTTCTTCCTATCATCCTCCTTGCCCAACTGATCATGCTGCCCGGTGACCTGATGCCACATGTTCTTCAGAAACCCCTCATGCTTATGATCAGTAGCACTCTGACCGGGCTTCAGATCTTCTTGCACCGGCTCATCCTTCCATTGGTGCAGATTCATAACTCGCTTGGCATTTTTATCTCCCATCTCGTCCGCCAACATCTCGATGATGGTTCGTTGGTTGACGGAGAGGTATTTCGGCATCTGGACTTTGAACTCCACTCGTAGGTCACCGTTGTTTCCTCGTCGGGACTGCAGTTTCTTCATTCCCATGCCTGAGAGTGTGATCTTGTCACCGGTCCCTGTTCCTGTTGCAACGTTGACTTTTACCTCACCATCAAGAGTCGGCACCTTGATTTCACCTCCTAGGACTGCAGTCGTGAGAGGTATGCTGGCGGTGTAGAGGACATCGCTGCCGCTGCGGGAGAATTTCGAGTCCGGTTGCACTCGAATGAAGACATAGAGGTCGCCCTTCTCTGTTCGGGATTTGGGATTTGCCGCTTGACCAGTGGGTGGGTAGTCGCCTTCGCCCATTACTCGCAGGCGCATGCCATCTTCCACGCCCCCGGGTATGTCCACGCTCACTGTCCTCCTCTCCCTCACCGCGCCGTTCCCACGGCAGGTGCCGCACTCGCCGCCTTTGGGGATTGTGACCCCCTGACCTCCACAGGAAGAACAAGTACTGGCCATCTGGAACCCACCCTGCACGAAATGCACTCTTGTTCCCGTCCCATCGCACGTCTTACACGTATTCCTCTGCACACCTTTCTTCAACCCATCGCCTTTACAGCTCTTGCATTGCACTAGAGGAGTGATCCCAATATCCTTCGCCACCCCTTTAGCAGCATCCATGAATGAAATATTCGTCTGCACCTCGATATTCTCACCCACCATCACCTCCTCCTGCGCAAACGGCCCTCCGCGGCCTCCTGCACGACCTCGTCTCGCGCCTCCACCGCCGAAAGCAGAGAATAGATCGTCGAAATTGAAGCCACCTTCTCCGAACCCGCCAGCACCGCCAGCTTGCCCACCAAAGCCACCACCGAACCCACCAAAGCCTCCGGTGAAAGGATTTGGTCCTCCTGCTCCTGGCCCACCAGCACCGGGCCCACCAAAGCCTCCACCTTGATCAAATGCTGCGGCGCCGTATTGATCCCATGCGGCTTTCTTCTTGTCGTCTGATAGTAGTTCATACGCGCTCTGGGCATCACCGAATCTCTCCTTGGCTTTGGGGTCTTTGTTGGTGTCCGGGTGGAACTTCTTGGCGAGGCCGTAGTAGGCTTTCTTGATGTCGCCGGCTGAAGCGCCTTTGGCTACACCCAGGACGGAGTAGGGGTCTTTTGTTGCGAGGCTGGATGGGGAAGCGTGGAAGGTCCGGCGCTGTATTCGGTCGTGGTTTGTTCGGGTATGTGATGATGCTGTTGGACGGCGGGTGGTGGTGGGCCGAGAGGATGTGGATAGACTCCGTCGATGTAGACATAATTGCTGCTGCGATTGTTGGCGGTGGTCATGCTGGTATGCTGGACAAGATGGTCGATGCGAGACGGCGAGCAGGCGCAAAGGTGTTGCTGCTTTGGGAAGCAGGGCGGGTGATGCGAGACTCATAGTAGCAAGTTGGTATGAAATCTCGCTATTATCGAGACAATGGCTGGTGATGGTAGAGGTAGGGCTAGTTCGATCTTACCGAAGATAATGGATGCATACATGTACTGTCGCTCGGCACTCAAACAATCTTTGGCCGCGGAGGAGAGGAGAGTTCGGAGAAGTTCCACCGACTTCGCTGCCATCCATCTCTTCCTCTTCCACTTCCGCCTGCATCATCCACGTCCATCACAGACTGGAGAAGAATGCTGGCTGGTGACTATAACATTATGTGGGACGAACGCCTGATGATATCCAGCCAATTTAGCCATCCCCCTCATAAGCCCCAGCTGCGCCCTAGTGATCGCTGTCTACATGTACCTGGCAGAGGAACGGATGATATAGTTCCATGTCCCGCATCGCCAAGTCTTCGATGCTCCATGTTTGGCACCAGCATAGACCAATGTCATGACCGTTTATGTTCCCCAACGGCATCCACACTTTGCCACATTCCAACATGGCGACCAGCGAGTCACAGCAAGGCTCGCGTGTGAGAAAGCATTCAAAGATTGCCGTCGGAGGTCATTGGTATGGCACAGACGGAGCAGATTATACATCAATTATCGAATTATCTTACCGCCGAACACTCATCGACTCCTACGAGCTCATGCTTCGCTTCCAAGGCTTGTCTGGCCGATTATCCTCCAGCTCAACGAAAGAGTCTCGTTTCTGCTGTCTCAGCAGAACATGCGTCGCTCGGCATGCCCGGACGAACAGCGCAAAATGGATCCAGCTTCCGCTTCGTCAGCATCGAGCTCAATCATGTTCATCGATTCACCGCCTACCCAAAAATGATCATGAGCAATCCTGCGGTCCACTCGAGCCCTGTCTTGGTCCGCGCCTTGAAACATGCGTTTGGAACACTCTGAAGAAATTCACAGCCGTCTATGTACCAATCGTCCGCTATCCATGCTACCATCATCCCGCCCATGGTTTCCGCGAGCGCCCAAGCTATGCAGTCGAAGGTAATGTCTATGGCTGGATGGTAAGGCTTACGCAAGGCCCGGGTCAAGGCGAGCGCGATGGTGCACCAGACGATTGAGGTTGCTGTCTGCCCATGTATTAGCTACACCGTATCGACGTTTCAGGATATCTGGAGGTGGCTTTACCGCTCCGAATGACATGGTGTCGAATGTCGTGCCTAGGCCATCCGAGTACCAGATGTCGTTCAGTGGGAGTGTTGGACCGAGACATATCGTGGCTATCGCAGCTAGGAATTTGATAACGAGGCGGAGGATGACATTGGGCTGTCGTAGTGTTGCCGTTGATTTGTGGGAAGTAGTCATGGCTGTGCGTTACATGGACCAAGACGACGCTATGGATCGCATGCGCGATGGGATTGAGCAAATACTTATGTTCTATGGTCATCTTGGTACCTCATCATAATGTCGCCTGCCATCGTGGTGGCTATGCGCTTGGCTTTCGTCTGCCACTGCAAACAAAGTTTATCTCGTAATCCTTCGCGCCTTGACACCAACACGCCGTCACGATCCGACCTTCCTCCGACGACCAGCCACCAAATCGACACATGGTAGCTAAGATGCGTCTCCTGCTCTCATTCTCATCCTCCATACATACTGCTATGGCGAAGAATGTTGTTTGCCTCGCAACCATGGCTTGACTAGTGGGCGAATCGGAAGTCGAGCCGCTTGTTACCTTGATCCTTCGTCGTGGCCAAGTACTCTTCACGCTCTTCGAAGGTCATGCTATTCCAGATCTTGTCTCGTTGACTAGACGGATGTATCAGCTTGAACCTGAAGGAATAGTTGTGAGAGACTTACGCATTGACGTTGACATAGAACAATTTGATGCCGATTAGTAGCACGACGTTGTAGGCACAGACAACGATCAAGGCCTTGTTACCTGTCCTGTACATTGGGGCGTCTTTGGTGCGGTAGATCTGGGTTGAGAAGATGTTCGATGCTTGGACCGAGATGTTGTAGAGCGCCGAGGCTACGGTACGAGTGCGAACACTTCCAGCATTTCTGCTAGTGATGGCGACGAGGATTGCGTGGATGTACGGATACTGGTCAAGTTGTCAGTAACGGAATCTGACAGACTACTCGACTTAACGGGTTGTACTCACGCCAACAACCATTGTCGCGATAGCCCACTTGGCCCAATGCGAGGTATTTGAGGGTATGGTCTCGAGCGCGATTAGAAGTGGCAATGTCCAGAGTTGTCCGATGACACCTAGTAGGAAGCGCTGATTATACTTCTCACTGATCCACATCCAGAAAAGTAGCTGCAGGATGAAGAGCACATAGGCTGGGATTGTCAACAGGTTGGTCTCGAAAGTGCCGAAGCCGATCGCCTTGAGGTTCAGCGAGATGTACTGGGTAGCGGGCGTGTTCGGTATGGTCCATGACAAGCCAAGGAGGTAGATCGACCACATATGATAGTCACTCAGACAATCCCAGAGCATGGTCAACGAAAGCGCTTGTCGATTGTGCATGTCGCCCTTCGATGGGTCATCACGAAGCACACGGTTGGCGATGATCTTTTCTTCGCGCTCTGAGAACCAGCCGTTCCTCCCGCGGAACCATGAAGCTGTGGTGTACGGCGATGATGGCAGGTAGAACCATGCGAGCACACCGATCAGGCCCGTGAGGAGGCCTTCGAGTGCAAACAGCCAGGCCCACCCTGGAAGTCCACGATAGCCTCGGAGATGCAGTATACCGTATGCTAGGAATGCGGAGATGATTTGCGTCGACTGGTATGCGACCCAGAAGAAGCTGAGACGCCTTGGAAGCTCAGTGCTGGTGTAGTAGTAGCTCAAGTACAAGATGGTGTCCGGGATGAAGCCACCTTCGATCAAGCCGAGGACCATACGGCAGATATAGAAACCGGTCTTGCCTCGAATGAACGCCTGGAAACTGGCCACGAGACTCCATGACACCATCTCTGGAAGACATATTTTAGTATCGTATAGCAGAGGAGGGTGCGGGTGTCCCAACTTACGGACGGGCATCCATCGGTCGGGGCCTAGGCGCTTCGAAATCATCTGAGACGGCAATTCGGCGACCAAGAATGAGCAATAAAATATGGTCATGCCGTTGTTGTATTGGTTGGTGGTCATGTGGAGATCTTTCAGCATATTCTGGAATTGATATCAGATCTCGCGGGCGTCTTCTGCAAAAGCCTATTGAACAATCTACTCACGTCCGACAATGCCTGAGTAATATTGCCTCGATCGAGCTGGAGGGCAAAGAACATGGCGCAAGCGAATGTACATATCTTCCAGTCGAGCTTTCGGACCAAACGCTTCTCGTCCGCTGGCTCCCACGTGAAGTCGGGGTCATACCGGTGGAGACCTTCCCAGTGTGGCTGAGGCTTGTAGTAAGCATCCAGGCCAGCAGAAGCGAAGGTTGTGCTGTTACCATGCGGGTTCAAACCCTTGTCGTTGTTGACAGGACGGCCGAGAACATCTGCTGCCTCAAAACCGCCTGCGATGGAGGCCAGAGAAGAGCGTTGGTGGCCGGTATCGACTTGCTTTTCAGAACTGACGAAGCCTGTTGATCTGTCCGCCATGGTGATGTCCCGTCTGCCGGAAGTACCTTCGAGCTGGCGAGTGCGGGGGTTCGCAAATATCTATATGTCCTTGACAAGCCACGAGCCAGACATATTCAAATTCGGCCATGGGCCGCGGCAGCATGGCAACCTTGACATTACTTCCGCGAGCATGCTATGAACGCCCAAGATGTGCTCATGCGAGGCCATGGGTCGGAATGGGTGTAGTGGCATTATTGGCTGCGGCTAGCCACGATAGCGAACGTGGACGGTATTGGTCTGCGACATGGGCGAGGCGCACCAGACGGGTACTTCAGAGCACGCAATACCTGGCTGGTAGCTCGTATAGTGCCAAGCTTGTTGATGGCGAGCTTGAGCATTGTTCGAGAATCCCAATGGATACGCAAAAGTCCGCGGATTGCGTGCTCGCATGGCTGTATTTCGCAAGCTTCGCCTCTGCAACTTGACGCAATAGACTACAACAATGATCGATGTCGATCTCGAGTGCACCGTCGACTTTCAGACTCGTGTTCGTCTCAGGAATAACGAGTTGCGGGCTGATCATGCTCTGCGGACACCACTTTGGGCATCTCTGTGCGCAATGATTGCCATACATGCGATGAATCCAATACATACGCTGTGAAAGACAGAGATGGCTCGCTTGGCGCCGAGCAATTTTAACATCGAGTATGGTGTCTGATCTGAGGGGACATGCGTGATCGCGGGCACCGCTCGATCATGCTACCTGCGAGCACGATATCTGCAGCTGTGATGGCGTGCACATTAGCGACAGGTCGGACATGTGCTGGCATGTATTCTGCCGGACGTCATGCCAAAATACGGTATATAGCAAGTAGACTTGCCTTTGGGCCATCCTGTACTTGTCATCTACCTGCACCTCCAACATGGCAACGCAAACTCAAACCATTCCCATCACATCCCAACAGGATCGACCGACCATCGAGACCAAGCTCGGGTCGAGGTCGGCTCCAAAGTCAGACGATTCTTTGAAAGATGTCAAAGCATTCGATGTCACTCCGGTTATTGGCCGCGAGTACCCAGAAGCGGATCTCAAGGAGTGGTTGGGAAGTCCTAAGGCTGACCAGCTCATCAAAGACCTGGCCATCACGAGTATGTGTACCGTATGTATATTGGAGATGCTGTTGGCATGTAACTGATCCGCAGCTTAGTCTCTCAGCGTGGCGTTGTTTTCTTCCGGAAGCAAGATGGCCTGACCAATGACCTGCAGAAGAAACTTGTGCAAAGGCTCGGCGAGCTGTCTGAGACGCCCAAGGAGTCCGGCTTACACATTGGTCCCGTCTCCAACAGTGGTCGTACACTGGGTGGCAGGGACGATGAAATCAGTGTCATCTCCTCCGAGCAAGCCAAGAAATTGTACAAGAATCGTATCTTCGGCGGTACCAAGCAGAGTCGTAAAGAGGGCTGGCATGGCGACATCACGTTCGAGCACGTCCCGAGTGACTACGCCATCCTACGATTGGCCGAGCTACCAGAGACGGGAGGCGACACTTTGTGAGCGTCCGGTTATGATATTTATGATCGTCTCTCGCCAGCCTGCCGCAAGTTCCTGGAGACCTTGACAGTCACATGTCAGCAACCCATCTTCGGCCAGAGCGCCAAGGAGAACGGCTTCGAGCTTTACAGTGGCGAGCGAGGGAACCCAGAGAACGTCGGCTCCGAGCTCACAGCTGTACATCCCGTTGTCCGCACAAACCCGGTCTCGGGCTGGAAAAGCATCTTCGCCGTGGGCCATCACGCAAAGCGCATCAACGAGGTCGCAGAGCCAGAGAGTGAACACCTATTGAAGTGGTTCACGCAGCTGATCGTGGAGAATCATGATCTCCAGGTCAGGTACAAGTGGCAGAATCCCAATGATGTGGCGATCTGGGACAATCGCAGTGTCTTCCATACAGCGACCTACGATTACGATGGTGTGAGGACTGGACAGAGGGCGGTCAGCATTGGAGAGAAGACGTACTTGGACCCCAATAGTACGAGTAGACGCGAGGCGCTGGGTACGGTGGCGACGTAGGGTGGAAACTTGGTTACTGACGCGTGCTAGTATGTCCTGGAACGAGTCTGGCTTCCTGTTGGGCCAGCGTAGATAGCAAAACGAGCCTGCGTAGATACGAAGGGATGTGAGCATCCAGATCTGTCATCGAGCATTCGTTTGAGTGCGTCTGCCACATGTCAGCCAAGACTAACATCGAGCGGCTCGGAAGAACTAGTTCAATCGCCGACTTCGTCGCCTGCGCCGCCACTCAAAAGTTATTAGGGTTCTTCCATGTTCGCGGAGGCGGCAACTGATCAATGAAACAATACAAGAGCCGTGCCCTTGGTTTCTACCCGAGAGGGTCCAGATGCTGCTGCTGCTGCTGTCAACCCCACAGACCACGACCCCATGGAGTGTGTGACACCGTCGTCTCCCCGGATAAATTAACGAGCTTTATTCCACCAATAACGAGATGGCTCTTCCACCAATCGTGAGATGAGACAGCTCAGAAGAAGATCACTTAAGATGACCACCACCCTTCGCCATGTTTCGCTGTTTGTGACTTCTCATCGGCCCTTTGCTCACGCCCAAGATGGCGCACATCACCGAGAAGACAGACGCTGTTACTCACTCAGCCCACTCCGAGTCCTCCGCCGAGCACATCGACCATGCCGGCGCCGCTGAGCTGGCTGTAGCCATGGAGAAGGGCAAGGATGTTGGCGCGGAAGTCCATTGCAGCGACGCGGACAACAAACGCATCCTGCGTAAGACAGATCTCTGGATGCTCTCACTACTCTGCATGGTCTACTTCCTGCAATCCGCCGACAAGGGAATCATCGGCCTGACCGCTGTATATGGTCTCAAAAAAGATGTGAGCATGCTAGCCTGCACCCATCAAGGGTTCTGAGAAGATCTCTTGGCCGACATTTGGCGCTGTCAATCGCTTCAGTTGACCAATAGTTTTCATCGGGATCCTTGTGCGTGTGAGAAACATGGGTGAATCATCACTGACTTCCTTCTTAGGCGCACCTCGCGGGCAACGATTACAGCAACATCGGCAACATCGGCTACTACGCTCAGCTCGGTGTACAGCCCCTCGCCGCCTACATCCTAGTCAAGCTACGTTACCGCTACGTCCTGCCCGTCATCATCACATGTTGGGGCATTTCGGTCGCCGGTGGACTCGGTGGGTCGCGTAACTATGCTGGTCTCCTCGCCTCTCGCTTCTTCCTCGGCGCCTTCGAAGCAGCTGTCGTCCCGCTTTTCTCCATGATCACCATTGCCTTCTACCGCCGTTCCGAGCAACCCTTTCGCGTTGCGTGCTGGTATTCGTGCTACGGTCTCAGCACGCTCATCAGCGCACCCATCGTGTACGGTTTTGGTCGCGTGCACTCCGCCACACTCTATCGCTATCAGGTCGTGTACCTCTTCTTCGGTCTCTTGACCATTGTCATCGGCCTCGCGACTTACTGGTGGGCCCATGACAGCCCGGGCGAGGCTCGCTACCTTTCTCCCGAAGATCGGCTGAAGGCCGTTGATCGTCTCAAGGCCAATCAACAAGGTATCTCTAGCCACAAATTCAACTGGTCGCAGGTGTTTGAGGCGTGGACTGAGCCCAAGTACTACCTTTACATGATCATGGTCATCGCTGTCAATGCTGGTGCTTCAGTGTCCTCGGTCTTTGGAGCTATCATCCTGCAATCCCTTGCTGGTTACACCGCTGACCAGGCGGTCCTTCTCAACATTCCCTTCGGCGCATTGCAGGTCGTTTCTATCCTCGGGGCATCGTGGTTGGCCTATCGTTTCAAGCGCAAGTCGCCTTTCTTCTTGGGCCTGGTGACCATTGTCATTATTGGCGTTGCGCTCTTGGTCGGTCTGCCGAAGACCAAGGCGAACAAGGGCGGTCTGCTTGCGGGCTACTACCTGATCGCCTTCGTCTACGCTATCAACCCACTCCTCATCTCATGGATGGGCGGGAACTGCGCTGGTCAGACGAAGAAGGCTGTCTACTACACCTCTTTCAATGCCGCCAATTCTGTTGGTAACATCATCACGCCATACATCTTCAACTCGAAGTTCGCTCCTCAATACGTAAGCTCCATATCCTCACCTATCTCCAGACCGATTTCCCACTAACAAACACCCTTAGGTCAACGCACTCAAAGGCATCCTGATCATCTGGTGCATCCTCTGGGGAGTCGTCGTCCTTCAGATCCTCCTCATCACCCGCATGCAGAAGCAGAAGGCGAATGCGCGGGAAGCCGCCGGTCTGCCACGTGACCCTCCTGATTTGTCCATGAGTGGGCATTTCCATGAGGCTGGTACGGAGGTACATGGCGAGCACGGGTTGAGGGATGAGACGGATAAGCAGAATATTTACTTTCAGTATTTGTTGTAGTGTAAAAGGTACCCCGACCTCCTTCGTCGTCGTTCAAGCTGATGGCTGGCGCAGATAGTACTTAGTTGTGTATACTGCTGTGAGTTGTTCACGTGTGTTATTGTGCCATTCCGCATCACTTTCGCTGAAGGATTGAATAGAACTCGCGGTTTCGTGGAGATCACCGCTGTCTACGTCGACGGATTACGCTATCCGGCATAAAGCCAGCCTGGTGTGCAACTTTTGCCGTTTCACCTTTACTACGTGAGCTTTCCCATCATGCCCGGCGAAAGGATGCCGAGATTACTGGTAGTATTTGCACGTCACAGTGCAGCTTACTGAATCAATCAGCATTGTGCGGTCCGTAGTACCACGGCCGCTCCAGACGCCCGGCATCCTTCTGGCGCAGTGCTAAGTCGAGCAATCATGCGGGCTAATGAGGGCTTGATGGCTGCAGTGAAAAGGCATGTTGGTCGTCGTTAGTCTTGGTGTTGCAGTCGGCGGAAGCGAAATAGCTAGGAGCGACTCGTCATAGCGGGTATATATGGCTGTTTATGTAAGGAAGCCAGCGAGACTTTAACACACACAAGACAACCGGCCGTATGAAACGGCAGGCACCAACCACCTACCCTCAATCCCGACAAACCTCCCACGCAACCTCGTATCTGACAGCAACGAAGCGCTTCATCCGCCGAAGATAGGACGATGAACACTTGGAGAAAACACAGAATCTTTCTATTACTACCTAGCGGACCAAACTGAATGCCGCGCAGTCATTGGATTGCTCGAACGACTAATGTCTTGTAGCCGCTGTTCTCCTTCAGCATAATCCACTAATTATTGACATGGGCGAGGGCTTCAATCTCGATTCTCATGCCGGGTAATGAAAGTGCTCTGACTCCAATTGCTGTTGCTGTCGGTGGGTGATTTGGGAAATACTTTTTCATGTTCTCCACAAGAAACTACATAAAATCATCATCAACTTCCAATGTGTAGTAAATGGTGAGTTTGTACACCTGAGACATGCCGCCGGTCTGAGCATATCCAGCTTCTTTGAGCGTGTGCCGCACAGTGTAATCAACATTATCGAAAGCCTTGCCGAATATAAGCATTCATACTCTAATTTGTAGCAGACGGGAACCCGATAATAAACGTATACAGGAATATACCCGCACGAGAGGATGTCGTCGGGTCGAGTTTGGGCGTTATTTGGATGGGGACACGACGCGAGTTGGGTGCACCAAGGGCGAGTTGCCGTGTGACGGGTGATTTGCGTAGACGCACGTGGAGGAACCAGCAGGAGTAGAGCCCCCCATGCCGGCGCCAACCCGGAGAGTATGCGGTCCCGCGCCGACGCCAATGCCGTATACAACGCCGCCGTCCCCATCCAAGCCGTGTGCAGCAACGGCATCCAGGGGAGCATACGCTACGCCCGCACCAACGCAGCGGGTACACGCCACGCTAGCACCGACGGGCGTAGCGTTTGCAACCCCCGACACCCGTTCACCGGGCCCTACGATTCGATCCAGTTCGTTACGCCGGTTTGAGCGAGCCGAACGCGAGCGATCCAGCCCGGACGAGAGGCGGAGAGCCCAAAGCCAGGCCAGACGATTGTAGCAAGGAAAGAGGGGAAAGAGGGGAAAGGTAAAGAAGAATAGATAGGAAAAGGGAGAAATATATATGGAGAGGAAAGAGGATAGGGGAAAGAAAGAGAAAAGTAGAGGGTAGAAAAAAGAGGAATAGTGAGATCGCTTTACTCTTACCTTAAAATACGTAACCTACTTATAAGTAAGTAAGTTAGTAAGTAAGTAGGAGAGCAAACTTAGTTACTTACTTATAAGCTCGTAAGACTTACGCGCTTACTTATAAATAATATAAGCATAGAATAGTATATAGTTAGTAATATTCGCTTTATAAATATTATACTTAACTTATAGTTATATCTTACTAATTAAAATTTAATCTATTTAATTACTTTACTAATACGATTACTATTCTACTTATCCCTTAACGAGTACTAACTTAACCTTACCTACCTTAGACTAGATTATATATCTTAGAAACCTAAGGCATAATATCTATATAACCTATATAAATTAACTAACTAAGTAATTAATTTTAGATAGAAGCGTATAAATACGTAATATTTACCTATAGAGATAGGCTTCTAGTACTAGGTATATAGTAGAGTAGAGGACTATTTAGTTAGTTTATATATATAATAATCCTTAATTCTCTTCTAATTCCCCCTATTCTAAAGTAATATTACTATAGGGATTAGTTAGCCTGCGGGCCGCATGCGGGCCGCAGATTGCTAGTACGTGATTTCTATGCAGGCCTATATTGGCCTTTACAAAGCGAGACCTTCTAGGAGAAGATACATTATGGGCCTTTCCCGCAACTCGGGCTGCCTTCTTGTTCTGTTCGGCAGCGCGATGGGCTCTTCAACAAACCCCACAAACCCAACCACCGGCTTCGCGGGTTTCGCTAAAAGGTCCCGTCGGCCAACCAGGACTTTCGACTTCTCCTTCCATCACTGCCGCCAACACATTTTGACCTCTACATGACCATGACAGAGAAGCCTCAGCAAAAGACGGCTATGCCGGACCACATCGAGAATCTGGATCGCACCTATGCGGATATTGATGTTGTCGAACTCACACATCAGAACCCGTACCGTGAAGTGAACTTCATTGGAACTTACATCGCAGCTCTGCTCGCGTGCTCTGCCAAGTAAGTTATTGTCCTTGCAATAAAGTTGAAAACACCGACTTATGTAACGTGTTGTCTTTAGCTTTTCGGGGTTCATAATGCCCGTGACAGCCCTTGGACTTATTGAAGCCGAGCTAGGCGCGTCTCCCAACGCCGTGTGGATTTCTCTAGGCTGGGTTCTTCTATCAGGGGTGTCCTTCGTTCTCCTCGGTCGGCTTTCAGACATCTTTGGGAGACGTTGGTTCTTCACCGGCTCTACCTTACTTTCGCTAGTAGGCGCCATAATCGGAGCCACAGCGCAGAACATCAACGTCCTGATTGCCGCATCCGTGTTCCTTGGTATGGGTTCAGCTGGCCAGATCTCGTTCAATTACTCGGTAGGAGAGCTGGTGCCCATTCGTCATCGATTCGCGGCGAACGGTATCATCTATTTTTTCAGCCTTCCATTCTCAGGGCTCGGTCCTTACATCGCTCGCCTTCTGATCGTACAAAGCTCCGCGGGATGGAGAGGGATATATTATCTTGTGTGCGGACTCGACGCTGCGGCTGCGATCCTTTGGTTGCTGTTCTACCATCCCCCAGACTTTCAGCACTTGCATCGTGATCGAACTCTATCGGACGAACTCAAAGAGTTGGATTTAGGGGGCATAATTCTTTACGTTGCTGGGTTCTTCTTGTTCCTACTCGGTCTTGCATGGGGAGGATCAGTGTATCCCTGGACTTCAGCATACGTGCTTGCACCGCTGATCATTGGGTTTGCCGTTTTGGTCGCCTTTGTTTTATACGGTAAGGCCTACTGTATTTCAGTCATAGCTCTCACTAATTCGTCTTCTTTAGAATCGCTAATGGATCTCCGCCGCCCTCTTATCCCGATGCATCTGTTCCGCCAACTTGACTTTGTGTTGATGAATGTTTTGTCTGCTGTCGGCGGCGTGGTATACTATGGGGCGAACAGTAAATTCTCCTTCCTCTCGTTACGCTTAGATGAGCACTTCTAACTCCATGCAGCACTGTTTCCATACATGGTGGGTTCGCTTTACACAAGCGATCCGATTAAAGGCGGTCTCGTAGCAAGCTGCATCGGAGCTGGTGTCTGCGCTGGCCAAACCATTGGCTCCTGGATCGCCGTGCCTGGCGGCCATATGAAGCTCAAGCTCATAGTTATCTCTAGTGGGCTGTGTGCGTTCGTGGCGGCATTGTCTGGGGCGACAGACAGCCAAGCAATTGGCTCTGCCCTGGCTGTTTGTGCCGGTCTAATGGTCGGCCTCTTGGAAGTTATTGTCTCGACGATCGTCACGATTGTTATCGCCGATCAGTCCGAGATTGGTAAGTGCATCGAGAAATGGAAAGACGGCTTGGTACAAACCATCTTCATCCATCCCGTGGAACCTGATACTAGACCAGATTGCTGACTGTCACAGGTGCTGCGGCTGGAGTCTTCGGATCGATTAGAAGCTTAGCGGGAGTGCTCGCGACCGCTATCTACTTGTCCGTCCTCATGAACAAATTAAAGGAATTCACCGCAAGCGATGTTGTTCCTGCGGTAGTACAAGCCGGTGTGCCATCTGCTTCAATACCAGGTTTCCTCGCCGCGCTTGCCCAAGGAGACATTGCCGCGCTTCAAAGCGTCCCAGGTGTTACCACACAAGCGATCGAAGTTGGTGTTGCTACATTGAGGGAGGCCTATGCGAAGACATTCAAGATTGTGTGGCTTGGAACACTTGCGTTTGGACTCCTTGCAGTTGCCGCCTCATGCTTCACCAAAGACCTTGACGAAAAGCTCTCCCACGATGTGGTCAGACGTCTCGGGATTAACAAGAACATTGAAGATGCAGAAAAGTTAGGAGACGAGAAAGAGGTGAGAAGCGAGTGAGATGTGATCAGACCTGTTTACAAGCAAGCCGGCTTGACGACTTACCTTGTCTTATCAAGATACATCAGAGGTGTCGTGTGTTATCTACGTAGGGTCAGAGTGATGATTTTTTCTTGCTGAAATGCACAATACGGTAGTGGACTCAATGAGGTCTCAGGGAACAATGCCGGCCAGGGGGTAGTCAGTCAGTTGATCTGGAGGATCAGGTTCAACAGCAGCTAGCTCATCGCTCCAGTCAGCTCCTATCCAATTCACATGGTGATCGACCAGTCCCTCGATTGGGCCCTAAGCACAATATTCAGACTATCCCTCACCGACGCAGCTGTGCCATCATCAGAACAGCGCTTCTTAGCATTCCGCACTATTCACAAATCGAGGGGGGCGGAATTTGTGAAACCCATGGAGTTCCGTCGAAGCTTCGCAAGATGTACCAAGCCTCCCGCGCAGGCCTGTTAGCCATCGTAGAGCCCCTCCATCGTCACTAGTAAAGCGCTATTCAGGAATCCGGGACGCGTGATGCTTGAGATGCGAAATTCCCCACTTCACTGCCACATCGCCACCGGCACCACCATCGCCCGCGCTAGCCACAAAGAATCGGCTCGTTCATGGCGGAATGCGGAGAGGCTTTTTCTCTCCGGACCCAAGTGGAAAAGTAGCGGGGAAATGACGCTGGCTTGCCACCTAGATCGTAGGGAAATCCCAAACCCGAAAGATGGGGAAATCCCAAACCCGAAAAATGGATAGATCGTCCAATCACGATTTGCATATAAACGGCTACCAGACCTCCCACGTCTCATCAGCCCCTTGATTACCATCATCTACATGTGATTTGCTTACCACTACCCACCTGCTTTTTGATCACCGTAAACGAACACTATCGACACACCTCATCATGAAACCGTCCCTACTCCTCCTCGCCGCCGGGGATGTGGTTCTCGCCTTTCCTGGCCTCATGGGCGTGATTCGTTCACCCGAATCTTCGCAGATTGACAAGCGCGCCATCGTGTACCCGCCCGATCGACCACCCCAGTACAAAGGCACCAGACCAAACACCGGTCTACCACCTCCACCATTCAACGCCGAAGATCAACTTGTCTCGACCACGGGTGATCACATATGGATTGCACCTGGCCCAAACGATCTTCGTGGACCGTGCCCAGGCCTTAACGCTGCTGCCAATCATGGCTATCTGTCTCGTAGTGGTATCTCGAGTATTCCGGAAGGTAGGGTACTTCTCATGCCATGTGTTCGGCTACGTCTATTTGTGCCACGTTGCTAACATGTCTCTTCAGCTATCGCAGGTCTGCAACAGGCTTACAACGTCGGACCTGATGCTGGTGCTGCCTTATCCATCATAGCCGTTGCTCTAAGTGGCAATCCAATCACTGGCACATGGTCTATCGGTGGTGAATACGCGGGAGCTGCTGGACTCTTCCCAACGCGTGGGATTTCAGACACTCACGATAAGTATGAGGGTGATGGGTCCATTACGAGGGGAGACGCCTACCTTCACAATGGATCCCCTCTAATCGTCGAGATGCACAAATTTAACAACATCTGGAACATTATGGGCGACAACTTCGGTTTTGACCAAGCGAATATGCAAGTCGACTACTCTCGCCAATACTCGATTGCGAACAATCCTTACTTTTTCACTGCATCGTTCGGCCCGATTGTTGCCGCCGCGGCCCATGAACTGGTCGTCAACTTGATGTCCAATCATAGCGCCGAAAACCCTGGTGGAACCTTGAACAAGGAAAACATGAAGTCCTTTTTCTCTATTGAAGGCGACGCCCCCGGAAACTTCAGTCACATTGTCGGGTACGAACGTATCCCCGACAACTGGTACCGTCGCCCAACAGTCCTTGCCTATAATATTGCGGACTTGGGTCTTGATCTTGCACAATTGGTCACACAGTATCCCGGAACCCTTTCCCCTGGCGGCAATGCTGGGAAAGTTAATACCTTTACTGGCGTTGATCTAGGCAACCTCACCGGTGGTGTATTCAACGCAGAGACTTTATTTGAGGGTAACAACTTCGCTTGTTTCTTCTACCAAGCGTCGTTGCAGGCTCTTCCCGATGCTGCTGAGCCACTTCTTGGGGCTGTCGGCTCTATCCTTGGCTGGGCAGAGTCTCAATTCGGTCCATTTACATCCGCACTGAACTGCCCTCAGCTTGCACAGTTCAATAATCAGCTTCTTAACAAGTACCCAGGCTCGACGGCGGGAACAGGCAATGGTGATCCAGTGGGAACGCAGCCCAATGGAGCGAGAGAGAGTTGAACGAGAAAAAAGATGAGGAATGAGAGACGAGATATAATCAGCACTATTTGGCTACCCAAAGTCAGGATGTAAAATCCACACGACTATCTGTAAAGTTGTTCTTCCTCTGCCGGTGTTAATACTATTAACTAAACAACTCGCCACACCTTTCCTAGAGGTAATGCTGAAACCACTGGTATTCATGTAACGTGGAACGTCGAACGTGGATCGTGGTTTCATAAAACGTTTTGGGACCCCAATCGAAACGGTTCCATAATCGAAACAATCGTCTTGCATTTTTATGCTTTCAAATGATACTAGACGTGGACATAACTCGTTAGATTCTTCGATCTCATGTCTATACATGTTCTCTTCGTCTTTCTAAATTTCTAGGAGTATCGTGTCAGTTTTGCGTCGTTTAATTGCCTTCTTGCCAGCTATCTACGCTGTCACTGGTTGGAGTCTTGTCAATGGCCGGAGTCTTGGCCTGGACTGTGGAGTGCGCCGTATCATCGACCCCACCTTGGACCTGCTCTGCAACATTAAATCGGGGCGTCTCGGTAGCAGCAAAGAGCGTGGATTCTTGGCGTGACTCCGTCAATGGAGAAGGAGTTTCGCCGACTTTGGTGTATCCATGAAAAGGGATGATTGTATATAACAAGTGCTTCGACGTAGCTTATCATGAGTTCATTGCTACTTGACATATAACTAAATAGCCACGAACCATACGAGAGGTCTGCGTTCTGCGTTTAATGCTGACCAAGGCCATCTCTACTACACTTGGATGGTGCTCATGGCATATTGTGGTTCCTTTCGTTGTATTCGCGAGCTCTCTGGAGCGTTATAAGTTGTATGCCAGAGAAACAGCGTGGTAAACTTGAATCTAACGCCGTGCCAACACTCAGCATACCAGAGAAGAACAGGGAGCACTTTGAATCCATTCTTGGCCTAGCAAGGTAGAACGGCTGGGGTAGTCAGTGTTGACCTGCGTCTGGCCCGGCTTGCAGCTGTTCAACCACACAGAAAGACCAAAACCACAATTAGCCTCGGACCCTTGGGCGTATGGAGTGCACGAAATCGCTCGACAGTACCCTGCAGCCGCCAAAAGTTCCATTGTTGAGCAGCATGAGACCCATACGGGCGTATTCCAATGGACGAAGCTAGAGCCCAGAGTAGCCGGTGGTGGTGCCTGAGCGATCTTTTTGCCAGAAGTAAGAGCTGGTGGGGATGCCCAATGGATCAAACAGAGCGAGCTGCGCGAAGGTCTGGAAATCGATTTTCGTTCCTGGCGCCTTTTGGATGGCGCGCTCCACACAGTACACGACAACGGATGGTGTGATCTCGTTGAATCGAAAGTAGGCACCGGCAGGATGCTGTACACTTTCGTGGGTTAGCGTCGGCCGCATGCTCATATGTGCTACGGCCTACCTGAATCGTGTCTGAGAAGTACTCTCTTGTGCGCGAGATGTCAGTAAAGAAGTTGAGTCCTTCGACGTGATTGACTTGCACGCCAGATGTAAGTTGCATGAGTTGTCGAAGAGTCCTACTACTATGCGCAGCATCGCCTAATCTAGGCTCGACGTATTGATCAATAGGAGCGTCAAGATCAATCCCTCCAAGGTCAACTGCAATTCCAACAATCATCGTGACGACTGCCTTCGTCTGTCCCGCGTTCAGAGACGGGCCACGGTCCATTAAGGGATCTCTGAAGCCCTCTCCAACCTCGCCGCCATGACGAAAGACTTTGACAGAGAACAAGCCATCAACGGCAGCATAACTCAGCGCGGCTTTCAATTTCCCGCTGTCCATGCCAACAGCCTCTGGCCCGGTGGTATGATATCCATCTGGAGCCGGCATGTTACAGCTCTTCGCACTGCTAGAGTAGGTAATTGCGGTGAAGTTGGACAGCAGGAAGGTGATTCCAGGCAAGACATCGTCATCGATCGGAGCCGTCAGGTTCGAGATGATATTGCCAATAGGATCGAGGGGACTCGGATTGCTGGTCTGCGGCAGTGCATTGGCGAGACCCAGGCTGGCGCATACGGCGCCGAATGTGGCGGATTTGAGTGTGAGCATTGTGGTGGTGGCGTCTTGAAGGTATGGATGCTCTGATACAATGGAGGGGTATGAAGGGAGTGCGCATAAAGTGTTCGCCCCTCATCTTCATGGTCTGGCTATTCCGGCGATTTCTTTTAGTGCTAAGCTGAACGAGTTCCGTCGCCGTCGATCGCAACTTGCCAGTCTAGACAAAGTCATCATCATAATTTGTCGACTTCATGTCCATTTTTCCATAGAGTACAAGTAGTTGTCCTCATTGTCAGATGACACTACCGAGGCTAGACGTAATAGAGTCTTTTTCGTCCTCCGAGGTTTTAAATAATGATCCTTTTGATATATCCGAGCGTTCAAACGTTAATAATAGGGTGTGTCCACGAGCCGCATTGAGCTCCACATGAAAATCATGGCGAGGGGCCGCTAGCGGATGTAGTTTCCGGCTTCAACCTGCGGGTTGGAACTCGACAACGGTGTTCTAATGTACTGAGGGCAATGTAGTCTAGTCGCTGAAAACGTAAATATCCGCCGTAAAAGGTAAGCTACGGGTGTTGACAATAAAAGCAGAATATCTTTCCATGCAGACGTGAGTATGAAGATGCATCTGCCCTAGAGCTTCCTCGGCAGACGGAACAGATAGCCGAGACGCAAGCATGAGGAGACCGCATGTGTTCGGGCTCTATTTGTGAAAGATGAGCTTGATGTCTCGAAATGTGATCATTCGTCCCAATTCCTATCAAAAGTTGTCATTTGCTCGAGTCGAATATGCGGATATACAAATCGTCTCAACCTGAAATTGACTTACCCCATGTTGATATCCTCACTCTGCTATTCGGTGCGTTGCTGATATCCGCCCAGGGCATTGAAATTACTCGCTGATCAACCATTGTGAAGGGGCCGAATGGTGTCTAGCAAAAGAGGATATCAATATCCACGTAGAGGCAGCGCGACCGGAGAACAGTATTACCAAAGCGGAAGCACGAAATCTTGTTCATCGCATCTCATACCTACTACGCACTTGGCATAGCATTGGAGCTCATGAACAGGGAAAAGATGTTGTTCTTACAATAAGCTCGGGTAACCCATTCATTCCTGTCGTGTTCTACTCCATTGTTGCAGCTGGTGGTGTGTTTACTGGTGCAAACACTGCCGTTCGATTGAACGAGTTGATCAGACAGATTAAAGACTCGGATGCTCGGATGCTTATAGTTTCCGAAGAGTTTGCAGCATTGGCATCAGATGCTGCGAGACAGTGCGGTATCTTGCCAGACAGAGTCCTGGTACTGGACTACGCGCAGCTCAAAAAGTGGACTCTACGCTAAACCAATGGACAGGACGCTCTGAACAAGTGCAACGGGCAATGTTCAGAGTGGGAGATGATCACAAGTCGTCTTGAACTTGAATAGACAACGATTGCCCTACTTTATTGATCTGGGACAACAGGTCTACCGAAAGGAATTCAACTCTCACAATGGAGTATTCTCGCCAGTGCGATTTGCACTATGGACGTAGCCAAAAGATATCAAGCAAACTCAAAGGACTTTCGCTTCGACACTACCTGTCATCTGCCAATGGCGAACATTGCTGGCATAGACTTGTGTTCCATCAACCCGTTCTATACGGGTGGTACGACTTACTGGATGGAAAAGTATGATTTTGACACTTTCATCGAGTACCATCGACGCTACAGACCAGTATATCAATTTACTGGTCCCCCAGTGGGCTGCATGGACTCTTCTCTGTCTGACTCTTGCAGCTCCTCCGTGACGTCGAGGTCGATGTTGGCACCGTAGTCGTACGCATGAAACGCCGGTCGGTTCTCCGCCTAGAAATCGTCCATCGTCTGCGTAGCGACGTAGTCGTCCCAGCCGTCCATGAACTGTCGCTGGAAAACCGCCCATTTGTTGAAGGTGATGTTTTGGGTTCGCCTTTGGTCCAATCGCCAGGAAGCCTCCACCCCCTCCCCCACCGACTCCTCGCAGAGAAACACTTCCTTGATGTATTCCGCCAAGATTCGCGCATGGTTCTCTTCTAGCGCGCTATATCGGATTAACGACTCGACTTGCGCCCGCGGTGGCTCGAACTCGGACATTGCATCACAATACACCAGGACTCCCGCGTCACGCCGGAAGCGATGCGAAATGTGCGTTGGTGCAGGTCAAACCCGATCCCACCTTCGATGTATTTCGCCCGACACGGCACCCGCCAATCCTCAAAGCCGATGGTGACATTATCCACAACCGATCGCTACAGTGCACGATCGGCTTCATCGGTCGACCCACGATGGCAATCATATCGAGATGTAAAGCTAGGAATAAATCCGTCGCCATCGGTACAGGCCCGTGACCGGGCTGCCCGGCTCCCAAAGTCGAGCGTATATGCGTGCTACAGCATGTAGACAGCTTGCGCGCCGTCGAATGAAGCGGACGCGGTCCGTCGCAGGAACGTGCTGGCGTGCAGCCTGTGGTCGCCGCGAGTGTGGTCAATGCGAAATGTCTCCGTGTTGTCTGCGCTGGCGACAGTTTCGGTTGCTATGCTTTCGTATATGGCGCCTTCGTCGTCGGAGCCATCGTGGAGGCGGTCGTCGTCGGATACGTCATCGTGTTCTTCGCCGGAGCCTTCCGCGCTATACACCGAGGAAAGGGACAGGTTATCTAGTGAACCGATCGTGATTAATGAGCTTGGTTTCCCCAGAATCTAGTCCCCGAACAACATAGGCATAGTGCATTCGAGGAAGTTTAGGGTGCGGGGTAACCGTAGTTGCATGAACCCGTGCGGGTGATAGATGGAAGTACTTGAACAGCTGCTCCTCCATAACTCCCTAACCGCTCCGTCATCGCTTCTCGAGTGCTACAAGCACTTCTCTATACTCAAGTCTCAAAACGATGATGCTGTCCGTGTCCTCCGTCGTGCTCGCGGCCGGAATTACGGTCGTTATTGCATATGCTTCACGCATCGGTCGGCGAGCTAAAGGTCTACCGCCAGGCCCACCAACAATACCTGTTCTGGGTAATCTTCACATGGTAAAAGCTGTACTTACACAACAATTTTCAATAAGCATAATTTGACCCAAACTTCAGCTAGATCCCTCGATTATGTATCGGCAATTCCAAGAGTGGTCAAATGAGTATGGGCCGATTTTCTCATTGATGCTCGGCACCCAGACCATGGTCGTCTTGTCCAGTGATACAGTTGTTAAAGAAGTGCTGGACAAGCAGAGTGCAGTTACGAACGCACGCGGTGATCATTATCTCGGCCACGACATCTTGAGCGGCGGTGAACGAATGCTGCTAATGGTTTGTTTCAGCCTAATCATTCCATTTCTAACTTTCGCTGCTGACTTACATCTTCACTAGCCGAATGGGGAAAAGTGGCGCTTACAGAAGAAACTGATGCAAAAGATGTTGAACGTGAATGTTGCTCAGAGTTACGAACCGTAAGTCCAGTCCGCTCGTTCTAGTGGGCGCAGATTTAACAGGCCCGAAACAGCTACATTGTCCTCGAGGAGAAGGCCCTCCTTTTCGATCTCCTCCGCAATCCAAAGGACTTTTATTTACACACGAAACGGTATGTAGCTTTACTAGTCCACTACACGCAAGGCTATTTGACTAACGAAAAGCAGCTACTCTCACGCAATTGCTTCTAGTCTAACATACGGGTAACATCGACGCCGAGATGCACTGGACACAGATTTGTTTTGACCATTTCAATAGAATCCGAACGCCCGACTTCAATGACGGAAAGATGAAACAATTCCTCATCGGGTGAGTCTGGGAAACCAGCTTCTTCTACGGCGGGCCTAAATTAATTGCTTGACAGACTTGACTATTTTACCGAACTTATGCAGACCGCTACAGCTGCATTGGTTGACGTATACCCAATACTCCGTCGCGCTCCAAGCTTCATACTTCCAGCGTTAGGAAAGGCAACAGCGTGGCACAAGGAAGAGACTGAATTCTACCTCGGCCTATGGCATCAAACGAAACAGAGTTTGGAGCAAGGCACAGCAAAACCTTGTTTTGCTGTTGACATTTTAAAGTGTCAGGACAAGGAACAATTCACGGATAAGTTCGGAGCGTACTTGGCTGGTGGGTCGATGGAAGCTGGAACTGATACGACCTCCAACACTCTATACGGATTTATTCAGGCCATGGTACTTTTTCCGGACGCCCAGAAGAAAGCCCAAGGCGAGCTGGACCGTGTTTTGGGGAACAAGTTCCCAGAACCTGCAGACGCTAAAAACCTTCCATACATCCGCGCATGCGTTAAGGAGTCTCTACGCTGGATGCCGACCGCTATTATTGGGGCTGCCCCGCATGCTGCCTCAGAGAACTTCCAGTCCATGGGTTACCACTTTCCAAAAGGCGCACTGCTGGTGAACAATGTGTACAGCATTCACTTTGATCCAAAGCGATACTCAGACCCAAAGACATTCAACCCGGCTCGCTTTGTTGGCGATGATATGACCTCCCATGAGTCCGCTGTTCAGAGTGACGTATCGAAACGAGATCATTTCGTCTTCGGAGCCGGCAGGCGTCTGTGCTCGGGCATGCACGTCGCCGATCGAGAACTCTTTGCTGCTATCGCTGGACTTCTCTGGGCATTCGACATTACGCCCGCGATTGATGAAGGAACGGGAGAGCCGATTCTACCCGACCAAAATCTCTACACGCCTACAGTAGTCTGTCGACCACAAGATTTCGTAGCTCGAATCACGCCACGATCTGCCGAGAGAGCCGCAGCCGTTGAAGCCCTATGGAAGGAAGCTAGCCAGGTCTTAAACAGCAGTGGACAGTGGAAAGAAATACCGAAGGGCATGAAGTTCACCGATGTTTTAGCTTGAGCTGAGTTAAATTCTGAGCCAAGGTCTCGTTGATAGCAAGTACAAGCATAATACATAGCTCCATATAGGCGAATTTATGTCTGTAGGGGATTTTAGTTGATTTCCGACTTTCTATCGACTCGTTCGTGCTCTTGCTTTACTTAGTCGCTTCGAAAGTACTAGTCTCTTCCGAACAAATACGAAATACCGGTCTACTTAATAAAGTAAGAATAGAGGAAGTAGAGGAAAGATTAGAGATATAGAGAAGGGCCTAACTAATATAAGGCCTAGGAGGTGTTACGGACACTGTGACACGATTGGTGGGATAAGCGAGTGGACAGGAAGTCAGGAGCGGAGGCTTCCGCTCCTGCAACTGATACGACTGACACTCCTTCGATCAGTCGGATCAGACACCACTGACTGAACTGACCGCGCTGCGATCAGTCGGGTCAGTAGAGACACGAATCTCCTATGTATATAGAATGAGCGTTTCTTATGTAGGTAGTTCGTGTTCAACCTAAGTTAC